GTGGCAGATCATGTCGATGCTTACTCCAGGTAAATCTTCGGCCGACCAGGCGAAAGTGTTGATGTTCTCGTTGAGGAATTTGATGAGCGCGGCCTTGATCTCCTCGGTTAGGTCGCTGTCGATTTCTACGCATCGTTCAGGTCGTTCGTCGTCAAGGCTGATGGAGATTACTGGACCCGAGGTAGGCTTCTTCTCCTCGCGTACCTTCTCTTCGCTCTGGCCAAGTTTCGATTTCTTGTGGTCAGCTTCGGCCTTCGCTTCGGTGACAGGGTTTCGGAGTTTGTGCGCTGCCATAAAACACATCCGTGAATTTTTCTGGCTGCCCCAGATCGTTTTTACGCCATTGGGAGTCAGACATTTGACACAAAGATGATATGTTGAGGCGACAGCTCGCATTAGATTTAACCACGGCATCCCCATTATGACGTTGTAGATGGTAGGTTGATCGGTGACCGAGAAGTTGACTATCTTTGTCACCCAGCTGGTCGGACCAGTAGTTAGATAGTTCCGAGTGTCATCAAAGTTTCTCCTGAAAATCCGAGGACTGGCCTCGGGGTCGGATTCACCTGTGACATGTCGATGTTCATTTGTCAGAGTCTTTCGCGGAAGATCACGTCGATGGTGCTGCCGGTGTCGATTAATACTCGGCAAACGTCATGGTCTCCTATCACCAATGTGATGACGAGTGGATCGTTATGAGGCATGTCGAGCCCGTTCGTCTCGCTTTCCTCGAATGTGACCACGTCGTTAGGTCGATCGAAGGGTCTTGTCTAGTTGCTAGGCGCCTCGGCTCGGCGTTGATACGCTTTGATTGCGGCAACGGTGTCAGGACAGTACGGCGATCCACCCATTATGGTGAGGACTTTTTGCCGTGTACCATCTCGGTCTTGATCTTGCGCTCCTCGGGTTCTTTTCTGAGATTCTTGGTTCCTTGGCTCGGGGTCTCTTCCCGGGTTGGTCTGTTCGGGCTGATCTGGCTCTGGTCCTTGAGTGTGACATTCGTCCCGAGCTCTCCTGCTAAGAATTTGGCTGCTAACTTAGCGCTGAGGCTTCGGCATCTCGAGGTGTGGTGGCCGAAGATTTTGTGGTGCTCGCAATATTCTTGATCATTGCTCGGTGGTTGATCCCTTGTCCAGGTGAAAGATTCTCTTCCTCGCCCACGACCTCGGCCTCTGTCGCGACCTCGGCCGCGAGGCGCGTCAATCTGATAGTTATGGGCTCCCGAAAAATTGCGCCCTTCGTGATGCGTATACGTCTTCTTCTGGACCGGAGGTGTTGCTTGGGTCTTCTCGGCTCGGGATGTCTGCTTCGTTAGCTCGTGCCTCTTTGCTAGCAGTGCCATCTCTTCTTCATGGGCGACAAAATCCGAGGCTCGGTGCAGTGCGTCGCGAATTGTCATAGGTTTGGACAGGTTCAGCTCTTTTCTGAATTCCGACTTGAGAGCCTTCTTCAAAGCCGAAAGGGCGGCTACGTCTGTGATTCCTTCAACCTTGGCTAACGTCGATTTGAAAGTCGTGGGAAAATCTCTTAACGGCTCGCTGGGCTGTTGAGAGAGAGACCACAGATCTGCGTTGGACGTCCCGGGGTCGATCAGCACAGACTATTGCTTGAGGAAAAGTGTTGACAGCTCGTCGAAACTGTCAATCGAGTTTCGTTCCAGTCTCGAAAACCAATCCAATGCGGGTCCCTTGAGGTGTTCCACGAATAGTAAGCACAGACCAGCATCCTTCTCTCCGGGCTTGAACCTGGCTCGGGCCACGGATATCACGAATGATTTAATGTGACCCTTCGGGTCGGTTGATCCGTTGTAAGGGTCGATTTTAAACTTTCCCAGATTGGACATCGTCGTTTCGGAAATTCTTTTGGTGAAAAGCGTATTCCGAGATTCTTCCAAGATTTGGTCGATATTAGGTGCCGAGGAGGAAACGCTATGTATCTAGGTTTTGACGAGCTTTATATCGGCTTCCGCTTTGGCTAGGGAGGCTCGGATCTCGCCGAGTTTGTGTTCTCTTTCGGAATCTTCGGCCCACCTTATGTTTTCCTCGGTTTCTTCGTCATCTGTGAGATCAGTTCGCTCGGCATAATTAACTCCGGTTCGGGAACGCTCTCCTTGCGGATCATCCGGCTCGTTCGTTAGGTCCACTGCGTTTGGCTTGGTGGGATCATCCTGATTCTCGCGTCGGGCAGGATCGGCTCGGGTTGTGACTCTGGTGTTGTCGGTTGGCGTTGCGAACGTGAGCCTTGTCGGGTTGATGCCAGGCAAGTCCCTCCGGGTTCGTAGCGGCCGAGTCTGGAAATGCGTGGTTTTGTGTTGCCCACGGGATGCGATTTCGTCGATTTGCTGCGCCAAGGTCTTGTTAGCTTTCTCTTGATCGTCAGCTTTCTTCTGGAATTTAACCATCATATCCTTCAGTTCGGCTAGGGTCGCTGAGATTGCCGGATTGACCTGAGGATTATGAGGGTTCGGAGGGTTAGGGTTCCCTCCTCCGGCTGGTTGTATCTGACGATCCTCTTCGTTCATCGTCCTCTCTGGTAATCGAGGCATGTGTTCTTAGGGTAAGAGAATTCCAAAGTATCCCCACAGACGGCGCCAAACTGTGGAAGTCGAAACTAACACAATCAAGATTTGTCTAGGGTTTTATTTTAGGGATACAATGAACGTGAATTCTCAAAGAACAACAGAACGGATTGAAACCAAAGATGGTGTTTGTGATATTATTAGGAAAAAGATGACTTTGATCGTACAAGAGTTTTATCGTAAAAGAAAAAGTGTTTGTGCTTAAGAGCTTTGTGTAATCTAAATTCTAGAGCGATCTTGCCTCCTCCTCTGTGAGAGCCTTGAGTCTCTTTATATAGGGATGATAAACCGCCTCTCCAGCGATATTCTCGGAAGATTTCCATTTATCTTTAAGTCGGCTCTGAATATCGCGGATTAGGATAGTTTCCTTATTCTTCGGGCTTTTTGGAAGTTTTCCTGATTTGAGTTGATCCTTCGAGATTCTCCCTTATCATTTCCGAGTTTATCGGAAATGATCCTTCTTTTTCAGAAATGGTGCTTTGCTTGGAAATGGTACTTCGAGGGTGAATATTTTACAAAGTCCTTGCCTCGGGTGGCTTGGAGGATATCGACGTGATACGCGATCCCGAACCGAGGAGACTTTGAGACGACCGGGTTTGGGTACCCTTGTTGACAGGGCTCGGGTATCCGAGGAGAAATGGCTCGGGTACCCGAAGAGGACCGGCTCGGGTACATGAACAGAAACAGCTCGGGCATCCAAAAAAATGGCTCGAGTATCCGAGGAGGATCGGCTTGGGTACCAGAGCTTGCTGTCAAACCCCGAGGTGGACCTTGGGTGTTTCCCAAGGTGGATGATGCGACGCCCCGAGGTGATCTCTGAAAAGTTCCCCGAGGTGCTCCAAGTCTGGCTCGGCGCTAAAGGATGGAATCCGACCCCAACAGGTTCTCTCATCTCATTGATCAAATTCAACCAGAATAGAAGTTTATGTGAGTGATTAAGCAGATTTAGGATTGATTGTGTGTCTTTTGTTCACAGGCGAAAGGGACAATGATCGATGGGGATGGTCAAGGTGGCCTGATGGTTAATAGTGAGAATGTTAATTTACGCAATAACACATTGTTTTGCTTGGAACGCGCCAAGACCAACGTTTTTTATACTAGTTTTCTTATATGTCTATCTTTACACCATAAAAGAGTTATAACATATTCGGTTTTACTCAATCTAGACTCTCCCTAGAATTAACCCTGACATAAACTAGTCTTAAACAACAATCCCTTTTCTTTTTGTTATCACACACACGGTAAAGACAAAGAGGATTACAATACAAGTTCTATTGAAAAGACTTACACACACGTAAATCAATTGTACTATCTTCAGTAATACCTAGAACTTGTAGAACACTTACCCACCTTCCTTGCTCGTTGTTTCTTTTTAAGCTTGAAAAACAAACTCACAAATAGCCAAAGTGTTGACGGCGGCTCATGACCTACCTCGACTATATATAAGAATCCACGAAAACCCTAACAAAGATTTTCGAGAATATCCACGAAAAGGAATAAACTTGCAACTCAAGTTTATCCTTACCATAACTTGATCTAGAGAATACTTTGTATTTTTTTTTTTTTGAATGAATGTAAAAATATATTCAACCCAAAAAACATGTGTACAATGAATGCTTCTGTTTTTTGAAAAATTAGATAAAAACCATTAAAGGCAGAGTAGAGAGTTTAGAGAAGTGGCGAAGTCTTGTTTATGGATTTGGTCGAGTAGAGAATCACAAGCTTAGGCCGTCACCATATCGATGATCTCCCAAGTCTTTGGTAGCACTGATGCGGTTTCGAATACTTTGTATATCTCTAAACCAACTTCGTCCATATCTCCTTTATATGTCAGCTTTTTGCTTCCTTGCCAAGACATTTCAGCTTCCCATAAGTGCCACATCCACTACCTTCTTACATACACTCATGGGTCGCTTGATGTAGCTAACATATGCTTGTTGTCATCAGCTCGTTGTAGTCCAGTTCATTGTTGACAGATATACATCTTCAAATAGTCTTGCTGTTTCCTTAAGGGTTTTTGATTCTCTAATCATCAGAGGTATTTGTCGTGTTGGTATCGGAAGTAACTACATCAAACTCTCTCTTTTTTTCTCATCTTCCATTACTCATAAGTTGGAGTCTCTACAATTAATTTATGCACTATCGTAGCATGTTAATAGTTTCCTATAACAACTTTGAAATTGGTCTGAAGCCCTCAACTTACTTAAGGTTCATGTGAATTATCTGGCTATTGATTTAGGTTTTCTTTGGCAAAATTGTGAGCTGTTTAATAGCCGTTGCAGCAAGTAGTTCAGGTGTGATAGCAGTAATACTAATTGGGTGCCGGTAACAACAACGGTCCAATAGGCAGTTATGGAATATAGTCGATTGTTAAATGGGCCAATTAAATGCATAATAGACCCGATATATTGGCCCAATTATGAATTAGAAATCGAATCGAAAAAATCGCCTAACAACCGAAGATTCTCAGTGTGCACGAGAAAATGGCGAAATCAATGGCGACGCTAGATTCTGGCACCACATGTTCCTCCTGGAATCACTCCGGCCACCGATTAGCCACCGGATCCCTCGACGGAAGCTTCTCCGTATGCCACTCCTCTACTCCGTCTTCTTCTTCTACTTTCACTTGCACTTCCAAAGTTAGGGTTAGTGAATCGAGTATCGTAAAGATCGTTTGGTTGCCTTCAGAGTACGGCGATGCAGTAGCCTGCATTTGCGAAGATGGGAGCTTATCAACTTGGGAGGAGCTCTCTGAAGGTAAACTCACTGTGAAAAAATCTCCATGGATTCGTTGCTAAGTCCATTGTTTGAAAATGTTAAGAATCTGTTTATCTTATAGAGTTGTTTTGTTTTTGGTAGACTCACATGCTCTTGAGTGGAAATTGTGTAAGAGTATAAAGAACAAGTCTAGCCAAGTGCTCGATGTTCAATTTGGAGTTTCCAGAAAGAGTCTAAAGATGGTGAGAGAGTCTGTTTTTTGTTTTGATTAATTTGGTTTTTGAATGATTCATTGATTATTTTTGTAGGTTGCAGCATATTCTGATGGGTACCTTAGGGTTTTTGAGCTGTTGAATCCTTTGGAACTAAAGAATTGGCAACTTCAGGTGGCTTGTTGTTTCTATCGATTTCTTGAACATCTCTACTCTTGTCTTATTTCTCACCATTCTGTGTAGGCCGAGTTTCAGAATGTGATCGATTCTCTATCGACGCTCGGTAAACCTTCAAGCTTATCTGCATCTGTTTCTTGGAATCCGATGAAAGGCGAAGAGCAAGAACCAAGCTTTGTTTTAGCCTTCAACTCTGACTCTCCACATCTTAACTCTTCCAAGGTATATTTTGAACTGAGACTTTTATTTCACTTTCTTTGAACTGGGAATCGAATAGAAGGAATCACCATTTATTTTGTTGTTTTAGATATGGGAGTTTGATGAAGCTCATAACAGATGGTTGGCAGTAGCAGAATTAGCCTTACCAGAAGACAAAGGTGATCCAGTTTATGCTTTGTCATGGGCTCCAAATATTGGCCGGTAATTCAAACAATCTTGGTTGAGTACAGGCCATACGAGGTTGTTGCTGTCTTGAGACACTCAAACTAATCCTCTTTTTGTATATCTTTCACTACAGACCATACGAGGTTGTTGCTGTTGCAACTCATAAAGGCATAGGAATATGGGATGTTGGTCTAGCTCCTGATCTTGAAGGAAGGCTTCCAGTAAAGAAGGTCTCCTCACTTTCTGGCCATCAAGGCGAGGTATTAAATTTCACTACTCTTTACCTATCATCTCTCTTCTGATTCTTCGGTGCTTGTTGGAGTTGCTGATAACTTAACTATAGGGTTTGATTGGCAATTTGGCATAAAACATAACTAAGTTACACTAGTTTTGGTGTTTCCTGGTCAGGTTTGGCAGATGGAATGGGACATGAGTGGCATGACTTTAGCTAGCACTGGAAGTGATGGACTGGTCAAATTGTGGCAGTCAAACTTAAACGGTGAGTGGCACGAGCAGGCCACGCTTGAACCAGTTCCCTCCTAGGTCCGAAAACATGTTCGTTTCATTTCCCGGACATTATTTGATAGTGTTGCTCAGTTTTGTTTCTGACTTTAAAGACTAGTCTATAAGTTTTGTGTAGATTTGGTCGTGTGGAAACAACATGTAGCTTATCTTCCTTTCTTTTCTCATCTAGTCAGTCATTTTCTCTCGTCCCACTGAAAAAAAAACTCTATGACCGAGAATTGAATGGCGCCAGAGATTCTCAAGGTGCCGAAACATGTTCAGACCTATTATTCTAAAACATAGATTTAGGTGGCTAGTTATACAATGCTGTGTAGAGGGCACAAGGTTTAAGTCTAGTATTGGAGAAGCGCTGAGGAAGGTTGAGGGGAAGTTGAGGAGTGTCAAGGCTGTTTCGGAAGCGAGGGTTTGCGAGAGAGGCGATCGAGTCTAACATTTTGGACATGTGGAAGTCTGTCTTTGACAAAGAAGCTAAGGAAGCAACACAGACTCTGTTTCTCCCTATATGGAACCAATTACCACCACCACCGTAGCTAAGCTACTAGTGTTTCTTTCTTCTTGCTTCTCTATCTAAGTTTAAGCTTGGTTCAACCCGGTTTAGCCTGACATTGTTTTTTTTCCTAAAAATACGACACACATGTAGTTTACGCAGATCTAAAACGGCACGAAGTTTTTTTCTCTATCTTCTTTTTCTTTCTCTCCTCTTATCCACCAACGTTTTCCTTCTCTCTCACCGTGAGAGTAACAGAGAGACATGATTCTGATAAATTCTAACTCTCCGACGCTAATCTCAGCCGTTAGATTTGTGGGCTCATCTCCGTTCACCACTCGGGGGCTTTCTCAGTCTACTGTCTCAATCTCTAGAAACAAAAGCTTCTTCTTGCACTTCACCGATACGAAGGAGAAGAAATCAAGAAGAGATGATTTGAGAGTATCAATCGTGTGTGACGCAGGAGGGATGTTTCCGGTGGATCCATGGGCTCCAACCATTGATTCACAGAGCATAGCATCACAACTCTTCGCTGTATCTCTGTTTCCATACATTGGCTTTCTCTATTTCCTCACTAAATCCAAATCAGCTCCAAAACTCACACTTTTCGGTTTCTACTTCTTGCTTGCCTTCGTTGGAGCTACAAGTAAGTACTCTGTTTTCAGCGTTTGCGGCCAAATCGTAAACGCATGCTCTGTTTTTTTAATTAGCGATCTTAATCCTTCCTCTGTTTTTTTTTCCTGGCTTTGGTGATTTGATGGAATGCAGTTCCTGCTGGGATTTATGGTACTTTCCTTGATTTTAAAACATGAATCTTCTCCTTGATTTTAAATTTGTTAATAGTTCTTGAAAATTGATTATATGGGTTTTGATAAATGATAATGAGTGAATTTCAGCTAAGGTGCATTATGGAACATCGTTGTCGAATGTTGATTGGTTACATGGAGGAGCTGAATCACTTCTTGCTCTTACCAATCTGTTTATCGTGTTGGGTCTTAGACAAGCTTTGAGGAAATCTGAAGATGATGATGATAAACTTGGTAATGATGAAGAAGCTTCAACAACTCAAGAACAAGAGAAATCTTCAGTCTAGTAAAACAAATGTAAATATGTAGTTTTCGAAGTCACTTCCTCTTTAATCAGCTTGTATATTATACAACTCAATGGGCATCTAATTCCGATTTTAAACGCGTGAGTTCAACGCTAGTTTTAGATATTTGGTTCTTATTTGGTTTTTTATCTTAATATGCTAAAGTAACATTTTGTGGAGGTATAAATCCGATTGAGAATGGCATTGAGTAGTTATTATTGGAATCTTGTTCAAAGCTTGATGGAGAAAAAAGCTTGAGGTTCTTTTGCAATAACTAGCATTTAACGCATAGTAAGAAAACATTTTTGTGCCATCTATATATACATTTTTGGTGAAGATTTGGCCTCAAAAATCCTTTTACAATTTCAATATTGTACATTTAGTCCCTACAAATAAAATCTGGAAAAAATATATGTCTTAATCAAATTTACAAATCAATAAATAAACTTTTAAAACATTTCCTATTTTTATGGTTACGAGATATCAAATCCTAACATATGGAAGTCAAATATTTGAAATTAAAACTCTTTATCACAATAATCTCGGGCATATCTACGAAATTTAAACAACTAACCAAAAACTAATCCTAATCAAACCTTAATTACCATTTTTATAATCAAACCTTAATTATCAAAATATGAAAATCTTAACATAATAAATACTCCAAAAGTAAACGTACCCACAATTTTCGGTGCTGGGTAAGTTAATAAACGAATTAAATCAATCAGTTTCCATAAATATCGAAGCAAATCTTTTCAAACAACCGAATAATTAATGTGATTACAGTTACTTATTCACACAGAATCCTTTCCGTGATTTTTTTCACACAAAATATTGACTACAACGATTTTATAGAAAATATTAATTATAGATATATTATTCATAGTAGTATATTCCAAAAAAAAATCCGATTCAATATTTTCTGTTCCATTTTAGTTAAGGTATCAAATATATTTTCCTTGGTCACCAAGAGATTTATGACCTAATGTGTTGATGCCTATATATACTCTTTAGTCTTTACCATTACCTCTCATCTCATTTTTTAAACACATTATAGCACGTAAAGATAAAACTCTTTACACGTTCCTTTGTATATATGGCTTATTTTGGTCAAATCTTTATGTTAGCACCATTAACCTCATCTTTATTTTGTTTGTTTCTATAGGTAGACGAAACTCATAATGTCTCTGAATATAGGATTGGTAATGGCCGGTGCAAAAGAAATGGGAGAATTGGAGGTTCGGATCACTGCTTTGATAAGTAATGTTAAAAATTCAGGTTAGTGATCTCAAATTTTAATACATCAAAGAATGAAATTAGCATGGCACATTGCTAACAGTTTTTTTTTATTTATTTATTATCAAATTAACTATAAGAGCTAAATTTTATCAAAAACCATACACCACCAATCAGTTTTATATACTACAAAAATCATAAAGTTATGAAAATCAAAATTAAAAAAAAAATTGTCCCACGGGTCAATATCTAAATGTATAATTGAGTTACTAAACTACATATGTTTTATGGGTTAAATCTAACAATCCAAAAGTGTAATCATATAGCTTTAATACGAAATAATTTTTTTTTGGTAAAATTCAACATTGTTATATATACAAATTCAAAATATTATAAATAATTAAACTTTATTAAAATTTAAATATTATAATTATGTAAACTTTTAAAAAAGTTAAACTTTATAAAACGGTTTTAAAGATTTATAATATTAAAAATTTTATAAAGTTTCAAATATTATAAATATTTGAACTTTATATGAATTTATAATAAGTTTAAACATTGTAAATATTTAAAAAAAGATATTAATACGGGACGGTATACTACGGGTGAAATCCTCGATAGAACAATCAAAATACAATTATGAAATTTGGGTCGATATTAAAATTGTTATGAAGTTTCAATTATTATAAATATTGGAATTTTATAAGAAAATCACAAAATGATGTTTAATTTTACAGGACAGTGTTATATGGTGAGATGAGTTATGGTCAATATTAATACGGGAAGGTATACCACGGGTGAAATCCTAAAATTAACAATCGAAATACACTTATATAATCTTAAACACTAAACAAAACAAAGAATATTAACAAAACAAATACAACTTAATATTCATTTTTTTGTTATAAAATATCGCCCCGCGGTGTACCGCGGGTCAATCACTAGTTATTATTGATAGAAGTTGGCAAAAAAACCTTTAATCTGCTTTGTCAAGTTTGGTGAAGGATAGCAGAAGCCTAGATAACGAACAGAGAGATTATAAGAGAATGGTAGATATGATCTGAGCTTGTTGAGGCCAAAACCATATTGGGAATGGAATTCTCATATTATGGAGAGAAAGGTAGAAGATCATCAGCGGCTGATACTAAAGATTTTTTTCATATTAGAAACCAGTTCATTCCACATTCAAACCTATGATACAAAGAACTTTGAACATTTCTTTGGTCCAAGTATACAAATCACAAAAAAAAGACATATATTTGGTAGAATGTGGTGGTCATCCCAACTTTAACTACATTATACCACATATCTAATTTACATGTATCACACAAAACAAACGTTTTCTAAGCGAATTTTTGTTGTAACATATACTTGTCTATACTGATAGTAACACATATATATAGTCAAAACACAAAAGGTGAAGAACTTACATCTCATCCACTTGAAGTGAATCTAATTCATAAAATGATGTAACAATAGCTTGAGGAATCCAAACAATGTGCAAACTTAAGATAAGTTCATACAACATGCAACTTCATCTATAAATATGGAGCCTTAACTCTCGAATTCACCAAGGCAATACATTTTAGCTAAACCAAAAAACTAAGAGAAAAACAAAACTTTGCAGGTGAATCGATGTCGTTTAGAAAAGTAGAGAAGAAACCAACCGAAATGGGCCGACAAATGACCCACGAGAAGTCGGACTCTGACTCAGACAACGAAGGAACCCCCATGACGGCTGGCGGTTACACTGAATTCGTTGCCCGCAGCGACTCTGACTGGGACGAACCGTTTTTTTTCTGGCAAAGCCCGTTCTAACCTCACCGCCAAGGAAACTGGTCCCACCAATAGCTACAGCCGCAAAAATTTCTCTAACCACTAATCATGTAAGAGGTTCGAATTCTATAATCAAAGATTAAAATCATGAATTACGTCATTTATTTATTTTCCGTTATGTTTTTCAGATGGGTTTGGCAACGTAAAAGTGAGAAATGAAGATATGCAAGCTCATTAGTTAAATAATGCCCATATAACTTATGTATTATGTCAATGTAATAAATAAGAATCCAAGGATGGATGATGCCGCAGGAACATATCAATGATTATAATCTCATTGGTTTCATGCGGTTTTTTATTTAAACCAACTATGGAATGAGAATGTTACATAACTCTAGCTACTTCTAGATTGCGATGATCAATATGAATCAAAGAATCTGAATCTTGGACACCTATAATTGAGAACCAATTCTGAAATTGACATCCAAATAGGTAAAAAGAAAATGCCATTCGAATTGATTCAATTCTGGCTAACTTTAGTTTAAACTAAAGAACAATTTCAAGATAAAGACAGACACTAACAAATGGAGCCTATTTGGTTTCAGCAACTCTTACGAAAATCTCAATAGTATATATAGACATCTAAAGCTCATACCAAAATCCACACACAACATAAATACAAACCATAAAACTCACATCTTCTTTACAACATGCAGTACTACGAAAACCGTGAGAAAGACTACTACGAGGTGGCACAAGGCCAACGTAATGGTTATGGCCAGAGCCAGGGCTACGAGGGATATGGCCAGAGCCAGACCCATGGGGGATATGGCCATATCCAGAACCGTGAGGGATATAGCCAGAGCCAAAGTCGCCCAGTATATGGGCAAAGCCCGACTCTGAACCACCGTAGCCATGGTGGGTTTCTTGATGGGCTCTTCAAGGGTCAAAATGGCCAAAAGGGTCAGAGTGGCCTAGGCACGTTTCTAGGGCAACACAAGAGCCAAGAGGCTAATAAGGGTCAAGGACATGGGAAGCTCTTAGGGCAGCACCAGAAGAAAACTCATGAGACAAACAAAGGTCTTAATGGCCTTGGAATGTTCATCAACAATGGTGAGAAGAAACATAAGAGGAAAAGTGAGCACAAGAAGAAGAACAAGGATGGGCATGGCAGTGGCAATGAGAGTGGAAGCAGCAGCGGTAGCGACAGCGACTGAATCTGATATGCTTGCTCTAAAGAAAGTAACGCTTCTAAGAGAGACTATACAAATTAAGTACTTGGATGTAATATAATACTTAAAATAAAATCACTTAGGTGGTTGTGTCTCTGTGTGTCCTATATAACCTCGCTACTATGAATCTACTTTTATAGTTTTGTTGCAAACCCTACAAATCTACCAGATACCAATTGAGAAAACTAGAGTGGTAAAGGATTAATGGCTATCTCAGAAAAGTAGTTAAATTAGTGTGACCATTTCTTAATAAAATCTTTATCTACATCAGATTCAAACAAAATATTATAAACGGTGTAGAAAATTTGTAACAATCTCTGGTCAAATTAACCTAAGGAGGGTTAATGCCATATGGCACAAACCTAATTAGTCATAGTATGTACAGTTTAAGGCCGAATGGCTTGCACTATGGGCCATTAAAAACAAAGGAAATCGCCTTAGCCTAACAGATAAAAAATTTTGTTTTTGAATTTTATATTTTTATTTCTGTATTAATTTTTTTTTTTTTTTGGTTAGTTTAGATGAAAATTGTTTAGCTAGTTCATTTCGTTGTTGCTTTTGATAATTCTGGCAGCAACAATGTGCTATGGAAGATTAAAACTTCCAAATGCTTAGGGAAAACAAATAATTTAAATGAAAATAATATATTATGTATAGAGACTAAAGAGAGATAGAAATGGGGAAAATTCCCAAAAAAAACCTCAATTATTTTTTATTTGGACGTTTAATACCCAATTGATTTCGGTTGGAATAAAAATACACATATTAATTAAATGGTATGATTTAATACCCAAACAATTAAATATTGTTATTTTCATATTCACGAACTCACAACAAAAAAATATTCCAATTTTACCCTTACCATCTCAATTAATTATTAACTTTTAGATGACATGGTATTTGTTTTTTATTTAAATAAAAATTAATTTTATTAATATTTCATTTCTTTGTTATCCCAAAAAAAAATTCAATATAATTTACAGTTTATTTTACAAATATTTAATTTTTTAAAATTTAAAATAAAATTAATTAGCAAAAAATTAAAAAAGTAAAAAAAACATTAGTCATTTTATGAATTGATAAATCTTGAGAGAGACGATGAGATTCGGAATGAGATTTTGTCGAAAATAGTTTCATTCGTGAAGGATTTATATTCGAATAGAAAGTTTCTCACGACGAAGAAAAAATTCATATCGATGATCGTCCGTTGATATCATATGTATCACGGCGAATACAATCAAATTAGTTTTATTGGCGATGAAGATTTTGGATACGATTAAAAGGAGATTGTGAACGGTTATCGAATTTGATGGTTGCAAAAGAGGACGACGGAGATTTTTACCGGCGATTCTCGTAGAGATTAATCGAGAAAATTTAGAATCGAAGAGGAAACGACTTTTTGACATTGCAAAGACGGAATAAGATTGTACAAATGACTATTTTTAAAAATTTTGATTTTCTGCTTATTTTTATGTTTAATTTTAAAATAAAATAATTATAGAAATTTTTATTTTATTTTTTGGCAACATAAAAGAAAACATTAATAAAATTAATTTTTATTTAAATAAAAAACAAATGTCATGTCATATAAAAGTTAATAATTAATTGAGATGGTAAGAGTAAAATTGGAATATATTTTTTGTTGTGAGTTCGTGAATATGAAAATAACAATATTTAATTGTTTGGGTATTAAATCACACCATTTAATTAAAATGTGTATTTTTATTCCAACCAAAAACAATTGGGTATTAAACGTCCAAATAAAAAATAATTGAGATTTTTTTGGGAATTTTCCCGATAGAAATGTTGTGTTATTTTCGTCTGGTGACATGTTTTTTTTTTATGTCAAGATTTGGTTTTATACTTTTATTTTTAAAAGATTTAAGTCCGGCCTGATCATTTGGACATGCGTACCACCAAACTACAATTAACAACTAAACACCAATATTTTTTATTTATTTTTTCACTAAACACCAATTTAATGTCAAGTTTAACGTATTTGGCATTGACATTGTTCCGGTTCTGTCTTTGCAAAGTTGGTCTAATGTGTGGGTTCAAACTTAAATTCTGATTTTACTTTGAAAGCATAATAAAATTTGCTAGTATGTTCCAGTTTTGTTTAAGAAAATTTGTTTGGTCCATTGTTATAGAAATGTTTATGTAAAATATGGATGTGTATATAAATGAGAAAACAAATAGTCTTTGATAATCAATCACAATTCACATGGAAGGAGAGAATAAAAGGGACCACTACAAAAGCATTGGGCATATGGTCGAGACTGTGACATGTGCTTCTTCTCTTCTCTCTTATTACCTTCCCCACCAATCTTATTTAATTGCTTCTTACAAACACAGCATTAATTTTTTATACAGTATTCTTTAACTTCACTTCACACCTGTGTTACTTAAATCTCTCTAGAAGCTTTTACTCACAATCTCAATTTTATTAAAAGAAAACTGTAACATATAATTGTTCTAAGTACAATCACAAAGAAAGTCCTTCAATGATATTAAACTAGAAATTCAAAAAAAAAAAGGAGCTTTCACAACCTCTTTCAAAAACCACGAGGCTTTAGATTGTAATCAAGAAACCCTAATTATATTATTTAACATCTTTCGAATGATTTTAACAAAAGTTTTGTTTAAACCCTAAATTCACACCTAAAACCCTAATTTTCTCATGATGCATGTTTCCTAATTCCAAAGTCTTGTTTTGTATTTTCTTCTTGTTGCAATTTTGATCAAAATTCACAGTTTTTGTGTAGTTCAATTGGCAAGAACTTCCCAAATAAGCTCTGGATCGAACGATGGCATTCTCGCTAGCAAGAACCCATCAGTGTCCACTCCCATCATTGCCTCTTCCTCCGCCGTCGCCGTCGTCATCGCTGGAATCTCATCGGAGACCGAAACCGATGCCGGAGAACTAATCTCGCTGTTACACAAACCCATCGGCGAAACCCAGTAACTATCCTCTGAAGTAACCGCAGTAGCAGTTGTCGTCGCCGGAGACGACGAAAGAATCTCCGGCGATGACAAACACGAAGAATCAGCCGTCGCCGACGAGTTCTTGCTCACTTTCCCGCTCTTTTTTGCTCTCTCTTTTCTGACTCTCTGGCAAATGGATTGGATCTTCCCGTCGACGGCGTTCTTGAGAGCTATCAGCTTAGAGGAATCTCCGAGTCCGAGTAACTCACTCGGGTCTTTGAGATTCGGGAAATTGAGACGAGCATATTCTCCACGGAGCTTGTAGGCGGCGCGATCGTAAGCATAAGCGGCGGCTTCCGCCGTGTCGTAAGTACCTAACCAAACCCTCATTCTGTTTTGCGGCAATCTTATCTCCGCAACCCATTTTCCCCAATGTCTCTGCCTCACTCCTCTGTAAAGTTTCTTCTTTTTCGTCGTCCTCCCAGCCGCTAACGCAGCGGCGAAAGCGGCTGCTGGAGTCCCGGCCGCCGCTTGGAGCATTAGCTCGGAAGTTTGATGATGATCGAACGATGAGGAAAACAGAGGAGGATGAGGAGTGGAGATTGCTCTGTTTTGAAGGTGGAATTTCTCGATGATATCTCGTTGCCGGAGATAGACGGAGGAGCCGAGCTGCGGCGGTGGCTGAGGATTGAGATTGTTGAAGGATGTTGTGGCGGATTCTACGGTGGAGGGAGTGAGAAGTGAGAAGATTGAGTCGAGTGTGTTTGGTCCTCCTGCTAATATGATCTGAGACAGAGATGCTCTGATTTCTGAGATTTTAGGACTGAAATTGGTCTGAAAAAGATCATTGCTTTCTTCCATTTCGTAGAGTGTAAGAAAGAAAGAAACCCTAACAATTGTGTTTGATTTGAGCAAAAGAAGATGAAAATGGTGAAGCTTGAAACAGAGGATTTTCAAGTTCAAAAGAGATTGAACAAGAATATGATTGAGATTGGTTTTGAAAGAAAAGTAGAATTTATTTTGTTTGTTTTTTTTTGGTTTTAAGATCTATTTAATGAGGTTTTGGGTTTTTTTAAAGTTTAGAAAGAGCTTGTACATATTTATAGACTTAGCCAGATACACAAGGAAAACAAACCAGAAAGGTTGCTTTATAGATTTCACATGGAGCGCTTTGACTTTTTTTTGTTGATTTCTTCTTCTTCTTTTTTAATTTAAAGTTTGCCAAACTATTTTTATTATGCTTTTGATATAATGTTTCTACTCTGAGATTATACAAATAAATACCTTGATACACATCTATACGAAAGTTTGGATTTACAAATTAAAATTGGCATACTCTTCGATTTTATTCAAAATAAAATTTGGAAATTTAAAATACATTGATCAATTAGATGTGCGCAATTTTTTTAATTCAGGTTTAATGATGAAAAATAGCAAACGTTGGAAATCTATTTCTTAAAGTTTAGGTATGGTCAAGTGTTAGACTAGCAAGAATCTAAAACTTTTTGTTACAATTCTTTATGGACGTACAATATACTAATTCAAAAGCTGGAACATAATAAGTAATATTCCTCAACTTTCGAGATGTGTAGTAACATTAAATAGATAAATTTCTACTAATGACAAGGTGGGTAGCTTTGATTATGGCCTTAGCAAAATTCATCTCAATATGTATTTCATACCGAAGGTGGACGTTTTAGATTCACACCTCTTTTATGGAATACATTCACACTTGTTTTATACCATTTATCAAGTAAGAGCTAGTGAAACTGTAATACATCAAATTTTGGGTACAAATGAAAATGAAAGCTTGAGCATTCGACTGCCATAATTAATTCCCATTCATACAAAATATAATGCAATATGATTAGTTAGAACTTAGAACACATCTTGTATAAATTGATGCCATCTATGATATATACAAAATGATAGCATACTAAAATCATATTTTCTTTCCAATTGGTCATATTCCTTTCTTTCTTTTTTTTGAAAAAGTCATATATATTACTGTTTCACAAAAAAAAAGTCATTTATTACTATATGTATTTCATATAAATTCTTCAATTCCATACATATATCTGATAAAATGTGCATTTCTTAGTAGATATCATCTGAAATAGTTTTGTCGACAGCATTTTGACCATTGATAAACACGCATTTGATGCAGAAATTATCCATCTTTTCTGTCTTCTCGCAATACGCCTTCACGTATTAATGGCAAGTTTTCCAACCGAGTCAATTCCAAAAAATTTCCAATCCTTCCATCGTCTATTTTCCTCTTGGGTGATTTAACATTAAAGACGAGTCCGTGTAGTCCCCACAAAAACTTTTAAAATTTATTGAGGTAAGAGAAGAAGACAGAAGAGTCAAGACTTCTGTTTTAAAAAGGTCCGTATCGAATCATAAATTCTCTGCCACGCCTTCATTTTCTCGCCACGATTACTTTCATTTCATTCTCTCTCCATCTTCTCATCTTCTCCACGAACCACAGTTTCAATTTGTGCCTATAGATGAGACTTTTTGCCAAAATCAAATCATAGCTTTTCAACAGGGGGTAAACTCAACTTGCATCAAATGTCTAAAAGTCTTCGAGCTAGCTAGATTTTAAAATATCTATTTCAATAAAAGATATAATTTGGAGGTCACGAGTTATGTATGGGTCGCAACCATACGTTTATAAGTGGGTCTTTTTTTAGTACGTGCAGTGTTAGCCAAAATCGGTACGTTTTAATTAAAATCTCAATTCTGCATATGAAGTGTACGTATATGATATAGGTGTGTGTGATCAATGACACGTACAAATCAATAAATTACTTTTAGAACATATCTCGGGGCCGGTCCATTCCTAATAAATCCAAAAAGTTATCATAACGCCAATCACATGTTAGCTTTCGGTGATTTTTTTTGCTTTGTAATTTTGTTTCTAAAAGAAAAAAAAAATATGTGAGATATGCATATTAGCTTAGTCTAGCTAGCCTATATATTGAAATCTAGTTACATTAGTTCTTCTAGAAAAATAATAATTAACCAATGTTAGCAAACCAACTATATTTCAAATCAAAGTTTAGCTCTGTAATTCTAAAACCAAGTTGATATGCCCTAATCCGGTTAATCAGTGGTTGATTTTTTATTTTTTGGTTGAATTAAATATATTTATAAACTGATGAGTCAAATCTAGGTCAGTTTTGCACGCTTTTGCTAACTTGGAAATTCTATTAAAAGCACTTGAGCCAACTTTAGTTCCAATTTACAGGAGTTAAGTAACTTTCAATTTTCAAATGCAAAAAAAAAAAAAAAATGAAGTTCCAACGAATTAATTATTGTAAGAAAAACTGGTAGAAACCCATGTGGAGTTCTTGAGGCCATTTAAAAGACATGGATATAATTGGTCTCTGTTGATATTGAAATATGACAGATTAATTATTGAGAATAATACATGAAATAACTTTATAGAATTAATATAGAAAGTTTGGTTGGCAGAGAATAAGTACTAAGCAAATTGAGATGTTTTATGCTTGTCTATTTTTCAATTTAGAAGCAAATAAGACATACAGATAAGAGTTATTTAAAAATAAGGCATTAAAACACAAATACTCTTCGGATTTAGGCACTCGACGAATATGTTCGGATTTAGGCATTCTTGCAATGCCAAAAAGTCGATTTTGCCCTTAGTTTGATGACGTCAAATAATGGATCTGGTTTCGAGCTGAAGAACGAAATTAATCCAAAACTCATAGATCTTGTTTTGCTCCCCAGATTTCTAATTCTCTTTGGATAATGAATGATGTTGTTTTGTTTGGTTAATTCTTCTCATCGAATCTACCTCTGCAACTTCATTTGTTAAATCCGGCGCCGGAATCGGTTCCGATCTATGAGACTTCGAGAGCGTTGGAATTGGATTGCATGTACTTTAGCCCTCATATGAGCAACTCGGTGAGCCTATGGAGGAGGCTATTAGCTCTGAGCGGGATAATATTTATGTCACTATTCGTTTTCAACCATTAAGATATGCTAGATCTGATCGCCATGGCCCAGATCTATTGTTGTTCAGATTTGCGATGGTGACGAGGAGGAGTGGAAGGAGCGTTCTGGGGTCGATGGCTCCGTCTTGGAAGTCGGCAATCGAAGAGGAAGCTTGAAGCCTTTTGTTTTGCGAAGTCATCGCCATTACGCGAACCTATAAATGCTGAATAGAAACAGGAAGTTTTCGAGACACAACAGCGAGAAGAGATTCCAATTGAAGGTATATAAGCCAATTTTTGTGCGCTCATTTTGGTTTCTCCATATCTCGTTTGCTTGGAATCACCAAATTCCAATTTGGTAATTAGTTTGAACCTTTGTGATGTGTTTCGTGATCCTTTACGATGCGTTTGACTCTCTTATTTCATCTTCCTCACTCGTTTCAGTTTCAACAATGGCTGAAGGCTCGAACCCTTTGTCTGAAGGTAAGGAAATCATATTTGGCAATATGCATATTATGACTGCAAGTTAAATTGGTTTCCCTTGGGTTTAGTCATCTGTCTTGGCTTTAGGGTATAATTTTGAATACCACCACATCGTTAAATTGGTTTCCCTTGGGTTCATTCATCCCTTTTGACTTTAGTTTATAGTTCTAAACACCACCACATCGTTAAATTGGTTTCCCTTGGGTTCATTCAACCATCTTGGCTTTAGGGTATATAGTTTGGAACACGAATGCCCAGGAAATTGAAAACGCATCATGTTGCTTAGATGGACTAAAAATTATAAAGATCTCCAACATATGGTCCATGTAATAGTTGTCTACTTAGTTATAACAAGGATTAGTTATGGTTTCCAAAGTTCTATACTCTTAGTTATGCTGATGTGAATTTGTGTAGGTAAAACAAATGTTGAACTCTCTTAACCGTTTTAAAGGTACGACAATACATTAATCTCACCTTTATTAGGAGGTGTTTACTTCCTTCCTCTTCTTCTTTCGCTTATAATCTCTTTTGTTTCAACTAATTTCTAAAGATAACGTTCAAATAACATGGGAGACGGACATGGACATATCAAGAAGAGTGAAGAGCTTCTCACTTTATATATCTCGACAAATGTCTTTTATATGTACACCAAAAAAATGTTATAATTGGTTTGGCAAAAAGACAGAAACATGTATCATGAATCTCAAAAAGAATTTTATGTACATGAAATCAACTATATTAGTACACCATCGTCGAAACTGTTCCTTTAGCACTGAAGCTTTGCGACGACCACCGCTGAAGCTATACGTGCACAGCCGCTGAGACATGTCTCTGAAAGTCAAGCTCGCAGGAAATTTTAGAAAAGAACTCCCTCTCTCTTCTGACGTCATGTCCAAAAAAAATTTCACTCTATCTACTATCTTCAGATTCCACTCATAAGGCAAGGGCAAAAGAGTCATAAACAGTAATAGTTGTGTGTAATGTTGTTCCTTTCACTATTTCAATGCCTGATTCTGAATCTCTCTCCTCAAAAGTGCCTGTTTTTATAATTATCTCTACAGATAATATTATTGTTTCTTGCACGTAAACGTCAACTGGAATAGTAGTTGCTTTCGTATGAACAAATAGAAGCCGAAGAGCACCACAAACTTGTGGTACCCAAGTAATGGAGTCATTGGCAATATGGTAAATTCACATCATTGAGAATCTTATCCCGATCGAGTGACAAACACAGTGTGAAAGTAACTGCGTCGATCGTCGTTGACGTTTTTAGCCTAAAACAAAGATGGCATAAACCAGTAAATAAAATGAAGAGCCAGGGGTATAGTCGATATTTCGTGCACCGAAAAAGTAGTGTTTTGTCGTTATTAGCGTATGTCTTGGAAAGGCGACGCCGACAGAACAGTGGTCCACTGCTCCTGAAGTCGACACGTCACCAAACTTTGTCTCCTTGTGAGGTCCCTAGAAAAACGGATCTCGCTTTCTCCAGATCAATTAATCGCGATATCATCTCGTCATGATCTATTTTTCTACGGCAACGGCGTTGTTTCAGTGAATTACGTAACGTCGACGGGAAATGACGTCACGCTGATGCCAGTCTTCTACTACATTTGATATTTGATGATAATATGTTGGTATATGAGGGTTTTAAATTAGACCTAATTCTTGCTTCTTTTTTTCGTTCACGTGGTTCGTTCAGTAACGTTGAGAATATAATAAATATCTCTAAAATATTTTCAGCTCATTGATTATATTATTATTGTAAAAGAAAACATACGTGTTTAAACCAACAGGTCAAGTGTGTTCATAATTAACATGGATCAGCTAGCTATATAAGAAGGTTTTATTTTATCAGCCAATATATAGCTTTAGGATTTTGGTATTTTTTGTTCGTTTTTGTTTCCGTTTTTATATGACCTAATGATCTCAAATTGAAATCTAATTTTTTTTCCCCAATATTTGTGAAAAGATAAAAATTCTTATTTTGTCTAAAAGAAAAAAAAAATGGATAACCATTATTGAACTACAAATTAGAACATGTAAATTAGTTTTATTGAAGAGTTTCGAATAATTGAACCATACACAACGGTCAACACATATTTTATTAATAAAAACGCAGTTAAGATTTCGTGGAATTAAAAGGAATCACGATGCTAAATATTATATACTCCCATGGTCTATAGTGTTTAAATTAAATAAATAAATAGTTTGGTATGAAATCGTACGGATAAATCCTAGAAGGCTAAAAAGGTGATTTATGCATGTATTATCTTTTTGGATGTGACTACAAAAAAGAGGTTATTTGCCCGTACCTGCCCTAATTCGATTGGATCACTACTACACATAGACATGATTCTATAAATATATAATAACATAAACATCATTTTCCTTAAAAACTCGATGAAATTTATAAATGCAACTACGTAGTTCAACTATGTAAAACACCCTACATGAATCGCTTTGGTACTCATACGATTACCTATTGCAGGTTTAGACGTATATATTTTGCAACTTATACGGAATTAATTAGTACTAAATATATCATGCAACTTATAGGGAATTAATACTAAATTCAAATAATTTCCCAAGTATCCAGTGCAATTAAATTACCGACCAATCCATATATGTATGTTATAAACTTATAATAAGCTTATTTTAGGATACGTATGCATATTATACATACTCTCTCTCACACACACAAATATATATATGGTATTGTATATTTAATTTGATAGGTTAAACATATAAATGTGGGACATTAATCAACGGATCGTAGACATTGTGACGAATATCGTTTGTTTGACGGCTAATGTGGACCATCACAGTTTTAGACTTTTAGTTTCATGAATATAGTTGACAATTTTTTTTATTTATATGAGTGTATACCACAAAGAAAATATTCAACGAAAATATCAAAATTAATGCTGCCCGTATATAACAAAAAATTCTAATGGTTGATTTCTTGTCATTTTAGTTTGAATAAAACTGGAATAGACGATATATGTGAGACATTTTACAAATGTTTGTATATAACACTATGAACTGGTTAAACATATACATATACTTTCTTAAGAGAATATTGAGTTTCATTTACAAATTTGTTTTTCATGGGATGGATCTATTTATGGGTTCAAAAGTCATTCTGAAATGCTATAGTACCAGATTTTAAACAATGAAGAGATGAGTACAGCTATTTTATAAATACCAGTAGTGTTGATATAATCGTTCTTCTTTTTCGAATGCTAAATTATATATATATATATATATAACCTTAATGTACAATCATTAAACTAGTACACGGAATTTCTAGAAACTAACACGATTTGGATGTATTTTCTATTCACACATTTCTCCCTAATTATTGATGTGGATTGCGTAACTAATTAATAGATGTATTTCTCCCCAACATATATTGCTTTGCTACTATATATCTGTATTAATCTACTGTGCTCATATATGAGGTCCCCATCTTATCCCTAACGTAGACCTTCAATTTTTCTAAAGCATATACATTGGCCATACTTTTTGAGGACCTACCAGTCTTCTTCTTATTTTAGTTTTAATCACATTATACGTGATAAACACAGCTAAGAAGTAAGAATATTCTATGCTAAAGGCAACATATTTCATGTATGACCAGATCAAATCTTCGTATTTCAAAAATAGTCAACTATTAAGTGTTATCATTTACAGAATTATTAGGCACTGATAGTTTCTATTTATATATATATATATATATATATATAAATATATACATGGGCGGAGTTAGAAATTTATGTTATGGGCAAAAAAAATTTTTTTAATATAAAATAATACACTTAAAAATTTGATATTTTTTATTTGGTATTTTGTAAAAACTGAAGTAATATTAGGTGAGTATTTCTTTTATCGAAGATAAATTATGGGTCTAAAATTTTAGTGATAATCCAACTTTCTAATATTTGGACTATTTTTTCTTTCATGTTGCAACATTAATTTTGTATTGGGGTCCAAATTTATTATAAGTTGGGGTCACTAAAATTATTGCTAATGACATATAATGGATTTTTGAAAATTTATGGGGTTCAACTGACCCCCTACGTAAGCCTTGCCTCTGCCATTGTATATATATATATATATATATATATATATATATAGTGGCGGTTGGTGGGAGTGGGGTCAACTGATCCCAATAATTTTTATATTTTGAAAGATTTGTTATTAAAAATTAAGAAAAAACTAGAGAAAATGGTTAAAATTTTTTGAGTTGACCCCAATAACATATCTTCAATTCTCTTTTCTTCTATTCATATAATATAATGACCCCATTAGAAACATATTCTAGATCCGCCACTGTGTATATATATAACGCACATATATAAGATAAAAAAAAACCCAAATTAACGACTATCTAGCTAACAACAAAAACCACATAAAAATTTCAGATAATAAATATTAGTTTCTGTTTTAGTCTTGATCCTAATTCATTTTTCTAAATATATCTTTAATTTTTTTCATCGCAGTTAATATATACTGTATAAACAGACCAGCAAATATATTTAAAGTTTTCTAACAAAAAAAATATATTTCCATATACATTATTAATAATCTTGTCTATGGAAGTCTTGCTATTTGCCGGTTGAGATTGGACATAAAACTTTTGGGCTACAAAGCTATCGTTTCTCGATAAGAGACGGAAATATACTCAAAAAATTGATTGAATAATTTATAATAAAAATGAATGAATTCAAATAAAATTTATGGAAATTTATTTTGTCGTATTTGGATAAAATTTTATGAGAGAAAACAAATATGAATAATTTTTGTAGATGGAAATTTTAATATTGTACCATATTTAATTCTTATAAGGAATATCCAATATATATATTTGTATAACTCTCCTCTCCAAATTGACAAAAAGAAACTGGTGTTAATATTTCACATAAACAGCCTTATGTCGACAAGAGTGTTTTGAATGAGAATTCCATTTAGCATAGTCGTTGGGAAATCTAAAACAAAACTGATAAACAAAGAATTTGATTATATCACTTCACAGTTCACATAGCTGACTTGGTCTTCGTTCTCCACAGAGTACAATTGATTAATAATCAAAAACTTCAATAATTAAGATAGAATGGAGCTGGACGTGGACCTGGTCGGTTTGACCTTACTTCATTTAAATTAATATATTTGCTTTCAAATTATTGAACCTGTTTTTTTTTTTTTTGGCCAAAACATTATTGAAACTTTAGCGTGACTATGCATTGTAAAGCTTATTTATTTATTGTACTGTCTCACAAAAGTATTTTCTCTTTTTTGGTTGTTAATTAATTATATGCACTCTATCACATTATTCTAACACTACCCCAGAATTAAGGTAAGTTGACTTTCTTCGTTGACAAGACACGTAGCGAGTTCAGTACCGACGCCAAGTAGAGCTTTAGACTTTTTTCTAATTAATTAGCGTATGGTTCTTTTTCTTGCCATGCAGGTATTAGTTGTCTAGCAGCTGGTTCATGTTGGTATTCGTTTACGTCTCAATTATTATTCGTGTGATGATAATGATATTATATAATTAATACATAGCCTATGATACTATATGATGTTTCGACGTCCATTTTCAAAGATAAGTAAGCTCGTTTACTCAATTGATAAATCATAATAATAAAATACAAGAGATTTTATGGAAATAATTCTCATCTTAGACATTTTCGATAACCGTGGAATGGTTTGTTAACAAGTTCCAAGAGTGATTCCTAATCAAATGAATATGCAATCAAAATTTATTATTATTAATCGAAGCTGTTTTAGATATGCATTTGGTTCAAAAATCATTTTGCTTACTGTTAATGTGGTCGAAGCAAAAAAAAAAATGTGGTCGAAGCATCAGTTTGCGTATTAGTCTCTTACCTCGTTAATATCGTTTACAAAGTTTATAGAGGTCCATTTCGAAGGATAAGTAAGCCTGTTTGCTCAGTTTAAGAGATTGATAGATTATAACATGCAAGAAATTCAATTTTCACGTCGTCATTGTAAAATATTTGTAAAAGGGTTTCCATTTATCGAACAATTTTTTTTAATAAGGTACGATATTGTTGTTTCAAAAATTAAGAATCAATTTGCTCAACTTTATCAGTATGAAAAGTAACTAGATGATTTCTCCAATAATATGAAACTTTAATTCAATATAGAAAATCATCCATTGATATACCAGAAAAAAAAGAAGAAGGAATCATCCATTTCATAGAAAAAAATATTTGTCGTTAATAGAGTTTTTTTAGTCAAAAGAATATTAATAAATGGGCTTTGATAGTCAAGGTTTCATACTAAACCAAAGCAGCCCAATATGAAAATTTCTCCTGATTTATTTCAGCCCAAATCTGCGAGTTTCTATAAAAATTCCAAACGGTGTCGTTTAGAATGAAACAATAACTGGGATTACGACGACTGAAGTCAAAAAGAAAGTCTCTTTCTCTCGCTTCTCTGGTGGTGGTGACTGGTGACTCACTTCTCTTCCTCACAAGTCTCGAGCCAATCTTTAGCTTTAATCCAATTCTTGATTCAAATCGATGAACAAAAAACTATACGAAAATCAGAAGAATCCGAGTCAAATTGTTTGCTTGCGAGGTCAGTTTTGATCCTTCATTTCTGATGTTTGCTTCTTCGCTAATAACACAACAGAGCTCTTGATTTGCGAATTTCAGATGGGATTTTGAGTTAGTTTAAGTGTCGTCAAACATGGAGCTGAATCTCGTTTTGCTTCTGTGTATAGCTTTGATTTTCGTCGCTGATTCTAAGGTAAACACTAAATGCCCTAAAAACTTCTGTGTATAGATTTGGGGGAAAGCTGTAAGTAAATCTGAGGTTTTATAACACTAATGATTGTTGAAATTAGGTTGATGGAGAGGCACAAGTTGTTGGTTCGATCTCTATCACGAATTCGAATTTGACAGATACAAGATTTGGTGGTGGTTCTGATAATGTTACTGATTCTTCTAAGAGTATTACTATAGATCATTCCAAAAACTCGACCAATGATGATGATACACAGTTGGGTGATGGATCTAAGCTGATTGGTAATGATGGAGGAGATAGTAGTAAGAGTGAAGGGAAGATTGGGACTGGTGAAAGTGAAAACAGTAAAGAGGAGGAGGAAGCTGTGAGTAATTCTTCAAGGAAGAAAGAAGGGTTTCATGGTGAAGAATGTGATCCATCTAATATGTGTTCAGATGATGAACATGAGTTTGCCGCTTGTCTGCGAGTTCCCGGTAACGGTGAGTCTTTGTTGAATTTCTTTATATATATAGTGTGTTTCTAAAACAGAGATTTTTTGGTTATCGAGTTTGAGATTTGTTTTCTTGATCATTCTTGTGTAGATGCGCCTCATCTCTCACTTTTGATTCAGAACAAAGGCAAAAGGGCTTTGATTGTAACTATAACTGCACCGGGTTTCGTCCGGTTAGAGAAGGATAAAGTCCAGCTTCTGCAAAACGAAGACACAAAGGTGAAACCTATATGTTTAGATATCTCTATCTCGTCATTCTCTTTTGCTGGATTACACTGTATGACTTTAATTTATGAACAAGAGTCGAGTTCATTCTGTTCACTAACTCGAGTTTTTATAACCTAATGCATTTGATGCGTAGAAAGCTCTTTATGTTTTGATCTTAAGACTGATAACGGTAAATAGAAATTGTTGGAACAACGTTTTTATAGAATGGTTTGCTTATCTTCAAGATTAAACCTTGCAACGATGGATGGATAAAGGATAGACCTATTAGTTTAAGATTGAGATGTTGCTACTTCTTATCTAAGCTTAAATCTTTTTGCAGGTGAAAGTTTCTATTAAGAAGGGAGGGTCCAACGATAGTGCAATTGTACTAGCTTCCAGTAAAGGACGTTGCAGCCTTGAATTAAAGGATTTGGCAGCAGCTCATGAATCAGAAAGCGACGAAACAGTTTCTGCTTCTCGTCCTTCTATTCTCAATATCAGTTCACGAACACTCATCGTCATCATCATGATCTCCTTCCTCGTTCTCTCCCTTGTCATCATCCCAGTGATCATTCATGTTTACAAGAACAAGTCACGGGGAAACAACAAATACCAGAGGCTGGATATGGAATTGCCAGTCTCTAACCCCGCATTGGTGACAAAATCTGACCAAGAAAGTGGTGATGACGGATGGAACAATAACTGGGGAGATGATTGGGACGATGAAAATGGTGGTGGAGACGAAGAACAGCCGAATACTCCGGTGTTACCAGTCACACCGAGCCTCTCCTCTAGAGGGCTTGCTCCTAGAAGACTCAGTAAAGAAGGTTGGAAAGATTAGTTTAACTCTGCTTTCTCTTTGGTAATGGAATAGGAGAGAGACAAGGCAGAGGAAAGTAGTGATTAGTGAAGAGGAGGCAAAATCAATCTCCCACTCATCATAACATAGACTTTGTTTTGACGTTGAATGTAATATTTGCAACAGCTCGCTCTATTTTTGTTTTGTTTTGAAACCACGAGGCAATTCTATTAGTTGTTATGAGATCTCTCTGTTAGTTAATTCTCAATACTTTCTTCCTCAAATCAAATATTTATTGAAACTCTTAAAATGTAACCTTGTTCAGGAATCAAAATTTGAGAAGATGTTATTAGGCCCGAGCCCTTAGATAGTATGGGCTTTTAAAAAACATTAATTTGGGCTTTTAAAAAGCCTACAAAATGACAATTGAATGATCGGAAACCCTTAAGAAAAGAAAGCCCTATTTAGTCTGCGCGGCGGCGGTCTCTCAAAATTAGGCCTAAATTTGAAAACTGTGCGGGTGATCATGGCTGATCCTAATAAGGATCTCTTCGACTGGCTCGAAAATTCCGTAGGAGGATATATATTGAGAAGACAAAGATTTGGGGTTCGTCATTCTCGATTTAAAAGTTTTTCTTTGTTACTCTCTCTCTCTCTCTCTGAATTATTTGTGGTTTGTGCAGCGCATCCTAGTATCGAGGCCTTTTTCGAGTATTTCAGAGCCCGTTATAATTATGATTTGAAGAATTATCCTCCCACAGTTTTTAAGGATCGCCTTGTAAAATTGAGGGTATGTTTTTTATCAATCATTTTTCTTCTTAAAAGTAAAATTGATTGTGGGTGTATACTGATTGGCGTTGGTGTGTTTTGTGTTTCAAGGAGGATGAGGAAAAACTAGAAAGAGAAAGATAAGGCAGAGGAGCAAAGTTGTGAAGACGAGAGGCAATCTCAATTTAATAACTTACAATGAGAAATACTTATTTGCTACTTGTTGTATGGATATCTCTCTGTCAGTTAAATCGATTAGTTATTTATTTGTTCGTTTCAGTATAACAATCAAAAACAGTCATTTTTGAAACTTCATAATTGATTACTGAAAATGTAACCTTGGCATTGTGACAAGATCGCAGCAGCTGGCATTGAATTCAATTCAATCCATCTGTTGTTGATGATAGATAGATACTAGCTAGAGTGATGTCCAAAAGATGGCAAAAGCGGTGTGTCTTTTGAAAGGAAACTCATACTGAGCTAAAGTCATCATCAATCAAATTTCCTATTGGCTTGGCCTGTCAAAAAGATTGTCTCTGCTCTGGTCAGTTTTGATCCGAATCAAAAAATTGTTGCTAGGCTAGGTCAGTTTTTGATGAATTTTCAGATGGAATTTGCAAAAGTTCAGCTCCTGCAAAACCAATACACAAAGGTAGGTAATACCTATCTATTCATTCTCTTTTTTTGGATTCCACTCTATGATGCATTCAATGACTTTAATTCTGAACAAAAGTCAAGATCATACTTCTATGTCTAAAGTTGATTTGGCCTTTGGGCCCTTTAAAGTTGATTTGGCCTTTCATATTGTTGATCGAGATATTCCGATTTACAACGATCTAAAACTTTTTGGCCCAAAAACTAAATTAAATTATACTAGTTAAAATAGTTTTATCCATTTTTATGTATGGAAAACTAAAACCAAAATCTAATCGAACATAAGCTCTTTAAAAATTATGATAGATTTTACTAAAAACTGGAGTTAAATAAAGTTTAATCGGTGCCAATCATACATATCGACATCATATTTCACATTGTTTCTAGACCTAAAAAAACTCTTAACTACAACCAAAACTTGAAAATCATGACAATATTCTTAGCCCGTTGGGACGTTTTCAATCATGGAAAAAAAAAAGACAGAAAAAAAAAAAACGTTACATTTGAATGGAACTCTCACGTAAATATTGGGGGCAATATTTGAATAATAATGAAACAAATCGGTAAGTTAATAGTTACACTAAAGAGAGACAAACCTAGACAGTCAAAACAATCTTCCGGAGAATGTTAACGTCAAGCAAGGCGCCGCCGGAGACCACCACGAGGCACCGTTAAACGACGTCGTCGCAAGGATCACGTGGTGGGGACCCTTAGCTTATTCGGCTGTCAGGCGGGGCACGTGCGTTCATGTGCATAATATAAACATCTTCGCCTTAAGAAGTCGACACGAGTCCTTGTTGTCTCACTGAACATGGAACGTTCGATGGAAACTCAGCGGTCGTGGGACCTCAATTATTGGACGGTCCAGATCGAACACCCAAATTTGTTTCGCCTCGTGATCTCGGGATAGTGTCGGTCAGTAAATTCCAAACCAGAAACACTTACATTAACCGGTCTTATTTTTAAACCGACCGACACACTTTGAATTACCCTACGCCTCCACGTGCATTCTCATTTGAAACCCGTTCATGTTTCATTTTTTCTCGTAGTAATTTAATTGCATGATTCTCTCGTGACTGTTAAACTACTTACTAACCAGTGATTCTTCGCCGAATTCGCGACAATGTCGGTTTATGTATATCGGAAAAATGTCATGTGAAAATAGTGAATGTTGCCAGCGAGATTGATTAATTGAGCTTGAAATTTTTATACATGCTGCCAAATTAATCAGAACCAGCTAGTAATGTAATCATATGAATTATTATTGACAAGATTATCGGTGATCGTGTTAATTATGATCAACTCTTGTTTGTTACTCTATGTGAGTTAATGTGCAAAGTGGAGGTGATTAGCTTGCAAAAAGATTCTATCATTTCTACCCTTTTTCTCACGTTTTTAAACTTCTTAGGGTCAACGTAAGATCAAAATTAACGTAAAAAAAAAAAAAAAAAAAAAAAAAAAAAAAAAAAAAAAAACGTAAGATCAAAATTAACTACGAATAGTGTAAAATTACTTGAGATTCATCAAACAATACTAAAGTCAGCTAAATACGCCCATGTTTAAATCAAAAGTCAACAAATTAAAACTACATGCATGATCACTAACATCAGTGTAATAATGTATAAATAAGTGTGTATAGTGTAGATAATTGATAAAGAGTATTTTTTTTCTGTAAATACCGGTTTCATTTTTTTAATGTAATCTTTGTAGTGCCCACCTTTAGATCCTGATTTGATATATATTTATGTCAAAGCATATGTGGATGTCTTCATCACACATACCAAAATGAACTATATATTTATTTTTGTTTAGTTCTTTTTCTGAAAATCACCAATTGATTATAAAAAAAAATAGTATACACTGAAAATCACCAATCATATCTTAGACTCCATTCCATATCATTCAATTTCGAATTGTGACATATTGATTGCTTTACATAAACAAATATGATGTCATTAATGAATAAACTTAGATAACCTATAAGTTATATGATCAAAATTAACAATGACTAGTATGTCTACTAAATAATTATAAATTGTGAAAATATAGCTTTGATAAATATGTTAGTGTTGGGTTTCTTGATAAATATGTTAGTATTGGTTTTGATAAATTTATCTGTACAAGTGAACAAATGGCTCCATGTGAATTGAGAGTACTATAGATATGAGGAAGCTTAACTCCGATTGAGCTGGAGGGTCTACTCAAACAAAAGTTAATGAATGCTCCAACGTGTGTGATTGTTAGCTTGTTAACGACCAGGGGTAGGTTGGTCGAGACTCGAGAGCTTCCATTTATAGGTGTGAAAGAGATTGTGATATCCCATTGTTTTGTAACCTCAAAACCTGCTAGCTATAGCCTCCGCAAACATGTAAACCACCGTCTCTCATTCTTATCTTCTTCTTCTTTTTTCATTAGAAGAAATCGATTCTTGTCAAAGACCAAAGGTAAAACGTTTTTAAGGTTCAAGTAACGTTTACGGTGCGATTCGAACAACATCACAACGAAATAGATGACGTTATGTGTAACTACTTAATTATATTTTAATATATGTATATATGAAAATCAAAACATCAATTAGAATGCAACGAATGTTTTATATCATTAAAAGCCTTCTTAATATTCCAAAATTATCGAAGTGCCATTAGACAACTAATGATAACTAGAAAGGCTAGTCGTAAAACAAGAAAATAGAAAAAGGTAAGGAACAAGAAAGATAGAGATAGTGATGTTTATTCCGTGATTGACTCATAAGTTCACGTAGTACTAATCTATTCTATAATAATCTACCTTGATATACGCTCAGTCGCAATACTTATATATGGATTTTTTAAGAATGCAATCATAAAAACTAAAGTATTTTTCAACTGAGTGACATTTGAATATGATACGATACGTAGTCCATGCTTCAATTGCGGCAATCACAACCTCTTTTTGATAATATTTTGACATATACTTGGTGGAAACATGTGATTATATATATCTTTCTTTCTTTTTTTTAAAAAGGCGTAAATATTCGACAATATGGACAAAATTAGGTATAAAATCGGTCTGCCGCAGTAGGACACTATGACAGATTTTTAGAATGATAAAGTCATTAAATAATACCTATAAAGCTTAAACCCAATAGCATTTTATAAAATTTTGTATGATTATATAGAAGTTGGTTGTGTACTTTCTTATATTCTTAGTGGAAAATAATATACTGTATATATATTACTTTAAAGAGATTGACAAATATAACAATGAGAAATTTCTAGGAATGAGTTCCCCGCAGATCGTGGATGAAGAAAAGCTGGAAGATCAAGCCTTAAACCATAAGGGACATGCTCCCATTAAACCGTGGACCCATTTGATACCAAAACTAGATATTTATTGCGTTTGGGCCGTTTCAAACGCACGAAATACCCTTTTACCGCTATTTTCAACTGTCCAAATGCATTTTAACGGCTTTACAACGGTACAATAATATTCGTTTACCATAAAGTTATGCAGATAATAAAAGCGTTTATTCACATGCATGGTAATTCAAGATATCTAATGTTTTTTTTTTTTTTGTGAAAGAAAGATATCTAATGTTACAAATTGGTTTTGTCTATAAACTTCTTTGCCTAAGCTTTAGCTTATTAGCTAATGTAAGCCCAAATTATTAAAAAAAAATGAAAAAATGAGCTTTTGGGCTTTTAGCTCTGTAATTTTTTTTTCTCATGCTTTAAATTGAATATATTTTAACAAAACAATTACCTAATGCAACAGAATAAGAAAAAAAATATGAAAAGAATGGGAACAGTGTGGCAAAATATACACAACATCAAAATCGTAAGAAATCTTTGTAGGGACACGTGTCTTTTGCTTCGCACGTGCGAAGCTTGTGGGCCTCGAAGGTCCTTGCGCGGTAGTTATATGTTACGCGTGGAGAATCCTCTCACCTAAAAATATTTTAGTACAGTATCACTTTTTATGTCTCTAACTTTTTTTAATTCTACAAAATCGCTAAAGAAATGGCAATTTAGTAATGTAATTATATGTATTCCTCAATAATTTGATCATTTGGTATTGCATGCGGGTTATATATATGCTCGTATAGCTGGGGACCTCTTATTATCACTGTTAGTTTCACAATATAAACAAATAAAAGTTAAAGGGGAGATGGTTTATAAACTATTGCATTTGGTGATGGGAAATCAAGTAACCTCAAGTCGTAGACCATGTTAGGTTTACGCACATTGAACTAGCTTGTGAGTTTGTATAGAATTCAATTTAGGTTTGGTTCAATGCGTAAACCTGACATGGTTTTGCAAGAAGGAACATCATCTTGAAAATGATGTTCATGATCAGAAGATACCATACCATTAATTTTTAGGTGATATAGATCATACTTTACATGGTAAACATTTATTTACTCTGTAATTGATCTTTCAACGATTTTAAAAACAAGAACACGAGAGAACACCCAAAAAATTCTGCATGAATAATTGTCCAGTAATGTAGAGATATTTTAATTGGTAACAAAGTAAACAGTTTCTAACTAATGTGGAGTTTGGTTAAATTTAATTTACATGGTTATAATAAGAAACAAAAACACTTGATATTGTTTGAAACTAGTATTATCATTAGTAACATTGATATAATATAGTTCTTAAATTTCTCAGAATTTGTAACTTAACAATTCATACTCGTTACCGTTATGTTATCACCTAATTCAACCCATGAGAAATTTGTGTGTATGATAGATGGAAAAACATTACTTTTTAAATATTCGAAGTGATCGAATAAATAAAATATATCCCACTTCGCACCATGACTTTTGATTGCATACGTGAATGTCAAACCTAATAAAGTAGTAATAAAAGTGATCACTAAATGCTTTAAAATTTTCTATATCTTTAGATTGTTTTTCTTTTTCTTTTTAACATTCACCTAATTATCTATTTTCGGTTCATTTCTTCATAGACTATCTACAAAACAAAAAAAAAACAGACGATCCATGTAAGTCATAATTTCCCTAACAGTTCTTTTTGTCGTCAACATTACCTTATCCTTAAGTTTGCATTAAATAAAATAGGTATTACATTGTTTCAAACGGCAAGTAATTAACTCGCATGAAATGTTTGTATTACTCTTCAATGTTCTAGTAAAGCTATGATCAATGTCGTTATAGATCTTAATCAGAGATCACTAATTATCAGTTCATGATATTTTTTTACAAATAAATTTTGATGGGGAAATGGTTTTTAGTTGCTAAACGAAATTTTAGAAAAAAACTTTAAAGTAATTTACGACCGAATGTCAATAAAGTAATTTACGACCGAATGTCAAACCTAATAAAGTAGAAATACAAGACTTAACAACAAATGATTTGATGCATTTTTTTGTAGTAATTAACAAAACAACGACCTGATTTAAAAACAAAACTTAATCAAAGAAAATAAAGCAGAAGTAACTTCTCCAACTTGAATTACTTGCCTTAATATATGTGACGTGTATACATGTGTATGCCTTCCGTATTATCATGGACATACACATGTATACACGTCGTTATTATATTTGTCATACACACATTTCTAATTTAGATGAAAATATATACAACTCAGTTTTTTATTTCACTGATACAACTCAGAATTGCTGTTGGCAGCTACAAATCTATCCGAGGCACACAAATTAAACAGAGTTGAGTGCAAACTAATCTCACTTCACTTGAAACTACAGCAAAGTTAAATTACTTAAATGTTGTTCGTTTCTACATTAATTACTTTTTATATTATCATATATGACTTCAATATAAGACCCTTCGTGTGTGTAATACAATTTGACATGTCAAATATCTCGGTCCACTGCGTTTTAAGTTTAAATCAAACAAATTCTTACTAAACTCTAAACCAGTATATAAGATATGTAGAAGAACTATGTAAAAGAAAAAAAAAATCTGATAAAAAAAAAAAAAAATCTGATAAAAAAAAAAAAAAAAAAATCTGATTTAGATGCATAAACGAATAATCGACTATTGGACACCATAAATGAGTTTACTCTCTCCATTTTTATTTATTTTTATATACCAGTTTTGATTAATAGTGAACTTAACAATGATAAAATAAAGCAAACAATTAAAACAATATTTCTTGTCATCTGAAGACATTTCAATGGAAACATAACATATGCATATTTTTTTTTTTGTCAAATATACAGTCAGGGATTGTTTGTGTTTTGGGCTTGTAACTGTTGATTGTTGAAGGAGTCTCACATGACACCGACTAAGATCTTACCACGTATACAATCGCACTTCCTTCGAGTGGTCATATTTTTCCTTTACCCATTTTGTAAGAAAAAATAATATTTATTACCGTTGTTGATTAACCCTTCCTTTGATTGGTTGGGAAGTACAAAAGAAGTGGACCCATTACCAAAAACGATCACCTGAGTGGAACGGTGCCGTGGCCGTGACTCAAGCGGCGACACTCGGTCAAACCGGAGCTTTTGCCTCTTTGACCTCTTCTTAATTACGTGCCACTTTACTTTTTCAAACCGCGGTTAAAAAACAATATAAAAATTCTAAAATAGTATTAGCAGATCAAGATACTAGGTTTTTTACTATACTATACTTATTTATTTTTGATTAAATAAACTAAAAGATAAGATGATATATATATGGTCAAAAGAAAAAAGCAAACTTGGAGAAATTTCATTTTAAAAATAAAAAGTATTTACACTAAAAATAAAAGAATTGCGATAAAGTGAAGAAAAAAGAAGGGGTAAAGTTGGAAATAAAATGATTCGGCGGGAGGCCGTTGATTGCGGTTGGGAATAAAGCCATCTGACAAGGAGGCTTGTCCGTTTTGACCCCCCCATCCCTTTCTTCTTTTGTCTTTTTTCTTCTTCTTCTTGTATAATACGTATGCACGTAATACTTACAAAAGTATTTTATAATGTCAAGAGTAAATGTGGTTAATTTAGATTTCGATTGTTAAAGATTTTTTTCAACAAGGTGAAGTTGAAGTTTCTAATTGTTAACTTGTCTCGTCAGTGGCGGAGCTAAGTGTATCGTCGTAAATGATACTATAGGAAAGTGAAACTGGAATAAATGAAAGAAGAAGAAGAAGAGTGTTTAGTTGTCGGTTTGTCGAGTTAACCACTTAGATGGTTAGCAGAAAACCAGATGTCAAAGCCGCTCGTCAACGTGTTTTCTGTTCTCTTCTTTTGAATTTCTTTTTTTTTTACTTTGAATTGTTGTCTGCTTTTGCCATTGTCATTACGTGACTGTTTCCGTAATTTAGTAAATACATTACTCCAAAGTTCATCTTACCAATTGTTTGTTTTCATAAAATTCCGGACTCTGATCTATAAACGATCCCTCTAATCCCCTAATAACCATCGTTTCAATACATCCAATTTACTTAATACTCCTATAAACCAGAACACAATAAAAATAAGTTTGTGCAATGCGACGAACATATGAGCAAAACATCATTAAAAAAAAAAAAAACTCAACAGACTAATGCCATTTTACTATTTTTATACTTTTCTACTTTTCACGATGGTACAAATTATATCAAGGATAATACACGATAAAAAATTAAAACTTTTACTAACAATAACATGATTACAACAATATACAAATTCTTCTACACTTGACTTATATATGAAACAAAAAAAAACCGCAAACTTTAGAGTTTTAGACCCAACCAATTGTTTTTTTTTGATGTCATATGGAAAAGAAGAAAATTTATACCAGATTACTATTTTTATGGTGTTATATACTTCAAACATACTATTTTTATTTCTAAAATGCACTATTTTTCAATGTTTTAAAAAGTGATAAAATTTTGAAAACAAATGGAGCGTGTTAATCCCCCCTAGCAATGAAGTGTTACGTTCACATTAAGGGGTATTAAGGAGAATTGACACAAAGGCAAACAAAATCAGTTAGTAGGAAATGACCTTTTTCACTTTTTATGTGCGTTGTTGCCTCAAAAACTCCTCGTCTTCACACTCACCATATAACGCCTTGATGATACTATTAGATTAATTTTAATCAAACCATTAATATTACCTTTACTAATGACAAAACTCGTTTTAGTAATACTACTTTTAGGTGAATGTAAACACATTCATTTACCACCTCGCCGCCCCTATGTGAAAAGAAAGATTCATGGGAACACTCACATGACTTTGTCACTTTTTTCATTTTTTTTTAATAACTAATAAATTATTAATTTTTCCAAAATATTTTCGTAATGACTCTGAGTTTATACAAAAAGCAATTAACATCAATACAAATAAAAGAATAATTGTTTTTGTAATTAATTTATGATTAATGCGGAGAACACAATTTTCCACCTGATTAATTAACAAAATTTTCTATCAAAAAAACCATTGTCTTAAACGTATAAATAGGTGATGTACATTTCAAAATTTCGAGCAACACTTAAAACAAAAATTAAAAAAGTAGTCCACTAAATAAATATACTCAATAATAATAAAATCAAAGCAAATGCGAAATAAAACATAATAATGAATGAAAAGGAAATTAAATTATCATTAAATGAAAGCTAACTGTCAAAAATTTCTGTCGCTTGGTACCTTCCTGCTTTCTCCTTCCTCTCTTTCCCTTCCCATATAAAGATCACTTAAGCTCGTCCCTTCGTCTTCACAAATCCTTCTTCTTCTTCCTCTCTCCTTCTCCGGCGACTTTTCTCAGTCTCTGGTCTCCCTATATCAGCGCTTTTAGCTGATCCTCTCGCCGGCATTTCTCTCTCTCTCTTTTTTAGTTATGGAGAAATTTGCGTCCGTAGCTGCTCTGTTACTGCTTCTTCTCTGTTTTCCGGTAGCTTTCTCCGGTCATGATTATGGTCAAGCTCTTTCCAAGAGTCTTCTCTTCTTCGAAGCTCAGAGATCTGGTGTTCTTCCTCGTAACCAGAGAGTCACTTGGCGCTCTCACTCCGGTCTCACCGACGGCAAATCAAGCGGCGTATGTCTCTCCCTCTCTCTTTCTAGATTTTGTTTCCAACATTGTTGCTCTTTATCATCCAAAACCAGAATCAAACTCTGTTTTTTTTTTCACTTGATTTTGAGTTTATTCAGACAACATTTCAGTAAATTAGCTATAGATCTGTTCTCCGTTCAGACAACGTCGTCACCGACATTGTTCCTGTTTCATACCGTACTAACTAGAATATTTTGTGTTTACAGGTGAATCTGGTCGGAGGTTACTACGATGCCGGAGACAATGTGAAATTCGGACTACCGATGGCTTTCACGGTGACGATGATGGCGTGGAGTGTGATTGAGTACGGGAATCAGTTACAAGCCAACGGCGAGCTTGGAAACTCCATTGACGCCATTAAATGGGGTACTGATTATTTCATCAAAGCCCATCCTGAGCCCAACGTCCTTTACGGCGAGGTATAGTACTTTCACCACTTTGCTTTAATTAATTAATGATTAGACAAAATGAAATTGATTTTTTATTAATATTGGAATTTTTTTAGGTTGGAGATGGCAACACCGACCATTACTGTTGGCAGAGACCGGAAGAAATGACGACGGACCGTAAAGCTTACAGGATAGATCCGAGTAATCCCGGGTCGGATCTTGCCGGAGAAACAGCAGCCGCCATGGCCGCCGCATCAATTGTTTTCCGCCGATCTAACCCTGTTTACTCTAGGCTACTCCTCACTCACGCCTATCAGGTAAAAACTCGGCGCATTTTTACTATTTAAGAAGCGTACGTTAGCATAAAGTGTGGGCATAATTAATTACTACAGGCAGTTACATTTGAGAAGTTGCAGACACATTATTATTGCACTGGCAGAGTAGGAAGTAGAATCTCATTTAAATGTCATTTTCTGCGCACGTTAGGCGTTTATTTTAAGGCGTCATTTAGTAGTAATTGAAAATGACAAATCTGATAATTATGTTTACCCGAAACTGTTTTTTTTTTATAAAAGCTTTCAAAATAGAAAGTTTTGTGAGATTTTGCTATAATTATGAGTCACACCAGGAGTTTAGCTAATTTGATATTCCAACTCTTTTTTAGGATGTAGAATTTAATTTAAACACAGTAGCTTACTATTTTTAACCAAATAAACGGCGTCGTTTCGTGGATGTTGTAATGACGTCGTTCTCCGTCCATCACGGGTTTTTTGTGTTGTGACTGTACAGATCTTGTTCTGATCTCAGCCGTTCAATCTTAAATTTCTATTTTTGTGTTTCTTTTAATTAAAAAGACTACGCACGTGCCTTGGACTGTCGGTGCCCCATTCTGTGTAACTAACTTTTTTCAATTTAACCTCTCTTCTCATACAATATCACGAAAATGCCACTCCCTACCCAAAACTTGTAAACTAACCTTCTCTTTAATGTTTTATTACGGATTTGCCACCCTAATTCAGTTTTCATTTTTGTTTGTTACAGTTGTTTGATTTCGCCGACAAATACAGAGGAAAATACGACAGCAGTATCACTGTTGCCCAGAAATACTACCGATCCGTCAGCGGTTACAATGTAAGATCCCAAAATTTTTGTAATCTGAGATTAAGCTTAAGTGCTTTGTCAATTGTTCTGATGTCTGAAATTGTTCTTAATTTCAATGCTCAGGACGAGTTATTGTGGGCAGCTGCGTGGCTATACCAAGCCTCGAGCAATCAGTTCTATTTGGACTACTTGGGTCGCAACGGTGACGCCATGGGTGGAACCGGTTGGTCTATGACTGAGTTCGGTTGGGACGTTAAGTACGCTGGTGTTCAAACCCTTGTTGCCAAGGTTAGTAGTAGTTCAGCCCAATTTTGAATTATATGGTTAACCGGTTTGTTAATCTTGGTTTGATTCTAAACCGGTTATTTCTTTGACAGTTTTTGATGCAAGGCAAAGCAGGACGTCACGCGCCTGTGTTCAGGAAGTTTCAAGAGAAAGCTGATTCCTTTATGTGTTCCTTGTTGGGTAAAAGCTCGAGGAACATTCAGAAGACACCTGGTGGTTTGATTTTCAGACAACGTTGGAACAATATGCAGTTTGTCACTAGTGCTTCCTTCTTGACCACGGTTTACTCTGATTACCTAACTTCTTCTCGAAGCAACTTGAGATGTGCCGCTGGAAATGTTGCTCCTTCGCAGCTTCTTTCCTTTGCTAAATCTCAGGTGGATTATATTCTTGGAGATAACCCGAGAGCAACGAGCTACATGGTTGGTTATGGTAACAATTTCCCTCAGAGAGTTCACCACAGAGGCTCTTCTATTGTCTCTGTCAAGGTCGACCGTACATTTGTCACATGCCGAGGTGGATATGCCACGTGGTTCAGCCGTAAAGGCAGCGACCCGAACCTTCTCACTGGTGCTATTGTAGGTGGTCCTGATGCTTACGACAATTTCGCTGACAGGAGAGATAACTATGAGCAGACTGAGCCTGCTACTTACAACAATGCACCACTTCTTGGTGTTCTTGCTCGTCTCAGCAGTGGTCATTCCGGTTATAGCCAGTTTCTTCCAGGTTTGTGTCTAATATTCTAAACCATTCCAATGTCCCTGAGAATAAGTTTGAAACTCAAAGTAGTTTGCTTATTTTGTTGCTGTGTCCCTGTAGTGGTTCCTGCTCCTGTTGTCCGAAGACCAATGCCTATTCGTAGACCGAAAGTGACTACTCCAGTCCGAGGTATGTATGCTTATTTTGTGTACATGTAAATCTACGAGTGTCTATGGAACAGAGACTTGACTCTGTTAATTACTTGTGCAGCTTCTGGTCCAGTGGCTATATTTCAGAAGATAACTAGTTCATGGGTCTCAAAGGGAAGGACTTACTACAGATACTCAACAACTGTGATTAACAAATCTTCTAGACCTTTGAAAAGTCTCAACCTTTCGATCAAGAATCTCTACGGACCAATCTGGGGACTCTCGAGATCAGGCAATTCCTTTGGCTTACCCTCATGGATGCACTTATTGCCATCCGGAAAATCCCTAGAGTTCGTCTACATTCACTCAACAACACCTGCAAATATCGCGGTATCCAGCTACACTTTGGTTTGACCAGACAACAACAACATCAAAGGAGATCACAGTGTGTATAGGTCGTGATAAGAAGAAGAAGAAAGTCTTTGGGTTTTTTACCTCTGCTGGTTCGTCAAGAACGTTAAAAGGTTTAGTCTTTTATCTTCATTTTTACTTTTGGGTTTCTCTGGTGAATATAAAAAAAGGGGTTGAAGAAGAGTTGAAGAAAGGTGTGAAGAGACAAAGTGAAGACTCTTCAAAAAATTAAAGAAGAGTGAAAGTGCTCATCCTCTTTCTCCTCTAAGTTCAATGCTTTTTAAATTTATATATAAGTCATATATAGTGAGAGTGAAAGGAAGATAGAGAAAGATAGTGTTTGTGAGATCTTCCTTCTCTTAAGAAAAAGGGGTCTTGTGAGATATTGCAAGGATTGTTTTTTTTCATTCCTTGTAGCTCAAAAAAACATGTTTATGTCTTTGTCCTTTTGTGTTTTATCTTTCTTGGTGGGTTTATGGCAGTTGTAAAACTCAACAACAGTCCTTAATGAGATATGTGATTTGGTTATTATGTTTAGGTATTTGTCTTCTATACATGCACTGCGGAATTTAGTGATATTAAATATAAGGTGAAATTAGCAAAGAGTAAACTTGTTTTGTGAATAAGATAAATAAATTATCACTTCCCCAAATTGTTTATTTCTACAAGGTGGTCAATCCTTTGAATTTTTGTAGTTAGTTACTATGAATCTTATCCTCAACTAAAATGTAGAATGATAAACTTTGAAATTTACCGGCAAAACAAAAACTTGTTTTGAAAAGTTGACTAAGAAATTGACCATCACTTGGAGCATTTTCCCTCTGTTTATTTTAACGTGTTAAACTCACTAATTTAGTAGTTAGTTACACTGAATCTAATTGCCAATGACTCAGCAAATCTAATAAGAAACTGCGAAAAATGAAAATTATATATTGTGGATTGCATAGCCAGAGAACGTTATTAAAATATCAATACAAATACACAAAACAGGATAATGTTAAGTACAAAAAAAAAAGATTTGGTTGTTTACAAGCAAAAAAAAACTAATGTATTTGGCACAAGCAACTTCGATATTAACACAACATAGAGAGACATATAACAATATGAATTAGAGTGACAAGAGAAACATATAAACCTGAGAGACTTGTCCAACAACTTCCTTTCTTACACTCAAAGCTTCAATTGTTTGTCTTTGTTATACATTTGATCAATCTCTTTCTGCATAAACAAGAACAGAGAAAATGGTTCTTAGGTTAAGATCATCCGATTCAATAGACCCCTAAACATCATCAAGCCAAAGAGATAGTTTAAGGTTTTACAATGTAACCTTGAATGTTTTCTAATGTGAAAATAAAGGGAAGAGACTTTTAATATACCTGATAGTACTTGAGAAGCTGAGGCCTTTTCTTCTTGTAAGAAGGTGTGATGAGATCTCTTTCCATGTCGAACGGGACTGTGTCCAAATGAACACCTTTGATCAGCTCAAATCCCTTCAGCTGTAAGACAAAACCCACAAGTTTCATACTTAACAGAAGGTTGCAAATACAAATAATTTATAAGTAGAAGAATCATGAACAAATCAAACCTTTTTGTCTTTGGCTACTCTGTTGAATTCTCCAAGGATAAACTCTTTAGTCTTTTGGTTTTGACAGATAGACTCAAAGTCTCCTGAAACATTGTGTTCTTTAGCCCAATGTTCGATCTGAATCTTGCTTGGACATACCACAGCCACTAAGTAAGACTCATAGCTGTTTCCATATACCCATAGCTGCAAAATGTTTTAACAGATCATTAGTTAAAATTCTTATTTAATGGCATTTTAAAGTTATCTTTTGAACTAATTAATACCGATTCAATTGCGGCTACATGACTGTATATGTTCTCCAAGTTCTCAACCGCAACGTATTCTCCTTGAGACAGTTTAAAGATGTTCTTCTTACGGTCGATGATCTTCATGGCTCCATCTGGTTGCCACTCACCAACATCACCAGTATGAAGCCAACCATCAATGAGGACTTCTTGAGTGAGATCTTCACGTTTGTAATATCCAGAGAACAAAGTCTTTCCTCTGATGCAAATCTCTCCACGTGGGTTACTCGCGAGAGCGTCATAACCCATCTCTGGAACTGACTCGAGCCTTATGTCAACGTTTGGAACTGGTGGACCAACCGTTCCAAGCATTGAAAGCTCATTTGGGATGGACACAAAAGTTCCACCACAACTCTCTGTTAGACCGTATCCTTGCAAAACATGAGCACACGTGACAACTCGAAGGAAAGATTCGATGTGAGCTGCAAGAGGAGCTGCTCCTGAGAGGATCAGACGCACGTTTCCTCCCAACCCTTCTTTTACCTGAAACAGTTTTGTTAAACTCTTTCAAGATTTAGTTTTGTTCTAACAGTCACAAGGTTCAGGATCAAAAGAGTGTAGATTAAAAATTATTTCACCTTTTTAAATACAACTCTGTCAGCCATTGGAGATGCTTGTTCATGAGGCTGCCCTTTCGTCATGTTTTTATGTTTGCTGAAAAAATGTATCAAAAGGTTTCAGAAACAGAGATTAAATTTTTATAAAAGTCTGGATTTTTTAATCTAAAGCGATACACTTACAAGTTGAATGCAAAGTTGAATAATTTCTTCTTTATGAAACCACCATCAGAAAGTTTCTGCTGAAGACCTGAAAATTGACATAAACAGATAACAACAGTTAAGAAAAAATAACTTAAATGTTTTTCAAAATTTTTAACTAGTCTTGCAAAGTATTTACCGGTGTAAATTCTCTCTAGCACGCGAGGAACAGCGCAGAAAACAGTCGGTTTCAATGCAGAAATGTCTTCTATCAATATCTTAACATCCTGATGAAGAAACAGATTATGAATTATAAGTCTCTTATGAACATATTCTGTAGACAAAAGAAACAGATAATATAACTAATTACCCCTCGCCAGAATCCGATAGAGGCTGCTTCAGATATACACAGCTCCTCAATCACTCGATCAAAGATATGAGCCAGAGGTAGATATGAGAGATAAACATCTTTACTGGTTAACTGTTACATTTTTTCACAATGGAAACAAAGAAGAAGTTATTTATAGTGATCAATTCTTGAAGTAGTGATCATGATGTAAAAAAGAATATGTTACCTCTTCATTGATAGATTTAAGCAATTTTTTAACACCTTCAAGTAGATGAATAATGCTCTCATTTGTAAGCAAGACTCCTTTAGGGTCACCAGTTGTGCCACTTGTATACATTATGGTGCAAACATCGCTGCTTCTCTTCTCTGGTAATTCATAATGTTTACCCTCACCCTTCAAATTAAGTATATATATTCAGGATTCTGATTATTATGATGTTAAAATAGAATTACAAAAATTACAAATATGATTCTCTTACTAGCTTCAAGAATTGGTCCCATGAATATATTGTTAATCCATGCCTCTCAGCTTCTGCTCTTTGACCATCTGTAACCTCACCAAAGCTCACAATATCTATTCCAAAAAGAAAATAAAAAAATTGTTTCATTCAATGCACTTTTATCAAAGAATCAAACACAAGAATAGCTTACTTACTCTTCAAATATCTAGTTGATTTTGGAGCTGTCAACAATAACTGAAACATAAAAAAATCGCCTTGTTTTAGTGGTTAGAAATCCCAGATGTGAAATCGGAAGAAAAGTACTTAAACAAAAAAGAGGTGTGAGTCAATCCACTCATTATATTGTAAGTTAGTCTTGAATTGAACATAAATTTGGCTAATGATCAAGAGATTTGATATATTAACATAACCGTTTTTTTTCTCTTGTAAAAAACATTTGTCTGATAGGAAATTACCTCAGAGATTTTTTTCTCCTCAGAGAAAGCGAGTGAGACCTCTGCATGACAAATGATGAATTCTATTGCTCCAGCACCTAAACAAATGCATCATCCAAACAATTATACATACATGAATCTGAATGTAACGAAAAAAACAATCAATAGAATAGACAAATGTTACAAACCTAGAGTGTCATATAAAGGTACACAGTAGAGTCCATGAGCATTGCAAGCCTGAAACATGCAAATTTTGATAAGTACTTTAAATGATTAAAGTAGTGAATGTGAAGAAAAATGGTAATATCATTCATCACCATATGTATATAATTTAGCTAATCAATATGATGTGTCACTCTCATATTATTACCTCCATGCTTATAATCCATTCAGGACTATTGGCGCCATAAATACCGCATTTCTCTCCCTGGTCCACAAATTATTGTTATTAAGATATTGTTTGAAATCTTAGATGCATCACTATAAACTCTGGTTTAAATGTAGAAAAAAGCATTGTTTATTAGGACATTAATTACTTTTCCAACTCCAATAGTTCTGATAGAGTTTCCAAGCTTAATCACTACATCATATACTTCTTTGTAAGTTTGCCATACATATTTCCCAGCCTGTCGGAAGGAAAAATAAAAATAAAAAATCATAATCACAGAAAAACACATGATTTATTAGTTAATTTCTGATTAAGTTGGTGATTGCTTACTTTTCCATCAACTATTTCTCTACGACCAAGCATAGGATTATCTGGAGAATTCTTCACAGATAATCTGTAATCAAAACAGAACATCCACAACAACAACAAAAAATCATATCAATGTTTTTGTTGGTTATTAACTTATTATTAATCAATAGCGCCATGAACATTATATTTGACACAAAAGCAACATGGTTTCATTGTCTGAGATTCTTAGCTGAAATCATTTGAGGATAATTACATACTTTTATTTATTTATTTAATCTTCATGTGAAAGTCAAAGTCAAAGAGAGTAAAATTGACTAGAGACTTTTGCAATAACAACTTGACTTTTCTAAAGGAAAATCTAATGTTTGAAGTTTTACATTTTTGATTTGGAAGAAAACGTAAACCCAATCTCTTCCATATATTTTCTCAGCAGTTTAACACAGCCTAGAAACCAAGAAGCGAAAAAAATAAACAATGTTCATGAAGTAATCCTCACATCTAACAATAAAATTCAGAACAAATGCGATCGGAAAGGAGTAAGGTAGGATTCAATAGTCGGATCAAGTTTAATTTGACTTTGTATAAATAAATATTTTATCTAATTAATAGAAATACACTAAACTTTAAATACGACTATGATTTTCTGATACAATTCGACTCCATATACTTTTTGTGATATGGAGTCCATATAATTTTTCTCACCTGAAAACTTCAAATTTATTATAACACTCACATATAGATATAGCGTTTTGTAAAGTCTACACCAACAATATCGATATGTAATAAACAAAATAGAAAATAAAATTTGAACCGTAGACTTTGGTAGTTGTTACTTTAAGAGAAGAGATGGTAATTAAAGAGATATCTAACCGGAAAATATCCCATGCACTGACGAGATCATCGGCCGGTTCGGGAAAACCGCCTTTAGCGTAGATACTCCGGTAAACCGGACCGACCGATGGACTTCCTCCATGGACGCCTTGCTTTCCCTTCTCAACCTCAAAGATGTATCGACTTGTCGCCATTTACTATATCTGCGTATCTGTGTTTCTTTCTATATGTATATATGTGTTTTGTTCGTTGAAATGTAAAAGAAGCAATTAGAGAGACATTTCAAATGGCGTGTGAATGTTATAATGAGGAACAAAAGATTTCAAGGACACGAGGGTAGCTGACCAATCCTCAATATTGGGTAGTATTTATAAAAAAAATATTTATTGCTTTTTTCCCCCTCTAAAGCTTATTAAATTTTGTCTAATTATGTATAATCAATTAACAAAACTGAAATAACATGAGAAAAAATACAAAATGAAGAAATAATAAAGTTTGAAACCATTTTTTATTTTATTACCTTTCAATATTATATGAACAGAATAACTATTCTCCAGTACTAGTTACCGTGAGATGATAAATTTTGACTATTCTCCACATTTGTGTATATATATATATTATATATCATATGTCTACTTCTTTTAGGATCTAATTAATGGTGTACATGTTATCTAATGACCCAGACCTCTATGTAATTAAGTACTATAAGAAAAATAAATCAAATTATTAACTTACCAGATTCTTTTGACAGCACATAAGTGTAAGGCCGTTGCATGCTTATAATATTGAGATTTGACTTTCATAAAACAGTAAGATTATATTGCTATTCGAATATTATAAAGGCCATATGACATTTATTTTTTGTTAAGAAGGCCATATGACATTAAATAAGCACATACAAATAGATACTTTAATAAAAATATACAAATAAATACCATACGTAGTGGTTAACCATAACCATCAAAACCTTTATTGACCATCAGACCATGTATCTATTATGAAACTAAAAAAAAAATGTTGCCAACATCTGGAAGCGGCATAAGATTAAGATCTCATCAGCTATCGCATTATGCTATATCCGATTTCTCAAAGAAGAGTCGAAGGGTAACTGTGATAAACACTCCAAGTCATTCAGAAGGTTCAAGCTAAGATGTTTATGGGAGCGCAAGTGAGTCACCTAGGATCGTTAATCGATCGTTATTTTACTTTATGTGAGATTGATTTGAAAAAAACTCTATTGAAGAGTGTCTGGGCCGGGAATACAGTTTCGTACAAGACCAAAGAAACCGAGAATGATGGGGGCAAGACAAAATGGAATGGTACTTTTGTTCCATGATAACAAAACTTAACAACTGATTAAAATTAAAATTTTGATTTATATTTTATTCTAACATAATTATTTTAAAAATTGATTAAGATATATAGCTTTATGAAGTAAGTAGATCCAGTATCATGATCATCTGATTAGAGATCAATATTTCTTTGCGCACCGCCATTATGTTCATTAGTTGTTAGTTGAACTAAAAAAATTTACGAACTTATTTCTAATCTTGGCATTTTTTTGTGGACAATATTATAGGATATAAAGTTAGAAACGAAATTTATAGATAAGGGCCACTATCATTATTTCCATCACGTCGCATTTGTATTAATTAGTTCGTACCAAACTAGGCAATTGAAGTTTGATCAATATATAACGGACCACTCTTATTGATTACTGTAGTTAGTATTACATATCATTTGATCCATATTTATGAAACTAATCACCCTCTAATTTATATATTTTATATGTATATATGCGATTCTATTTCCAAATTTATATATGTACAATAGAAAGTTCATCAATTTTATTGATACCTACATTGTCATCGTCACTATCTATGTTAGTACTCTTTTGAAAATAAGTCTACTGACTAATCAAGAACCCAACTAATAATCCATAGATTTCCTCGATCTTTATGTTTTAGACTTCTGGATTTTCTGACATACGTTTTATTTTTCATAAAAGGGTTATCTTCATTCAGTGTTACAAACAAATCAAAAGTTGTTTGTTCTAAGGCAAATGGAATTTGAACTAAATTATTTGTTACGTAATTTAGTTTTGAGGAAACATGAAAAATAAAGGTGGGATCATATTAATAGTCAAGAACGAAAATCCGTACGAAAAGGAAAATTACAGAGTTGATTTCGTCACTATTTCGTGCGATTAAAAGTGGTACGACAGCTTTATTTGTCGTTTTGCCTGTTTCATACCGTTGACTTTGAATTCTTCTGAATGAAGACTTGTGAGCCTTTGTTTTTAACAAAGAAGAAGTCGTATTCTTTTGAATTTGTCAAACCACATCCTTAAGTTTCTTGCTACATTTATGAATTATATATTTGACTTGGATTACGACATTATATAGGTTCAACCACAAGAAGTCGTTATAGATAATTGAACAATTCTACATTCATAAGCTAACGGTTTTGAAAATTTGGAAGCTTTATCCGAACAAATAATAAAGCCACCAATTCTTGTATTACGAAATCGTGTCGTGTGCTACTAATTAATTCGTGTATTATGGACCTATGGTGTTCATGTGTTATACGTTCATTATAAAATAACTATTTTCAACAACTTTAATTTAAAGGTTAGTGATATAGTACAATTGTATGATCTTGAAGACTAAAAAATAGCTAACATGTAGTATTCTTAAGTAAAGAAATGTAACTATAAACCTCAAAATAACTTCTTTTGTTAGTATGTTAATATTGCAGATTTACTGAAAAAGTAATTTAACATTACTCCTGATTCTATATAACTGAAAAAAAGAGAGAAAAATATGAATCACAAAACAGTTTCACCATTTTACAAATTATCAAGTAGGACATCAATATCAACAATGTTGTGGAAGTTTATATGATACAATGTGTATGGGTCAGTTAGTGTGATGATGATAGATATTGTATGGGTCAAAATCATTTCCAAATATAGGCTTTAGTTTAGGCCCATAAGTTCCATTGTAGCCCATTAGATTCACTTATTGGTCAGAGGGGGTAAATTACACTTGTTTCTCGAGGCCGGCCTTTGATAGTTGATACGTTACGACGTACGTATGTATGGTATGTGCGGTGTCCAGCTTCAAATGCTACTACGTTTTCTGTCCAACCGTACCCAAAAATGAGATTGAGTTAGAAGTATATTTTTTTCTAATTTTTTTTTAATGTTCTGATTGAAATGTATATAACTCAAACCGATTTTGTATACTTAGATCCGACCTTTAATCTGAACATCATTTTAATCAAACAAAATCGGAGATGAATTCAAACCTCAGCTGAAACAGAAATGCAGCGTATGTTATGTTTGATAACCAAATCTAAAAAATTATTAATTATTTCTAAGTATAGATTAGCAAAAAAATACTATAGTAGTATTATTTTCTATTTTATATTACACGTAATATGACATCAGCTTACTTAATTACTCAATAATGTCCTGAAAGTCATACCTAAAATCTGGCACTTGTCTCCCGACATTTCATTAATTTCCGGTGACATATGAGAACGATATATACAGTATTTGTTTGAGCGAAAAAAAAAATGAATTTTACTTTGTCATCTAGTAGAAATTTCGTAAGAAGTAAGAACCAAGCATTTGAATTTATAAGATACAAATAATTATCGAAAATTCCTATGGGTACATAAGAAAAGAATCAACTCAATTTAGTTTTTCTATTAATGATCAGTGGTTGTGCAGGTAAAATTCCTGAGGATATATTAGTGTTCACATTTGGTCCAAAGCACGTGAATCGGAAATTTCTACTGACGAAAACAAATCATAAAACAAGAAAAAAGTCTCTGAAGATTGAAATATATATTATTGCATAGTCTTTTCTTTTTTTTTCGGTTTCGAATTAAAAAATTTAAATTGTAATTAAAAGTATATTTTTATCAAGTTAATTTAATAGCCGCTTCTCAAAAGTCTTTGCATTGTGTCCGTGACACTGTCGGGCAATAGGTTCCAAACGGTTGATGTCGACTTTAACCTAACGGTTGTCTTTTTGTGGGAACTATTTAATAAAATATATATATGTAGTCTAAAGTTTGTATTTTTATTTAATATTTCTCAGACCATTTGATGGATCAGCGATAATACGATACTTTAAATGGTGTGTCAATACTTAGACTCCATGCAAAATAATTCATAAAGTTTTAACGTATACTCATATTCTTTATTACATTTTTGACTTTAAAATTCTCAAATATGTCATTTTCACTCAGAATATGAGAGTCGTTGGGAAATTTCAAAGGCTTTTAAAAGACAAATCAATAAAAAAGATTTGATTGATATTTAATAATTTGACCTTCTATATATACATGTGTTTTCACACTCATGTCAATCACTTATTTTCAAAGAAAAAGAGAAGCAAATCTGTGATTTTTTTTTCCTTTCTTTTTGAGATTTAATTTGTCATATTTTGTTTTTGGTGTTAATGGGCAATTGCATGGAGAGATGGTTGCAAGGAGAAGGGGAAGATGGAAAGATAGAGGTGAGAGAAAGAGCAGAAGAGTCCTTCAAACTTGATGGTAATGATAATGAAGATGGTCATGGTGGGATGAAGGTGAAGATAGTGCTTACGAGACATGAATTGGACATGTTTTTGCTTCAGATGAATAGGAATCATGATGGAAACTTGATGATTACCAGAGATGTTATGGTAGAGCTAGAGAAGAGGATCATAAGAGCTTCATCATTGTCATCACCATCGTCGATCGCATGGGAACCGTCTTTAGAGAGCATTGTGGAGTGTCCAGAAGTCCAGGAAATGGATAGATGAAGATTGTATAAAGATGTGATCTATGATGAAAATGAGTTTGATCATGATGATCATCATAAATTGGTTTTGGTTCTAGATACATTGTTTTATATCACGTTAATCAGAACTATATAACATTTTTGCTCATCACATTTTTAGATAGAGATCGATATTCACTTTTTGTTAGACTAGTTTGAGATCGATCTCGTACCATTATACCATATATATGTGTATGTATCAGTATATGTATATCATATATCTTTGGACAAACTATTACGCATGATTTTTTTTTTAAATAACTGGACAATTAAAGAATAAGAATCATCGCTCGTTAAGGGATCAGGACTTGTGCCCGCTGATCATGAATAAAATCAATAGTCAAGACTATATACACACCATCAATGGAGCTCATGATCATAGTGTTTGTTGCATAATTAATTAACCTTGATGGAATATCAACGTAGGGGATCATTGGAATGGATCGATTGATATATGTGTTTTATATAATTATATTGAATATATTAACTATTTCTTTATCTTCTGATCGCCGATGATCTGCTTCATCATAGTTATCTTTCTTTCCCTTTGTGGGCTGCCTCTTCCTCCTCCAACATGCAAGACTTATAATAAAAATGACGACCACAACTTATACAAGGCATATCATAAGATCAGTAATACAATCTAAAACTACAAACTAGAAGAAGAAATATTTTTTTTCCTGTTATGGTTAATTGTTTTTTTAAATATATTTTATTATCTATTTAAATGAGCTGTTTTGGCTTGAGCTAAAGCTAAAACAGAGGTTCTTCAATTAGTTTTATGTGTTCCTATTGTGGTTAATTTTTATTTCTTGTTTTATAGGTTCTTAAATTAGTTTAGTTATGCTCATTTTCTTTCATAAATTGCAATTGAGGTTTTAACAATTATTATCCTCATTCCTCTTACTTTATTTTCTGATTAAAAAAAGTGTATATGCAGATACAAAATCGGAAGAGAGTATGCATGTATGAGACAAAAAAAATCAACACAAGGTTACTTAATACTTATTGATCAAGATAGAGAGATCAACAAACATAATTAAGGAATTTCACTGAAAGTGATTAATAGATCCTTTGTAGAAAGACATAAAAGCAAAACATAATGAAGGAACAAATTGAACTAAATCCATATTAACGAACAAATTAACCATAATTAAGTCTTCAACTCGATTGACAATGATGGATTCCTGGTTCAAACAGTGTTCACTCGTTTTCTCATCAGTTCTTAGAATAATATATGAAGAGATATCCACTTACGAATATAATAAAATATTAAGCTGACCAAGAAAGACAAGGTATAGAAAGTAAAGCTCATATTACCAAGAGGATACCGAAAACTTCTACCACAACCACATAAAATGCTTTGACCACACAAAAACCATAAGAAGCGGTCCATATGTAGGCGAATGCGATCTTCATCGCCACAACTACTAAGGAGATAATGATCAGTCATGTCCTCCAAACCGATATGAATCCACCGTAGTAAAGAGGGATTAGTCCTCCAATTAGGATCTAAGGTATTGAAATGGCAGATTTCTTTACGCTTGACTTGAATCCCGCTTCTTTATACAAGGATATGAATGTTTTGGCAAAAGTAATCGATTCGTGAGAGTCTACGAAAAACAAGAAAAATAGTCGAATATAATCTCTTTATTGATCAATGATCAATATCGATTGCAAAGTACAAGAATCAAGAAAAAATAAATATCATTTACATACTAATTGATAAGTGACACTTAAAAAACAATAATTCATTTGTAATAATCTACATCTCATTGACATTTATCAAAAAAAATTCTGTGTTATTTTATTTATTATTTAAATATTACATGAATTATAGTAAACCAAAAAAATTATTCAACTTATTATCATGATCTAAAAAAAAAGATTTATGATTGCTATTATATATAGACAGACAGACATTGGGGGTGTAGCTCATATGGTAGAGCGCTCGCTTCGCATGCGAGAGGCACGGGGTTCGATTCCCCGCACCTCCATTTTTAATTAAATTGTTGATTTTATGAATTAGTAATATAACTCTCAAGTTCAACCGTCTGATCGTTTTTTTTTTGGGGGTCATTAAAATCAACGGCACAAGTTCAACCGAAGCAATAGATAAGAACATAAAAAAAAAAAGCATTGGAGACCGTTGGTTTCTTCCCTCTTTCTTAGCCTCTCGTTTCTCATCTCCGAGAACCACCACCGATGCTCCTCCGTCTTCTTCGCCGGTGATTTTGTCTTCCGATTATAATCAATGAGTCTTCGTGTAGTTTCCTCCGTTTTCTCCGGAATCAATCGAACCCCTAACCTCCACGAGACTCATACTCTTTTTCGCTGTCATGTCTTCTCTTTCTTCTTCAAACCGGCGAATATCGGTAGTATACGGCGACCGGTTTTATTCTCATCCTATGGAGACCGGAGTAGAGACAGTGTCAGCGCCGCCGCCGATGTTTCGTCGTCTATTCTCGACGACGAGCTTCTGAGCAGCGTATCCGCCGTTAGAGACGCGGATGAAGCGCTCGAGATGATTTCGGGTCGGTTCGGGTCAAATCGCGGTGGAATCGTTGAACTTGAAGATTGCCGTTCGATTATCTCCGCTGCTGTCAGTCGCGGCAATGTGGACCTTGCGTTGTCGATTTTCTACGCCATGCGAGCGAGTTTCGATTTAGGTTCTCTCATCGTAGGAGTTTGTGTGTTTTGATTGATTGATTAAGCAGATTTAGGATTGATTGTTTGTTTTCACAGGTGGAAGTGACAATGATCGATGGAGATGGTCAAGGCCTGATGTTGAAGTGTACACGATGTTGGTTAATAGTCTTGCTGCTTCCTTAAGGGTTTCTGATTCTCTAAGGATCATCAGAGATATTTGCCGTGTTGGTATCTCCCCTGCTGAGGAGGTAACAGTTTGCTATGACACCTTGAAATTGGTTTGAACTTACTTAAGATTCATTCATGTAGATAGTTTGTAAGATTCATGTAAGCATGATATTGAATACATTGCTATTGATTTAGGTTCCCTTTGGTAAAATTGTGAGATGTCCGAGCTGTTTGATTGCCATTGCTGTTGCACAACCCCAGCATGGAGTTCAGGTAATGATGATCCAATTCGATCTTCAATGAATGCTCTACATATCTCATAAGAAATAACTGGATGATTTGCTGTCTATGTTACTAGATTGCATCTTGCGCTAATTGCCGTTACCAATATGAGCTTTTCTCTGGTGACATAACTAGCATTGAATCAGAAGAGCTCGGGTTAGTTCTCTTCAGTGTTTTCTTATTCTTTTGTTACCTAGCTCTAGGGAAAAGGTGATACAGCTTATGTTGGGAGCAACAAATTTAACCTGATAAACAAATTGAGACGTGTGTGGTGTTGATGTTGGGATATTCACTTTCTCTAAGGAGCTACATCTGCCGAACGCAGCAAAGACATTCCTCTCTGGGAAAAAGGGCTCAGACTAATCCAGATTAAGAAGAACAAAATCACATCTTCGGTGCACTCTATTGTGGTAATCGCCATTGTTAACACATTTTCATTTTCAAAATTATAACATTTGATACAGCAGATCTAGTAACCGTTGCATTGGAGTTCAGGTACAAACTCCTTCTGGTATAGCACGAACACACCGGTTTGCCACTGAGACAGCTGAGCTCCCTGCGCAAGAAGGAGAAAGAGTGACAATTGCATCTGCTGCTCCTTCTAATGTTTACAGACAGGTGGGACCGTTCAAGTTTATCCCCAAAGCTCCAAACTTTTACCCTGGAGAACCTATGAGCCTCACAAAACACAAGGATGGACGAGAATCTCTCTTGCTAAGGCCTCCTAGTAAAGATGGAGATAAGCTCTTGCAACCCTCGTTTCTAATACCTCTTCTTGCTGTTTTGGCTACTGGAGATGCTGCTTCTGGTATTATTGATCCCAGTTTGCCTCAATTACTCTCAGTTGCTGCTGTTACATCACTAGCGATTGGAGCAACCGTAAATTCTTTTGTCCTTCCTCAGCTAAATCAGGTTTATATTCTCTATGACATGAACTGCTTCAAGTAAACATATGAAAGTCTCTTGGGTATGAATTTCATTAATCCCTTGAACGGTTTCAGCTCCCTGAACGAACAGTAGATGTGGTTGGTATCAAGCAGCAACTTTTATCGCAGTATGATGTGCTCCAGCGTCGCATTAGAGATCTAAAAGAAGCAGTTGAGAAAGAGGTAGTAAGCCTCATTTAATCATATACCATTTGAAACCAAACAATATATAATCAAAAACACAACTAAAAACTTTCTTGTGTCTATTTAGGTGTGGATGTTAGCTAGGATGTGCCAGCTTGAGAACAAAATTTTAGCTGTGGGGGAGCCAGCTTACCGGTATCTCTCAGATCATTCGAACCCCATTGTCTGGGAAATTGTTAGTACAATGAGATCTATCATAACATGTGTGTCTTACTCGAATATAGTACTCGAAGAACAAGAGTAAAGAAGGTACGAGAAAGTCTAGAGAACTCCATAAAGGGAAAGATTGAGCTGATCGATAGTTATGCCAGAGTAAGAAAGCGATACAAAACCATTTTAGATCTTCAAAAATCCCACTTGATCTCCTGGTTTTAATCTTTCAGCTCGATTTCTTTATCATTTAGATATCTTCAATGATTGAGATCGAGGTGGAAATGGACACTGATGTTCTTGCAGCCGAGGCAGTGAACAATACTGTGAGTTTATTTTTAAAAGTTTACTTATGAACCTGACATGATTGAATCAGAGACTTATGTAAAACTCCAAATGCTTCGCAGGAAAACATTGCGCAACAGATAGAGCAGATCATGGAACTTGAAAACCTTGAAGAGGTGTATATATATATATATAGTTCGAAACTCATTTACGTTGAATCATATATCTTTTTCCTGCAATTTTCCAGTTTCAATTTGGACAACAGAAGCATACATACTTGCAACAACATTTGTGTTTAATGTTAACTTTGGTCTTTATGTTTGTGATTTGTGAATGCAGAAATGGAAAATACAGGCTGAAGCAAACGACGAGGCCGAAAGACTACTTAGCTCCCAACCTTAAACACACACTCTTGTCAACAAAAACCCGGTTAGTTAATCATCATCATACATCATACATTCAAACATCATGATCATTACCATCAATCATCATATAAAGCAATTATCTTTCGGCGGCCATATGTATAACATTAATAATGTCTGCTGTCAAAACTGCAACGTAGATTCGTCAATGATATGAAAATGTGGACGAATGTTCTGGCAATTACAATTTTAGTTACAATATTTATTAAATTTTAGTTCCCTCTTTAAGAATCTTTTTCTTTCTCCAGAGCTGCATTGAGATTTTTGCTCTGTAAAAATAATACTTCTGCGAAATTTTATTGTGGTATTAGAATATTAAGTAATGGAAATGCTGATCATCTGGTACAGGTCAAAAACTCTGGAGCATCGCTAAAAGTTAAGTTTCTTTTGTCGGTCGCTATAAGTTAATGGTGATAAATTTGTTATGTAATATAGTTTTAATAATCACCGAAACTATTAACTTTCTTTTGAATATAATTTATTTCTGTATGCTTAGGGATTGTTTCTTGTCCATTTGTAATCTTTTATTTTTTAAAATGCAAGCATTTGATAATTCAATAATTAGTACTCGTAGTTGCTAAACACGCAAAGTGACACTTTCTCCAGAGAATTGTGACAGTAATTAATTAAATTTAAGTATAAATTAATAAGGTAAAAAAGAAAAAAGCCACGTGTCTTCTCTTCTCCACTCCTCTTTTTATTCCCAAACAAGAAGGTTAGTTATTATTATTTCGAGAGAAGCTTCTCTTTTGATTCTCTCGCTCTCTCTCTTCATCGCCTCTTGGAGCTTCGATGGTTGGAAATATTCTGGTAACCGGCGGTGCTGGTTACATCGGAAGTCACACGGTTCTTCAACTTCTTCTCGGCGGCTACAACACCGTTGTCATCGACAACCTCGATAATTCCTCTCTCGTTTCGATCCAACGCGTCAAGGATCTCGCCGGAGATCATGGAAAAAATCTCACCTTCCACCAGGTTTGTCCATCTTTTGCCTCTTCTCTTCTTTTGGATCATTGCATTCTGAGAATTGAGAGTTTTTGTTTTTTAATCTCGATTTGCTTACAATGCTTGATTCCGTTCGTTTTGGGAGTTACGTTGATCAAATCTCTTGTAGTCGTAGTAGATTGCTGGATCAAATTGTGCTCCAGATTATCGTTGATCTGAGATTTTTTTATTCTGCAAATTTTGATGGCTGATGTATCTTATACCTGCAGGTGGACCTTCGCGATAAACCCGCACTTGAGAAGGTTTTCTCCGAAACAAAGTGAGTTTTGTAGTAGCCGCTTCTTACTGATATACTCATTTCCAGGAAAACACATGTTCAAGTCTTAAATCTCATGAATTTTGACTTTGATTTCGTATTCTTAATAGAGCTTTATGATAATAGATGTTGATCCGAAAAGTCTAGGAAGAGAGAACAGGGAATTCAGTTTTGTATCTTTTGTGCTAAGATCTGAATCTACAATGAAATGCTTCCAATCCTCCAGAAATGTGATTTAGTGCTCTTCGTGTCTGTAATGTAGGTTTGATGCAGTCATGCATTTTGCTGGATTGAAAGCAGTAGGCGAGAGTGTGGCGAAACCGCTTCTGTATTATAACAATAACTTGATTGGGACTATTACACTTTTGGAAGTAATGGCTGCACACGGATGTAAAAAAGTAAATCCCCTTTTGTTCTGTGTTGCACCATTTTTGGTATTCCTTATATATGTGACATGAAACATGATTTAACTTTCTCTCATTGATCTCAATCAGCTTGTATTTTCTTCGTCCGCTACTGTGTATGGCTGGCCAAAGGAGGTTCCTTGTACAGAAGAGTCTCCCCTGTCTGGGATGAGTCCTTATGGACGGACTAAGGTACTCGGTAGTTTCCGATACTGAAATGAAAGCCTTTTTGTAGATTTGATTGGTATTTATCTTGAAATGTTTCTCATTTTGTAGCTGTTCATCGAGGACATTTGCCGTGATGTACAACGTGGTGACCCTGAATGGAGAATCATAATGCTGAGGTACTTTAACCCTGTGGGAGCTCACCCTAGCGGTCGTATTGGTGAGGATCCTTGTGGGACTCCAAATAATCTCATGCCGTATGTCCAGCAAGTCGTTGTTGGGAGGCTACCTAACCTAAAAATTTATGGAACCGACTATACCACTAAAGATGGCACCGGTGTAAGACTTTCACATCCTTCTACAAGGATTCTTAATTTAAACTGTCCTTTGAATCCCTGCATCACTTTCAGATAGGCCTACTTCTTATCGCTCTTCCACATGAGTCATATAAATCTTGAAATTTGGTCCATGGGTTGGGATTATCCAAGGAATTGTTTGCTCCAAATCCTAGATGTAAGGTACTAGATGGAATTGAGTCATCACTAGAACTCTTAAGTATCATGATCATTTGATAGGTTCACTTTCCTTGCTTCAATATTAAGTAATAACATTGAGAATTAATTTACTTCCTCAATCGTTGAATTCAACTTGACACGATACTTTGTGATGGAATAATCTTGCTTTTAGCCTCGGTGTGATGAGTTATATTGATCTTATCGGTCTTATCTACTTTCAGGTACGAGACTATATTCATGTTGTTGATCTAGCAGATGGCCATATATGTGCGCTTCAAAAGCTAGACGATACTGAAATAGGTAGACTTTTATTCTTTTCTTAAATACCTCACTGTCTCGACAATACATATCCCCTAATTGTATACAAACAAGCTCAGCTGTCTGACTTGGCTGTTGTGCTAGGTTGTGAGGTATACAACTTGGGAACCGGAAAAGGAACAACGGTGTTGGAGATGGTTGATGCATTTGAAAAAGCTTCTGGAATGGTAAGAAGATCACTTCTCTCATTCTCTCTCGCTATACACACAAAGTCATAAGAGCGTAGGCACGCATGTGTTGACTCTTTACATCACACTGACTTAATAGTTTGCAATAATGTGTACAGAAAATCCCACTGGTGAAGGTTGGAAGGAGACCAGGTGATGCAGAAACCGTCTATGCGTCAACAGAAAAAGCTGAACGCGAACTAAACTGGAAGTAAGTAAAAGACCCAACGAATGTTTTTATTAAGTATCTCATGGACCATTTTTGGCAACGTCTCTAAGACAGTAAGTAAGGAACTCAAAATCTGTGGACAGGGCAAATTTTGGAATCGAAGAAATGTGTAGGGACCAATGGAACTGGGCAAGCAACAATCCCTTTGGATACGGTTCTTCACCAGACACAACATAACAAAGCTAATACATCCAACACTCCATTTTCTTTATTTGGGTCTTCGGCTCTCATCTTTATGTTACACACTCAGGTTTTAGCTTCGAAGCCAAAACACAGTGAGGGAGAAGTTACTTCTCTATTCATATATCTGCTTTCTCCTTTTGTAATTTATATATTATTTACACGCATAGGTTTAACTTAAGTGGATTCTTTTGTTTATTAATCTCTCTTAGGAAATTATGTTTCAGGGATCATATTTGTATCAAATAGAAATTGAATTCATTTTTTTGTTTTTTAATGGGTTTTGTTTGTATGCTCTTTCAAGTATTCTTTGTAGTAGTATTATATGAGAACCTGCATTTCGCATTTTCCTTCTTTTTCAGCTAACAAGGGCGTGTTCTTATGCTAATGACCACAACAAAAAAGCCCAATTACGATTGCAGTCCACAAAATTGTCTTTTTACTTTCAACTTTTAGGCTCCTTCCCTTCCACTGCATAGCTACGACTTGTGGAAGCTGTAACTATTGAAATGAAGAAAAATTACAAAGAAATAAGGACAAAAGATATTGAAAGAAAATACACAAATCTCAAGGATAGTGGGAGCTCTCCAATGATGTGACTTCACTTTCTCTTTTATTATTTTCTTCTTTCTCCTTTGTTTGACTTCTTGAAATTACAAAATATACACAAATACAACAATATCAAGATCTATTCAAAATACATAAACACTACAAATTCAAAAACTTATATACTCTTTTTTGGTATATTCTCTTGTTTTATGAACATTAACACTTTTTCTTTAGATCCGAAAGAATGCAATGAATTTCACTTACTTTAATAAAACAAAACTTTTTGGAAATGGAAAATGTAACGTAAAATAGTAAAATACCCATACTCCCACTTTCAACTTAATTAAAACTAAAACATATCCTCAGGAAACACAGCATTTCTGGGCTGAATTGAAGGAGAGAACTTGACCATTTGTTAAACTACATGCCTTAACATCAGCAAAATCAAACTATGAACTTACTCATTTTTAGTAGAAAAATAAATAATTTATACAGTTTCTAATTAATTTCCTCAAAGTTAAACATGAGCAGCAAAAATTAGTGAAAAAGGGGCAAAAACTAAATAAAACATCAAAAATGGAGAAAATAATAATTATAGTAGGGAAATGAAATTAGCAATGGAAACCCAAGACGGAACCATCGGCAATAGAGACGGTGACCCGACAATCCGATTTAGCAACCACGTGATGTGTGAACACGTGCAACACTTTGACCCGACCCGCTAACTCCATCTTCGACTCTATCTCCATTGTTGGTCCGACCCGATTCCCATACCCGAAACCCGGATTCGCATATCCATCTCCTAATGTTGGCCCCGTCCCTCCCCCGCCGAATCCCACCGGCGTACCCGGAAATCCCGGCGGAGCTCCGATACCTGGAAAACCCGGTGGACCCATGTTTCGCGGGTTACCCGACCCGGGATTCCCTGGAAAAACCGGTGGATTTGGGTTTCTCGGAAACGCCGGAGCACCTGGATATCTCGGAGGATTCACTGGAAATTCCGGCGAACCTGGATTTCTCGGTAAAACCGGAGCTCCTGGGTTCCCTGGAAACTCCGGCGAGCCTGGATTCCTCGGAAAACTCGGAGGACCCGGATTCCCAGGAAAATCCGGTGAACTTGGATTTCCCGGTAAATCCGGCGATTCTGGATATCCTGGGAAATACGGCGAATCTGGGTTTCTTGGAGTTACTGTAAAATCCGGTGGACCGGGTATTACCGGAGAGTCTGGAACAACGGCGGCGGAGACGGTGGAGATGGCGGAGGAGGAAGGAGGAGAAATAGGGAAGGATTGAACGGTGAAAGTGGCGGCCATGTATTGAATCCGACCGGAATCAATTTTACCGGCGGGTATGAACATAAACCCGACTTGATTACCCGAATAAAGAAGCTGAATAGAGCTGTCATAATGAGAGAAAACGGCACGGTTAGGGTTTCTAACGGCGACGTACTGAGAGAAGGTGAAGTTAGCTGTGTTGTTGGAGACGGCGAATGACGGAAGTTGGACGGCGTTAACGGAGATCTTGGGGTCTTTTGGTTTGAAGACTGTGAAGTAAACAACAAGAAGGACGACGAGTAAGATGAGCAAGAAGACGGTGGCGACGGCGCAAGAAGCTAGATTTGTTCGGCCGGAAGGACGGCGACGACCGTGAGGCTTGGCCATTGCTGAGATCGGAGAGTGTTTGGAGTCAAGGATAGTGTTTAAACAGAGACACTATGAGAGTGAGAGAGTGAGTGAGAGAGTAGAGGGTACAGTGCTTCAGACTAAAAGCGAGAGAGCATTTATTTGTCTTTAGGACAAACAAATCATCAAATCCTTCCTTCATTTCATTACCATTTCTATTTTATTAATAGACAGACTTAACTATAAAAGTTTCAGTAATTTTGTAGATTAGATTGTTTTGACAAATGAGATTGTCTAGTTGATTAATTTCACCACTCGCTTATTGCATTAATCAAGAATGTTTTTCTTTGTGTCATTTGGTATTTAATGAGAAAGATATACAAGATTCCAAAGTCACATGATCCTTTTTATTTTATTTTATTGTGTATTTGTAGTGGGTGAAAACTGTCTACAGTCCATTTTCAGTGAGATTTGCTCTTTTATTGCAAGCCTTGTATAAGAGAAATTTCTTATCTATCTAATAGTGTAAGGGAAAAAACAAAATTACACAAGTCAGACTTCTCATCAATAAGAGCACACTGTAGTTACTTTGGTTGGATCCCACTTGTAAAAAATATCACTAAAGCGAAAATGACACAAATGCCCATCCAGGGCCATTGAAAATAGGCCAGCGATAGGCCCATTAATGCCATTCTTAATTTCTAATTTGGTTTCCGGTTCCATACTGAACAAGAATAGGTCCTAATACACAGCACAATTGACAATACGAACAAAAAGCAACACCGTTTTATTTATGGTTTAGGAAAAAAACACAAAAGCTTAAAGGCTTCTTTCATGGAAGAAAAAAAACTTATCCAAGAAGAGCCTATCAACGTTTTTCTCAACGTAAACACACATAATAGATACATTACATATACATACATACCGTAAAACCAACTTTATTATGTACTTCAAAGGTTACTTAGTTAGCTCGTCCAGACGACGATCCATGGCTACAGAGACTGCTTCAAGAAACGTAGCCTCGCTTGACGCAGGTAACACCGAGTTATGAGCTTCTCTCACTATCTCTTCAATCGCTGAGTCCTTGTTCACCGTTTCTCTGCACATTATGCTTCCTATTTGATATGGCGTTAGGTTTCTCTCAACGCCTTTCTTCAGCAGCATCGTGGAGATACGTAGAGTGCGTGAGACAGCTTCAGGAACATTCCAGCCATGGAGTTGCAGAAGAGCGATGTCTTGTTCGGAGTCTAGAGAGTTTATGTAGTCAAGAGTGTCTGCAGAAAACGGGAGTTTCGCTTGCGGCCAGTAGAGCCACTCAAATGTACAATCTTCAAACTGAAAATCCATTTCAATAAATTAGCTTTACTTCTAGATATATTGGAGGGGTCAATGTTGAGAGAATTGTGAAGATAAACTTACATTCTCGGGCAAACAATAGCCATGATCGATGGGAATAAGAAGAGTTTTTCCTTCTTCGCTTTTCCCGGTCAATATGTTTCCAGCATGTCGATCTGCATTTGCCATTCTTATGTCAAAGACGCAGATTTTGTGCACTTCCTCGACAGGAAAAGCTCCAGGGCCAATGTCTTCGCAGCTTCCATTGTTCTTCATGAACATTTGAAGAGAACCAACTTTGGAATCTTTTGTAGCACACCTGCTGAATCCCTTTGGGTAATTATACACTTTGTGTGAGCTTCTGACCATAGCAGTTGGTGGCACACCGGCAAACCCCATAACTTCTTTAGACACAGATCTCGGTCCGTTCTTTGGATGATCTAATAAGTAAGCTGCAACTTCCCTTGTTGCCCCTTCTCCTACTCTAGTTCCTCTCTTCAATCCCTGACCGTCTGATGACACAGGAAGCTGCTGAGGATTGTTCACAGCCATTGGTTCCTCATCCATGGGCTTGAAGACAGATACATAGTTGAGACCTGAAGAATCTTGCATCAGATAAGTCCCTCCCGTACCTTCTGCTGACCTCACTGGTGCATTACCTTTGTTCAACCCGTCAACTGTGCGGTCAATCATATCCTCAAGAACCTCAGGTAATTTCACATCAGGGTTAAGAACAACGGGCTCTAACAAGAAGTCTTTACCAGAAGCAGTGTCTTCTTCTCTTTTCACCGTATCTTCGACAAGAGCACAAGCTTCTTCGACCGATTTCTTAACCAGCAAATGGATCACAGAGTTTCCTTCTTTACAAATCCCATCAATGATTCTGTTGTCATCAAGCTTCTCTCCTTTAAACAAGATCTCTTGATCATCAACCTCAGGAAACCCTTTACCCTCTTTAGAGATCCGTTTCTTCAAATACCCAACATTTCTACGACGATCCACATGAAACTGAAAGACCTTGCCACAAGTAGTAATCACAGTAACAAGCAAAGGATCATAGAGCTTGAGCACCAAATGCAACACACTACCACCAGTGACACCATAATCCTTCACACGTGACGCATTCCTCGCAAGCTCTCGACCACTGAAAACAAGTTTCTGTCTTCTAACCCTAAAACCATTACAAGTCTGGATCCTAAGTTTAACCTCGGCAATAGAATCAGACTCCAAGATGAGCATAGGCATCGTAGAACCAGAAACAGTAAGGAAGACCAAAACTGATTTGACAGAGTAGTGCGTCGATTGTTGGTAACCACCAAAAGCAAACCCCGATCCTCTATGAATCGGGCTTAAAGCAACATCAGCAACAGACATTTCCTATTGAATAAAAACCAAAAAAAGACTAGCTCTAATCCAAATCTAAACAAACAACAAACATAGATCTTCTCGTACGGGTATCAACAAGAGACACCCTTCCATAAAAAAATCGATTTTGAAGATCCAAACCCTAACAACAACAACTAAATCAACCCCTCCCCAGAACCTAACAGAGACGAAACAAAGAAGAAGCTATAAATTCATGAATCTCCTCTTCAATCAAACGAAGATCGGGGGAAATGGTGATGAAATTGAAGATCTTTAAACCTCAAAACCACAAAATTTCTGGAAAGATCGGTGTAGATTTGTAGGATCGATGAATGAAAAAATCGCTAAAAGAAGGGCAAAGTCTAGATTTTTTTTTTTTTTTTTGGGTAAGAAGAAGAGCTCTTTCTTTAAATAGACGCGCTTCTTAGCCTTTTCCGGATTTTGTATATTTTAACGCCGTTACTTTTCACATTCACGACCGTTTGTTTCATTAAGCCTTCAAATATTCCTTTCTTTTTGTTTTAATTTAAATTGAATTCCCTTTATTTTCAAAATTAATTCACGCGCAATAATTTAAGATATTTGGAGTTGATAAGTACTATTTATAATGTTTCCACTAACAGATGATTTATATTTTAGAAAATTTAATTTACCCATTCTTATGATCTTATCTGATAAACGGAATAAGGGGACTATGTAACGTGGTGATGTTGCCGTCATCAAACTAACGGGAATATTAACGTGGCTTTTGGCTTGCAGGCTAACGACGGTATTGTGAGTCATTTGTGCAATGATATCTCGCCACGTGTGATTCTTTGTAAGGGAACAAAAACTAAACATTAGTTAAAGAGATGGGATTAAAGTAAACAAAACTTAATTACTGGAAACATTTAGGAAACTTGAACTGGTCTGAAAACCGAGATTATTGCCGTTGCACATGGATGGGTCCTCTTTCCATTTAACCCAAAAACAAAATATCTCAAAAGCCTAAATCATCATTATAATAAATTTTTAAAATATCTAAAATGCATTATGAGTACTACTAATGAATCATGTAGGTTCGTAGAATCCTCCTCCTGTATTAGGATTACCCCCATTAAACAAATGCCATTCAAGAAACGAAAAGGATCTTTAAATTTCTAGCTTTGAATTAACATAATGACATGATAATTCTGTATAATATATATTTCTTTCACCATTGATGACAAAGAATTTTGAAATTGTTTTATGAACTTTCAATAATGTGAACGTTTCAAGGGAGTTGTACCACGAAAGAAGGTTCAAAGGAAAGTGTGAGTCATAACATAAAACAACATTAAAGATACAACAAACGTTTCTTTCGACAAGATTCGATCGATGACCAGTTCATGCATCTATCCTTAGCTTAAATTTCCTATCCATTTTTTTAGGTGTACAATGTCTTTTTGATGTTGTTGTATATATGATTAAATAGTATTATAAATTATTTGATTAAACCAGTTGTGTTCAAATTAGAGTCCGACATGCATTACCAAAAATTGGTTTAGCCAGGTAAGCTAAATTAAATTGGGTAAAAAACTGAGATTATTATATTTAATTTGAACAAAATCAACCAAATAGCATTTAAGCTTTAATAATAAAAATGAGTAGTTGATAACATCTAGTATGGCCGGTGACTTTCATCTGACAATAAAATAATATGACCTGACGTATATTTTGTAAGAAGATAAGTTAATGTTATCACGATTTATTGGTACATGAATACAACAAACCAAAGTAAATGTCTCTTTAAAATTCAAAAGCAACTGGCCGCACATACATTGACACACGTGTGGACCCGACGCTGCTGCTGCAGTGGCTCCTCCTCTAGCCGTTGCTCATAAGTGACCGTTACGAGTGCGACCATGTTTGACGTGTCTTCAGATCATTCGTTCACGATCTAGTCTCTCTTTAAAACCAGGACAATTTGTATCGATCGGCCCAAATACAGCTATGGGCCGCCGTTGTATTACGACAATACCATCAGTTTAGTTTTTTTTTTTTTTTTTTTTTTTTTTTTTTTTTTTTTTTTTTGATCAAAGACCATCAGTTTAGTTTTATAACGATTTTGGGTACAATTGAAAAACCTTTTATTTTATGAGAAAATTGTTATTTCATTGTAAAAATTCCCCTAGAAATGGATTATCAACAGTACCTAAAACGAATGTGAAACATAATCTGTTTATGTACCAGATGTTGTACTTGTAGAATGTATTCCAAATTATACAGAATAAAGGATAAAAAGACCTCAAAAGTATAATTCGGTAAAAACTCTGGCTTCTTCCAAAGGTTTCCTCTAGTCTTCTACTTCAGAGTCGAGTACAAAGCTTGGAAATGCTAATGTCACTTCCCTATAAATCATTAAAAACGACGACGTACTTAATTAAGAACTAATCATACGAGATATCAAATAAATATTTTTGAAATAAAAATAAACAAATTAAATAGTATACTTGAGGTAAGGCAGAGTCATGTTCTTGAGGATTGAAGGATTCTTAGCAACGAGCTCTCTCCACTCTTCTTCATCAATCTTCCCATCTTTGTTTGTATCAACCTCGAGCATTGTCTGTTGGTCAAAATCAATTCACAAATTCAACATATAAGATATTAAATATATATAGGAATATTAATGTCATAATAAGAAAGATTAGATTAAAATTAGGTATATTGCATGACCTGTTCCACGATAGCTTCAATAGATTCTTCTGAGAGTTCTAAGTCTGTTTCACCAAGTAGTGCGCCCACCATCTTCTTCAACTAATTTCCAACCAAAACCTTTTACAAGTCAAAATGTTTGTGTATGTGTCTTTGCTATCAAAAGAATATTTTTTTTTGTGGTTTTGGAAGGTTGCAATCTATATTCAACAACTTTGCAATATGAACCAAAAAATGAAAATTTGAAGGTAAGACTTTTCCGATTGCTTTTTACTTGTTCGTATAAAGATTTCACCGTTTCATGCAACCATTTTGGTATAGTATAATTAATGAGATCAATAGAATTTTATCAGTACCTCATGGGGCTCGATGAAGCCGGTTCCATGGAGGTCAAAAAGCTTGAACATAACTACAATATTTACAACATATTATAAGCGATTTAGTTAATCTATTAGACATTTCATGATCGTGAAGTGTATATATATAGATACGTACATGCAGATTTTTCATGTTCGGGAGTGTATGGATGGAAGATGCTAAGGGAACGAACAAATTCTCCAAACTCAATCACACCGTTGCGTTTCCTATCAAACATATAAAACACCTGCATGCACCACTTTTTCCTAATTATTTAACTAAACACCTTTTTTATTTTTCTTGTCGTCATTAATATACATTGAAATATGTAACTAAACAAAAAATATCTTTATAATTAATGATGCAATTATGGAATAGATATACGAACCCTGTCCGCAAATAGATTTTGCATACTGCTGTTTCTGAACAAAGCCAGAAGAAACTCTTCCTGCTCATACAAATTAGGTCATGTAGATGCGAATCAAATTCCAAAAATGCTATTTTTAGATTTATTAATATACAACTTTTTTTTGTATATAAATTAAAAAATCCATTAAACAAATAAATGTTACCTTATGGATTAGACCATCATCGATAATGGATGTACTTAGCTTCTTATATAAATCGTGTAAAGCCTCTATCTCATTCACTGTAACTGCATATATAGATCAATTATAACCTCTATAAATAGCTTCATAAAATGCATCTAGATACAGCTCATATTTTCGTTATATATATATAGATGTGTCGTCTATTAAATCTTATTTTTCTTTCTTATTTAATATTATGTTATTCCATTTAATTATAATGATGTATTTGTTTGTTTGTTTGACTTACAGGGAGTTTCGGATGCAAGAACATGAGGATCCTCGTATCCACGAGGATGTTTTGTTCGCTTCAACGAGAAGCATTTCACGAATGCCAACATTTTTCACACAACTTTGGTAAAAATAGAATAATTTCTTATGCTGCTAAATAACCAATAAAAAAAGTTTCAGGCTCCCGATCTTGATTCAATGATCCGTTGGGATTATCAATGGTAAATAAGAGAAATGATAGTTACGGTGGACGACTAACAAATTATTAAAAGAGAGATGGATCTGAATCTGTTTTAGAGCTTTATGATCCGACAACGAACGAATTAAGAACATGCATGATGAGAGATCATAACAACTAATTAAGAAGAAGACGAAAACAGATTTGAAACGAAGATCGATATATGGATGGTCAAACCTATTAACAATTGAGAGCTAATTCTCATAAAATCCTCATAAAACCTATATGATCATCATATAGTAATCCCAAGAAAGAGCCCATGGATCTTAAGAACAATAGGCTTAAGTACAAAATTGAAATCTTTTTAATTTGGCAGGACGATAAAACCCAAAAATAATCAGAAAAGATTCGATCCTTGTTAATTCAAATGATAAAAAATTTAAAGTGAAAATACCTGGATGATCTTGTGTTACAAATTGGTTGGATTTAGGGTTGTTGTTCTTCCAATTTCTTGAGAAGACTTTATAAATACGGAAATGCTTTTGTGATCGACGGAAAACAAAAAGCTTACTATACTTCATTAAAAAGTCAGCAATCATTAAAAATAAAATAATTTAAAAATTGTGACGGTACGATTTTCGATTTCACCCATAATAATATTATATTTTTATTGTATAAAGAGAAAATGTGTTACAAAAGCATTTAGGTGTTCAAAAAAAAAAAATGCTAAAATTTTATTTGACCATCCTTCATTTGTTTTTTGTTTTCTTCTATAAGAAAAAATAAAATAAGAAAAAAGTGGGAACCCAAACTCAAAATCAAACAAAGTGGAATCTTTCAAATAGGTATATATATATTTTGTTATCAATGTGAATAATTTATACCATTTTCGAAGTTTTGACAGAAATTACAAAAATACAAGTAGAGGAGAAAACCAAAATCTACAGAATAACAATAACAAAACAATAACGGAGAAAAACGTAAGCCCAAAGCGGAAACGAGAAAAAAATACCGATTCCGAAAAACCAAATTCAAAAATTTGCGTGATTTTCATAACTCCTAAGAGTTGGAATCCCATCCTATTTGCCACGAGCAAATCCAAATAGAGGCCAATCCTCAAAACCTCTGGATAACGCACCTACAACTTCTCCGCAAACTAACGCAAAAACGCTATGACAATAGCGGACTTAATCACAAACGCTATGACAATATATATATATATATATATATATATGCCTTTTTGTATATGAATTTATATGTTCACTATTGTCAATAAATAAATAATGCATTTAGTTTACAGTTTTCGCTTGTGTTTTCTACTAAGTGCTTCAGCTTGATTATGATGCATCTGGTCTTACTCAATTGGTTTGCTCTGACTGACCTTGCTTATTTTTTTTGTTTTCTCCACCTAGAGATGAGTTTTTCATTTTGAGAAATGCCTTGAGAATTAGTGAGGAGAGGGAGGATCATGTGATTGGCATGACTGCTCTATTCTTTACAGTATGTTTGGTTTCACTTATTTTAAATATTATCAATTTTTAAGAACTTCTTTATACTCTTAGTCTTATCTATATTCATCTCTAGGGCAAAGAACCTTCCGTTTCTTATATTGTGGAGACTCCTCTTATCAAAATAATGTTGTTCGGTTTTTTATATCAAATTTTGTGCAGTTACAAGTTGGGTTATGTGTACCTGAAACTCTGTGAAATATTGAACATTAGTGAATACTAAGTTCTTCATGATGACATTGCTGAATCCCAGAATTATGAAAAGCTTTTTGATCCTTCAATACTACATGCTCAAAGAGATGTATTGTAAGATATGATTAGCTGCGAAGAATTATTGTCATAGATGAGTGGAAAGATTATGTTTCACATGTATATATTTCAGATTCTTCACATGTATTCACTAATTTGATGTGTGTTTCAGGAGTATATTGTAAAATCATGTCAAGCGTTAGTGTTATTTCTTTCACCAGCGAGAAATGTGTTTATCAATTTGAGAGATGCCTTGGAAATTTTTGACGAGGGAGGTGATGTGATTGACATGACCGCTCGATTCTATACAGTATGTTTGGTTTACATATACATATTCTGAATAATAATTCATAAAGACTTCTTTTAACTCAATTTATTTTTTGAAGATGGCAGTTGAGCAAAATTTCACTATACGCTGCATAACTGAAATAGTAAAAGCTTCATGCCTCTACTTAACTTGCATGTTAGTAATCGTCAAGCATTGGAGGTTTTTTTTACCTGCAGAGCCAAGCGACTAGTGAAAAGAGTATTGAAGATCATGAATTTGATCATCAAGATTTAGACTTTTCAAAAGCAATTTGGTGTTTGTAGAAAGAATGTTCACAAAAAACGCACCTAAAATAGTCCAACAACTTGATATGCTAACTGTTAAGGATAAATGGTTGAATGAATTGGTAAATATGAATAATAACAATCGTGAAATTGCATAAGCGTTCTTAAAGAAAAAATAATGCTTTAGACTAAAAAAACATGGATTGATTTGTTTTTAGTTAGTATGGATATCCTGAAAAAAATATTAGGCGAAATATGTGGATAGAAATTAAAAATGAGAAATTGGAGTGTATAACCAACAAAAATTTATAAATTCACTAACTAACCTAAAACAAAAATGAGAGTGTATTATCTATAATAATACTATTTTACCCTTCCACATATATCACAGATACATACATTTTTTTTCTTTCTACTTAATTTTTAATTATTTGTTTTCCATCTTTTTTCTTCATCTCTCTATTATTCTGAACTCACCACCTCACTTCTCCACCATAAATTCACTAACCACGACTACCACCACCGCTACTACGACCATCACTAACGATGATCACCACCAGCACAACTACTAGCTTCACGATAACCACCATCGCCACCACTATCGGCACCGCCATCACCACCACCATTATCATTGTCGCTACCATTGCCATCACCATCGTCAACACCGTCAACACCGTCGTCACCAGCATCACCACTAGGTCCACTACCATTGCTTCCACCCTATTAAATCTTATTCCATACTATTTTATTTTGTTTTATACTATTTTATTTATGTGTCATATCTATACCAAATTTTTTTTCTTATAATTTGTTTATTAGGATTTCACATATTTTATTGGTATTTGAGGGTAAATATTTGATTTAAGGTTTACTACTTTTTATTTAGAGCTGAACTATTTAAGGTTTGAGTAAATAGTACTATAGTATACTATTTTATATTATGTGGGTCTATATAGATTGTTATGTTATCCATTGATAATACTATTCACATCTGTATTTTTTTGTCTGTTTTTTAAAATTCAAGTTATGATATATGAAGAAAATTATACAGATTTTTAATAGAAATATCATGAACTTGAAATCATTTTTTTAGATAAAAAAATATGATTTACAATTAGAAAGTGGTAAAGAAATTTTTTTTTAAAGAGAAATTCTCTCTCCTGTCATCTCATCATTCTCCTCTCTTGTTGTAGAAGCGTAACACCAAGACAGTGTTGTCTTTTTACTCTCCCTGAAGGTTACTTACTACATTTACAGATTTATGGTGTTAGTTAGTTAATTATTTAGTGAAAAAATGCTATATCTGCAAATCACCCATTAAAAAACCAATTATCCTCACGAAGTTTGATGCACTTTAGCATATATGGTTGAAAAAATAAAAAATTGTTGCGAGTCTATATGACTATATGAGTACTATTTAAAAAGAAAAATTAAAGAAGATATGAGAAATAAAATAAAGTAGGAATAACTTGTAGGTTATGAGAATTCATAGCCTATGCACAACGAATTCATATCTTTACAATATTTTTCTGCTAAGATATTGTAAAGAAAGTTAAGAGACCAAAATATCAAAAATAAATTGTAGGTTAATAGCGAAATATTTTTTTGCAAAAAAAAAAAACATAAACAAAAACTTAGCTTTTTGAGATTGCCAACTAAAATAAGTAGGAATAACTTTTTGTAAGAAAGCAGACCAAAATTGTTTGTGTTAAATTTATGAGACAATGTATTTTGAAACATGTGCAGTAAAATACAGAACATGTAAATTCTACTTATATTTTAATTTCTAATTAAATATATAAAAAAATTGTATAGTATGTACTCATGCATCCTACTGATACGTATTACAAATGATGAAAATATTGCTTAAATGTTATGTATATTACCATCATTGATATAAAGAAGAATATATTATATATTATTATAATTGGTTGTATATGATTTTAATCAAAATATAGAGAACAAAAGCATGGATGGACAAATAAACAAATAGTCAATAAAAAAAATTATATAATAAGATAACAAAAGCCTAATGGGCCGTAATACATCCTCAGACCTAAATATCTGAACTGAATTGGCAGTAGCAAAACAAACAAGAAAAAGCCCAACATTTTTATATGGCCGACTAGAAAGTCAATAAATATAAAGAGCCCTATTTTTACTTCTGCCGGAACGGAACGGAAAAATATATAAACGGAAAAAGCAAAAGAAATCGAAAGGATTCGGAGGTGAGTTTGTTTTTTCCACGAATTTTCATGTGAATATATCGATTCATATGAATTCTGAATTGTTGTTTTGGTAAATTTTCAAAGGGGGATGAAATCAGAAGGGACCTCCGGTGTTCTCCGTCTTAACGTTCCAGTGCCACCGGCGGTGTTGAGATATTTTCCATATGGTACAGGGTTAGTCTTGTTACTTGCTTATTAGTCTTTAGAGAGTTTGCTTCCTCAGGTTTCACAATATTTTTTTTTGTTTTTGTAGGAGCGGCTCTGGGAAGGAGGACATGAAACAGGATGTTATACGGCTTGGAGTTGAGCTCTCTGTGTATGTCTCTGAATCCATGTTCTTGCTTTGTGATGACATCCGTACTATGTTATGGTTCTGCGCTACGTTATGGAAATGTGTTATGCCTGACCAGGATCACGTCTTACAAAGGCTGCTTCTTGTTATGCATTATGTCTACTCCACATATATCAAACCCAAGAACCTAGTGTATCATGATGATGGCAACTCGGTCCAATGGGGATTGATCCGGACTACTTGGGAGCTTTTTTTTGATGGAATCATCGTTTTGCATCGCCTTGTTTTGGTTCTCAGTAGAAAAGATTGCTCTTTTGATGATCGAGTATTATCCTCGGCTTTTGCAAAATACAAGCAAGTCCTCAAGAATCTAGAGGCTATATTGAGTTCCGCAAAGGATGTTTCTGAGGCTAATGGGTTTGTGAGGGAGACCATTGAGTCTAACATTTTTGACCTGTGGAAGTCTCTCTTCGATGAAGAAGCTGGCGAAGCAGCACCCCAAGTGATCAGGACTAGGATTTTAACCGACCTGTTTACGCCTCTTTTTTGCAAACCAATCCATAGAGAGATGCTGGCACTGTCTCCACATTCTCCTTACATTTTAGGGTCAGTAATATTATTACTTTTGAGAGTTTGCTCAATCTTCTTCTTCGTATTGACATTTTGTTTTGCAGCTTTGATTTTGCAAAGCAGGAGCTGAAAGAGGAGGTTGTGCGACTTGGAGTTGAGCTCTCCCTATATGTGGCTGAATCGATGTATTTGCTGAGTGATGACATTCGTAGCATGTTGCGGTTCTGCTTGAAGTTATGGAGAGATGCAAAAGGAGACGTGTTGATTCCTGATAGTCCCGTGGTGGAAAGGCTGCTTCTTGCTATTCATTATGTCTACTCAAAAGATATCAAACCCAAGCATGGAGGAGTGTATCAGAATGATGGCAAATCGGTCCAATGGGAATTGATCAGGACCACTTGGGAGAATTTTGATGCTGGAATCAGAGATCTGGATCGTCTTGTTTTGATTCTCAGAGGAGAAGGAACCTGTTTTGATGGCAGAGAGTTCACGTCTAGAATTGAAGAAGCACTGAAGAAGGTAGATGACAAGTTGAGATGTGCCAAGGCTGTTTCAGAGGCGAAAGGGTTTGCGAGAGAAGCTATGGAGACTGACATCGGTGACTTGTGGAAGTCTCTCTTTGACAAAGAAGCTAAGGAAGTGATGAAGCATGAGATTTTTTGGGACCTGTTTCTCCCTCTATGTATGGAGGCAGTACCACATTAACAAACTGCTAGTAGGGGATAAGAGGTCTGTGACACTTGAATTCCTAATTTGGCTGCTCCAAAGGAAAGGAGGACTGTATTGATTGATACCAACAAGTGAAGAGCATCTCCAATGGTTATCTTAACATAATTTTATATTAAAATTTTGATTTTTGTTAGTTAAGAAAAGTTAGATAGTATCTTAGCTAATTTCTACTCCAATGGTTAAGAAGCAATGAGTTCTTAAGAAAAAAAAAATTCAAATTATTGCAAAACAATGTCTTATAGTACAAGAAACCATCAATAAAACACATTACAACATTGGCATTTGAACTTAAGAGATCAAAACTATCCATATCCCAAAATTGTTGTTGAGCTGCCTAGTTTATGGTTTCACTCATCACCAGCTACCACAAATTTATTCTTCATGGTATCGAACTGGACAACCCCCACAGACTGTTTCCCTAGTCCAAGATAAGTCCGCTTCACAGAACCTTCACTTTCATTCCATTTAACAATGAATGATTCCCCCTCCTTACTAGTATGACAAGAGAATAATCTACAACATAAAACTGCTCACATCATTATATAGTAATACACTTGAAATTATGACAAGAAAACGAGTTTCAAGCTTAAAATTTAAAGACAGAGAGAATGTGTTGCAGATGCTTGTATTAGCAGTAGTTCATGTTATTTGTATCTCTGTATATATAATAATGAATGATGCAGAAAAGAAGTAAAAATCATGAAGCACTAATCATTCACATAACTAGCAACAGGGAGAAGTCTTATTAAACCTTTAACAATTAAGGTGTCATCATGTGTTTCAGAGAAGTTCTAATAATAGGAAACTAAAGACCATAAGAAGCTCACAGAATCAAAGACTACTTGTGATATGTACTAAATCAAAGTGGTATGAGAAAATCTTTGATTACATACGCTAAATGCACCCATTTTACATGGCATTCAATGTTATTCTCCAAGGGAGTTTCCTATGACTACTTGTGATATGTACTAAATCAAGATTTTACATTTTAAGTAAGGGTTTAGCTAAAACTAGTAAGAAGAGTGTTTGTGTCTAATTAAAAACTCAATCTGGGGATATACATACCTCCATTTCACGCAAGGTTTCTCCAACAATAACTAGCTGAGATGAAGTAGCAGAGATGTTCACAAAGTAGCATAAAACAGTATCACAAGATAGAGAGATCAGTTATTGTTTCGAGCTCTTACCTTTGTTGGAGTCATAAGATTATCATTCTGACTAGTAACACAAGAATTAGGTGTAGTCACGATAACAAGCTCCTCCTCAGCTAGTTTGTACCTTCAAATTCCAAAATTAACCACAATCAATCAATAGAACCAAGGAAAATCCAAATTCAGAGATCATAAAATTCGAAACCCCATTTAGTTTTCTCAAAACTCTAATTTCGAAACCCCATCATATTACTCTAATTCAACACAATCTACAAATAAAATCAGAGAGATGCGTACCTAAGACAAAATTTTGGAGCATCGTTGAACCAAACTCCCCAGTTTTGTGAAGTCTCCGATTTGCTTCCGATGAAATCGCCGGTCCGGTGGAATGATGATAGCAACGGATGATAGACGGACTTCGACTCATATTCTTCTTAGTTCGACGGATCCACCGGAATCGAAGAGATCGCATATCCTCATTTTTATCGACAAAGGGTCGAGACAGAGAGATGAAGAAAGCAAAAGGAAAAAAAAAAACACGGTTTCATTTTTTTTTGGTTTTGTTTTTTCTTTTTTCCCACTCAGACGCTGACACGTGACCGCTTCTTAACTTTAAGAAAAAGTCTTAGCTAAGATACTGATCTTAGCTTATTAATCTGTTTTGAATTATTTTTTGGTGTTTAATCTTAAGATATTTAGCTAAAAAAAACTTTAATGTAGTTTAAAAAATGTGCACTAAAATACAGAACATGTAAATTCTACTTATATTTTAATTTCTAATTAAATATATAAAAAATTGTATAGTATGTACTCATGCATCCTACTGATACGTATTACAAATGATGAAAATATTGCTTAAATGTTATGTATATCAATACCCATCATTGATATAAAGAATAATATAATATATTATTATTATTGGTTGTATTTGTATAGGGATTTTTGCCAAATGTACCACTTTTTCCCAATTTCTTTCAAAATCTACCACATTCCTATCCTTCTTTCAAATCATACCACATTTACATGCAAAGTTACCATTTTGCCCTCACTACTTGACAACATCCACTTTTTGGCTTCCGAATCTCTCATCCCTCGAGATCCGTGCACTTTAACCCCACATCATTATCCCCCTCAGAGAAAACAAAACGCTTTCGTCTCTCTCTCACTTTCCCTTTCTCTTTCTTCTTCAGATCTTGTCTCATAATAAACGCTTTCGTTTTGTCTCCAGATCTTGTCCCTGATTGAAAATTCTCTGTTGCGTCTAGATCTTGTCCCCGATTTCATCAGCTTGCTCTATTATCATGAATCCCAGATGATATGGTTTTACCAGCCTGCAGAGATCTGGATTTACTCGGGGACAACATCTCTTGATTATCCATCGCCAGATGATGTGGTTTTACCAGCCAGATATCTGGATTAACTCGGGGACAACTTGATCTTTATTTTATTCTGCCAGAGAGCCGAAGACGAAGATCTGGATTTACTCGGGGACAACTTTGTTTTACCAGCCAGAGGGACGAAACGGTTACCAATGCGCCAAGAGAGAAAAAAGACGGCAGCAATTTCGGAAGGTGTCCCTTTCTCTGACACACACTTCTCTCTGCATCAAGGGCAATTTCGTCCGACTATGCATGTGGCACTGAAATGTGGTACATTTCAAAAGCTTTTCCCAAATGTGGTACTGGGCCTAAACTTTCTCTGAAAAGTGGTACCCAATCTAATTTTCCCATTTGTATATATGATTTTAATCAAAATATAGAGAACAAAAAGCATGGATTGACTAAAGCCAAAATAAACAGTCAATAAAAAAAGAGAGAACAAAAGCCTTTCTCACAAATAAGTAAATGGGCCGTAAATAATACATGCTCAGACCTAAATATCTGAACTGAATTGACAGAAGCAAAGCAAACAAGAAAAAGCCCAAAATCTTTATATGGCCGACTAGAAAGTCAATAAATATATTTTTTACTTGTGTCCGTCCGGAACGGAAAAATAAATAAACGGAAAAAGCTAAAAAAGAAATCGAAAGGGTTCGGAGGTGAGTTTGTGTTTCCACCAATCGAAAGGATTCAGTGTGTGTATCGAAGTTTGATTTTTGTCTTTTTTTTTTTGTTTTTGTTTTTATGATTCCGACGAGTAATTGCTATTTCTAAGTTGTATGGAAATTTTGATAGTTTTACATATGAATTCTGAATTGGAAAAGGTCCTCCCCAGGGATGAAATCAGAAGGGACCTCTGGTGTTCTCCGTCTTAACGTTCCAGTGCCACCGGCGGTGTTGACATATTTTCCATATGGTACAGGGTTAGTCTTGTTACTTGCTTATTAGTCTTTAGAGAGTTTGCTTCCTCAGGTTTCACAATATTTTTTTTTATGTTTTTGTAGGAGCGGCTCTGGGAAGGAGGACATGAAACAGGATGTTATACGACTTGGAGTTGAGCTCTCTGTGTATGTCTCTGAATCTATGTTCTTGCTCTGTGATGACATCCGTACTATGTTATGTTTCTGCGCTACGTTATGGAGATGTGTTATGCCTTACCAGGATCACGTCTTACAAAGGCTGCTTCTTGTTATGCATTATGTCTACTCCACATATATCAAACCCAAGAACCTAGTGTATCATGATGGTGGCAACTCGGTCCAATGGGGATTGATCCGGACTACTTGGGAGCTTTTTGTTGACGGAATCATCGTTTTGCATCGCCTTGTTTTGGTTCTCAGTAGAAAAGATTGCTCTTTTGATGATCGAGTACTATCCTCGGCTTTTGCAAAATACAAGCAAGTCCTCAAGAATCTAGAGGTTAAATTGAGTTCCACAAAGGATGTTTCTGAGGCTAATGGGTTTGTGAGGGAGACCATTGAGTCTAACATTTTTGACCTGTGGAAGTCTCTCTTCGATGAAGAAGCTGGCGAAGCGGCACCCCAAGTGATCAGGACTAGGATTTCTACCGACCTGTTTACGCCTCTTTTATGCAAACCAATCCATAGAGAGATGCTGGCACTGTCTCCACATTCTCCTTACATTTTAGGGTCAGTAATATTATTACTTTTGAGAGTTTGCTCAATCTTCTTCTTCGTATTGACATTTTGTTTTGCAGCTTTGATTTTGCAAAGCAGGAGCTGAAAGAGGAGGTTGTGCGACTTGGAGTTGAGCTCTCCCTATATGTGGCTGAATCGATGTATTTGCTGAGTGATGACATTCGTAGCATGTTGCGGTTCTGCTTGAAGTTATGGAGAGATGCAAAAGGAGACGTGTTGATTCCTGATAGTCCCGTGGTGGAAAGGCTGCTTCTTGCTATTCATTATGTCTACTCAAAAGATATCAAACCCAAGCATGGAGGAGTGTATCAGAATGATGGCAAATCTGTCCAGTGGGAATTGATCAGGACCACTTGGGAGAATTTTGATGCTGGAATCAGAGATCTGGATCGCCTTGTTTTGATTCTCAGAGGAGAAGGAACCTGTTTTGATGGCAGAGAGTTCACGTCTAGAATTGAAGAAGCACTGAAGAAGGTAGATGACAAGTTGAGATGTGCCAAGGCTGTTTCAGAGGCGAAAGGGTTTGCGAGAGAAGCTATGGAGACTGACATCGGTGACTTGTGGAAGTCTCTCTTTGACAAAGAAGCTAAGGAAGTGATGAAGCATGAGATTTTTTGGGACCTGTTTCTCCCTCTATGTATGGAGGCAGTACCACATTAACAAACTGCTAGTAGGGGATAAGAGGTCTGTGACACTTGAATTCCTAATTTGGCTGCTCCAAACTGTATTGATTGATACCAACAAGTGAAGCTTATGCTTTTATTTGTTGATGAGTCAACTTGGTATTGTTTTTTATTTAAGAGTTTTAACTGGTTATCGATCAAGTTATATATTGAACTAATACGAAATCATAAGTAAAACAAATGTGGTTGGTTTAGTAAATTAAGTTATTTGCTTCTGTATTATGAGTAACGTGTAGTTTGATCTGGAAAGATAGCTCTGGTTATTGTTCAAGTAAACAAGAGAAGAGTGATATCATATAGATCAAGCCACCAACTCATGGCTAAGGCCTAAGAGCTGTAGACAAGGTACACAAGGATGAGAGCTTATCAGATTCACTAGCCACTCACAAGGGTTTCTGGTTAATAATGCCAGGTGCAAGGACAGAGGAGGAGATGCAAAATATACAAATCTTCCTAACTTGTCGGATACCTCTAGCTGAATTCTCGCAGTTGCGATTCCACTTTGTTGCCAAGCAGGTCATCGACTTTTTGTTGAAGATTTAGAGAGAATCTTGGTCTCTTGTGAAAGTTTTGTCTACACTTGTGGTCTGCCGTCTGCAAATAAACTTTGATTAAGGAACATAATAATGTCACTGCATCTAGCTTTTTCCCCAAGAGAAACGGTTTAGGGCTTTTGTTCTGAAATGTGGCAAACATTCAATTTCTAGAGGGAAGATTTATGTTTCGAAATCAACAGTGCAATTAGAAGAACAGACAGAAGAAAATTTTACATCTTCGTATTTCTGGGTAAGACCAAGCCGCTCGAGACATGTCCGGTCTAAATACCGCCATTGTTTCCTACTGCGCGGGCACTGAGGTTCCGGTTCGACGACCCTTGAAAGAACTGGGGGGTAAATTGGTCAAAACAATTTGTTACTTTTTGTTGAGGGCAAATCGGAGAATTCGCCCAAATTTGTATGATACGCTCGCAGAGAGACTGAGGGCAAATTGGAGAATTCGTCCAAGTTTGTTATATCATTCTTCCCCCCCAAACCCTCTCTGTCTCTTTCTTCACCGTCAAGTATCAGTTCGGGAGCAGTCTAGAGAACAGAATCGCTGGTGAAGAGAGAAACTTTAAGCATGCTTCGGTTTTGAGGAAGAACTACGACACTATTTTCACCGATTCAGGTATCTCTAACCCTAAATTGACTCCATTTCACTTTGCGACTGTGTTTAGTGGACGAAATTTCATGTTCGATGTTCGATTCTCAGATGTTGGAACCTGTGAGAGGTTCGATTTCTTCGAGTTTTAGGGTTCTTTTGTCGCAATTACTGTTACTGATTTCCTTCTTTCTCTTTAGAGAAAACAATCGTACGTCGCTGGTTTTGAGGAAGAACTACGACACTTTTTTTCACCGATTTAGGTATCTCTAACCCTAAATTGACTCCATTTGACTTTGCGACAGTGTTTAGTGGACGAAATTTCATGTTATATGTTCGATTTCTTCGAGTTTTAGGGTTCTTTTGTCGCAATTTTTGTTACTGATTTCCTTCTTTCTCTTTAGAGAAAACAAGCGTACGGTCGCTGGTGAAGAGAAATGAAGGAAGCATAAATTCGTGATTTTTACGATCGTCTTTCTCAAGGTGTGTTGTTTTTTTCATGATTCAAGTGCGAAACTTTCTGCTCACTGTTGTGAATTTTACTTTCTTTCTACTATTGGGATAGGTTTGATCTGCGAGGAGATTTTTTTGATTTGGGGTAACGTCTTGATGAGGTTCTTCTGACCAAATCCATTGTATTGTTGGAGAATATACAAACAAAAAGTAGAGGCGCAGGAGTTTACTATTGCAAGTAAGGAGGTTTTGTCTTCTTTACTACATATAGTTTTTGCTTTGCCATCAACTGAATTCTTTGGAATTTGTATGTTTTCATGTCTCATTTGTTTGGTTTATGCCATCTGAGGGATTGTGTAAAGCTTTTCTCTTGTTTTAGTTTGTCTGTCTTGTCTCTGCAGGATGACTAAAGTACTGTTTAGAGGGTCTATATACCTTGGGTACGTTTATTATGAGCATGCTCTTGTTCTAAGCGTCAAAACCCCTTTGGGATCTGTTTTGCTTTTTGTTGTGTCTTCTTTAACCTGAGAGAATGCATCCATATCTCCAAAATTCCTTGAGAACATCATGTCATCGTCCTTATCTCTTCTGGTTCTTATTGCTGTTGCACAACCTGCAACCTCTGATCCCTCATTAGCAGCTAATTCATCCCACCAAAGCAGAGTAATAACCTCAGCTCTGTATTCACAATGCTCTCTGTGAAATCTATTTACTGGTGAAGAGAAACTTATGACTATATAACAACTGTAAATCCATTGTGTCAAGGGGATTTTCTGTCTCTCTTGAGTGATTGGTAGATTACTAAATTATTTCTCTTTTTTGGCAGAATCAAGCTAGTTCAGGGCAATCTAGACAAAAAGAATCTTCACTGAGATGGAACGGCATCTAGAAGAAGTTTCACTGCACTTGGAGAGGTTCAAAGATGCGTGTTCCAGCAAGAATTACAGTACCTGTAGAGAAGTCTTGTCTCGCCTCAAGGTATCGATTCACTTTGAAGCATTTGGGGATTTTGAGTTTGAGGTTGATTATGCTAAAGGGTTCCATTCTTCTTTAGGATATTATCGATGAAAAGGAAGCCCAAGAAGGACTAACTCTGCCACAAACTCATGACGGAATTGAAGAAAATGAGCATGTTGAAGAGCCTCAAGACTTTGATAACAACGAGCAACAACAGATTGGTGACCGGCTAGACTTTGATAACAACGAGCAACAACAGATGGGTGACCAGCTACTGCATCAGCAGTTTTTTGATGGAATACCTGAAGAAAACGATCTTGAGGATCACCAAGATTTTTCAAAAATTCCTTTGGACGAAGGTTATCTTAAAGAACACCCTTGGGGATATTTCACAACCGAGAAAACTTCTGAAGAGTTGCAAAAGAACGAACAGCAGAAGCTCGGTGGAGCAAAGGCACAGCAGAAGCTCGGTGGAGCAAAGGCACAGCAGAAGCTCGGTGAAGCAAAGGCACAGCAGCTCGGTGGAGCAAAGGCACAGCAGAAGCGCGGTGGAGCAAAGGCACAGCAGAAGCGCGGTGGAGCAAAGGCACAGCAGCAGCTCGGTGGAGAAAAGGCACAGCAGCAGCTCGGTGGAGAAAACGCACAGCAGCAGCTCAATGAGGAGCCTGTACGTCGATCAGAACGACGCTTTACACCGACTAAAAGGGTAAGTAGACTTGTTGGATAACTTTTCTTTTTGTATTTTCAGAACTAATCAGAAGTTCATGTGTTTTAGTTGCTTCAAAGTGTGGGACAGCGTGATTCTGAAGAGGAAGATTCTGAAGAGGAAGAAGAATAGTGAATGATTCTTTGGTTTGACTGGATGACAACTACTTGATCTTGTGGTTTGACTGGAAGTTAACTCATGATACCAATAGATTACAGCAAAAACACAATTCTTTGAGTATCTCAAGTTTTTCTAAACTCAGTAGAGAAAATCTCAGTCAAGAAGAAGAATCTCATTGAAAGAATCTCATTTTTACACGGTAAAATTTGCAGAAGAAGACTAGTTTGGTGGATGGCCAAGTCCCCACATAGGCAGAGAAAAATGGTAGTTCAAAAAAACTTTCTGGTGAAATAATTTCTAATAGATAGATAAAAGCAAGAAGAAACTAGTAAGTCGTCTAATGTTTTGTTTCATCTTCTTGTTTCAAAAGAGGCTGAAACAGGTCAGAAAGAATCTCATCCCTTATCATTTCCCGATACCATGCTTCCTTGGTTTCTCTGTTAAAGAGAGACTTCCACAAGGCCAAAATGTTAGACTCCATCACTTCTCTCGCAAACCCATTCGCCTCTGAAACATCCTTGGCACACCTCAACTTCTCCTCCACCTTCTTCAATACGAGACACCAACTCTCCGCCATCTGACCAATATCCTTTTACTTCGATAGTCAAATAAAGGTCGTGTAGATCTCTGATTCCAGCATCAAAATCCTTCCAAGTGGTCCTGATCAATTCCCACTTGCCCAATTTGCCACCAGTATGATATACTCCATTCTCCGGTTTGATGTTTTCTGAGTAGACATAATGAATAACACGAAGCAGCCTTTCCACCACCAGACTACAAGGTTTCAGGTCCCTTTTTACACCTCTCCATAACTTCAAGCAGAAATTTGACATACTACGAATGATATCACACAGCAAGAACATCGATTCAGCAACAAATAGCGAGAGCTCAACTCCTAGTCGCACAATCTCCTCTCTCAGCTCCTGCATTGCAAAATTAGACCTGCCAAAACAACAACAACAACAACAACAACAACAATGTCAAACATGAAGACTTACTTTATTATATATGTAACCTGAGTGAGTTAAAGAAAAATTCTGAAATAACATTACTGACCCTAGAATATAATTATAAGGAGAGTATACAGGTAGTGTTTGTATCTCCCTATGCCATGATTCACCCAAAATAGGCTGACACAGTTCGCTAAGAATCCTATCCTTTATCACTTCATGTATTGCTTCGCCAGCTTCTTCATCAAAGAGAGACTTCCACAGGTCAGAAATGTTAGTTTCCCTTGCAAAACCATTAGCGGCTGAAACATCCTCTGCAGACCTCAATTTATCCTCTAGCTTCATCAGCACTTGCTTGTACTTTGCAATAGCCAACGATAATAGTCGATCATCAAAATGAGAGCTATCATTTCTTCTGAGAACCAAAACAAAGCGATGCAAAATTATGATCCCGTCAGTAAAATCCTCCCAAGTGGTCCTGATCAATCCCCATTGGACGGATTGCCATCATCTTGATACACTCCGTTTGTTGGTTTGCTGTCTTTGAAGTAGATATAATGAATAACACGAAGCAGCCTTTCTTGTTGGAATATTGAGAGAAAGAAGAAAAACAGTGCAAGAGACATTTGTCTCTTCTCTTGTAAAGAAGACAAGAACAAAAATAACTCTTTATTGAATCTGAAACTTGTTGTTCTGTAACTTCTGTTAAGACATGACATACACACTTATATACATGTTTACATAACTACTCCACGTAACCGTTGGTAACAGTTGTAACTTCTCCGACACGTTACGTCTCTTACTCACACCCGTTCGTGGTAAGTCACATGTAACACATTACATCCGTTGACTTTACACACAAACTAACACATATGATATTAGAAGATTTAATCATGGACTCAATTCTAACACTCCCTCTTGAGTCCTTTGATTAAATCCCCAATTTCAATCTAGGGATTTCATCATTTCAATGCTCTCGCTTCTTCTTCAACATTGATGATTCACCTCTTCTCTGGTTGAATCCCTTTCATTGACGATTGTATATGTCATTGGTAAACCTCCCTTCTCTTTCTCCCTCTTGACCGGATGCTTCACTCATCGATTTTCCTCTTTCGTGAACACTTCTTCTCCACCTCGCTCTGTTTCGATTCTCCTTAATCGAACACAGCTCTTTCTTTTCTGCAGGTGCTGTGGAGTTGAATCATCTTATCCTTTGGTAACTTCTTGTTTTAGAAACACTCAACAGATTTCTGGCTAAACCCGGAATTAGAAACACCTCTTTGATGATCTTCTCTTCTTGGCTTGTCATCACTTGGATATTTCCCTTTTCCATGTCTCATCATTCACGTTTGATGATGATCTTTCTTCAACTGCACTAAACAGCATATGACCTTCATCATCTGTTTCTTCTAGGCTTAGGTACGCTCTCTCGGTCTTTCTAACCTTTCTTCACTACGTGCCGTGGCTTGTTACGTGCAGAGCACCTTCTTTGCTACTTGTATTTGACGTTGCACACTTTGAGATTTCTCTTTCCCACAAGGCTTCTCCTTTGTCACCTTCAAATTTTTTTTTTTTTTTTCACGTGAGCTTTGTCACGTCTTCTCTGGTTGTTTTCGAAACCACTCACTTTCTTTTAAGTGAGATTTCTTCTTATATCCTTTTGGTGTCCTCTTGATCACCAAATTTGTGCGTGAACTCCTCCACGTCTTCTTCGGTGTCTTCTTTTGATCACCATGACGTCTTGTGCGTGAATCTTCTTCACGTCGTCTTCGGTTTACTCTTCAACCGACTTATGCTTCATTTTTCTCCGAGGTAAGCATCCTCTTGTGCTCCATTTTTCTCCGAGGTAAGCATCCTCTTATGGTGTCCTCTTTTGATCACCATCACGTCTCTGTGACGTCTTGTGCGTGAATCTTCTTCACGTCGTCTTCGGTTTACTCTTCAACCGACTTATGCTCCATTTTTCTCCGAGGTAAGCATCCTCTTGTGCTCCATTTTTCTCCGAGGTAAGCATCCTCTTATGGTGTCCTCTTTTGATCACCATCACGTCTTGATGACGTCTCATCAGTTCCCTTGAACCTTTTTTACTGAGTAGCCTTGCACTGTTCTCCCAACAGAAGCTTACTCCGTGTTGCAGTGTTCTTCACAACTCAACAACACCTTTTGATATTAAGCCTTGCTCTGTTTCTTACACAGGTGGCTTCCTCCGTCTTGTTTCAGTTGACTCCTACTTCGGATTCTCAACTTCATCAAGTGATGTCTTCTTTGCATCCTTGAACTTCACCAAGACCTTGTTGAACAAAGTTTCAGAATTCTCCTTCCACAACTCCATATCCACATCCGTTTTCTCCATTGCCTTTAGAGAAGATTTCCTATCTTCTTCATCGCTTTTGGAGCCTTCCTCTTGAAGGTACTTCATGTGAATGTGTTTGTGAAGGCTGATGGTACTCTCTCTTGTTACCACCTCTTCTTGTTCTTCCTTTTCTATTACGTCTTCTTCTTCTTATTTTTCTCCTTTTTTTTTTTTTTTTGGTTTCTAACCGTAAGAAATGTTGGCTCCATCTTTCTCTTCTTCTCGCAGCGGAATTCTTTTTACTTGAATAGGCCCTTGAATCAGTAGGGCTCTGATACCATGTTGGAATATTGAGAGAAAGAAGAAAAACAGTGCAAGAGACATTTGTCTCTTCTCTTGTAAAGAAGACAAGAACAAAAATAACTCTTTATTGAATCTGAAACTTGTTGTTCTGTTAAGACATGACATACACACTTATATACATGTTTACATAACTACTCCACGTAACCGTTGGTAACAGTTGTAACTTCTCCGACACGTTACGTCTCTTACTCACACCCGTTCGTGGTAAGTCACATGTAACACATTACATCCGTTGACTTTACACACAAACTAACACATATGATATTAGAAGATTTAATCATGGACTCAATTCTAACATTTCTAACACAGGATCTTAGGGACGTATAGTATATTTGCATAACTTAAAGCAGAACAAAACATAGTAGGAATATCATCACAGAGCAAGAAGATGGATTTAGCTACAGAGAGTGATAGCTCAACTCCTAGTCGTACAACCTCCTGTTTCGTGTCGTCCTTCCCAAAGCCGCTCCTACAAAACCAAAATGTCTAGTACTAGTACACATTTTGATTCCATCTCTGACTCCTCTAACGGGCATGTCGTCTAGTAATACTTTTTTAGGCTTTTTACAAAATTTTGGCCCATTTTTCGGCCCATTAAGACAAGGTTTTTGAATTTTCTCTTTGAAACCCTCAAGTGTTTTTTTTATGCTTGGTCGATGTGTTTAGCCGTCTCCATCATCAAAATCAATGGAGGAAGAAGAAGCGAGAGAAGTGGTGATCGATAATGATCTAAAGAAGAAGATCAAGGAAACAGTGAAGAAGATCCTAAAACGGTCGAGCTTACTTGAGATTACAGAGATTAAGGCCCGAGAAGAAGCTTCCGCTGAGTTGGATCTCGATCTTTCGCGAGATCCGTACAATCTCATCGTCAGAGAAGCCGTCGATACTTTCATTGAAAAGGCGATAATGACAATCGAGACTGAGATGGGAAAGCTTCATACTCAGATTGTAGACGATGTAGATGGAGGAGGAACCGAGAAAACAACGAAGACGACGACGAAGAAGAAAAGGAAGAAGAAAACAAAGAAGAAGGTGGAAGAAGCAGAGTCATCAGCTGCTTAGGTAAATTTTCTTTAGTTGAAATTAGTGTTTTAGCCATTGATAGAGTGCTCAAAGTCAAAAGTGTATCCAACTCTGTAACATGATGATCAATCAACAGCTTATTATTGGGCTTCTATATGTTTTGTTACTTCAAAATTGATGATTGTCTAATTCATTATTATGCATTTAATTTGCAAAACATTTCTTGGTTTTTTGGTTAAATTTAATTGATATTCAAAAGACTCGAAGTGTATCAAAATGAAACTTCTTTTTCCAATGAAAATGACATTTTGCATATCTTTGTTTGGGTAGAGATTTTGACATTTGCATATAGATAGGAGAGACAATTAGAAGATTGATTGTCAAGAATCTGATGTACTCACCACGTAGCTTACACTGAAGCCACAAGTACACTTTGTGGTGGTCGTCACTCTAATTCTCATTATAATCGTTTCACATTTATTCATGGACTCAAATAAATCCACAATTGTTTACTAACTCACCATAGGAAGAATACAAATTGATGCAAAAATATTTAGATAAGAGAAGGCTCTAAGACCACACAAAATGCTACCCATCATTTTCTTGTTTTCTTCATATAGTAAACACAAAAACACATACAAAGAAAACTGAACAAAATTTGAAGAATTAAAATGGGGTGTACATCGTCCAAGCAAGTGAAAGCTAACGTCGTCGCCGACGTTTACAAACCACCGCCGTCAAGTTTCGCGGTGTTTGATGTCAACGCCATCCAAGAGCCATGGCTAAAATTTGAACATGAAGATGATGAGAAACCGCCACGCTCCACCGTCTTCGACACTCTCGAGGAGGATGATGATGATGATAACGCTCCGAAAACATGGGATGAAGTCAGCAAATCTCTAGAAACTAAACTTAAACCCGCCGCCGATAAACCGCCGGAAGTTGTCTCCGTTAAACCTCCGGCGACTCCTCCACGACGGCTTCCGCGGAAGAGCGCATCGTTCCACACACTGGACGAGCTTGAAACCAGGGCCAAAAGACAAATCGCCGAGCAAATCCCGACGACGGTGGTTAAGCTTAAGAGAACCGAGTCGATGTCCGAGCTAAGACCCGAGTCAGATGATCGGACCGAGTCCACTCAGTCGTCCTACTCAGGGCCTCGGTCAGTGAAGGAGAACATATTCGTCAAGAGAGACAGAGAACGGAGGGAGAAAGAAGGGAACAAGAAACCGGTGATGAACTGGGACCCGCTTAGGGAGTTCCCGGAGAAGTGTCCTCCGCGAGGAGGGGAAGGTTTGGTTGTCTACACGACGTCGTTGCAAGGAGTGCGTCGCACTTACGAGGATTGCATGCGTGTGAGGGCCATCATGGAGCAGCAAGGAGTGGTGGTGGACGAGAGGGACATTTCTTTAGACGCCGGAGTCTTGAGCGAGCTTAAGGAGCTTCTCCAAGACGAAGCATCGGTGGCGCCCCCGAGAGTGTTTGTGAAAGGGAGGTACTTGGGAGGAGCGGCGGAAGTGACGGCGATGAATGAGAACGGGAAGTTAGGGAGGGTGTTAAGGTGGGCACGTGTGGAGAGAGTAGGGGAGGAAGGGAGGCTCACGTGTGAAGGGTGTGGAGGAGCGAGGTGGTTGCCTTGTTTTGAGTGCGGCGGAAGCTGTAAGGTGGCGGCGGTTGGGGCGGCGAAAGGTGAAAGGTGGGAGAGGTGTGTCAAGTGTAATGAGAACGGATTGATTCGTTGTCCCGTTTGTTTTGTTAATTAAGAACATGAATATAGTTTACACAAGCAAATAGAGGTGTGTCAAATATACGTTGTCTTGTTTGTTCTGTTATATGTATGCGACAGGTTTGATTATTTCTTAATGTGGAAAGTTGAAAATGATTTGAAACTAGGCTCTAGGATCTTAAACAAAATGTTAAAGCATGCATGAGAATCATTCTAATGCTAGCTTCAATGGTCTCTTACTTGTATATGTTTATGGTTTTGATCATTTACATAAAGGTGTTGAGCAAACACTTGTCCAAATCTGTTATCAATTTATTTCGAAGAAGACACAATCGTTTTCTTTGTTGCCATCATTCATGTCAAATTGACTGATTTGTTATGCTTTCGTTGAGGATCTTTTGCAATGAAACAGAGTTGATATGAATTCCATCATGATGGTATGTATATGGCAATTTGGTGTTAATTTTATATTCTGTTTTTGAAGTATGCTTCTCAAACTTAGCTTTAGAGTTTCTCACACTCTGTTACAGTAGAAAACAGAGCAATGCATAAAAAAAGATAAACTGAAGCAGAGCCAAATAAAGATAGATTTACTTTTGTTCTTCCAAAGAAACCAAAAAAAGAATCCGACTTTTTTCTTCACACATACACAATGTTCATGGTCTCTTCAGTTGTACTTCCTCTTCTTTATCTTGAAGGAAGATGATCGGATAATGTCATCGTCGGCAGTGAGAACGGTCTCAAGCGGAGTTATTGACTCGGGTTTGGTGAAGTAAGTGAAGAGAAGGTAGATTCCATCCAAGTAAGTGTTGGTTTCTCCAGCTTTGTTCTTCTTTCTAATGCTGTAAGCCAATGGAATCACTCCTCTGTTAAACACTTCCACATACATTCCACCTCCTGCCACAAGCAACTGCCACACACACCAAAAAGAAATCCCAGCAACATAACGAATCTTTCAGAGTATGCACCAAGTAAAAACTTACACTACTCCGAACCCGACACAAATTTCAAAATTCTGATTTGATTAAACATGTGATATAGCGTAAAGAATCCACAAATGATAACTGTGTAATAGCTCGTTCTGAGCATCAAACCATCTGGAAATTTCAGAATTGAGTAAAAATGTTAAGGTGAAACATGACTAAGAAGTAAGAAGTGCATTAAGGGCTCCTATCTAGTTTCCAGTGGTTGAGACTTAAAGAATTCACAGCCCACAGAAGGATGAGATTGCTCTTGGAAAGCTAAACTCTTTACTTCAATTTTAACAAGGAGTTGTCACAAACATTCAATTGATAAGAAACCAATAGCTGCAAATTACTCTCAACTCTACATTGAAACCATTTTCTCTTGCTTTGTCATTAACGTGTAAGAACAGACACAAGATGCAACTTTTAGTGAATCTCTTACCTATACTATGACAGAAATTTTCAAGTCAGAAAAATGTAAGTAAGATCAGTTTCTAATTGAATCCTAAAATCTCCTTTTCTCTCAAATTACCTAACTTTCCCTCTGACATGAAACAGAAAAACAGGTAAATTTGGAGACTTTTACTTACCTCTTCATATTTCTGGGTAAGACCAAGACGTTCATCTTCAGACATGTCTGGTCTCAAAACCGCCATTGTTTCGTACTGCCTGAGCCCAGGTGGGCACTGAGGTTCCGGTTTGTCTTCAAGGGCAGTTGAGACACCCGACCCGGGAGGAGAAGTCGGGTCATCGTCCGACCCGAATCCACCTTCAAAGAAAGTTCCAGAGAAATCAAGAGCCTGAGATTTCACCACAAATTGAGAGCCATCTCTCTTCTGCTGTTGTTGTTGTAGCGAGGCACAAATAGGTTTGGACTTGGAAATGAATGGCCTGAGAGAGTGAGAGAATGAGAGCAGCGGCTGCGAAGATACATTAGGCAGAGGGCAAATTGTGGAATTCGATAGACATAGCGAAGACGCCACCATTGTTGAGAGCTTAGTACAAAGTAAACACAAGAGTTTGGAGAAAGGAAAGAGACGATGGGGGTAATTTGGATAAGAGATGATGATGGTACACGTTAGTCAGAATGCTATTGTATACCGTGGGCCTTTTTAGATTGTTTCGGCCTGTTAAAGGCCCATTGTTTGTAAAGATATGTTTTTTTTTTAATCTGTATTTTTCTTCGCGATCAAGCCAGTTCTCGGAGCAATCAAATCTATAAGAAAAGGAATCGTCGCCGGTGAAGAGAAAAAGATAGAAGCGATGGATCCGCAGCTAACGGAAGTTTCACAGCAGTTCGAGAGATTCAAGGCGGCGTTTGCAAGGAAGGATTACAATAGCTGTAGTGATCTGTTGTCTCAGCTTAAGGTATCTCTCTCTCTCTTCTTTGAACCCTAATTTGTTTCGATTTCACTTCTTTGCATATCTGCTTAACGGACGAACTTTAGGAAAATTGATGGGTTATGTCGGAAGAGTTTGAATCTATGAGAGCTTTGATTTATACAAGTGAGAATTTTTAGCATATAAATGTGTTTCGGATCTTTTAGCAGAGCTAAGTGCTGTGAAATTTTTACTTTCTACTTTAAGGGATTGTTATTGTGAGTAGAGAACATGTTGTCGGGATTTGTTTAGATTTGCAATTTACTGGTGAGAGTTTCTGATTTCAGTGGGTTTTTGTTATGTTCTTCAGGTTCTTCTTACCAAATTCACAAGTCTTCCTCCATTGTTCGAGAATTCACCTACTGCAGCCAAGGAATTGACTATTGCTAGTAAGTTTTTGTTTTTATTGTTGGGTTTTACATTGAGTTATTGCATGGAGTGTTTCGGATTTGTCTATGCTCATGACTTATTTGTTAACTATACTTAATACCATTGAAGGGTCACAAAATCTGAGGGATTGTATTTCTTTAGTTTGTCTGTCTATCCCTATATGTCTCTGGATGCTGTAAACTTTTAGATTGCTGTTTACTGGGTATACATTAATCGTTGAATGCTGCATTGGTTTGGATTGAGTTATTGGTAAATTTTGTTCTTATTGATTATCCGCTTCTAAAGTTTTGACAATTGGTGAATTCTAGGGGACATTTATGAGCATGCTGTTGTTCTAAGCGTAAAAACCGAGGATCAAGATGCTTTTGAGAGAGATTTCTTCCAGTTGAAACCTTACTATGTGGATGCCAGGTGAAGAAAGAACCAACTCTCTGAACATTATCCTTTTTCATTTTTGATGCAATGTTTTTTTTTTTTTGGTTCTAACATCATATCTTCTTTTTCTCTGCACCAGGAACCGTATTCCCTCATCTCCACAGGAGAATCTTATCCTGGGTCTGAACCTTCTGAGGCTGCTTGTACAAAATAGAATTGCTGAATTCCACACCGAACTTGAATTACTTTCATCAGCTACACTGGAGGATCCTTGCATCAAGCATGCAGTAGAGCTTGAGCAGTCCTTCATGGAGGGTGCCTATAACCGTGTGTTGAGTGCTAGACAGACCGCGCCTGATGCAACTTACGTCTATTTCATGGATCTCTTGGCAAAGACCATAAGGTAGCATCAATGAGTCCGTCCTTTTCTGAATTAGTTCAGTCTTATGTCTTCTCACGTGTATCTCACCTCTTTATTGTTATGACTGAATTATCAGAGATGAAATAGCTGGATGCAGCGAGAAAGCTTATGATTATGTCTCTATAAGCGATGCCCGGCAGATGTTGTTGTTCTCTTCTGATCAAGAACTCTTAACCTATGTCAAAGAGGTAAAAGAAAAAACACTTTTGTGCAAGATGTTGGAATCTTTTTTAGTTTCATGAACCATTGACGCGATTTAAGTTTGATCAAATCTTATAGGAGCACCCTGAGTGGGAAGTGAAGGAAGGGTTTGTTGTCTTCCAGAAAGCCAAAGAAACTGCACCGTGCAAAGAGATTCCGTCTCTGCAACTCATCAACCAGACTCTAAGCTACGCCAGAGAGCTGGAGCGTATCGTGTAAGATCCGACTTTCCTCACTGCTTGTCTCTTCTCTTCCAATTATGTTCCTGGAAATCTCCGGGTCCTAAAACGTTGTTATAATGTAATGACCGATATTGAGCGATTCAGTATTTTCTCCGGGTCAATGAGACTTTGTTGCGATATCAATCTGTTCTTCCATATCCTGTTACATTATATTCTATTGTTTAGTGTTCACCCGTTTTCATTTGGATACTCTGTCCTCCTTGCTTCGATGCTTTGCTTGAACATGATGTCCATAATTTAGGGGTGTTCAAAGCTAGGTATAGGCGTTCGAAATATTTCGGTTTTGTTTGCGGTGGAATGTTTCAGTGCAGTTTGGTTATTTGGCTTATGTTTGGTTTAGTTTTGGATAAAAAGGATAGATTTGGAGAGCCTCTAACGTAGTGTAGCCGGATATGGAAGATTGAAGAAGGATAGAGTCATTACAGAACAAGGAGAGACAATTGTCCATCGCCAAACACTCATCAACTTGGCAAAAAACTTGAAACAAGTGGGGATGTACGTTGCAAGCATTTCTTCTCCTTCCTTGGGGTTAAAATATTGATTAACAGCTAAATAACAAATTAGGGAAGTTATTATATCATTAGAAGAAAGAATAATCACGATTAGATGTCCCCACTAGGAAAACACGTTACTGTTAATAAATATTTATGTATTGCACAAAGGGCTTAAGTAAGGATCCACTTTGGGTAAGTAGTTGAAAGTGGCTGAGTGGTTTCTAGCTTTTTTATTCATCTCCGAAAGTGAGATTCGTTTTAACATAACTTTTTTCGTTGTTGTCAATTATTGATTTGTTTATCATAATTATTTGCTAAGAACATCATTATTATGGAATTAATTATAGGAGTCGTTGTTATTCTACTCACCCACAACAAGCACTTAGTGCCTAATTACGTCTTAATTTAATATATTTTTTTAAGCTTTTAGGCGTATAAAATATGTGCTATGACAACTTTCTTGGTGCTGGACGTGTAAGAAACGTCTTAACAACATATACTGATACAAATCAAGTAATTGTTTATTGAAATGTGATATAATTGGATTACATAAAAATCGTAATTATAAAAATGGTAAAGGATTAAATAAACCTTTACCACCAAAATCGTCTCGGTCATAAACAATGCATTTTCAATGAAATGATTGAATTATTATTATTCAAATTCATATGCATATTTAGCATATCGATTTTTTTTGTCAAGCTAAATTCTAGAGATGGTCAATCAATATCAATATAGTTTTAGAAACTTCCACCAAAATTACTAAAAAAGGATTTGAATAGTAAAATAGCCGTAGAATTTATACTATAACCAAAAGATAATTGATTTGGACAAAAATTTGATGCTTTCTGTCCCAAAATAAAAAAAAAGAATTTGCATGAAATGGGAGATATTCTAGTGGTTGGGGTAAAATGGTACAGCGTGGAATCAAATGTCTTCAATAAAATCAAAATATTTTATCCCAAAAGATTTAAATAATGTTACAACTTGTCTTCTCCTCTTATTTCTTCTCTCTTTATTATGTTTCCTCTCAGAAGCTGAATCAGAGTTTTTGCTTTGCCTCGGAGATTTCAAAGGAGCTCCAGCGAAACTTCCGGAGATATTCACACTGACTCTGACGAGATTTTGTTTCTAATTTGTCTCGCTGCTGCTGTTGATGGAACTTGACGATTTGGATCTCAGCGGTTCTTGGCCGTTAGATCAGATCACTTTTGCTTCAAATTTCAAGTCTCCTGTCATTTTCTCTTCTTCCGAACAACCTTTCTCTCCTCTCTGGTCCTTCTCCGAAGCTTCCGGAGATGTCGGCGGCGAACTTTACTCCGCCGCTGGAGCTCCCACTCGCTTCACCGATTATTCCGTCTTACTCGCTAGTAAGTCTTCATGCTCTCTCTCTCTATGCAAACTTTAGATTCTAGAATCCAATTCGGATAATGTAGTGGATATGGAATTGCATTGATCTAGCTAGATTAGTAGAATTTGGATCTGGAATTTATAGAATCGAACGAAATGCAGGTTCTGAATCTGAAACCATGACCAAGGAGGAGAATAATCAGGTTCCTTCTCCGTTATGGGGTATAATGCCGCTGGAGAATCCAGATAGTTACTGTGCCATCAAAGCCAAGATGACTCAAGCGCTTAGATACTTCAAGGAATCTACTGGACAACAACATGTTCTTGCTCAGGTTTGGGCGCCTGTAAAAAACCGTGGACGATATGTTCTTACAACTTCAGGACAGCCATTTGTTCTTGGTCCCAATAGTAATGGCCTTAATCAATACAGGATGGTTTCCTTGACGTATATGTTTTCCCTTGATGGTGAACGGGACGGAGAGCTTGGGCTTCCCGGTCGCGTTTTCAGGAAAAAGTTACCTGAGTGGACTCCTAATGTGCAGTATTACTCCAGCAAAGAGTTCTCAAGGCTTGGTCACGCCTTGCACTATAATGTTCAGGGAACCTTGGCTTTACCTGTTTTTGAACCATCCAGGCAGCTCTGTGTTGGGGTTGTCGAGCTTATTATGACTTCTCCAAAGATTAACTATGCACCTGAGGTTGAAAAAGTTTGTAAAGCGCTTGAGGTTTGCTCTTGTTTCTCCTTTAATTGTTTTTTTTTATCAGTATCCTTTGATCTTCCGGTGGCATTAACGTATTCTGTTGTGTTGCAGGCCGTGAATCTGAAAACTTCGGAAATATTGAACCACGAGACCACTCAGGTTATCTGCGAGTCCAATGTCAAAATCTCGAGTATTCTTTCAGAAACTTTCAAGAACTGTCTTGAGTTCATTTAGTGTTGTTCCTTCTTGTTTTGATCTCCATTTCCTTTTGATTTCTCCTATACCAGATCTGCAACGAGGGTCGCCAAAATGCATTAGCTGAGATTTTGGAGATACTGACTGTGGTGTGCGAGACCTACAAATTGCCTTTAGCTCAGACATGGGTCCCTTGCAGGCATCGCAGTGTTCTAGCCTTTGGAGGTGGTTTTAAGAAAAGCTGTTCGAGCTTCGATGGAAGCTGTATGGGGAAAGTCTGTATGTCTACTAGTGATTTAGCCGTTTACGTTGTGGATGCTCATGTTTGGGGTTTCCGAGACGCTTGTGCTGAACACCATCTGCAGAAGGGACAAGGTGTTGCTGGGCGGGCGTTTCTGTCTGGAAATCTATGCTTCTGTAGAGATGTCACTCGGTTCTGCAAAACCGACTACCCGCTAGTACACTATGCACGCATGTTCAAGTTGACCAGCTGTTTTGCTGTCTGCTTAAAGAGCACATATACGGGGGATGATGAGTACGTTCTTGAATTCTTTCTTCCTCCAGCCATCACAGACAAAAGTGAGCAAGATTGTCTATTGGGTTCTCTGCTTCAGACAATGAAGCAGCACTATTCGAGTCTCAAGGTTGTCTCTGAAACTGAACTCTGTGAAAACAACATGTCTCTTGAAGTCGTGGAAGCTTCGGAGGACGGAATGGTTTACTCGAAACTTGAACCTATCAGGATACATCATCCAGCACAAATCTCTAAGGATTATCTTGAGCTCAAAGCACCGGAACAGAAGCTGAGCTTAAACTCTGACCTTATGGAGCATAATGAAGTTGATGATGGGTTTGAGAGGTTCCAAACGCTTGATACTATACCGGAGACCAAAACTGTGAAAAAATCAGAAAGGAAGCGTGGGAAAACAGAGAAAACGATCAGTCTAGAAGTGCTACAACAATATTTTGCTGGTAGTCTAAAAGATGCAGCAAAGAGCCTCGGAGGTATGTTCTTAACCTTGTGTATTAATTGTAATCGTTGATAACAAACTCAAAAAATTTGTGCTTTCTTTTTCCAGTTTGCCCAACGACAATGAAACGCATTTGCCGACAACACGGGATCTCACGGTGGCCATCTCGAAAAATCAACAAGGTGAACCGATCTCTCACACGACTTAAACATGTTATAGACTCTGTTCAAGGTGCTGATGGATCACTCAATTTAACGTCCCTCTCTCCTCGCCCTTGGCCTCACCAAATCCCTCCAATCGACAACCAATTACCAAAGAACTGCCCTCCAACTTCTACATCTCCCCTAAGTAATCTCCAAGATGTCAAAATCGAAAACAGAGATGCAGAAGACAGTGCAGGTTCATCAACTTCGCGTGCTTCTTGCAAAGGTAAGTTAAAGCCTTTCATAATCAACAACAACATTTATTCATAATGCAAAATCTCAAGATCCATAACCATTGTTCTCATCTGTCTCGTTATTCACAGTGAGTCCTATTTGCGAGACGCGTTTTCGGCTCCCAACACACAACCAAGAACCATTCAGACAAACGGGCTTGGACGATTCTGACAGTAGCTCTAAAAACATAACAAATTTTTGGACACATTTAAGTTGCCAAGATACAGCTTCTCCAACAACACTCCACAATAAGCTCGTGAGTATAAAGGCAACGTACAGAGAAGACATCATCAGGTTCAAGATCTCACCAGAGTCGGTAAGCATTAGGGAACTGAAGCAGCAAGTGGCCAAGAGGCTGAAGCTCGAAACAGCAGCGTTTGAGCTCAAGTATCTAGACGACGACAGAGAATGGGTCTCGGTCTCATGCGATACTGACCTCAGCGAGTGCCTCGACACGTCTGCAGCGAAAGCGAACACACTGAGGCTCTCAGTACATGACGTGACTTTTAACTTTGGGAGCTCATGCGAAAGCTCAGAGGAAACTATGATGTGCTTGTGACAATGCTTCACTTGTATACAACTTTCTTGTATGGATCTGAGAGTTTTGTTTCTTTAGAAGAGGAGTTTTACTGTGCTATTTTTTGAAGATGTATAAAAGCACACTTCTCCACATCAATAGATGTTGATTGGAATAATAATAATTGTTATTATTTGCCTATGTGACTTAGCCTGTTACTTAGAGTGAATTGATTTCAAAATTAACATAAGTGACCAAATTTATACAAGTGACCAATTTTGAGTAATTTAGGGGAATGACATCTCAAACGAGGGTGACTATGGAGACCGAGACCATTCCACGGTGATGGTGAGGCAGTGTTGAGTCTATTGGTATTAGATCGGAGATTGTGGTGTTGTCGTAACCTAATGTCACCTTCTTTTTTTTTTTTTTTGCTAAGAAGAAGAAGAACTTTAATGTCACATAACAAACGAATACTTAACATGACACTTAATGCAATGACTAAAATCAAATATCTCACATGATAATAACTTAAATTCATATGCATGCATACGTATCTTTTCCATTTATACCTTTAATATTTCCCAAAAGCTTGGTCCATTACATCATATATGTATGCATGCATGATATTTATTTTTATTGGTAAAAATAGTATACGTTTATTGAAGCTCATTATTTTATGAATGGTTTAGTTTGCTTTTATGGTCTTCCTTTCCCTGGTTCATGATCTTGATTGGCTCCTGTTCTTGCATAGTCTAGATGAAACTCCACAAGCTCTCTCTCCTTTATTTCGATACCCTCCTTAAAATCAACACCCTTTTTTATTCAAAAAGTTAACAATCCAATGTTAAAACTTTCTAATCACTATCATAAAGCATGGAAAATTGGCATGAAAAGTAGGGTAAAGACTCGTGTTTACTTTATCTCACACAACAAAACACAACGTAAACACACCATTAAGGCATTAAGTAACCATTTTTAGACCGCAGACAATCATTTTTTATATAGTTTTAGAACCAATATGTATAATCCATTAATTAGTGTTTATCTCAAACTAAGTTTCTATGCATATCAGCATATGATCAAATAACAACTTATGAACTGTGGTACGCGACTCATGATATCATATAAGATACAAAAATTGGGTATATTGTATATTATAAAACGGAAAGGAAAGAAAATTTACCTTCTCAGACCTGAGATCCACAAAATGACGAGGGGTAGCGTTTGATACATCAGTGGAGGTGATAGTGAATATAAGAAAAATGAGAACTACTAACTTTGTATTATAGCTCATATTTGTTTGTTTTTTCTTAAACAACTTAAGATTAGCAAGACATGAATATTGTGGGATTTTATAGAGACATATGAGATGAGTTATATAGAAGCAAGAGGTGGAGATGACATTGTGATTAAAGGTTGTTATTCATTTTGGAAACACAATCAAAAGCTATGGATAATTATAATTGTAAATTTATAGGAATATATATTATAATTAGTTACATATAAAGTAAGATAATAGTTTTTTCCAACAAATGAATTTTCAAAGTCAACTAGGTGCACTATGGATCCTCTTTTGTCACCTCAATTCATCATGTATCTCAATTTCGCTTGTTTTATTGGTACTATTTGAGATGATCTTTATTTGATTTTAATATAAAGACTTTTATTCTTATTGCTAATTTTATCATTACGTATTGGAGCCATGATATCAACACATAGATCATATCTTTTTATAGGAAATAAATATAAATGGACTAAATGATACATAGGGGAGGCTGGTTAGGGTAGTGGCAGTGATAATGGAGAAGAGCACCATATAATTTGATATATTCCTAATTAATAAAAGTTGAATGATTCATATCTCTCCTCTTTTGTTTATATCTCTTTCAAAACCTTTACCAAACCCATAAAGCCTAATTTATTCGTCTTTTTTCTCTGTACCCACAAGCACTCATCACATATTACAAAATTTTTGAAAGCAAATACTATCTCTGATTTTATTCTAAAAATGATTCGATCTTATCAAACAAAATGATCAGGATTAATAATATTGGGCAACAATGAATGGGTTATATGGCCGGCCAATCAATTCATTCTATTGGGCTTTAGAAATAAGAACGTGTATTAAAGGAAAGAGGCCCATTATCATGAAAGGAAGGAACGAACGGTCAGGATGAATCCAACGCAAGATCAGAGATCTAATTGGCCGGTGTTCTACATTTCGCGATATGATTGGTTCGCATAATCTAAGATGACATGGCGTCTTATTCTTCGCATTCCATGTGTTTACCGTACACATGTTATGAAATGGTTGGTCCACGTCATCTAAGATGACACGGGCTCTCTCTCTTTCTTCAGGTCACTGAACCTTTAAAAGCCTCCACGCGACCTCTGGAACCCAACATTAATAAGAAGAAACTCATCAGCTCAGAGATAAACGGAGGATATTGAAGATGGCACGCGACTCGGTGGTGCTTGCGATCGTCTTATTAGGTGAGAATGATCGTCTTAGATCAAGCCTGGATCTGTATGTATGTATGTTTTTTTGTTTCTGCTTGAGTTGTTTAGATTCTTAGATCACAGATTTCGTGAATGTTACTGGATCGAGTGTTGGTGCGAGTAATCATAATTTGATGTGACGATTCGTTTTTTCGTGAATTTGATAACTATAATGTTTTCTGATTAGATCTGTTCTTGCTGTGAAATTTATAGTGCATTGGTATATATATTTCTATTATCCACATTGCTTTCTGCTTGAGCATTGGATGGAAGTCTTGGATAGTGATCTGTTAGTGTTAGAGCGTAATATGATAGTATATCTGTGTTTGTTTTGTTCATATTTGTGTTTTGGCTTTAGTTATTTTATTGACGATTGGAATTATGGCTTCAGGATGTCTTTTTGCGATTTCAATGGCTAAAGAAGAGGCTACGAAGTTGGGATCTGTTATAGGAATTGATCTTGGTACCACTTACTCTTGTGTTGGTGTTTACAAAAATGGCCATGTTGAGATCATTGCCAATGACCAAGGAAACCGTATTACACCTTCCTGGGTGGGTTTCACCGACTCCGAGAGGTTGATTGGTGAAGCTGCTAAGAATCAGGCGGCTGTCAATCCAGAGAGGACTGTCTTTGATGTCAAGAGATTGATCGGGAGAAAGTAAATTACATTTTCCTTTGCTTTTGGGTTTCTTTCGTGTCTTTTCTCATGGAATGTTGCATTAAAGTTTCTGTCTTTCCTTTTCTAAATTGCAGATTCGAGGACAAAGAGGTGCAGAAAGACATGAAACTTGTTCCTTACAAGATTGTGAACAAGGAAGGCAAGCCTTACATTCAAGTCAAGATCAAGGATGGTGAGACCAAGGTTTTCTCTCCTGAGGAGATCAGTGCCATGATTCTTACTAAGATGAAGGAGACTGCTGAAGCTTACCTTGGCAAGAAAATCAAGGACGCTGTTGTCACTGTTCCAGGTGAGCTTCAATTAACTTTATATTGTGTGCTTAACTCTCTTCTTTATGTATGTTTGTTTGACCTCTTACTGTTTCCCCTGTGCAGCTTACTTCAATGATGCCCAGAGGCAGGCCACAAAGGATGCTGGTGTTATCGCTGGGCTCAATGTTGCTAGAATCATCAACGAACCCACTGCTGCTGCTATTGCCTATGGTCTGGATAAGAAGGGTGGTGAGAAGAACATCCTAGTCTTTGACCTTGGTGGTGGTACTTTTGATGTCAGTGTCTTGACCATTGATAATGGAGTGTTTGAGGTTCTCTCCACAAATGGTGATACCCACTTGGGAGGTAACTCAGCCTTAACCTTAAATGCATTGTCTGAATTTCATCACCTTTAATAACAACAATGCATATTGTAGATTATACATTAGGCAGAACGGACATTGTAATATGCTTTTGGATTCTGTGCCAGAGGCATATATATATATATATGGTTGTTGTGTTAACATGTTTTGCTGTGTGATTTGTGCAGGTGAGGACTTTGACCACAGGGTCATGGATTATTTCATCAAGCTGATCAAGAAGAAGCACCAGAAGGACATCAGCAAGGACTACAAGGCTCTGGGTAAACTCCGAAGGGAATGCGAGAGAGCCAAGAGAGCTCTTAGCAGCCAGCACCAAGTCCGTGTTGAGATTGAGTCCCTCTTCGATGGTACTGATTTCTCTGAGCCACTCACCAGAGCCCGTTTCGAGGAGCTGAACAATGACTTGTTCAGAAAGACAATGGGACCTGTGAAGAAGGCCATGGATGATGCTGGTCTACAGAAGAGCCAGATCGATGAGATTGTACTTGTTGGTGGAAGTACTAGGATCCCAAAGGTACAACAACTATTGAAGGACTTCTTTGAAGGGAAAGAGCCAAACAAGGGTGTGAACCCCGATGAGGCTGTTGCTTATGGTGCTGCCGTTCAGGGAGGTATATTGAGCGGAGAAGGTGGTGATGAAACCAAAGGTACGTATCTCAGCTACGTATAGCTGATTATTGTCTTAGTGTACATGTTGTGATTGTTTTAGTGTAAATGTTGTGTCTAAATGTGGTGTATTTGAAATTTCAGATATCCTTCTTCTGGACGTTGCGCCACTCACTTTGGGCATTGAGACTGTCGGAGGAGTGATGACAAAGCTGATCCCTAGAAACACGGTCATTCCAACCAAGAAATCTCAGGTGTTCACGACATACCAAGACCAGCAGACCACTGTCTCCATCCAGGTCTTTGAAGGTGAACGAAGTCTCACCAAAGACTGCAGGCTGCTCGGGAAATTCGACCTCAATGGAATCCCACCAGCTCCAAGGGGGACCCCTCAGATCGAAGTCACATTCGAAGTGGATGCCAACGGTATTCTCAACGTGAAAGCAGAGGACAAGGCAAGTGGGAAATCAGAGAAGATTACAATCACAAATGAGAAGGGACGTCTGAGCCAAGAAGAGATTGAGCGGATGGTGAAGGAGGCAGAGGAGTTTGCAGATGAAGACAAGAAGGTAAAGGAGAGGATTGATGCAAGGAACAGCCTGGAGACATACGTATACAACATGAAGAACCAAGTGAACGACAAGGACAAGCTTGCAGACAAATTGGAGGCAGATGACAAGGAGAAGATAGAAGCCGCGACGAAAGAGGCTCTTGAGTGGCTCGATGAAAACCAGAATGCAGAGAAAGAAGATTACGATGAGAAGCTCAAGGAGGTTGAGGCTGTATGTAATCCAATCATCACTGCGGTTTACCAAAAGTCGGGTGGGGCACCGGGAGGTGAATCAGCTTCGACAGATGAGGACGATGAATCTCACGATGAGCTCTAGACCAAAAGTCGGATATTGTTGATTTGTGACTTCCCAAGTGGTTGGAAAGAGTAGAGACTAGAGAGCGACAGACATATTAGTTGTTATTAAAGTTTTGAGCTTTTTATTCAAAGAAAAGCTGTTTTTTTTTTGTTTTAATGTATGTTATCAAGGAATGTTTTCAAATAGGGACAGATTCTCTCTTTTAACATGGTATGCTTGGGATTACCAAACTCTTTTACACACAAAAAAGTTATTAAAGAAAACCTGAAATATTTTGAGGATTTATTCCCAAAGAAACTGTTTCGTTCTTTAGAGGCGTTGGGATCATCGGAGCTTCCAGGTTTATAATTTTCAACTCACAATCTGGCCCATACTATTATTATACCCGAACTATTTTCGTTTTTCTTTTGGGCCTATAATTTGTTAATTTGCTGGGTTATTTTCGGGAAAACTACATAACAGTCCTCCATTATACATATTTATTTAGTATATTATGTTCTTAAACCATTTCGATAGGTCATTGACGACCCAAAAAAAAAAAAACCATTTCAATAGGTTAATATCTTGAACTAATAAAACTAGAGCAATTCTTTTAGATAGTCCAAGAACAACTTTTACAGAAAACAAAATAGCACACGGGTGAAAAATCAGAAAATAGTATTAAATTAATCTGAATGAATAATAAGTTAATAAAAAAATATTTCATATAAAAAAAGATTTTTGAATATTTTGGTTTTTTGTTAAAAGTACATATTATTCAATCATTGATTTTAAAATCTCTTCCCAAATTCCATGTTATTGAAACTAAAATTTATGTAAAATCATTACAAATAATTCAGAATATCTTGTTATTCAATCAAGAATTTATGAAAATCATATCAAATCCACTGTTATTCAAAGTATACAATTTCTTTTCAAAAAATACTATAAATAGATTTGGAGAGATTTTGGATACATTTTTTGTACAAAAATTGGAACAAAACAATCACACCTCTAAATGTGGTATTTGAAAGGATTAGAACAAAAAGTCCAAGAAAAAAAAATACATGACTAATCCAGAATCGTACTTGCATAAAATGTTAACAAATTATTTTGCATTGATTTTTTGCAGAGATATGAACTAGTGGCATATGTATTTCAGTATTTCAATATTTTGAGAGTCCAGCGTCCTTCTCAACAACTCATTGATGAGTATACTACTACATTAAAAATGAAGTATTATGGTTTGGAATATGATATGGGTGATCCATGTCTCTTTGCACAAGATCTTGCACGTTGTCCCCTAGTTAATGTTTTTTTCTTCTTTTCAAGTCTTGTACATCGTCTGCTTCTAATCCTGATCAACTCTTTCAGTTAATATGTTGAAGGGACCAACGAAGCATGCACTTAGTCTAGACTTTTTGTATGGTTTTGGGTGAACAAGCTGAAGTGGAAGAGATTCTGAAAAATTTAACGCCACAAAATATGAGAGTAGACTTTTTTTCTAAGCCATTCATGGATGAAGGTAAATGATTTATTCCAATTAGGTTTTCTTGAAACATTGATTTGAAACAAACTTAAAACAGTTTATCTTTCTCTTTGTGTAGAGTTTCAAACAGTACCCTACTTCCATGCCAAATACAAAGTAGAGGAGATTCCAGCTCATTATATCGACAGATGGCAGAACAAGGATATTGAAGATCCTTCTCTATCTTTACCGCCCCTTAACGAGTTCATGCCATCGCTATTTTTTGAGGAGATTAAACTTATCAGTTTAAGGGACGAAGATGATGTTGATGGTGATACTTGTTTTGATATTTGCTTGAATGAAGTGTCAAGCAAGCTTTTTCATAGAGAAGACAGGTCGGCATTGTTGTCAAATACTTCATTCAACCTTTACATAAATGTCTCTGATATTAAAGCCCATATGAGAGCTCTCATTATCATTGAGATGATAAAAGATGACTTAAGTGCCATCTTATTTAAAGTGAGTCTATTTAAGTTTATTAGTTTTCTTTATATTTTGTTACGAAATTATTAATTCTATCTTTATATTTCAGGGGAAAGATGCGTATATCAATACTTCTTTAGCATTTGGGGATAATAACATCTTGGAGCTGAGGTTTGAAGGCTTTTAAAGAAAAGTTCAAAGATTATATTTCAGAAATTTGGAAGAGAATTAAATCTTTTATTCCCAAGGAAGAATTCTTTGAGGTATGTCAATATGCTTTTTTGTTTCCCAAATCCCATAATTTACCATTTTCTGTGTTTAATTTTGTATATGCTTATATTACAGAATATCATGGATAAAATGCAGAGAGAGTTCACTTCATGGGATATTGTTCAACAAGCTTCTACATTGTTGTCTGATGTCCTTATAGATGGTAACATTACCTTGGATAATAAATTCAAGGTGTTGCAGAGTATCACTTTTGAAGATGTCAAACACTTCAATTTTCTCTCTGAGGTAAATTACATTTTTAGCAATTGTTTGTTTTTTCAAATTGTTTATTAACCATCTCTTCAGATCCATTCAAATTTTAAGTATTTCTGTTTGCAGATATGTTTTATGGGCGTATGTTCTGGAAACATTTCAAGCTAAGAGTCGAAAGAAATACTTAATATATTTGAGGCTACTGGAGAATTTAAAATCCCATATGAACTAGGGAAAAAGAAAGTACTAACACTTGGTACTCCATTGCAAATAAATGCGAAACCTAAAACTGAGTCTGAAACCAACTCTTTGGCAAAGGTAATTTTCAATTGTTTTGTTGTACTTTTGAAATTAAAACTCAATATTTGTCGTTTATATTTGATCATGAATGCAGGTGTTTTTCCAAATGTCTTGCAAAGAAGACGATTCTGGCAGAGAAACAACTTTCTTAGTCATTTTAAAAGCAACCATAGAGGTGTACTTGTACCGTGAGCTAAGGTTTTCTCTCAAAATCTTTCTAAATGACTTTTTCTTTTGCTTGTGAGCTGCTTTGATGATTTGTAAATTTTGTTCTGTTTTGCTCCCAAAACTTTGTTTCTTGATAGGCAAAAGGAACGACTTGGTTATGAAATTGGTTGTGGTGTTCATCTCAATTCTGGCATGAGAGGATTCTTTGTGTATGTGGTCTCTACAATTCGCCAACCTAAGTATTTGTTGGAACGCATATACGCCTTCATTGGTACCGTTGGTGAATTCTTGGTAAGCTGTATTAGAATTTTAATTTTAATTCGTTCCTTATCATTGAGTTTGATCTAATTTTGTTGATAACATATTATAGGAGGGTGTTGATGAGAGCGGCTTTGAAAGTTACAATTTTAATTCGTGGGTATTTTTTTGCTACACTCGTGTCTTTTGTAATATAAACAGTCTGGTATGTCCCAACTGTGATATTCAGAGATTCATGGCATGGAACTCGATGGCGGAAAAGCTTTATGGCTACGATGTCTCCCTTTCATGATGATGTTCTCTTATTGGGATCATATGCATCACAAATGATTCTGCTCTTTTTCAAGACCAGTGCCGGCCTTGAGGGTAAGCAACATAAGCGACCGCTTACGGCCCTGGCTTGAATATTAGAAAATGTTCACACGTGACTTGATTACATTATATTAACATAGGTCTTTCATCCCATTATATGTTCTTGTTTATTACTTTTTAATGTAAATGTTTTGTATTTTCTGTTTTTTTTTCTTCAAGATTCTTGTATTTAGAGTTTCAGTCATGCATATATAAAAGTGGTCATATAGGTCCATCATTTATTTTTGTTTAAATAGGTGTATGAATTAATTTAACTAGTGTGTAAACAATGGTAGCTTCAATATAAATCGTTATAATTATTTGTATAATCCACAAAAACACTAATACATATCATCTAAATTAAGTTCATAGTGATTTAATATGTAGCTTAGTAGTTTATTTATACTGCTAATATCTCATAATTATGAATATACTACAAGTAAAGGGACTGATATGGTTGCCATACAATTCTTGCTGAAGCTTCCTTGGACAGCACTTGATGCTGTTTAAGAAGCAGCCTAGCTCTCTAGTAAAGTCTTAAGTGTTTATCTGTGGGGATATGGACAAAGCTTGGTTTACAAGACGGGAGTGATTTTGATATTTTCAGTTGGATGATGAGACTCTGACTTGTCTACTTCAAGGGTTCCAATGTTCAAAGTGTGATAAATTTATCAAAAGCAAAGATGAAAAGCATTTTAGAATCATAGAGACTCCAGAGATGGTGAAATTGGAAATGGATCATCATCGTGATTACTTTAACCTTCAATCCTTATATTCTAATCTTCTCTTTGACGAGTCTTCTGAAGAGACTCAGCTAGCCTGCGTACAAGTAATAAGGAGAATTCTTGGCCACACAGCCCCAATATTCTGGTAAGAACAAGGTCTCAATGGATAAGGGAAGCATTCTGTGCTCAGATTGGTATCTCCGTACAGCATCCTATTGTGAGCTGTTTGTTTCTTGGTGAAGATGCTACGGGGAAAAGCTGCTCATATTCAAAATGACTTGTTTGATATTAATTCTATCTGTCAGGCTGACCAGCCGTCCAAATGTGGTAAGAAATTTTGCAGAAGCTGTTTTGGGTGTTGAAACTGAACAACTTGTGAGGAAAATGGTCCATGTTGTTCTTCCTAAGCTCTTGGTATATTGGCAGGAAAATGCTCAAGCAGCCAATACCTTGATCGAACTAGCCAAGTTATTAGACACAGATGTGGTACCTCTTATAGTAAACTACATGGCTCATGGGAAGATCTTATGGTATCTATAAAAAATCTAAAATTAAGTTAAAAGGTATTTTTATACGTATTAGAAGAGTACTTAAAAGAAAATCTAACCTTTATATAAGGTTAAAAAGATATTGAATGGTGTCCAAAAAAGAAAAAAAAGGTAAAAGATACTGAATAAATTAGCTCATCAGTAGAGGTGAATTAATCAACAATCGAGAGGAAAGGTATAAAATTAAGGAAGACATGGGTGAACCCAAATCTTCTTCTGTCTAGTCGAAAAAAAGAGATACTTGCTCCTCTGTCTTTCTGTTACACCAAGCCTGCTGCTTCATTTCTCTTGAGGTTTGTTTGCGTCTGTCCTGAATCATATTTGACCTACCTAATTTTGTTCCCCTTCCATTTATTTAGTTAGATTAATTAGGGTTTATGAGTAACTTTGGCTATATCTATATTAGAGATGACTTGATGATATTTAATACTGTAATCCAGATTTGCATGCGATTCCATGGATCCTAGAGATTTGATCAGCAATCTGCCAGATGAGATTCTTGGCAAAATCCTGTCTTTACTTGCGACAAAACTTGTTGTTTCCACAACTGTTCTGTCCAAGAGGTGGAGGAATCTGCTCTTTCTTGTAGACAACTTTGATTTGGAAGACTCACCAACTAGTGGCTTCTCTGCTTCCTTGGAGCAAACTGTTGCTCGCTTCAACACTTATCCCATCAAGAGACTCTCTCTCAATGGCCGCCACTATGTATCCTCTCGTGCTGACCGTTGGATTTGCACTGCCCTCCAACGCGGCTGCTTGGAACTACACTTGCAATCCCAATATCTCGATATAGGGACCTTGTCTATTAACACATTGGTTAAACTCACTCTATCCGCTCGAATTTATCTTCAAGGGCGTGTCCCCCATGCGGGCTCTGTGTTTTTCCCAGCGCTCAAGACTCTTTCTCTCGGTTCAGTTGTGGCTAATAAAGATATGTATGAGTGGCTCATCTCTGGTTGCCCTGTGCTTGAGGATTTATTCATACGTGATGGTTGTGATGGCCCCCAAACTTGGAAGAGGTCCGTGTTTAGTAAATCCCTCAAGCGACTCACAGTTTATTTCCATCATCCTATGTCCGTAAGGGCTTATGAAGACATTGTTTTGTTCAAGACACCGAGTCTTGAGTTTCTTGACTATTCTGCTTTTGTCTCCCAAGGCTATACTATTGTTAATCGTATGGCTTCTCTCGTTGAAGCTAGACTAGATCTTCGATTGTGGGTGTCAACTGTCTCTTATGATAGTGATTATGATGACAAAGATTTTGATGTCTATCGTCCATATGATGTTTTTGGTAATGTTACAAGCCTGGTTGCGGGGATACGCAAAGTTGAGACCCTTCACCTGTCTCCTGATTCTCTTGAGGTCAGTTCTGCTACGCTACGCTACGACTGATGGTGTTTTATCGGTTTTGTTTCATTTCTATATGTGTTTACTGGTTGTGATTATACAAATCAGGCGTTTTTCTTCTGCTGCAATTACATGCCGGTCTTCAACAACCTCCGTAATCTGTCTCTTGAGAGCGACGAAGAAAAAGGATGGCAAGCATTGCCTCTTCTGCTAAATAATTCTCTACATCTTCATACTCTATCTATCAAAGTATGACATGCTTTTGAGAAATTAATACACAATGTTTTTTTTTGGCTCTTATACATGTAAAAAAAGTTGGTCTGATTTGTTATGGTTTTTAGGGTCTTGTGCACAGAGTTACTAGTAGATGTGGAGACGTATGCCCCTGCATTAGAGAGAAGAAGAGTGGAATGTGTTGTTTATCGGCATGTCGAATCAAGGTGCTAGAGATTAAAGGGTATGGAGGAAGTTTAATAGAGCTGAAACAAATGAGGCATTTCTTGGGAAAACTGAAATGTCTTGAAACTGTGAGAATTGGTATTGAAAGAGACAGCAACAACCAGAACTTGCGAGCCAATCTAAGGACTCTTCATAGAGCTTCATCAGAGTGCAACATCCAATTCATTTGACTTCTCTCTCTCTCATTGTCGTTTTTTGTGGCTGAGATTTGATGGTGATGTCAAAGAGATTTACAAAACAATTAAGATATATGATATGAGTTTGTTAGTAATAAAAATATGTTTTGAATTGATTGCCGAAACAATTAAGAGGTCTAGTTTTGGTAAGTCCAAATTGCTAATCTATCTCTCAAACATGAATTTAACAGAAACAAAAATTGAGGACTTTTGATTTCACAATGGCCTTGAGCCATGTTAAGAGGAGAAACGTGAACCGGATTAAATCATAATGTTTGGTTTGGTTTGGTTTGGTTTGGTTTGGTTTGGTTTAGTGTGTCCCAAATTGCCCTAAAAAAAAGCTTCGCCTTCTCTCAATTCATTGCCTTCATTTTTGGGTTTATCAAATCAGTTTTTGTGGAATTTTGAATCTCGTCGCTTCTGTGTTTGGCCATGACTGAAGTTGCGAGCTCGGTTGTGTATGAGGTGCTCGGACGCAGAGCTCAGGATGTGGACGAGCCGATCATGGACTACATCATCAATGTCCTCGCTGATGAAGATTTCGACTTCGGTGAGGAAGGTGAAGGTGCCTTTGATGCCGTCGGTGAGCTCCTCGTCGCTGCTGAATGCGTTTCCGATTTCGAAGAGTGCCGTTTGGTAAGCAATCGTCGGAGCTTGTTGCTTGGCCTTTCTTCTGTTCTTCAATTATTGTAATTCTAGATTCGTTGTATCTTTGCTTGTGTGTTTCGTTAGGGTCTCTGTGATTGGGAACTTAAAATCTGTGTTGAAATGGTTTCCAAGAAGTACCGAATAGGTATGTAATTTGGATGTGGTGTGTGTGTAGGTTTGTAGCAAACTGTCGGATAAGTTTGGAAAGCATGGATTGGTGAAGCCTACACCAACTGTGAGGAGTCTTGCTATGCCTGTGCGGATGAACGATGGAATGGATGATGGACCGGTGAAGAAGAAGAAGCCGGAGCCTGTGGATGGCCCTTTGCTCACTGAACGTGACTTGGCTAAGATTGAAAGGAGAAAGAAAAAGGATGATCGCCAAAGAGAGGTATATAATAATCACAGGTTCTCTTTTTCTACTTGTTGTTTTTATTTTGTGATTTATTCACTGGTTTTTTGTTTTTGCAGCTACAATATCAACAGCATGTTGCTGAAATGGAAGCCGCTAAAGCAGGGATGCCTACTGTTAGTGTCAATCATGACACTGGTGGTGGCTCTGCTATCAGAGATATTCATATGGATAACTTTAATGTTTCTGTTGGTGGCCGTGACCTGATTGTCGATGGATCAATCACCCTCTCTTTTGGACGCCATTACGGTGGGTTTGATCGTCGTTTTTATTTGTTTTAGCTGTCTGTTTAATCCAAGAAATAGATGGAAAGAGAAATCTGGCTTACAAATGGGTATTTGTTCTCTTTGGATTACTTTACAGGTCTTGTAGGACGTAATGGTACCGGGAAAACAACTTTTTTGAGGTATATGGCTATGCATGCTATAGAGGGTATTCCTACTAATTGCCAGATATTGCATGTCGAACAAGAAGTGGTTGGTGACAAGACAACAGCCTTACAATGCGTTCTTAACACTGATATTGAAAGAACCAAGCTTTTGGAAGAAGAAATTCAAATACTGGCAAAGCAGGTTAGACACAAGCTACTTTACTAATAAGTATTAGCATTTACTCACGCAGGTGTTTTACCTTTTCGTATCATCTGTCTTTGGTGGTAATTTTGACTTTTTGTTTGGTTATCTGAAGAGAGAAATGGAAGAACCCACAGCTAAGGATGGATTGCCTACCAAAGACACAGTTGAAGGAGATCTTATGTCTCAAAGGCTTGAAGAAATATACAAAAGGCTTGATGCAATTGATGCTTATACTGCTGAGGCTCGGGCAGCTAGTATCCTTGCTGTAAGTTGCTCTTTACCATCATAAATTTTCTGTAGCCCTTTAGAGTTTTCATTTCATAGCATAGATATAAACAAGAGGGTATGCATATTTGGACCCAAGTCGTGACCCATCACTACATAAATCATATAACATGCTAGATTTGGGGGATATCTCCTGTTGAAATCTTTGCATTTTCTTTTGTTACCTTCAACTTCTGAGTACTGCTAACTTGCAAACGTTCGCTCTACAATATTTTCAGGGTCTAAGTTTCACTCCAGAAATGCAGCTGAAAGCTACTAATACTTTTTCAGGAGGATGGAGGATGCGAATTGCACTTGCTCGTGCACTATTTATAGAGCCTGATTTGTTGTTGCTTGATGAACCTACGGTTTGTTTTCTTTATAAAGTTTCCCTTATTAGATCAATATATTTTCAGGTTTCTGACATTATTTTCCTCTCTTTTGGTAGAACCATCTTGATCTCCATGCTGTCTTATGGTTAGAAACATATCTAACGAAGTGGCCAAAAACATTTATAGTCGTTTCCCATGCTAGGGAGTTCTTGAACACGGTACTTTTTCTCTCTATTGATCCCCATGCAGTTAATATTTCCCCAATATCTCTGGACATGTGTAATACTTGTTTTTGTCTACAGGTGGTCACGGACATCATCCATTTGCAAAACCAAAAACTAAGTACCTATAAGGGAAATTATGATATCTTCGAAAGAACACGGGAAGAACAAGTGAAAAATCAACAAAAAGCTTTTGAATCAAGTGAACGATCACGGTCACATATGCAGGTTTCTTTTCTTTTTCTGAAAATGAACTCATTAATTCTGTTTTCAACTCGTCTCTGGTTTGTTTAACAGTATTCCAACATGGGGATTTCAGTTTGATGCTTGATACCTTGTTTTCTGCTACAGGCGTTCATTGATAAATTTCGTTACAATGCAAAGAGGGCGTCTCTTGTTCAGTCAAGAATCAAGGTGTCACCAGTTACAACTATTTATGTGATTATATTTTGGCCATCAGCGGTGCTCTAATATTGTTGTGTCTATGATTCAGGCATTGGACCGACTGGCTCACGTGGATCAAGTTATTAATGATCCTGAGTAAGCGAGCCTTTCTTATATATATGTTGAAATTAGGAATGATGCTATACTCTGCTATTGTATTAAACTGCTACAGTAGGGTTCAATGCTTACTCTCAGCTTTAGCCTTTTATATATTAACCTCTTGTCTTTCTTTTGCAGCTATAAATTTGAATTCCCAACTCCTGACGATAAGCCTGGACCTCCCATTATCAGTTTTAGGTTTGTCATCTTCCATAAACCAGCTGTGTGAATCTGACAGAAACTTCTCTAATTTTGGTATGGGGAGGATCCAGACATCAACATGCTAAATTTCCTTCCTTGTTTATTCTTTCCACAGTGATGCATCATTTGGCTACCCTGGTGGTCCGTTGTTGTTTAGGAACCTAAATTTCGGAATAGATCTGGACAGCCGTATCGCAAGTAAGAAGGCTCCCCCCTTTCCCTCGATTATGAGATCTCACAGATGATACATGTTTATAAACCTTTATCTATCATTTGTGGATAACAATACGTACAACATCAAAGAACATGTAGAACTTAAATTTTTGAGGTTCTTCCCAGCATTTTAAGCTCTATATATGGTTTTCTCGATTTGCAGTGGTGGGACCGAATGGTATTGGTAAATCAACAATACTCAAACTTATTTCTGGGGATCTGCAACCAAGCTCTGGAACAGTTTTCCGTTCTGCCAAGGTATGGCAGAAGACTTCTCTTTTACCTGAACAACAAATTTGAACACTGTCCTTCTGGAACATATGGGATGACCTATTATTAAACCTCAAATAATGGAGACCCCTTCTAGGTTTAAGGAGTTTGATTCTTAAAAAGCATTGATTTTTTGAAATTTTCTCTGACACCTAGATTTCTAATTGCTTGTTTTCTTGCTCTGTTAAGTGTTAATGCTAAATTTGGTGTCTCTGATATGGTGTTTTGATATCCTTTTACAGGTTCGAGTTGCAGTTTTTAGTCAGCACCATGTGGATGGACTAGACCTTTCTTCGAATCCTCTTCTATATATGATGCGCTGCTACCCAGTAAGTTCTCACGCCTGTAATATCCCTCTTATTTTTATGTGTCAGTTAACATGAGATCATAATTGAGTTAAAAATGTTTCATATATTAGTGTTTACAGTATTTTCTACTTGTATATTGCTTACAAGTAACAAGTACAGTTTCAGTAAGTAAAATCTACATGCCCTCAGCTTCTCAAGATGTCTTAACCGGTATTTGATTTGATGTCGCAGGGAGTACCGGAACAAAAGCTCAGAAGTCACTTGGGTTCTCTTGGTGTTACTGGAAATCTTGCACTGCAGCCCATGTACACTTTATCAGGTAATTTTCGGATGTTTGGAGTTCTATAACCACAATCTTCTAGATGCAGGCCCTAGAATGAAATTAGAAGTACTTCATTTTTATGTGTTGTGGCGATAGTGATTTGTTACGTTCACTAATGTGTTTATTTTTTGGGGTGCGAATGGGGGATTAGGTGGTCAGAAAAGCAGAGTTGCATTTGCGAAGATAACATTCAAGAAACCACACTTGCTATTGCTTGATGAGCCGTCCAATCATCTTGTAAGCTACATATTTTGTATTCATGCATGGATCTTTTTAATAAGGAAGGTTTTCAGTTAGCTAAAAGTAGGAACTGTAATAATGTCAGGATCTGGATGCTGTGGAAGCTTTGATACAAGGACTTGTCTTATTCCAAGGCGGTATTTGCATGGTACTCACTCAATCCTTAATTGGTTTTCAAGATTAGATATCAATCTGTGTACCGGGCTGGGTATATTGATTCATACAAGAAGCAATCAATCTTCTTGTTTGTCTGTGCAGGTGAGTCACGACGAGCATCTGATATCGGGAAGCGTGGACGAGTTGTGGGTTGTGTCAGATGGCAGGATTGCACCATTCCATGGAACCTTCCATGACTACAAGAAACTTCTCCAATCTTCAACTTAAGCTGCGCTGCATTTATATTCCCCAAATCCATGTTGCGTTTAGTTTACCCTCAATAAGACACGAGTCCTTTATACCTGAGATTTGGCGACCGTATTTTTGCTTTATGTCTTAAGGTTGAAACTTAAAAAAATACACTGTACACTTGGAACACGAAAGTATTCATATCCAATGTGCATTACCGATCCAGTCATCCGTAAAACATTTTTACAGAAATTTATGGCAACTAAATTTAATTTACAAATGTACGTACCTTATGAAATTTATCTGACTTTGTTTTTGTACTTGGGAAAAAAATTCATCTAAAGGAATAGCCCAAAAAATATGTAGGCCCAAATACAAGTTTTTGTTGTTTTTTCCCCCATAGTAAGGCCCACATATATTTAACTGAAAGTTATAAAGAACTTTTCATTTCCAATTTTTGTTATTTAAAACAAAATTAAAGAGAGAAAAAAAAAATAGGATCCGACCCGGCTGAAAGCGAGTGGTTTGTTCTTGTTCCCAGAGACACCTTTGCGCTCCCTTTCCTTTGTGAATCGGAATCTGTCCATTAATCGATTCTTCACAGACACGTTTTCTTCCATCTCTCTCCACTGGTGTCGTTCTAAACGTTCTCAAGGTCTGTTTGTGTCGAGTGAATTCAGGTTTAGGAAATTGATCTTAATTGGTTCTGTTGCAGTTTGAGAATTGCAATTGTTGTCATGTTTAGATAGCGGAACCCTAATTTGAGTCATGAAATCGTTGGATCAAATAGAAACCCTAATTTCAGGGCCTCCCTCTGAACCGTCTTCCCTCAATAGAAATCTAGATGAAGAAGAAGAGGAAGAAGAGTGCGAGTATGATGACGAGGAAGAAGATGTTGATTTCAATCCTTTTCTTAAGGATTCTCCTTCTCGTGAAGCTTCTTCCAGTTTGAGCTCTGAAGTTGAGACTCTTGATGGTGAAATTGTTAATAGCATTACTGTTCCTCAAACCTTAGAGGGCAGAGAAGGAAAGGAGGAAATTGCAATGCCAAGTAATGTCTCGTGCCAAGAACCAATCCCTGAGGACTCTCCTGATCCGGGTTCTCTGAAAGGAGGTGGCTTTGTTAGAGATGAGGCAAGTTCCGCTGATGAGAGGACAGTTGAGGCCGCAAATGAAAACGGAGAACAATTGTGTGACATGATGATCCAAACTCAGAAGCAAGATTTGATGTCAACTGAGGAAGATGATGCAATCTGCAAACGGACAAGAGCTCGGTATTCGCTTGCGAGTTTCACCCTTGATGATCTTGAGGCTTTTCTCCAGGAGACTGATGATGAGGATGATATTCCTAATGTCGATGATGAGGAAGAATACCGCAAGTTTTTGGCTGCTGTTTTACATAGTGGCGATACTGAGGTTCCCTTGGCTCAGACTGGAACTAATGATGACGATGATGATGATGAGGATAACGATTTAGACTTCGAGATAGAACTTGAGGAAGCACTGGAGACTGATGACGAGGAAATTATACCGGAAAAGGTCACAACAGGTGACAACATAAGCACTAAGCGACGTCCCGTGACTAGGCAGAAGAGACGGCAAAACATCTCCATTCATCACAAAAACAATTCTCCTGAACAGGCTGGCAGATTGTTACGCCCTCTTGTACCTATCTTACCCATTGCACCACCTGGGAGAAAGTTTTCTGCTACTGAAGCAGTTGCTTCATCAGAGAACAGGACAATAAATGGCTTCACTCAAGCCCAAATGGGAGAACTGCATTGTTTGATTCATGATCACCTTCAACTTCTTATCCAAGTGTACTCTCTTTGTGCACTTGATCATTCACGGCAGCGCATTGGAACCCACGTCCAAGGACTTCTATCTGAGATGCTCAAACAACACCAAGGATTTATCTCACGCCGAAGTCATCTTCTTGTCAATGGTTCAGCATCATCGGTTCTGGATGTTGTGGGTCTAGCTGGAAGATATCTAGTTGATGTTTCTGACGGTATGTTATTAGTAAAATAGGGTCTATATCTCTATGTTTCTTGTCTGTTTATGCAATATAATTCTCTCGATTATTGAACCATTGTAGCTGTTCAAGATTATCGACGGTGTCAAGTGGAATCCGGTTTTGATACTTCGTCTCAAAGAGTGCCATTATTTACTCTTCCTCACCAAGAAGTTGGCGGTGAGATTGTAAACAATCCTCTTTCATCCCCTAGTTCAAGTAAGTCACCATCAGGTCAGCAGCAATCTAAGAAGACGTTAGCTGCTACACTGGTTGAATCAGCCCAGAAGCAATCTGTTGCCTTGGTCCATAAGGATATCGCCAAGTTAGCTAAAAGATTTTTGCCGTTGTTCAAAGTATCGCTATATCCCCACAAGCCACCTCATGCAGCTGTCGCCAATCGGGTCCTTTTCACTGACGCTGAGGATGAGTAAATTCCTCTCCTTTTTTTTGGTCTAGTCTACTAATTTAGTTGAAAATTTATTCCTTGTGCTGCTTGAATGCAGACTACTGGCTCTTGGAATAATGGAATATAACTCAGACTGGAAGGCAATAAAGCAGAGGTTTCTTCCATGTAAAGGCGAGCATCAGGTAATCATCACTGAATTTCTGCAAAACTAGGAATGGTTTTTGGGTTACTAAGTAATCAGTTGGTATTTGATTGGATTGTAGTTCTCGTAAGGGCTATTCTGACCACAGTCTCTGAAGTACTTAGATAAAAATATGAAGATTTTAAAATTCAGCTGCTATCTTGACAAAAACTTCACGTGAATGCAATTTTTGTTGCAACTTGCAAATGATGTAGTTCTTTCATTTTTCTGCTTTCATTCCAGAAACTTATAGATTGGTGTACTGATGTTTTCAATATTGTAACTATATTAAGTTTTATGTAGACATGTTCAAGTGTTCTTCAACCAGGCTGATGATCAAGAAATAAAAGACTTGTCTCTTCTAAAACTTTCGACTTGTTTTTGTTTCAGATTTATGTTAGGCAAAAAAACCGGAGATCATCTAAAGCCCCAGAAAATCCAATTAAGGTCTGTCATATGCTTGATTTGGTTTATCACCTATTTTATTTGTATACTTATCTTATCTGTCTGCCTATCGGCTCCGTAAATTCAGTGGCCTGAACTTGTTTGTTGACAAATAAGCACTGTGAAACCATTACGTATATATGAGCTCTATCATGCACGCAAAATAAATCAGTTTACGAACTCATTGTCATAAATGATAACGTTGGATGACCATCTCGCGTATATTTTGCCACACACAGGCAGTTCTGAGGATGAAAAGCTCTTCCCTGACTCCACAAGAGATAGTACGTATACAAGAGGTAATTCGACAAGCGCACCCTTTTGCAATTCTGATTGGAAATTGTACTTGGGTGCTCAGTATAAGTTTGAATCCTCAGGGACTTAAGTACTTCAAATATGATTGGACGTCTGTGTGGAAATTCGTTGTGCCTTACCGAGACCCGTCCTCACTGCCACGGCAATGGCGCACTGCCCTTGGAATTCAGAAATCATATAAGCTAGATGCTGTAAAAAAGGAGAAGCGGAGATTATATGATACAAAAAGAAAATTCAGAGAGCAGCAGGCATCTGCAGAAGAGGTCTGTCTTTCATATCTGTGGTTATCTCTCAAATCATACAACTCATCCATACTGAACATGTTAATTTTTGGCTTTCTCGTACATTATGTAATTTAGCTTTACTCATCTTTCATCGCATGTTGCAGGATCGTCATGGGGCTTCTAAAGCCAATGACTATCATGTTGGTGATGAATTGGTCGAGAGTTCAGGTGAGGCATACCTACATGAAGGATTTTTAGCAGACTGGAGGCCTGGCATGCCAACCCTCTTTTATTCTACATCTATGCACTCCTTTGACAAGGAAAAGGATGTTCCCGGTAATCGACATGAGTCAGCACAAACATGTATCGGTGAAGGATCTAAGAATCCTGAACTTTGTGGTGCCCAAATTCTGACATGTACGCAGAGGCTTGCACCTTCATTCATTCCTCTGTACCACCACACATCTGTTACAGCACCTGGTGTCTCAAAAGCATCGATAATTACGCGGCCATATCGTTCTCGTAAACTATTCAACAGAAGTGTTGTGAGACTAGCCCCTGATTTGCCTCCCGTTAACCTTCCATCTTCGGTCCGTGTTATCTCGCAGTCAGTTTTTGCAAAGAATCAGTCTGAAACATCCTCCAAAACTTGTATCATTAAGGGTGGCATGTCGGATGTTTCTGGGAGGGGAAATTTGGGTATTGAACCTCCTTGCTTGTCAGCTGACGGTGATAACAACGGTCCCCCTAGCGAGAAAGTGGTAGATTTGCAGGAAGATGTGCCTGCAGAAAGCTCCTCTGGGATGGGCGAGCGGAGCAATGACTCAGATCTTCAAATGCATCCTTTATTGTTCCGGACCCCTGAGCATGGACAGATTACATGTTACCCTCCAAACAGAGACCCAGGGGGTTCTAGTTTTAGTTTCTTTTCTGAAAATCGACCTCAGCTCCTAAGTCTTTTCAACAGTCCAAAGCAAATCAATCACTCAGCTGATCAATTCCACAAAAATTCACCATCAAACGAACATGAGACAGCACAGGGCGACAGCTGTTTTCATCCTCTTCTTCAAAGAACTGAGTATGAAACGAGTTATGTTCTTAGTAGACGTGGGAACTTAGACCCAGACATTGGTAAGAAAGACAAATTATGTCAACTTCAGGATACTTCTGGCGCTGTTGAGAAGACTTCAATCCCTGTTTCTGGTCGTAATGATGTCAGCTTGGAACCTTTTAGTTCTAGCACACATGGTAAAAATGTGAACTTAGATATCTATCTAAGTACGAACTCTTCTAAGGTAAACAATTGTGGTAGTGTCTCAGAAGCTCCAGACATCTGCATGGCTCAACGTAATGATGGCTCTGAAGTACCTGGATCAACTGCACCAAGTGATAGTATTAGTAGATGCATTGACGAGATGGCTGATCAATCTAATCTAGGTATAGTGATGGAGCAGGAGGAATTAAGTGATTCCGACGATGAGATGATGGAAGAAGAGCATGTTGAGTTTGAGTGTGAAGAGATGGCTGATTCTGAAGGAGAAGAAGGCTCAGAATGCGAAGAAATCATTGAAATGCAAGATAAGGTAAGTTGTTGTTCTTTTGTCAGTTATGTACAATATATCCCAGAGAGCTGAACTATTTTGTCGTTAGTTTCGTTTATCTTAACTTAGGCTATTGTGACAATAGGATTCAAGTATATATGGATCCTAATTTCCAGTAGATATAGAGATGTCCTCTTTGTTGTGTAGTTATGTGGCTTGTGGATGATCTTGGTGATGCATGAACTTTTCCATCTACAGGATAACAGAAGCTCTGTGGTAGAAATAGCTTCAACAGATGTCGATTCTGGCAAAGAACTAGGCAAGGATTCTCCAAACAGTCCTTGGTTGAGTCTGGATCCGAGTAGCCGTCGCTTAAGCAGTAATGTTAAGGACATAGAGAGGATAGAGGTAGCAAATGAAACGACCATGTCACAATCTGGTCCTTGTAGATCACGTAAAAAAGGGACACCAGTGAAGAGCAGAGACTCAGAATTAAAGGAAGAAGCAGGTGTTGCTCGGTTGAGACTGGGTCCTCTCGCCCTCCCTCCAATGAAGAAACCCAGGAAATGTGGTGGGCAGGCGGAAACAAGTCCAAGTGTTGAGACAACCTGAGAAACTTCTTGACCCAGCAACAATTGATTAGCTATTCTCCACTCCAAATTACTTCCTGGTTCAGAGATATCATATCATGGCCAATCTGGAGAGCTGTGTTCTTTGTGTATACCCTCTTGGAGGTTATGGCACCCATATAGTTTGCTACGAACGAGGTTTGGTCACTTCCATTAGAACTGCGAATACGACGCAGGGTGCAGAATGAGTAGTCCATGATGCAGAAGGACGAAAGTCGGCTTGGGCAGACTCAGGTCAGCCATTTCTTTTTTGAGATACCTTATTGCTTAGGGGATTGTTTCGACTTACTATTATTCTGTAGATATTTTGTAAAGAGCTGGGAATCAATTTATCTCTCACTAATTAAAGAGTAAATATATGTATGGTTAAAGAAAAATAGATAGTTAGGATCTGGTACTATAATACCATTTATTGGCACAGTCTCGGTTGCAACTAGGTGTTGTTACGTTTAGATTTTTTCCGAAACTCTTTATTTTTGAGTCCGGAGAGTATGAGACCCATTCTATCTTTTTGCATATAATAAAGAAAACTTAAATTTTAATGGCAGGGAAGAGGTAATCATAGAGTGGTCAGGAAGGAGAAGAGTAAGCTGGAAATGGAAGAAATGGTGGAATCCGGCCGGCGCTTCTGGTGATTTGGCATCTGAGCAATGCTCCAGTGAGCTGGGATGATTCGAGCTCACCATTAGAGGTGGTGGAGACAAAAGTACGTGTCTAAAATGGGAGATTTTAACAAAAAAAATCCAATTGTCTTGCTGTATTATTCAGGTTTTAACAAAAAAAAAAAAAAAAAAAAAAAAAAACTGAATGTCAAAATGTAAATTAAGGACCACTTTGTAATGTTATTTTTTGGTCAAAGAGTTGGCCTGATTTGTATGCAAAATTTGGACTACGTAAAAGGATTACATTCTTATTGGGGATCTAACAGTGAAACTTGATTGCATATAAGAGATAATAACACAAAATGGATGTAAAAAAAAATCTTATTTTGTGACTTTGGTTTATCCAATACAAAGCATATACAGATTACAGAATGTTAAATCAGTATAAGTTTGTATATGCCACAAATGTGCTTATGAAAGATACAACAAAATGTACACTGCAACCTATCTATGCGCTAGATCCTCTTTTCCCATTAGACCTGCTATAACTTTCTCAAAGCAAATCAACAAAATGGCTTTGGAGTTGTTGTTACCTACCTTCAAAGTTTGTCCAATTTCCCATCATAATCATATCGATGACCTTGCTTATACTGTCATAAGCATCTGCGCAGACCGCTTTACTCATGAACTGCTTTGATGAATTCAGCTGATAAGCTTGTGTAGTGATCTCTTCTAAGTGTCTCATTATCTATGCCTTCACTTGGGATAAACCCATCTTCTTTCATTCTTTTACACAGCTTGTCCGCTTCACACCGTAGGCCTTTCCTACACAAGCCTGATATCATTGTAATGTATGCTATAGCATCAAGCTTCACTCCTTTGCGAGTGAGGCTACGAAATAAACACCAAGCCTCTTTCACCTTATCATTTCTACACATCCCTTGAATGATGATATTATATGTAATAATATCAACATCCATTTGACTCTTTTGCAGATCCTCTACCATCACCAATGCTTTCTCTATCTTCCCGTTATTACATAGACAATCCAACAAGATGTTGTAGGTAACAATATCAGGAGGCACACCACAATCAACCATCCGATTGAAAACCTTTTGGGCAACATTAAGTTTGCCCGCTTGACAATAACCGTGGATAAGCGTGTTGTAAGTGAATGCATCGCCAACCAATCCTTGATGAGTCATCTCACAAAAGAGTTTCATCCCATCTTCTACCCTCTTAGACTTACAAAATCCTGTTATGAGAGTGTTATAGGTCACAACATCCGGGAAGCAACCCTTGCTTACCATCAGATCAAACATATGTTTGGCGTCACCTAAGCGACCCTGAATGCAAAACCCATTGATGAGTGAATTGTAAGTGAAAATATTAGGATGTACAGATCTTCGGATCATCTCCTTGTACAAGTTTTTAGCCTCTAAAAGGTTGCCCTCTTTCACAAATGTATCGATCAGCGCAGTGAAAAAGATCACATTAAGATCGATATTCCTCTTCACCATATCTCTGAGAAGTCGAGCAGCGTCCGTCCATCTACCAGAGTTACAAAGGCCACTTATAAGAGTGTTGTAAGTAACAGCATCCGCTACGATTCCTTTCTTCTCCATACTGTAGAAAATCTCGAGGGCGTTATTCAAATCTCTGTTCTTGCAAAGACCATTAATGACAGTGTTGTAGATGACAACATTAGGTTCCAATCCCAATGCCGCCATTGAATCGGCGAGAGATACAGCCTCCTGAAATCTATTCCCTTGACAGAAACCGTTGAGGAGAGAGCCAAGCGTGACAATGCTGGGCTGAAACCCAAGTTTCATCATCTTTCCAAGAAGAGCAAGAGCAAGAGAGAGCCGAGAGCATCGGCAGAAACAATGAATCAAAATGGTGAAGCTATAGAGATCATGTGAAATTCCCAAATTCTCCATCTTGTGGAAGAGATAGATGACAATGTCAAACTTGTTCATCTTAGCAATAGCAGTCAAAACTCTAGTGAAATCAACAATGCTAGGAATGGGACGAGACTGAAGCATCTCACAGAACAAACTAAATGCATCATCAAACTTTATACAGTGAAGCTCACTTCTCAATCTCTCTCGGTAATGATGATGATGACTAGCACCGGAAAAAGATCGAGACTCGGGATTGTTACCTCTCTCCAGAAGAAGCAAATGCCGACGAACAAACCCCTTCACCGATGACGAAGACGCTATCGGAATTAATCTCTGCATCCAAATGGATTCGATTAGCTTCCTTCCCAAATCTATCTCACTCTCAAACTCTGCGCCGAACCCTACCAACGACGACCATTGCTCCGGCGACCAGCGAGTTGTGTCTGAATAATAATAATAAGGTCTCCATCTTTAAACGACGGCGTTTTGAGACAAAACTCAAGAGTTGCATTTGCAACATTGGAATTTTGGAAATTTCATTTTCATTGCATACAAGAGAATTATACAACACAAAATGATAATTAGATTTCAAATTAATGAGTTAGTTATATATACTAATATACAAGCATACAGAATTCTAAATCAGCTCAACTTTTAGATGGAACACACCTACCTCATTACGAAACATAAATCGTCTACATGTCCAAAACTAACTCTCTGCTTCTTTTACTCACCAGTCCCACCAGTAAGTACCACACACTTCAAACTTGTCTCCTGACCAAAACCCAATCTACACAGTCCCTCATATGTCAAAAACATGACTGGACTGTGATCATATAACATTAGCTGAGAAGGCTTATCTCCTTATTACTTGTTCCATGCTCTCCTAGATGGCCATCTTCTGCTTGGCATATGATCCCATCCTCTTTCATTCTTCTAAACAGCTCATCCGCTTCACGCCGTGGCCCATTCTTACATAAACCTAGTATCATTATAGTGTATGTTCTAGCATCTGGCTTTACTCCTTCGACAGGGAGTCTACAAAATAACTCCCAAGCTTCTTCCACTTTATCCGCCTTGCACAACCCGTGAATCATAATGTTATATGCAACAATGCCAAGATACTTTTCACCACTTCTCATATCATTGAATTTCACCAGTGCGCTATCAATCTCCCCATTAACACAAAGACCATGTAACAGAATGCAGTGGGTTATGATATCAGGAGTCACGCGACAAGAAACCATCCAGCTGAAGATGTCTTGGGCAACTCTAAGTTTACCCACCTGACAATAACCGTGGATAAGAGTGTTGTAAGTGAATGTGTCGCCAACCAATCCTTCACGATACATCCTTTGGAAGAGTTTCATCCCGTCTTCTACCCTCCTAGACTTACAGAATCCATTTATGAGAGTGTTATATGTCACCACATTTGGGAAGCAACCCTTGCTTGCCATCAGATCAAATGTTTTCTTGGCGTGATATAGACGACCGTGCATGCAAAGCCCATTGATGAGTGAATTGTAAGTGACAGTATTAGGATCGATAGAGCTTTGGAGCATCTCCTTGTACAATTCTTGAGCCTCAGAAAGATTGCCTTGTTTCACAAATGCATCGATCAATGCGGTGAAAGTGAAAACATCAGGGTTTATTCTCCTCTTCATCATATTTCTCAGTATTCGAGCAGCTTCGCTCCATCGACCAGAATAACAAAGGCCTGTTAAGAGAGTGTTGTAGGTAACAACATCCGCTTCGAGTCCTTTCTTCTCCATCTCGTTAAGAAGCTCCAACGCAATATTCACATCACCGTTCTTGCAGAGACAATCAATTAGAGTGTTGTAGACAACAACATTAGGCTCATATCCCGATTTAACCATTGAAGCAACCAGAGAGAAGGCGTCGTGAATTCTATTCCGGAGACAGAATCCATGGAGCAGAGAGCCAAAAGTGACAATGCTGGGCTCATAACCAAGTTTCATCATCTTCCCAAGAATAGATAGAGCAAGAGAGAGACGAGAGCATCGGCAGAAACAATGAATCAAAATGGTGAAACTATAGAGATCGTGTGAAATGCCAAAGAGTTCCATCTGCTGGGAGAAATAGATAACAGTCTCATATCTTCTCATATTGGCAATCGCAGTAAGTAATCTAGTGAAATCAACAATGGAAGGTAAGGGTTGAGACTGAACCATCTCCAAGAACAAATCAAGCGCATCTTCGAACCTGATAGAGTGAAGAAACCCAGTTCTCAGTTTCTCTCGGTAACCAGAAAAAGCTCGAGCAGGAGCAGCTCCTCCTCTAGGGTTAGGGTAAGCTTGCTTCAGAAATCCCTTCGCCGTCGATGTCGCAATCGCCGTCACAATCAATCTCCGCATCCAAATCGACCGACCACCGGGGAAGAAGATGGAGCAAAAAAAAAAAAAAAGCGGTTAAACGATACCGTTTTGGTTGATGGGTCTACTTAATAAATAGTTAAACGGCACCGTTTGGGTTAATTAATTACAATTAAGCGGCCTTTATAAATAGGAAAGTAATTAGGAGTGAATGATTAAACAAATGACCCAAGAAATCCGTTAACTAATTTTGAATAGCTCGGAAGCATCTATCTATCAATGGAGGAGAGCGGCAACAATGGCGGCGTGAGCGTTATTTCTCGAGTGAAGCTCGATCAGGTTGCCACATGGGTTGTCTCCGCCTTCTTTACCTCTCTTGAACGCTGCGCTTGCCTCAATCTCTCCACCACCGATCTCGACGACGATGACGAGGCTAAGGATCTTCCTCTCGTCGTCTCCGCTGCTCCCCATCCCTCCGAAGACATTGTGTAACTGTCAGTACTCTCCAATTCCAATTCCATTATTCTCTAAGTTTCGTTAGGAATGGGTTTATTCATTGCTAATATAAATCTGTTGACCTTTTTTGGTTTTGTAACGAATAATGTTGTTATTGATGATGAGAAAGGAATTTTGGATGCTTTTGATCCTAATCTGCATTTCGTCTTCTTCTGTGTGTTTCTTGATCAAGAACTTAAAAAGCTTAGGCATGTATGTATCTCCCAAATCGTTTCAAGATGATGATCTTGAAATTCCAAAAGTAGTCACCTTTTTGTGCATATAAACATAGTTAAATAGTTTCCAAGATTGAAATAAACAGCCTCTGATTACTTCATATTTCCCAATTGCTCACAACAAGGATAAGAAATCAAGATGGTTATGCATAGAAATGCCTAATGTTACAAGTGTGTTTTCTTGATCCTGAACTTGAATTCTCATCATTTATAAACGGAAGTATATATTAAATCCTTTCAAGATTATGATTTTGACTACTCGCATTCATATACTTTTTGTACATATATAAACATATAGTTGATAGTTTCCAAGATTGGGACTGAGACTTAGAGCATAAAGAATCAGTCTCTGAATCCTTCATAGTGCTAAAGCCTAAGAAAACAAGATAGCTACAAGATGCATACAAATGCCTAAGTCGTGCACCATCAATCGTATCATCATCAGGGTAACTGTTATTTTGTCCTCCATGGGTTTCTTAGTGCTGAGGTTTGTATACCATCTGCATTGACAACGTTTGGCGCCTTCCGTATGACCTCTTGTGGAACAAGAATGTAGTTTCTTCATTATACACTCACCCACTCTCTTACCCGAAATATATGATGATTATTCTTCTGTAGTAGCATACATACCAATGTTGTGTTAGGATGAGAGAAAGAAGAGTCTTAATCACGAGGCTCTCTCCAACAGAGCAGCATGACGAGGCATCGCCTAATTATGTATAGTCTCGATTTCGTCTCCTTCAAGGACTGATTTGGAGTCAGCTTGTTGTTGTTCTTGGCTTGCCTATGCAAATCCTTGTTTGACCCCATCAGCTTCACACTCCTATGTGGCCATCAAAAGGCAACTTTATAATAGTTGGTTCAGAGTATGTCTTCTCTGAGTCATTAAGATGAATGTGAAACAAGAGACTGAGGCAAAGACTTCAAATTAGGATTTGATTGGTTTTGTGCGATTCAGGGTTTTTATTTTTGTCGTGCTGCATATTACTACCCTATTAGGATCAGTCTCTTCAAACCAACCGTCCAGAGTAACTGTCTTCTGCAAAAAACAACCGTTACTTACTTTTACTCATTTTCTGTTTCTCCTCAAAATGACAAACTTCTTCAATTGTCAGTTTCTTCACCTTACACTTGTCCATTTATCCACCAATTTAATTATGTAGCTCTTGCTCTCTCTTTTTTTTACTTCTTCAAGTCAATATAATACCTTGATTTTAGGCATGCCTTGGAAAATGAATCATCATAACTCATAATTCTTGACTTTCTTTATATCAGTACAATATTAGTTTACGTAGAAATCTTGATCACTTGAAATTCATAATTAATTAGTCAATTAATTAACTAATGGTTGAAGTATGATTTTTTTTTGAATTTAGGAGGTTGAATCTGACTAGGAATTTAACGCGGAGACGTTTCCATGTAAATCCATAGCTCATGAATCTCGTGGCTGTGTTTTGATCAATGAAACTCATGCTTACTTATTTTAATTGTGACTATTATATATTAAAAGCAAGATACGATCTTGTATTAAGACGTAAGGGATCTACACTTATACATCACACACTATCAAAAATTCAAAAATGATTGATTAAAGAAATCATTTTAAAAACTTTATAGGATATATCGCCCGCCACAAGTTACAAGTCTATTATTATGTAGTCAACGTGTAAACCACAAAGTTACAATAATATTCACTTCGACCGAGTTGGAGATTTCTCTGCTTGAGACTATATTTTTTTGATGTATTGGTGTATTAAGAAGACCAAGACACGATGTTGTTGTACAAAGAATGATCTATCTAAATGATATACCACGTAAGCAAGCGACTAACCAATGTTTCCCACAAATTTTCGTTCAAACTACAAAATCACAAAAATAGTCCTTCGGATTGAATATCTTGCTAATTGTGATAGTAGCCTAAGGAACGAACATCAATTATACCAACTTAAGAAAAGGAAAAAAATACTTAGATTCTTTTGGAAAAAAAATGAAGTCGGTCAACAAATATTAAAATCTAACCATCATGAAAGAAAAGAGTATCAAACTGTCTACAAAAGAGAGAATCAAGTAGCCACTCACAAAAATCTCAGACTGTATGGACCATAATAGCTTGAATATATGTAATAGTTCTCCAGAGACTCTACTAATTATAAAACAAAGAATATGATCATTGGTTAATAAAAATGGTAGCAATAGTGGCATGCCAAATAGAAAAAGGATGTGACCAACTCTCTCTTGGCAAGTTGGTATCCAATAACACAACCTAACCTAACCCGTTTTAACATAAAGCAAAGATTCCAACATTGTCAAGGTCGTTCCAATTCCAAAGGTGGAGGAGTCTCTTTTCTTAATTCCCATTAATCAAAAAGTTTTATAATGTATATTCAACGTCTCTCACCCAACGATCATACTATATATTTTATAGTGTGGGATCCTTGAAAGAGACAACGCCTCCCAAGGTGGAGGAGTTTATTTATTCACAAACACTTCATCTATTTTGAGTTTATCTCTACGTCCCTTCTACCATTCATATTATATCCTGCAAATTTTGATTACTTATTTATTCTTGGAGGTTGGACCACCTTTCTCTTTAATATAGAAGAGGAAATTAATTTTCGATCCATAAACTTTTCATAATTTAAGACCAATCATTGAAAATATTTATGATAGATTCACAAAACGTAAATCATTGTTTTGTATACGCAACGCGGTATCTAAATTCGAATTTAGTGAAACGATAGCAATCTTTGGTGAGTGATCAAAACACCTTTGGGTAAAATACATTATAATATGTCTTCCACAGCCTCATTCCTTTTCTATTCCTTTTTGCAAATTCTTCTATAGCTAGATGACATGATGCAAATAACCTGATAACTTACTTAGATTCATGAATGCTTTATCAAAACAAATTTTTACTTAGATTATATTTCTCTGCAGAGTATTATTATGCTTATCTGGTCCTCTTGATGAGAATTCCTAAAATGAATCCTTTTATTGAGTTTAGGGTGATATAATTTATAACTATTGTATGGGCCGATTGTTTAATACTTATTAAATGGACCATTCTAGAGCTGCAAATAAGACACATGTATATAGTTTGGAGTTGAAACATTTTATAAAATAAAAATATATTTTATAAATAAAAATTAGTGGAATTGTTAGTGGGTAGTAGTTGGATTTGGGTAAGATTACTTTACGATGATTTTCATATTGAGGCTTGAAGATCTTCTTCTCATCCATTGACGGATTGGATCCTCCAAGAACAGAGAGACCAATTAGCTTACTCTATTGTGCCATTCTCCACCGTATCTTTTGCTTCAACCACTTACAATTTTACAAAGGAAAATTAACTACAAGACAATTTACCTAAAGGTGGAATTTAAGAATATTCTCAAAATATCACTTTAACTACGTGTTTGATGTATCAAGATCATATACAAATTATATATAAGAGACTTTTAAAAAGGATCAAGTCTTTGTTCTATTCCTTGGTTTTGAGTTTAAGCGGTCGTAAATGTTGAATAATGAAACTTTGTAGGCAAGACTCAAGAGTAGTTTCATTATGAAGAAAGAAAATAACTGTAAACGCTCTAATTAATGGAGTTGAGAAACTTGTATATAACAAGATCATCCCTATATATATAACACATATAAATGAAAAATTGGACAAGTTCTTTTCTACTATAGTATGGTAAACTAATATAGTTGGGTTCCCATATACATTTTGTAGATGAAAATTGGATACATGTTGTGAATTCTTAGGTCCATGTAGATAAACCTGCACTTTTCAATAGAGTGTGTGACTAGGTGAGAGATAGAGTTTCTTTCACCTCTTATGATGATTACAAAAGTAGGAGGAGGGGACCATATTAAAAATGTAAAGATTCGGAGAATAATACCCATTAGAAAGTTGGACATCATTAGTAAATAGTGAGTGTTACCCAAAACATGGCACTACCTATGCATTGTTTCTGATTCTATATTACAGTTTTTCTTTATGAATTTTGGACGATTATGGTTTGTAATCACATAAAATTCAATTATAATTTTGCTACGTGACTCATCTTCCTCTATAATTCCTCTTAGTCAAATAGAGTTGGCTAACTAAACCTTTTATTTTAATCAAATTATTCCGTTTTTATCTTGTTTTAGTGCCAATCAAAAACAAATTTTATACACTCTAATAATTTTTACTCGTTTCTTACAAAGATATTAAAAATGATACAACATAAAAAAATGTTGTCTCCCTTTATCCGCAATTGTTCCTCAAAGACGTAGCACTATAAATAGTCTCATCACCCAAAGACATAAACCCCAACACTCAAACCTCAACTGCTCTCCCATAACCGAAACCGAGAGAAAAATATAAAAAAGATGATTGAGACGGTTAAACACCTGATCGGCTCCGGTGGTCCCAGCGGATTCGGGTCAAGATCCACCGCCGATCATGTCACTGCTAATTCTGATCTCCGTTCTCTAACTGCCATCATCACTGGTGAGTTAGAGTTAGAGTTGTCTCTTCTTTTTAAACTTCACTGAGTCGCAAATACTAATATCTCTCTGTTTCTTTTATACTAGGCGCTACGTCGGGGATAGGAGCGGAGACAGCGCGTGTTCTGGCTAAGCGTGGCGCTCGGCTTGTGCTTCCGGCTCGGAGCGTCAAAACCGCCGAGGAAACAAAGGCTCGTATCCTGTCGGAGTTTCCTGATGCGGAGATCATCGTGATGCATCTTGATCTCAGCTCACTTACCTCTGTTCGTCGATTCGTGGACGATTTCGAGTCACTCAATCTCCCACTCAACATCCTCATGTAATTTAAACTCTCTCGTCATAATCATATAGCGTAAAAGTTTTCTTCTAAATATTTTCTAACCTTTTTTAAAAAATCTTTTGGTTTGTATCAGAAACAATGCCGGGAAATACGCGCATAAGCATGCCATCTCTGAGGACGGCGTGGAGATGACCTTCGCCACTAATTATCTCGGTAATTAAGTTTCTTAAATCAATCATTGACTTAATAAATCATTCATTAATTTAATTATATGTCCTCTAATAGTGATTTATGGTGTGCTTAATTAGGCCATTTTCTGCTGACGAAACTGCTGTTAAAGAAGATGATTGAAACGGCGGCACAAACCGGCGTGCAAGGCCGTATAGTCAACGTCACGTCCGTCATCCATAGCTGGTTCTCCGGTGATATGTTGCAATATCTCGCCGATATCTCGCGGAACAATAGGTAATTTTAAATTAGTACTAGCTAGAAAAATCATTCCAATCATATAGCGAATAATTTAGTCATCATTGTTTAATAATAAGTACAAAAAGGTGATGCGACGACAAAAATAAACGCCGTCGTCCTCTCGTCTTTTTCCTATGATTTAAATGATATTTTTAGAGAGAATAATAGATAATAAATACTTAAGGCTAGCCTTTTTGCGTTTTACAGAAATTACGACGCGACTCGAGCCTACGCTCTCTCCAAGCTCGCCAACGTGCTCCACACTCTTGAGCTTTCCCGGATTCTCCATGTACGTTTTTATACAAACTTTATTTTGACTAATTTTTTTTTTTTTAAAACAAAAACATTTAGTAATCTATACTCATTTGTAATAATAAACTAAACTATATTTGCAGAAAATGGATGCTAATGTGACGGCCAATTGTGTTCATCCTGGTATCGTGAGAACCCGTCTCACAAGAGATCGAGAAGGCATCGTCACAGACTTAGTGTTTTTCTTGACCTCCAAGCTATTGAAGTCTGTTCCTCAGGCAGCAGCTACTACATGTTACGTGGCAACAAGTCCGAGATTGAGGAACGTGTGTGGCAAGTACTTCTCAGACTGCAACGAAGCTAGGACATCTAAATTCGGATCCTGCAATCTTAAAGCTCAGAGACTCTGGACTGCTTCTGACTTGTTGGTTTCTCCACCTAATTCCACTCCCGATCTTTCTCAAACGTCCTTTTAATCAACAACCATCCTAGCTATTTCTACGTGTATATCCCAAGCCCTCTATATAGTATAGTAATACTACCTTATAAAATAGCTATAGCAATATACTATAGATGAATGGGCCAAACGTTCCTTTGTGTGTGTGCATATAAGCAAGCCTCCCTATATTTAATATGTGGTTATGGTTTGACATTATTGTTAATATATATTAGTTGTAGGGTTTTGTAATCCTAGCTAGCTAGGTCCTTGTTATGTAATATATATATACATCAATCAAAAACATTAAAGAATTTCATAATCTTATTTAAATTTGTTTATTTCTTCTGTTTGTGAATGGAATGAAATCGAATCCACAAGCCAAATTTGGCTCCTTCGAAAAATATAGCAAATTTCGATTTGTCAACAACTCCTCAAATGGATCTTCCAGTCATACCATGGACCACCAATAATCAATGCTATAATAAAGGGCTTGTTATAGTAGGCCCATTAAATACTGATTTGGTCTTTGAAAGGCCCATAACGCTAAGCCCTAGAGTCCTAGACCCTCCTCTCGCTTCTTCCTCCTCGGAGGCTAAAACCTCTCGGCTCCAGCAACCGCATTTAAGATCAAGCTCCGGCTGAAAATGGCGAATGCCCAGAAAGTCTTTACCGTCGAAACCCTAAGGTCTGCAGCCAAGCAGTCTCTCCGCTGCCTAGTCGTTCCCGTCCGTCTCCGCCGCGCGATTAAGAAATACCTTCGCGAGGAAGATGATCCTCACATTAAGAAGAAGGTGCGGCAGTTATCGGAATCATTCCAAGAGATCAAGGACACGAATCTTCAGTTACCTGAAACCACGGCCAAGAGTCTGGCTGATTCTATGAACTCGTTGGAGACCAAGCGATGGAAGATACAGACCGTTTATGGAGATAGCGGTCTCCAATACAGAGACGGTGAGACTGCTGCTTACATTGCTTCTCGTATGCCCGCCGTCTTCTCCGTCTGCTATAGAGTCTTCATCGAGGTACTTTCTACTTTAAGGTTTAAGTGAATGTTAGATCATGCTGATTAGTCCTGAGCTCTTGGAAGATGGGATAGTTGTGTAGAGAATTGAGCTTGAGATTGGTTAACTTCTTATATAGATTCGTAGAAGAGTACCTGGTTTTGCGCCTACAAGAGTACTGGATTTTGGTGCTGGCACCGGTTCGGGTTTCTGGTGAGGAGATAGATGTTTCCCTATTAGCTTTGCTACTTTTGTTTTTGTCCTTGACTCTTTGTAACATCTTGTAGGGCGGTTAAAGAGGTTTGGCCAAAGTCTGTGGAGAAAGTAAATATAGTAGAACCATCTCAATCAATGCAGCGTGCAGGGCGTAACTTAATTCAGGGTAATTCACTTTGATAGTCTCTGACAAAACACTAAGTGCAGTGACTGATTCTGATCTTTACCATTTTTGTGAATATGAAAGGCCTCAAGGATTTACCTCTCATCCATGGGTATACTAGCCTGCTAGCTCTTAATAAAGAGATCAACAAAAAGTCTGAGAGGAAACATGATCTTGTCATCGCTGTGAGTTATCTCTTTTATCACTCGCACCAGCTGTGATTCTTGTTTACAAGTTCTGTTTTTTTTACTGAATAAACTTTCCAAATGTTTTCCTGTTGTGGTTAAGTCCTATGTGTTAGGGGAGATACCATCTCTGAAAGACAGGATTACTGTGGTTCGCCAGCTCTGGGACCTTACAGATGATCTCTTGGTATGTTTTTGAGTTTTACCATCTTTCATTCTCCTCAATGACTTCTTTTAATACTAGAACGTGTACTTCTCCTCAAATGTTATCTCTGTGTGCACTGTGCATTTTGATCTGCTGAATCCATTAAGCTTTATGAATTCCTTACAGAAATTTTGATTGGACAGGTTTTGGTTGAACCAGGAACGCCACACGGTGCTAATATTATATCTCAGATGCGGTCCCATATACTGTGGATGGAGAAGAGGGTACTTTTCAGTTGCTTACACAGATCTTCATGCTTAAATAATGATCTATTTCTGTTCTCAGACGTTATTTATTCCTCTTCTGCTTATTTCGAAGTATTCATTTTGTCTTAGAAACTGCGTAAACTGGAAAAGAAAATGAAGAAAGATGGAAAGGACGTGCTCGATCTCAAATCTGGTGCGCATATTGTTGCTCCAGTAAGTGTCAATATCCTTCCTGAAAAACTCTCCTTTCCAGTTGTCAAACACTAGGTCATGAATTTGATGTACAGTTTCTATGAATATGATTACGTGAATGTATTGTAACACAAAGAAGGGGGTTGCAAATGCAGTGCCCTCATGATGGAAAGTGTCCTCTGGAAAACACTGGAAAGTACTGCCATTTTGTTCAGCGGTTGCAGAGAACTTCGTCTCAGCGTTCCTACAAGGTTCCTTAATTTTGCTTGGAGTTGTCTTCAGCAAATATATATATATATATATTTCAGTCAGCTCTATGTTTGCTGATGACTCCAAACCCAAAATTTTACTTTTTCAGCGTACAAAAGGTGTTCCCCTACGTGGGTTTGAGGATGAGAAGTTTTGTTTTGTGGCTTTCAGGAGAGGTCAGCGCCCACGGTTCGTAGTTTTGTAATGTTGAATGATTGTTTTGATTACCTTTAGAGAAACGTTGTTAAGGATAGAGTTAGGATTATGCCTTCAATTTAGGGAGTCGTGGCCTCTTGACGGTATGAAGTTGGAGACATTGAAGGAGAGACGCGCAAATAAGAAACCCGAGGATCTCGAGATTGATTATGGTAAGTCTGTGACTAATCTATGAAAACATGCGCATAAGCTAGCTTTTGACCCTTCTTTGTGCCCATTTGATATGTGCAGAGGACTTTATCAAATCACAGGTTGTTGAAGTGCCTTACATTGATCCAAGAGCATATGACTCCGACACCATGGATGAGGAGGAGGAGGAACAAGAAGGCGGTGAAGGTACTGATGAGGATGAAGAAGACAAGATTGAAGAAGAAATAGAAGAGGAAGAGGAGAGTGAGAGGGCGAGTGTGGGAGGCGGATGGGGAAGAATCATATTCCCTCCATTCCGCAAAGGGAAACAAGTGACGTTGGATATGTGTGTGCCAACCAAAGAGGACGGGTCAGAGGGAGCATTCGAAAGGAGAGTGATAACTAAAAGCAAGAACCCGGATCTTCATTTGCAGGCCAAGAAATCCTTTTGGGGAGACTTATGGCCGCTCACGAGTCAACAAGAAAGTGGCAAAGAGAAGCAAGTAGATGCTGAGTGGTGTCGCCCGGATCAAGACCAGAAATGGGGTAGTTGGCCATAAGAGTCTTGTCATAAGAGTTGTGGATTCATTGTCATCCATGTAAAATCCTGACTTGGTCAAGTGTTAAAAGGCATTGCCCATAGAGAAGAAACAGAAGAATTGTTTTTACAATTCTGAAAAAAAATAACAATATTGACACTTTGTGGCTTAGAGCACAAAAACAAAATCACACCATACATATTATCAACAACTAACAGTGCACAAGACATCTTTTAGATATCTGTGTAATGTGTATACATACAGTATATTACTCCTAGTAACAAATAAAAGAATCCTATCTCATAGCTTGTCTATGCCTTTTAGACCCGAACAGGCAAACCATAGTTGTGGAATACTCTGATCCTTCCATCCCAAGTCGCTGTCACAATCACAAGCCCCCACAGGTGAGGCTGCCATGCACTCCTCAAAAGCTTAAGCTTCTCTCGGTTGCTCATTACAACATCGTCCAGCTTCTCCTCAGGCCACGTTGTTGATCCTTTCATTGGAGAGAAACAGTCCACTTTCGGTATCCTCCTGTCCAAATCTGTGATACACTCGGACAGACCATCCCTACTTCCTTGTCTGAGCCAAGGAATAGCCACAGATACATTGTGCGAGAGAAAGCCCTCGTAAGACCGGATGCTTTTCGGTGTTTCTGAATACAGCTTCTTGCTGGGTAATTGAGAGTAGCTCCAGACATTAATGTATGAATCCTCTGATGTTGAGATGATGTGTTTACCGTTTGAAATAAATGAAGCAGAAGTTGTGCGAAGGCTAGAAGCTGCAAGCGCAAAAGAAAGTTACAATAGTCAATCTTAAATAAAACAAATGCAATCATTCATCTGCAGTTATGAACAGATGCTGACCTTTAAGCTTGCAGATGACATCATCTCCGCATATGATGCGTATCTGTGAATCGGCAGAAGTAACCATTACTTTGTACGAGTCAGTGTCACTGGGAAGAAATTGAAGACCACTTATCCTTTTGCTTGTAACCTTCTTCTTCCCATGAACGTTGATCTCTTGGTCCATTTGCAGCTCATTATCTGAGGTACACAATATGAACAATAATAAGCTCCAACTCACAATTACATCTGTTCAAAATTTGTCATTAACCAGTGATCTCAATCTCGAATTGTGAGAAGAGAAATGTACCAAATATATGGTAGAAGCGGCAGTTCCCTTTCATAGAACCTATTACTGCACCCTGCAAAACTCTAGAGTAAGCAGCTGTTCATAAGACAATAAGGAAAACTAAAATCTTTCAACTTACCTTTGCATCTGGACGATAGCACACAGCTGTTACAATGTCTCTTATGTCTATGTAGTCAACAACCCGGCAACGAGTCACATCCCATATTCGAACTTTCCCATCAATCGATCCACTTATAAAATAATTATCGTCCACAGGGTTAAATGCCACACAAGTCACTGCGTAAGAAGGAGAGGGAGAAGGTGTGAGTGAGTACTGAGTACACAGCAAAAGAAAAAGAATAATAAAAGTACCAAAGGCGCATTGAAGAAGTAGCTCACCGAAATTGTTATGAGTGAACGTTCTGAGACATTCATCACAACCTACTCTCCATAAACGAACAGTCTCGTCGACAGAAGATGACAAGAGATACTGCAGCAAAGAGGGGTAAATGTAAGAGGATGTACACAATCAAAGACTACATAAATGTAGGAAGAGTTTGAAACGATGTTTACCCCTTTCTCCGACCAGGAAAGATCCAAGATCTCACCTATATGTCCTCTGAACTCATGCAGAGGCTTCTCCAATATACTGAAGATGGTAGGAGGTAACACTACACAAGTTGAGTCCGATGACTTCCTCAAAAAACTTGTCTTCTTTTCGGATTTCTCATTGTTTAGCTTCAGGGGCTCAATCTGAGAATGTTGATTCATCCCAAAGTAAACACCAGAATCAACCTCAGCTACTTCGTACTTGTCTGTTCTCTCTTCCTCGGTTATACTCCAAACTCGAACAACACCATCTTCACCAGCGCTTGCAATGTATTTCCCATCAAGAGAAAACTTCATGGCTAAGATGGAGCCATCATGCGCTGAAAATTCTTGGTCAATACACATAGATGAAAGCTCCTTGAAGTGCTTTTTATGTGTCTGCACTCGCGCAACTTGATGCAACGGTGATCTCACTGATTCACAGTCCATAGACTCAAAAACATGTGTCAAAACACCAAGCTTCTTTAACCAAGATTTAGCCCCTTTCTTGAGCAAATCATCTCTTTGACTCAATGGAGAGTTGTGAAAATCGCCAAAGCTACCCGATTTACTAGAACTGGATTCACTCAATCCTTCAGGCAAAGTACAAGTGCTACTACTAGAATGATTCCTGGACAACAAGGTCTGATCATCTGTATCCTCAGCAGATGATGAAACAGAGGATATATCAAATCCAGAGGACGCAGTGGATTCATTCCTCACCAACAAATCCACACCAGAAGAGAGGTTACCAACTTGAGACACAACGTTAGAATCAGAACGGGATGGTTCAAGCTCATCCTCAGAATCATCATCATCTGTTGCAGTCTTTTTGAAACTAAAGCCCATAGATTGTAAAAACTTACGCCGTCGACTGGAAACACTATCCGGAGTATTGGTCCAGAGATGTAAACCAAAGTCGTTGGAGTCTTCAGAGGCATCAAAGAAGCGATCATCATCTTCTTCATCCCCACGAGTACCCATCACACACACACACTCTCTGTTTCCGTAACGGAAAAAAAGAAAAAGGAAAGCCGTAAGAAAGACTTCAACTTTGGCTACCAAAACAATAAAAGTCTCATGCTTTAGTGCTAGTCAATTCATATATGTACTGTAGAGAGACGAAATTTGAAAATTCCAGAAAAGGCTAACAGCGAAATGCAGAGTCAAACCGAAAGACCAAAAATCTGAAATTTGGCCTTAAAAGTGGAGAATTGTATAGTTTAATAGTAGACGACCTAACAAACTAAATAAATAACGTGGAAGAGATTGCTTACAAGTAAACTATAAACAACGAAATTCATCTTAATAAACAAAATTAGAATGAAGAAGAATTGGAGGATTTTGCTTACCTGTCTCACCAAACCCAATTGTTGTTGAATCAAGCCCGTGATCTTTCTTAAAAAAAACCAAGACTTTGGTCTCGAAGACGGAGAAGAAGAAGGAGGGTTATTAAAAACCGAACGAACGGGTATGAAAGTATGTGTCGGTTGGATTGGCACTCTTTCAATTGAAACCCTTTTGGTTTAAGAGTAAACACAAAAGTTTCAATCTTTGAAAGGGTTTTAGAGAGTCAGTCACTCGCGAGATTAACGGAAATAGAGAGAGGGAGGGAGACTCTCTTCTTTATCAAAATTAAAATTTGGGATGATTTTTCTTCGACGGTACGAAGATAGGTTCACGGACAAAGGGTACTACAAATACTAATGAACAAACAAAATAAAAAAATAAAAATTGCATGTCGTTTTGTTATCTCTTCTTTATCTTTCGATTTTTCTGATTTTTATTTTTTTACTGTCAACCACTTTCACTGACTGACTTCAAAATATATTCTACTTCTTTATAAAACACCTAAAAAAACTTTATTCATTGCTTTCTTTTATCAACTCATATTTGGAAATTTTGTTAAAGAATTAATTCAATAACGTGAAAATTCAATTGGTGATTATATGTTTAGATGGCTTGTGATAGTATTATCACAACAAAAGACCTAAATCTCTCATATCCATCTATCTCCTTTCTTAAACACAATCGAAAAACTATATTATTACAACACACCGGTTTAATTTGTGTTCTACGAACAATCTTTATATTAGCTAGATATCTGTCTGTATTACGGATATGAATTCAAATAAATATTTTTTGAAATCCAACGATCATGAAATTTGAATATTCAATCCGTATTTAATCTTTGTCATTAAAAAGAAAGTGGTGCACCCATTTTTCTACTACAAATCCCTATCTTTTAATTAGTTTGTCATTAAAAAGAAAGTGGTGCACCCATTTTTCTACTACAAATCCCTATCTTTTAATTAGCTTTAAATAAATATTAATAAGCGTCTATGTTATGTAGTAGACTCGTCTCTACATTTCGATCTTTATTCAAGTCAATATATGTTTTTTTCGTGTACCAAATATAAATTAAAATATTACTTTACGTGTTTTTCTTATTGTATTTTGTTGACAATAGTTCGTCCATGAAAAAATAAATATTCCAAGGCCTACCACTCACTCACCCAACTAATAAATTAATAATACATAAAATGCCCTACGGCCAAAGTATTGTTAAATTACAAGTTGGAAAAATAAAATCATGGGCTACATACTCGTAGAGGGAAATAAAATGTGAAAATGAAGAGAAGAAAACAAAATCGTTATAGAAAAAAAAAAGAAATTGGTGAGAGGAGTCATAGAAGAAGAGTCAGTCGTGCGTTCAATCCTCGTGGCCGTGGGTTTTGAGGCTCATCCTCACTTTCCACATTACTATATCATAATATCACGTTTCTCGTGGTGGGAGAGACAGACGTGAAAAGAACGTTGATTGAGCTTTGCTTTTTCTTAAAAGGAGCTAAGTAATTGTTGGGCTTTCTAAATTCCAACTCTTAAATGGGCTCTCAGGTAGCCTCGAAGTTCAGTTGTCAAGAAACCCAACAAAAAACCGTGTCTCATAATTTATTTTGAGGAAGCGGAGTTATGTTACCAACTGAATAATTCTAATTTCTAACCATTTAACCAACCAAAGAGATGAAGATGAGACAAGACCACGTGTTAGGATTCCACATGAGCAATTAGAAGTGACAAATGAGATATAAATTCATCTATTTGTTGTCAATTGTTAGAATTAAAAGCCCACAAAACTTACACAATATTTTTTTTCCATATGCTAACTGCTAAGGTTGGAAGACTAATAAGCGGTCAAACCCTACCACTAGGTCTTTATTTCTTCCATATTTGCACTGACCCTACAACAGCCCATTTCATATTTTATAGGACGACGAACTGTATAATAACTTAATAACTAACCAATTGTCCGATTGGGATGTGGTCCAAAACTCAACGATGGGTCGCCCTTTATTCTCGGGGGTTCGACGTAAATTAGCTTCAGATTACACAATCTTTTTTTTTTTTTTTTTTTTTTGATAACTCAGGGGAATCCCAGACCTATGGAGAGGCCCAGACTAATCCCCTGGGGGAAGTGCAGCCCACAGATAGACTCTCTCTCCGGGTATGCAAATGGGCCGAAAGCAAGGGCCCATATCCATGTGGCCAAGTGGAGATCGAGCAATTGCGCGCTTGCAGGGAATCGATCCCTGGCCTAGACCAACAGGGCAATTCCTCCACAAGTGGCAACCACTAGACCAAGAACACTTGGTTAGATTACACAATCTTACAATTTCAAATCACCAATACATAATGAAACTTTTATTTAAGAACAGAAAAAAAAAACGAAATTTTTTGGTTGGACATTTGGGTCAATAAGTCATGCTATATATTGTAGAATAGTAAGTAAACTGCTCAAGTATATGTTTCTGCGATCCATATTTTAACAAATGATTCTAGTCATTTATTTATTTTAAGTTATATCTTAAGGACTACGAAATTTGTTTACACATTTTAAAAAGGTAATAGTATTTATATTTTGAATAATAAATATAGAAAATGCTACAAATTTTTCTTTTATTTGGGTCACCATATTTTTAAATGGACGATATTGGTTGTCTTCGTCCCAAAAACCTAGATTTCTAAATAATAATGGATTCTATAGATACCAAAGCAAGTTTCCATTTACACTAGCTTCGCTTAATTTAGTTGCTATACATGTCCACATCATTCGCATATGCCATCTCACATAAATGTAATTTAGTATATTTATTTCATATTTTCGGTTACAATTGTCATATAATAATTGATATTTTTGTATGTGTAAGTTATGCTTTTCTTGTTAATTAACATGCGCTTAAGATGGTTATAGTAGTTTTTTTTACATGTAAACGATCGATGATCGATCATCTGGATCGTTCTTAAAGATTTTTCTGTTTTTTTTAATTACTTGAGAAACACACACCTAACATGCATGTGAGATGTGTCATGCATATTAGGTTAAACTCGGATCATTTGAATCTTTGCCAGATCTATAAAGCATATGATATCAATACTCTTAATCACACTAAATTTTTTTTTTTTTTTTTTGAGAAAGTTTTAACTTTTTTTTTAACAAAATTTTATTCCACCAGCATGCATGATGCTCAATACTAGAGATCTAATCGGACGACAAATAAAATAACTCATAATGATATAGTTTTTCTGAGCATTGCGATGCATGGATCATGGATGATATCGATCATATATTCAAAGGAGAATTGTGGATATAGCAAACTATAGTACTATATAATTTGCGTGGGGGGGTTTATATTGGGCACACTCGAAGAGCATTTGTGAAAATTCTTGGCGTTAAAGGAAAATGAAAAATGTGTGTGTTCGTTTACATAAATACAAAAAAAAAGGTATTAATACAAAACCTAGGGGTAGATGCTGAGGTGGATCGCAATAGAAGAAGATGGTCGGCTCTCACTCTCGAGATCGGACGGCTGAGAAGAGAAGAGAAGGAGAGGATGCGTTTCTTACGGGGAGAGAGAAATAAGGCGAAACAGGTAGAGCCCACAAGATGACTAATCTCCACCGTCCAACTCAAAAAGAAGAAGAAGAAGAACACATCACACCAAATATTATTCGGTTTCTCTCCTCAGGTCCGACTCACACACCACATCCACTACTAGTACTTCTTCTACTATAGACTTTTTGGTGCTCTTCCCTGTGGAGTCCAAATCCTTAGACACGTGTCGTTTTCTCAAGAGATTCACTCTCTGCGTGATTCCCCCCACATCTGACGGCTGCAGTTCGCCGCCGGTCTACTCATCCGTCAAACGCCGGTTCCGCGGACCTCACTCAGTCAGACTTTGGTTTGATCAAAATAAAGTAAAAAGATCAACGGCTGGAAGTGGAACTAGAGGTTGAATCTAGACCCTATTTTTATACCAAAAAAAAAAGATGGTATGGGGTCTCCATGTCAGTAGAGGCGTTTCTCTTGCTTGTTTAACACAACACTCTTTCATATTCTTCTACTTTCTTCTAATTTCTACATCTCATCACATGGAACACACTAACACTTGTATTGAAAATGATTGGAATATAAATTTGTTTTCATGTGGCGGATATAAATGTTTTTCACTTAAATATCCCCGTCTACTAATTATCTCGGCTAATTGTTACGTTTTGTAAATAAAAAAAAAAAAACGAGTACAATTATAGATTGTTGAAAAAGGGATAAGTGTTGAAATGAAGTGGAAGCAGCAGGAGATGTTCCAATGGATAGGGGAGAAATCGAACATGGGAATTCACCAAAGTAATATAATATAGATTGTAATATAATACCTCAAATGAAGGATAAAATTCACCAAAGTAACAAGGAGAAATCGAACATGGGAATAGTACTAGTAAACCTAAAGATTTGGTAAGAATTAAGAACAAACAAAATTAGAATTAAGAAAAAAAAAAGAGATAAATAAAAAGATTCGTGGGACGGCGGGCGCATAGTTTCAGAGTGTGTCAGAGTCAGACCAAACCCTTTCTCTTCTCTCTCTCTCTTACGAAGAATCCATCAAATCCCACACACTATATACGTGTATCTATATCTTTTCTATATTCCTTCAATAAAAGTGACAATTTTTTAAAAAATATAATTAAATTGTTTAAATTCTCTATTTTCGTCTTCTTCTTACTTTTTCAAAAAATCAGCTTTAACTTTCCACACACTTCTCTTTTTTCTTTCTCTCTCTCTTTCTCCTTAGCTTCTTCTTCAAGGTTTTTTGATCAGCTTCAAATTTCCATAGCCATGGACACAGCTAAATGGCCTCAGGTATACTTATTTTCCACTACTTTCCTCCTTCACAAAAAAATATTCTGGTTTGGATTAAAAAGTGAAAACGAGAATAATTGTATGCTTTGTTTTTGTTCTTGCCAATAAAAAAAAAAGGAGTTTGTTGTGAAGCCAATGAACGAGATCGTGACAAACACATGCCTAAAGCAGCCGAATCATCCTCCTACTGCTACTCCGGTGGAAAGGAAGGCAAGACCGGAGAAGGACCAGGCTTTGAACTGTCCTAGATGCAACTCTTTAAACACCAAGTTCTGTTACTACAACAACTACAGCCTCACGCAGCCCAGGTACTTTTGTAAAGACTGCAGGAGGTATTGGACCGCAGGTGGTTCCCTCAGGAACATCCCCGTCGGTGGTGGCGTCCGCAAGAACAAGAGATCTTCTTCCTCTTCTTCCAATTCCTCTTCACCCTCTTCGTCTTCTTCTTCTAAGAAACCTCTTTTTGCCAACAACAACAACACGCCTACGCCTCCTCTTCCTCAGCTTAACCCTAAGATTGGTGAAGCAGCGGCTACTAAAGTTCAAGACTTGACGTTTTCTCAGGGGTTTGGGAACGCCCACGAGGTTAAAGATCTTAACTTGGCGTTTTCTCAAGGGTTTGGGATTGCTCATCATCATCACAATAGTATCCCAGAGTTTATGCAAGTAGTACCCAGCAGCAGTATGAAGAACAACACACTTGTCTCAACTTCCTCGGCTTTGGAGCTTTTAGGGATCTCTGCTTCCTCCGCTTCCTCTAATTCTTCACGCCCTGCTTTCATGTCTTATCCAAATGTTCACGATTCATCGGTCTACACAGCGTCCGGGTTTGGTCTGAGTTACCCACAGTTTCAAGACTTCATGAGACCGGCTTTGGGGTTCTCTCTTGATGGTGGGGATCCTCTACATCAAGAAGAGGGGTCCAGTGGTACTAATAATGGAAGGCCTTTGCTGCCATTCGAGAGCCTCAAACTTCCAGTTTCATCATCAAGCACCAACAGTGGTGGTAATGACAATGTGAAAGAGATTAATGATCATCATAGTGAACATGAGAAAGAAGAAGGAGAAGCTGACCATTCTGTTGGGTTTTGGAATGGCATGTTAAGTGCTGGTGCTTCTGCTGCTGCGTCTGGTGGTGGATCATGGCAATAATTATAGTCATGGACCCAAGAGAGCTTTTTAGAAGAAAAGATTAAATTTTTCATCCAAATTTTAAAAAGATGAGAGGGTTAACTATATAATCTGGGTGTTTACTATTTTAGTTCTTTTCCTTTGGTTTCCTCCTTTTCTAAGAAATTAGTATTATTAACTTTGTTGGGGTTGGGGTTGGGGATGGGGATGGATACTGTATGTATTTAGACTCTCTTTTAAATCAATCTCAGTTGTTCGTTACCTAAATTTATGACATCTTTCCATTAATCTTGATATACTGACGGTGTATATACAGTGTCACAAACGAAACAACTTTATATTAGTGTAAAGACTGGTGTACCAAATTCCGAGGTCTAGAGAGAAATGGACCTTCTGGCTAAGCAATTATGGCGCCTTATCAAATTCCGAGAAATTCAATCTAGCCCTTCTGGCTAAGCAATTATGGCGCCTTATCAAATTTAACTCTCTTTTAAGTAGGGTCTTAAGGGGACGTTATTATCGCTTTAGCGACCCCTTACACATAGGAAATTCGAATCGGCCCTCCTATGGCTGGAGAAGCATAATGGCTGCCAAACCCCTTCTTGTCTCGGGTCTCCGAAGAACCATAGGCTCCGGAATGCTAACTAAAGTGTGGGAGGACCCGTGGATTCCCACTATCCCGGCGAGAGCTGCTAAGAGTCTTCTTGATGTAAGAGACCCTCTTCTCTATGTCAACGACCTGATTGATCAATCAACAAAGCTTTGGAAGCTGGACCGCCTTCAAGCGTTGATTGACCCCGCTGATATTCCACTTATTTTAGGAATACGGCCAAGTCGTACTTACTTAAGTGATGGCTATAGCTGGTCGCATACCAAATCCGGAAACTATTCTGTTAAATCAGGATACTGGGCCGCGTGAGAGTTATCTCGTCCTACCTGTGACCCCCCTTTTCAGGGACCTGGTGTTTCGGCACTTCAGGCACAGGTATGGAAGTTAAAAACTACGCGAAAGCTTATGCATTTCGCGTGGCAATGTGTCTCAGGCTGTTTAGCCACTTATCAGAGATTATGCTATCGTCATATTGGGAACGAGAAAGGATGTCCCCGTTGTGGGGCTCCGGAAGAATCCATAAACCATCTTCTCTTCGATTGTCCGCCTTCGAGGCAAATTTGGGCCTTATCACCCATTCCCACCTCAGGGCACATTTTCCCCAGAAGTTCCCTTTTCTATAATTTCGACTTTCTTTTCTGGCGTGGGAAAGAATTCGGAATAGAAGAGGAAACTTTGGAACTCTTTCCATGGATATTGTGGTATATCTGGAAAAGTCGTAACAGATTTTGCTTTGAAAACTTCAAAGAACCTCCTCAGGAGACTCTTGCCTTGGCTTTACGGGAAGCCTCTGTGTGGAAGAAAGCAAACATGAAAGAAGCAGCGGATCCCGAATCTCTTGCCCGGTCGGTTCTACTTCCTGCGTCCTTCTCCAGGATCTCGGAATGTCAGATTGATGCTTCCTGGCACTCGGAGGACTCTCTAAGTGGACATGGTTGGGTTTTAGTCGACCAAGACCGTATTCTTCAGCTCGAGAAGGAGCCTCTCACCGCTCCACGCGGAGATTGATTCTTTGCTCTGGGCAATGGAGTGTCTGATCTCGCTAGGCATTACTAATGGCGCCTTCGCATCTGATTGCTCGGACATGATATCTATCGTAGACAACCAAGACGCTTGGCCATCTTTCGCAGCAGAAATGGCCTATTTCCGGTCACTCGTTTGTTTTTTTCCGTCTTTTAGCATTAGATTTGTTCCTCGAAGTTTTAATACTCGAGCAGATTGTTTAGCTAAAAAAGCTCGGGCTAGGAATAGTCTATTTTCCCATGTAAGTTCGTCGGTTCCTGATTGGCTCTCCCTAGCGGAGAGTCTCTTTCCGATATCTTAATAGAAATGGTGTTTGAAGAAAAAAAAAAAAAAAAAAGAGAGAAATGGACCAAATGGTCATTACCCTCTTTGAGACATAAAGCCTGTTATCTCAATATGGTAGTGTATATTTTGGTACACTTATTCATACATACCAAAATTCTAATAATAAAACCCTTTTAGTGAAGAATATGAAGAGAAAAGACTCTTTCTTGTTAAAAAATCATTTTGATTCTTTCTTTGTCATTTATTTTTAAGGAACACTTGAAAGGGGAAAATGATGATTGAGGTCGAACCGGTTTCGAAGAGAAAGAGAGACCACAAAACACAGTCAGTTTCTTAAGGCACTTTTAATTCAAATGCAAAATACTATAAAATGAAAATTTTACTCATAGAAAAATGGACCCACCCCCCAACATTCCTCTTGGACTTGGTACCATAATCATTCCTCCAACTACTCTCTCGCACAGAAGATCAATACAACACATGTTGGTTGGATGTTAAAACAATGAAGAGACTAGAGAGAGAGAGGGGGTTATGATGGTAAAGTGGTAGATGATGAGTTTGGTTTAGTTAAAGTATCCAGCTTACAACCATTTTATCTTAGGTGATGTAAAGAGAGAGAGAGAGAGAGAGATGATGAACATGTGAACTAATAATGGACAATTTAACCATTTCCAAAAGTCGTTACCTTTTAAGTCTTTGTGGGCAAATGGCAACCTAGCTCTTAGATTTAGTTGCTTCTGCAATTGACTCCCCAACAACACTTCTCATTTGATTCCTTCCTTTGCATTTCACATTTATAATTCACAACATTACTCGACAACTATTTTGTTATTCAAAAAACGTTGTGCAATTATCCAAAAAGAAAAAAACATTACTCGACAACTAACCAACTTCGATAAAGCTGTTAATACCGAACCAGAACAGTGTCAACAACAGTTCAGTTTGGAATTCACCTTATTTACTCGATTATTAGCAAATACAGATTCATTTTAAATTGGATATTTGCAAGTATATACAAAAATTCTGCTGACATAAAAGAAGAGACCGATGTACATGGCACACTCTTTCAGCCACACAAATCATCCTTCTTCTTTTTTTTTTTTTTTTTTTTCTGGCTTTCACATAACAGTATATATAGTTAGAAAAAGAAAAAAACCTTAAACCGCGGGTTCAAACTTTACAAACCCACCCTGACCTCTTTTATCCAAGAAGACAGACAAAATTGGCCTATGTTCTTTTATCCAACTTGTGATATTTACCATTTCAAGATTAGCAGATTACACATATACCAAATCTCATTAGTGTTTGTTAACGCACATTATAAATACAGCTAGCGTGTTGAGAAACATCATCGGATGTTGATAGTCCGTCGTGCGAGATGCTATCAAGTGTACCTACGGCAAAGTAAGAAAATGTCATTTATAAGATTCTCACTTCTCACCAAGAATATGTCCAAACTTACTTATATCAATACCCACTACAACAGCTATGGTTTCATATTCATTACAAAAACTAAGAGCTTTCCAGTCGCCTTTCTCTGCTTGTCTGAAGAACTCGTATACGGGCAACAACATATAGTAAATCCTAAAAGATAAAAACGTGGACTCCATCATATGAGGGAGTAATATATAGATATCTGAAGCTATATAGGATAGTGATTCAAAGAAGGAAAAGAAAGGGGAGCTTACAAGACAACGGGGGCAAGAAACAAAGTGCCTTTCTTCCAGTGAAACAAAGAAAGTGATGAGATACAAATTGAGGTGATGGAATCAAATCAAATTATACGACGGTGAAATGAAAGAGGTGGAGGATGGATGGTCCAAAGGAACAATGGAAGATGTAACAAGTCTCCTCCGTGTTTACTATTCACATCGCTCTTACGTACATCATTCTCCTCCCTCCCGGAGTGCAAGATCTCAGTTTCCGGTCTTTCTTTCCTTCTTCCTTCTTCTTGCTTTTTACTGTCCGTCACTTATGGGCTGGGCTAGAACCATGTTGGGCTTATGAAAGCCCATCATCATTCTCTGCGTTAACAAGCCCAGAAGAACAAACTGGGAACTCCCGCCGCGCCGTTTGAGATTTAAAAAGGTAGCATTGTAGAGTGAGTGACACTGTTAAGTACTGTAGTACTAATTTAAAAGGCAAAACACAAACACAAAAAAAAAAAAAAGACAAGTGAATCTGACAGGTGATGGGTGTGTTTTGCCTCCTCCTTGCCCGACCACCTAAAGCCCTCAAAATCAACATGTGTCATCATCACCAGCTGCCTATCCAATCCTATTCCTCCACGTGTCTTGCTGACGCATCAAGAATCTTTCCTCCTCCCTCGTCCCTCGTGAAAACAGGCAGGTCCCGCGCTTTTTCTGGGCACACAAACGCTACATTTCAAAGAATTAAAGAATTTCAAAATGACCATGGCTAACCAACCATACCCGCTACATGGTTAGCGTGCTAACTAATCCAAAAGTGTATATACACTTATTGTGTAATAACAAAATTTTGAATAATATTACCAAGACAGAAGAAAAGTGAGGATTTTGAATTTAGGAACAACAAATTATGTAGGTAATTCAATCACTTCTTAAGTTGCTGGACAAAATGAAATAAAAAATGGGGTTACGTTGAAGAGTACGACGAAGAGACATTCCCTGACAAAACGGTGTTTTGCCCAAAGCGAGCAAATGATTGTATGTGTGGCAGTGCACCGTAACACTACTGTGACGTGTTCTGGCTCCACCTTGGAGTTTGTGAATTTGGATGATTGGTTTAATCAGTTTTTTACATTATTCATTTCAGTATATGATTAAACTTACTAATCCTGTTGTCGACACAAGACTCGTTACTACAGCTACAAAGCTCTTATCTCGAATCGAATTCATTTTTTCTTTATATAGTATCAGTCTTTAATTCTTTTTCAATTCAATTTTAGTTGACAGCTCTTAAATATATGGCATTCGATTTAAACATATAGTACTGTACTACCTTAATTACTATCTAATCTCCTCAGCTATTCTGATACATTATCCTCAATATATCAATTTTTGAGAAAACATTTTGATTTAATTTGATGTTTTCTGATTGTATTATACTACTATTTTGCATTTTATTTTATATGTTAAAAATAATTTATGTCAATTATAAATGTACGTTCTTTTAGATGAACATTTTATAAAGCCAAAATGATGGGATAATTTACTAGGGAAATAATTATAAGAGAGTAAGGGTTTTTTTTGCCATATGAAAAACAAAACAAAAAAAAAATTGTGAAGGCAATAACTATGTGATCAATCGTATGAGAAATTGACTTTCTTGGTGAGTCAAAATCATTACGAGGAAATTATTGCGTGTCATATACTATATGCTTGTGCCTTGTGGTCTATATATTAAGAATAATCGTCGATAAAGCACAATGATACACCTTCGAGAGAATCCCATGCATAAATTTTAAAACAAATAACAACTAACATTATTCCTTTTTGCATTCATAAAAACTTGCACAGTTCGCTAGCCTTTTTTCAATAACCACTCTTTCTTTCATCGTCAGCTATATGGTCTGTTAGACATTAGTGTCTAATTAGTCTGTTAATTATTGTGGAACACTTACAATTAAGTGTAACAAATATATACCAGGCTCAATGACTTTGAACAAACTTTCGGACGGAGTACCAATGACTGAAAATTCGAGCACTCATATATATATATATATAATGTTACAATAATAACCATGTCGATGATAGCTAAAACTCGACAATGTGATATTTATTACATGTGGATGGATGGATGTGTCTAAACGCAATCAACTGATATGTATAATACATGTGCTTAATCAACGATCCATGAGCCTTGGGTATATCTGGGTGTAAGATTAATTATATGTGTAACAGCTAATTAATGAGATTGCATACATATACAAAGTTATATACATACATATATGTGTGTGTGTCTGTGAAAAGGGAATGATGATAGTTGATGGTAGTGGGAAATGGCATGATGGTGTTACCATAAGAGTTTCTTAACAAATATCGAAGTTGGTCCTTTCTTTGGGACAAAGCGTGCCTAGTTTTCCCTTTCCCTTTTTTTGCATATTCCATTGCATCCCTAACTATATATTTCTTGTCATTTTCATTTTCGCACATTTAGATCTTTGAATTATAACTGTACGTATAATAGTGTCAAATGTGCTATGCTATCTATAACGATTGAGTCTTTGGGCATTCAATAATGAATACAGAACTAAAGTCATTTGAGATCGACTGATCAAATAAAGACATTATATTATATGTATCTATACAGAGTACGAAGTTATTAATTCTTAGAGGGAATTATATTGTGGGAATAAATAGTGCATATGTAATGGTGGTTTGATTAAAACTAAAAGCTTGTTTTACTTTGAAGACAGCAAGCAGTACGTTTTCTTTTCCCAGTTTGTAAAAAATGACACAATAATTGAAATTGATGTTCCATCAATAAAATGTGATTCACCATCTTGGTTTCCAATGGAACACAAAAAGAACAAGAAAAAAAAGGTAAATCATTATATACAGATAAAAGGTAAATCATTATATACAGATAACAACAATAATAAATATTATATAAAAATTAAGCCTTAAATATTAGAATTAAGAGAGATAGATTATGAAGAAACAGATATTACATAAAGTCTTAATGACCTCGAGGGGGACATATATATCCTGTAAACTAAAAACTGATTTTTTGAATTTTTCTTGTTCCATAAAGATTAATGATTTGTATCATGTTCATTATTAATGTTATTTGTCAACCAAGAAAATGGTTTTAATATCATAAAACTAATAAGATATATGAAGATTGTTTTTTTTTTTAATTTATGTGAAAAACCTAAAACATCATGTTTTTGGGAACATAGATAGTATAAATTAACAGTTTGACAAAAAAAAAAAAAAGAGAGTGTAAATTAACTTTAAAAACTCACCCATACTTTTATGTAGACTAGGGCTAACAAAAATTGGTCTCATATAAATTGATAGATGATGAACAGAAAAACATACAATCTAGAACAATAACAAACGAGACTAATAACCACAAAATTATCTCATATAGCAAAAGTTTGCATTAACTATTTCTTTGAACAAAATTGAGAGTCAATGCAAAAGATTTTGAAAATTTGTGTGCTATATATCAACGATGAAATTTTAGCGGTTCTAAGACATATAAGTTCGTATTATTTTGATCAAATATTACTGGATTATATGATAGTTTTAATATATATTTTTGGCTGTATTTGCAACTATCATAGCTAAAAACAAACTATCAAATCTAACAAAGATTAAATGTATATTATAAATAAAATACTCATAATTTCAAAATTTTATCCATAAAAATTATGAATCCAACACTACATTAGTACATTTATATTTTGACCAATGATTGTTTGGTAAAGTTACTCTTAAGCGATAAAGAAAATAATTTTTATTTTATTTTATTTTTTACGTTAGAAAGAAAATCTATTCTCTAGTCTCTATTTATTTATTAAAGACAAGTTTTAAAATGGTTTATCTAACAAAAAGCAAGTGTACAACATAAAATCCCACTTTTGGATTTAGTTCACCACTTTCGGACACCATTGTAATAAAAACGGAAAGTTTTGAAAAGTGAGAATAAAACAATTAAAGACGAAAAAGGATTAAGGTGAAAAATCTTGATGCCGTTGACTTTTGTTCTCAACGGCCATGATTGAGCGTGTGATGAGTATAAGAGACCAAATTATGGCTATTCCTGATAAACCCAAAAAAATAAATTGATGAGTTTTTTCTTCATTTGATTTGTAGTTATAATCACTTTCCATTTCGAGATTTGTGGATATCTATTTATTTTCTCCTTTTTCTTTGTACATATATCTATTTATATTCTCTACCACTATCAATAAGCTAAAAAGTATATACATAATACATTTAAGTGTTATACACTTATACATTTGCTTTAGGCCGAGAAATATTGGTTGATAAAAAAGAAAAAAAAAGTGATATATGTGTGGCACTTAGGCATGTGTTGTGTGGAATGTTGCGAGTAATGAAAATGGGTGTCAAATATTGACGCATGTGTTTCTAACGTTTGCTATATATATCTTTGATGTTTTCTAAATTCTATTGATATCGTATTTCCATAGTAGTATTATGAAATTCAAAGGTTGCTGAATGATGATATGTCTTATAGTCTTCATAGTAGATATTTGAAGTAGAGATCAGAGTTTATATAGTATAAATACACAAATAATCCATTGAAACCTCAAAACAAATAGTACCATGTACATAAAAATAGCTAAAATAAAGTAACAAAACAAGTGATTTTTAATACTATTCATATACTAATGTTCAATTTCTACTTAACAATCATTCATTTAATATATAAGGAGTTAAGGACCCTTTGCACAAAACTACAAATTTTTCTTTGCTTAGATTAAGTGTTTGCCAACAAATTACTTTCTTCTGCTTTCCTCTATCTTCCTTTTCTCAATCGTTCAGTCCAGTAGTTGTGATCTTCTACAAAATCTTACAATTAAACATGCATGGTTTCCTGACAAAATGCTAATTAATTATATTGAGGAAAAATAGTATCTCTCAAGACTTAAGGCTAAAGCATAGCCTTATTTTAGGTTGGTACCACAAAAGACCACAACTCAACATTTTTATGAATATAGGTATAATAAATCTCTTACAATATGTATATATATCTGGCTTATTAATGGATGCATATATATAAATGTTTTTAGTTAATGTTTTAGGTGTAATTTTTTAGGGAGACTCACAAAAATGCCCCTTTTTCAATACCCCTTTTCAAAAATACCCCTTTTTAAAAACTTTATAAAAATGCTCTTAAAAATATAAGATTTACCCAAATATGTATGTAATATTATTAAAACATACACAAACTACATTTCTATGTATCTAAAATCTTATAAATACTTTATAAATACCTTATAAATGCATTTTAAATACCTTTAAAAACCTTTAAAATATCTTGTAAAACCTTTGAAAAACCTTAAAAATCCTTTAAAATAACTTGTAAAACCTTTAAAAACACCTTATAAAACCTTATAAATACTTGGATCGAGTCTTCAAGTAGTAGTTACAATCCATAAGTACCTTATAAACCTAATAAAACTTTATAAAAATTTCAGATTTAAAAAGGGGCATTTTTGAAAATAGACATCTAAAAGGGGCATTTTTGAAAAAGGGCACACCAAAATGGGTATTTTTAACAATTAGATGATGTTTTTTTTTTTAATGCAATTTTATTAGTTTTGACGATTTATATTTTGCAGACTGGTTTTCTATTGATTGATTAGATAATAAATGATATTTTAATTAAAAATGAATAAAAATTAAATAATTTTTTTACTTAATATGCAAAAATTTTAAAAATCAAGTAAAAAAACCAGAAAGAATATAGTATTATTCTTGAACTTTATTTTATGTATTTATGTATGTATGTAACTGCTGACGACATTTGTGTTAGACTGTTTATATAATATACAATGACGAAGTGGAATCAGAACTACTTAAGTCAAGATTATCATACCAAACATTCAAGATTTAGGTGACACATGGTTTGGGAACCTCATTGGCCCATAAACTAAGGCTCCGAATGGTAACTGCGTTTTGCGGTGCGGGAGAAGTGCGGTATTACATTGCGGTACGGTTCAACTGCGGGACGTGCGGGAGAAATATATTTGCGGGACAAGTGCGGTTTGTACAAAATAAGCGGTACAGAGTAATGTTTGATTGGTGAAAAAAACTATTTGCGGTGCGTATTATAGATTATATATTAATAATTAATTATTATTTTTGTGTTAATAAATAGACAATAACAGATATTTATAAACCACTAATACAAAAATTGATCAAAATATAAATTTAATTTTGTAACATACATATTGTTACATGCGTTGACTAATTTTTTCATAAAAAAAAGTACACCACATTAAAAAAATATTGTCTATTACTTTAATTTTTCCATAACATATTTGCAATATTGTCTCTTATTTGCGTCATATGTTCCCCATTTGTTATTTCTGTTGCTTTTATGTCATCTAAATCATGATTAAAATCTCACTTGTTTATATTTGTCTCTGTCATTACATCTGCAAAATCTGCATCTCAGAAGTTTGAAATTCTGATAAACTAGTGGTTAGATAAAACTATTATTTATTTAAAAGTTGTAAGGGTTATCAACATTAATTATAATTATAATGTTTTACTTGTTTGTAAGTCCATAATTTTTTTAATGGAATTTTTAGTATTAACAACAAAAATCTTTAATTTTTTTGGTGGTAATCTATAGTTTTTTAAATTATAATCATAGATAATGTATTGTGTTGGATAATATGATATCTAATAATCAAAAGTCAAAATATATATATTTTTTTTAAAGTTATTCAGTGCGTAATTGACAAAACCACTGCTTATTAGATGTGGTGAGATATTGGGGTGCGTTTTTTAATTCAGCAGACAATTTTATACATTCTGCGGTTTTACTTTTTGGTTTTCTTAAAACCACAATTTTTAGAAAAACTTGTGATTGGTGAAAGTAAAGCGGTTTTGAAATCCGCAATACAAGTGTCTTTTTAAGAGGCGGTCATTCTTTTTTTTTTATAACTCTAAACCATAGTATTTTTCAACCAAAAACGTTGTGATATGAATTTCTTCATGGCATACTTACAATAAACTCCTTCTACAACAACAACTAGAGGGTTCAAAATTTTTTTTAGTAGGTGGTCGTTGTTAAGCCCAAGAAAATGAATAATTAGTACAAATAATTTAAAATGATACGATACGAGGGAGAAGATGATCGCTAGAAACCCCACATCACCATTATCTTTCTCTGTACATTCTCCTCATTTATTTTGTTTTCAATATTTTCTTTTTATCAATTGTTAGTTAATCATTTCTAAGTATATTGAACATTAAAGTATATCATAAATTCGTATCGAGTATTTAATGAATCCTTACTAAAAGTAAAATCAAAATAAAATCTCCCTTTATGGAAATTATACCCTCGAAGATCCTCTCCCGTATTAAATTTCAAAAGACAACAAATTAATATATAGTAATAAAAGAAACCTTTTCATAAAACCGGTAATAGCCGGTGTAACTCACGTCACTTCCGGGGAAAAAGCGTGACTGGACACCGGCAGACAAATCAAATCAAATAAATAATAATATTTATTTATATTTAATTCATCAAACTTCTCTTCCTCAGACAAAAAGGCTCTTCCACTTCTTATCGAATTACAGACATTTCAATATTATCATAAACATTTTATTTTCTGTTTTTTTTTTTTTAAATAGCTTATGTTATTGTTTGGTTATATATATATATAGAAAGAACCAAGCTCTTACCTCCTTTTTAATTGCTTGAACAAAAAGTAAAACACAAAGGAATTTTCTCTGTGTCTCAGTTTTTTTCTTTCTTTCTTTCTTTCTGCAGATAATTAAAAAAAGAGAAACTCAAAACCGACATTTTTCTTCTGTTTCCAGCTTTTCTTTATCTTTGGAGTTTGGTTTCTGGAGAAGACAAAAGTTGTTGTCCTTTTTAAGAGTTCGAGATCCTGCAGAAATTAAAAAAGGGGTCGTCTCGAGTTTTGTTAAAACTTGACCCGTTTCCGGTTGGATTCCTAATTATGGGTTCAGAAATTAAGCAGATATTGAAGACTCTCTGTTTCAGCCATGGATGGTCTTATGCTGTGTTTTGGCGCTATGATCCCATCAATTCCATGTAATTTCTCCTTTTTTCTTTCGAATGTTTTATGCATGTTTCTGTTTTTTTTTTTCCATTGATTTAGGCAAAGACTGAATCGCATTTGCTCTGATTTTATGGAATTTAAACTTTGGTGTCCATAAATGTAATTTAGTTTTGTTGAATTCCATCATTTGGATGGTTTCAGGTTATTAAGATTTGAAGAAGCATACAATGATGAACAATCAGCCGCACTTGTTGATGATATGATTCTCCAGGCTCATATCTTAGGCCAAGGGTACGCTTTTACACTTCACTCAAATATATCTGTCTCTGTGTTTGTGTTTATGTATCTTCAATATACTTTTCTTTTGATGAAATTAGAATTGTGGGAGAAGTAGCTTCGACCGGAAACCATCAATGGCTGTTCTCAGACGCATTGTTTCAGGTTTGTTCTCCTTCTTCACTTCTTTTCCTTGATATTTCATTTTCTCATAATGTATGTCCAAATTTACTACATAGAACATTTTATGAAGAAGAATAAAGATTTGATATTTGTGTATTGCAGTGGGAACATGAGTTTCAGAATCAGTTTCTCTCTGGCTTTAAGGTAATTTATATTTGTCTTATCTCCAAGTTTAAGGATTCATATATCCATTTGAATCAGATTCTTATTCGGCAGTTTCCTTACACACAGACTATAGCAATCCTTCCACTAGGATCTAGCGGCGTTGTTCAGCTAGGATCTACTCAAAAGGTTTGCAAATATATATAACAATGTTTTCGATACGATAAAATCAATTTTCTTGCTGCGGAAGGAAGTCATGGACTAATTACTTATTGTGTTTGAATGTGTAACTATCAATCTTTAGATTCTTGAGAGCACAGAGATATTGGAACAAACAACAAGAGCTCTGCAGGAGACGTGTTTCAAACCAGATGATTCGCGGGATCTCGATACTCTGTTCGAGTCTTTAGTCCCACTGGGAGATTGCGAGATTTTCCCAGCTGAATCTTTCCAAGGATTCAGCTTTGACGACATCTTCGCCGACGACAATCCTCCTTCTTTGCTCAGCCCTGAGATGATCTCTGTTGAAACCTCTGAAGCAGCTTCTTCCCACCAAGATCTTAGCAATGGAGATGATTTTGGGTTCGACATTCTCGAGTCTTACTCTCTGGACGATCTTTACCAGCTGCTCGCTGATTCCCCTGAACAGAACTGCTCTTCCATGGTGATCCAAGGAGATGACAAGGATCTTTTCGACATTTTGGGGATGAATCCTCAAACGCCTACAATGGCTTTGCCGCCTAAAGGACTCTTCTCAGAGCTCATAAGCAGCAGTCTTAGCAACAACACTTGTAGTAGTTCTCTCACAAACGTGCAAGACTATTCTGGCGTGAACCAGAGCAAAAGACGGAAGCTTGAAACATCATCAGCGCATAGCTCAAGCTTGTTTCCGCAGGAGGAGACAGTAAATGGTCGGAGTTTGTGGATTGATGATGAGAGATCGAGCGTTGGAGGGAATTGGAAGAAGCCTCACGAAGAAGGTGTGAAGAAGAAAAGAGCAAAGGCAGGAGAAAGCAGGAGGCCGAGGCCTAAGGACCGTCAGATGATACAAGACCGTATCAAGGAGCTGCGAGGGATGATTCCAAATGGAGCTAAGGTAATTAGTAGTAATATAGTTGGCATCCAAATTATTTAGGGATTAGCAAATGCATTCTCTAATAAGTTTTGATAAACAGTGTAGCATAGATACGTTGCTTGATCTGACCATAAAACACATGGTGTTCATGCAAAGCCTCACCAAGTACGCGGACAGACTCAAAGAACCATACGAGCCTAAGGTAATATATCGATCAGTAGTAAGTAACGATGAATCAAAAACACAAGTCTTTAGTTTATTGATGAGTGAAAGATATATATATCAGCTGGTGAAGGAGAAAGAGAGAACATGGGCGTTGGAAGTGGGGGAAGAAGGAGTGGTATGTCCGATAATGGTGGAGGAATTGAACAGGAAAGGAGAAATGCAGATAGAGATGGTGTGTGAGGAAAGAGAGGAGTTCTTGGAGATAGGAGAAGTGGTGAGAGGATTGGGATTGAAGATATTGAAAGGAGTGATGGAAAGAAGAAAAGGGCAAATATGGTCACAGTTCATCGTAGAGGCAAAGCCACAAGTGACAAGGGTTCAAGTCTTGTACTCACTTGTTCAGCTCTTTCAACATCACCACACCAAACATGATGAGTTATTATTATAGTAACTTTGATTTTCCTTTTTTTTTGTTTTGTTACAACAACACAAGAATCTGTTGATAGTAGTTGTTCCCCTCCCCATTTGTAGAAGAAACATTTTACATCAAAGAAGATTGTATGGGCTTTAAACATTGAGTGTGGTCCATGTAAGACAAAGAAAGAAGGCCCATTTTCCTACAAAAAGGCCCATTTAAATAAAAAGCAACGTAAGTAACGACACCGTATTGGGTGGATAACAGTTAAAACTGACTGAATCAGAAAATAGATTCCCGTTATCCTCGTAAAGGATAAAGGGGAGACAGAGAGGAGAGTATATAAATAAAAAGTTGAACAACAAACAATCCTCATCTGTTTTAGGGTTTCGAGAGAAATTTGATTTTTGATTTGGGAAATTGGTGGCGAAATTGAAGCTTCTTCATCGGTCGTTGTCTAAAAGCAATGGTGGATGGTTGGTGAATGGAGGAGATGCTCTTCTTCTTCTTGTATCCAACAATAATAAAAATAAGAAACACGACGCAGACGCAGACGCAGACGCAGACGCAGAAGCACCTCAGCACCGTCATCGTCTGGGAGATGGCCGCGACACTCCTCTGTTCCCGATGTCGGTTCCGATCGGCGATCGACTCCTACTGCTTCGCCCGTGAGGCCTTCTCCGATCCAATCTCCTTCCACCTCCTCCTCACCCTGTAACCCCAAGCAACTATCCCTCCTTGTTTCTTCTGCTTCCGGATTAGTATTACTAGGTTAGAATATCTGCCATGGACGAGGCTGACTTGGTCCAGAAAGATCCCTCTGGTCGCTACATTAGGGTACGCTCTATCTGCAATTTCCATGGAATTTAGACTATTTCCTTACAAGCTACGTTAATGGCCTTTGTTGTTGCTTGTTTTGAACCCACCCCTATACTTCCTTTCTATATAGAGTTTGCTTTGCATCTTTTCTTCTTCTCCTGGAAACCAACCACTGATCATTCTTTTATCTTCTTCTTTCTTCAGTATAATGACGTTCTCGGGAGAGGAGCCTTCAAAACTGTGTATGTTTGTTTGTTTATACGTCTATGCTTTTTTTAATGCAATGCTATGTAACTCTTATTGCTTTAAGTTGTTTTTCTCATCTCTTGTTGTTGTTAAAATCAGATATAAGGCATTTGATGAAGTCGAAGGTATTGAAGTTGCTTGGAACATCATGAGCATTGAAGATGTCTTGCAGATGCCTGGCCAACTTGATAGGCTATATTCCGAAGTCCATCTCCTCAATTCCCTTAAACATGATAACATCATCAAACTCTTCTACTCTTGGGTTGATGATCATAACAAGTCTATCAACATGATCACTGAGCTTTTCACCTCTGGTAGTCTCAGCTTGTATGTCTCCTTACTCCTCTCTTCTTCTCTTTTCATTATCTCTCTCTGCCTTTCCATTGATTGTCTTTTCTCTTGGTGCAAAGTTATCGTAAAAAGCACCGCAAAGTTGATCCCAAGGCCATCATGAACTGGGCAAGGCAGATTCTTAAAGGCTTGCACTTTTTGCATTCTCAGAGCCCTCCTGTCATTCACCGGGACCTCAAGTGCGACAATATTTTTGTCAACGGAAATACCGGAAAGGTCAAAATCGGAGATCTTGGCCTTGCAGCTGTTATGCAGCAACCCACTGCTCGAAGTGTGATTGGTAATAATACTATCAAACCTCGTTAACTCTTGTTGGATCGAGGAAACCTCTATTAGAACTGAATATATTGGGTATGTTGTTCAGGTACTCCTGAATTCATGGCGCCTGAGCTCTATGAAGAAGAATACAATGAACTTGTGGACATCTATTCTTTTGGCATGTGCATGTTGGAGATGGTAACATGTGAATACCCATATAGTGAATGCAGAAACCAGGCTCAAATATACAAGAAGGTTACCTCGGTAAGTCTAACGTGATATATAAGTCTTACATTTCTCTTCGACACGGGGCTCTTCTTTGAACCGTTGCATTTGCAGGGTATAAAACCTCAATCTCTCAGCAAAGTTGATGATCCTCAAGTTAAGCAATTCATAGAGAAGTGTCTTCTCCCAGCTCCTTCTAGACCAACTGCTCTAGAGCTCCTGAAGGACCAACTCCTTGCAGTAGATGGCGCCAAGGACTCCACTCTTGCTGCTTCATCAAACACAACATTCAAACCTGCAAAGCCACCACAGTCTGAATATCGGCGTATGGATGTGGATCATAAGGAGAATACAAGTGTTTCCATCTGCTCCTCTGCTAAAAGCAGCCAAGAATGCTCGTGGCTCCAGACCATTGAAGTCCAGAGGGTTGCTGAAAATACCGAATTCAGGTTGAGTGGAGAGAGGAGAGATGATGTGGCAGCATCAATGGCTCTGCGTATCGCGGGCTCATCTGGTCTGTCTTACGATATCTTATGGCCATTTGTTTTGCTCTTCTCTTGCATATTTTCGAATGGCTTAATGACAGAAGAAATTTTCGTAACAGGTCAAGCAAGAAAAGTTGATTTTGATTTCAATCTGAAGACAGACACAGCAAGAGCAGTTACAGGGGAGATGGTTGAAGAGCTTGATCTGTCAAGCCAAGAGGTTATTGTGATAGCTGAGATGATAGATGAACTGATAATGAAGCTGAAGGCTAATCGAAGCCTGCCTTATGATGCAAACAGTTTAGTTCAGTCGAAGGATGAAGAAGCTGGAGAATCAATGAAGTCAGACATATCAGCAGACTACTACCATCGGGTCTCCTCAAACGAGGGTTCAGGGCTCGGCTGCTGCTGCGAGGCAGTAGAGTCATTGTTGTCCTCGTTTCTGGATTCGTGCTCAATGGTGTCAAACAAGCAGTCGGAGGATCTGAAGGCGGAGCTGAATGTGATAGAGTCGCAATATAACCAATCTTGTCAACGACTGCTGAAGCTGAAAGAGGAAGCTATAGAGAAGGCTAAACAGAAGTGGATGAAGCTGAGTTGATGATTCCTTCATTTCATTTGACGTAGCCACAGTTTTGGGATTTGCTGCCTTTTTTTGGTTTGTTTCACTGCCTTTTTTCTTCATTTCCCGTCGCTTTTGGTTATGCAATATGCATATTGCATTGCATCAGGAATCACAGATTGAAAGAATGAAATGTATATGATGTTAATAACATTAATAATTCCTGCTAATTCAAAATTTAGAACTATATGGATTGTGTGAATATATCTGTTGCTAGTTTAGGAAATTGGCATATTCATTGTCGAGATATAAAAGGATCGGAGCCGATGAAGAAGAATAAATAATTAAGAGATCATAACAAAAAAACAATCACTGTTTGCTTTATAAAATAAAGATATTCAAAAAATCCATTTTCACATGATTGCACCGACGACAGCGGAAGCCAGCGAAGCAAGGACAATGGAGAAAGCCGAAATGAGCGAGGAGGAAGCCGACGATTTCTGAGAGAGAGGAATAGACCCGAAGGCGTTTTGGTACGAGGGACCGTCGGCGGCAGACGACGGAGACAAGGCCTCTGCTTCGGCGGAGTAAGTGCCGACGGATACGAGGAGCTTCTGGTACTTGGTACAGTGGCCGGGATTTGCACTTGTGAAGTATAGGGTACCGTTTTGGGTGAGGTTGAAGAGAGAGTTGCCGTCGTTCATATACAAGATTGGGTCTTTGGTGTTGCAGCTTTTGAAATTGGAGGGCGTCACTTGAATCAGTGAGTCTTCGCTTGGTGGGTACAAGAACACTGTTTTGGTTTCCAATGATCCAATGATTTAGATTTTAGAGGGGGATTTAAAATTGTAAGTAGAAGAGTTGAATATTTTGACTTACAGAGGGAGTCACCGATCTTGAAAGAGTGAGATTTGGGCCATTTGGTGTAGACTTTAGCATCAATTGGGATACCCCAAGCGTCCAAGTCCCCAACTTTGTATAGAGTCGACGACACTTTACCAATCTCTTGTCCTAACAATATCATCACCAGTAATAACACCATCGTGCTGCTCAAACTCATGACTCCCATCTTGCTTGATTGGTGGTGTACTTTGCTTCTCAGATCTCCTGAAAAGCAAAGCTTATAAATTGGTGAAGCAAAGGAGGTGGAATGACGGTTGTACCCCTGACTGAAGATGGGGCACATGGCCTCAAGTGGGCAATGTCGCATCTTATCAATACATAAATGGGTCTAATCGCTATTCATTTGCAATTATATAATGTCTGCTTGTGTACTGATTGTTTCACATGGCCACCAGTTAAGAATAACGTGTGGTTCCATAGATTCATTCATGTGTTTAAGTGTTTATGACTGACTATTGCCACATACAAACAGAGACAATTATTGCCTAAATTCAGAATTGCAAAGAGATTCAGCTTCCTTTAAAACAACACTAATGCATCTGCATTTCTATGGTTCAGGGCCAATATCGTGACTTATAAAGATTGTTTTTGAGGCACAAAAGAAAGTTGAAAGATTTAAGAAGAATAGTGGCCAGAGCCCAAATAAGCTGACGTGCAGAGGTATTAGGGTGTTTGCTACATCTGGTGAAGGCACAAAATCCAAATATAACTAAACAAGTGGAAAGACTTTATGACCAACGAACGTATTAAGACAAGTAGAAAAATCATCAAGAGAACACGGAACGGCGTTTCCTCTTTTTTTATGTCATGAGAGATTTGGTTATTATGGGTTTAGGGGGTCAGCTTCTGAGGTCATCTCCTTTTCTGGTGACCACTCTTGTGATCCTGCAATGGTAATAAAAGATACACTAGAATCACCGGTCCACGATTATTGATCAGATCAATGGAGCTGTTAGATATGAACATATAACGGTTCCAATGTTTGATGGAAATGCACACAAGCATGATAAACGAATCTACAAGCATGATACAGATCAAATGCAATGTTCATCAGTTAGAAATTCATGCATGGGAGCATTTCTTATTTCCATGATAGAATATCCCCAAGTCCACTAGTTATACCTTCTACAACCCAATCAAGTGTGTGTACCACATGATTTTTACTTTCCTTTAAAGCATTTCGTGAGTAATGTCAGAAGACTTACTTGACTTGTGGATCTCGGCTACATTCATCAACCTCCTCTGCAATATAGAGGCCACAAAAAGGAATACAGAGCACATTCCAAACATCACGGTCATTGGAAACGCGTCAACCTTTAGCATACAAAGATCAGAAAAGCTCGTTAGGTCCATGGCAGTGCATCTTTTCCTATACAGGTTTACATCCAAACGAAGAATCCAGATGATAGATATTGAATTAATAACTTGTAGATTGTACACTAAGTATCTAAGGGCTAGCTTTAGATAGTACTCCTTATATATGGTTGAACCTATATGATGGATATTGAATGAATAACTTTTAGATTGTCTAAGTATCTAAGGGGCAGGTAACTCCGTTCTAAATAATTATGAATGAAATGAAATCTAGCTACGCTCAGTAGGCCAAGCCATATATTTACCCAAAAGCTAGAGACATGTAAAAAATTGTTTTCAGAACATAACGTTCCTTATTAGCAATGATACTAACACCACTGCCTCGAAGAAGTCTGAATAAAAAGAGAACAGGAAAACTCACATTGTACAATACAAGGCAGACAAAGATGTTGAGTGGGATGCGGAAAAAATTCATGATGGTGCTTCTAGCTTCCTCTGGAATGTATTGCGATCTCATCTTCATTATAGATGGCCAGAAGATTCCTACACACGCTTCAAAAGTGCAGAAACCCATTAACTGAATGCATCCAGAGAATGATATGCTTCCACCTTTTACACCTGAGGGCGCCACCAAGAACTGTTCCAATATGGAAATCGAGAAGTTATTATTATATCGGTAATAATCCTTGAATATGGAAAGTAAATAGTGAGAGATATGAAGACAGAGAGCATACGCTTGTTACAACAGGAAGCATTAGAGCTGCAGAAGATATCACAAATACGATCTGCATATAGCTCTCTACTTTTGGAGCCGAATGTGCCAACAAACGAGAGGCAATGGAGCTACCAAGCATGGAAGCCAGCATGAATGTTGCAAAAATGAAACCATGTGGAATGTCCTCTTCGTTTGGGCTCAAAGCAGGAGTCCAGAGAAACACAAAGGTGTACATGGAGCCTTCGAAGAGAGACTGTATGGCACCAAGCAATGCGATCTTCTCATCTGATTAAATAAAAAAAAGTGGTTAGTGGAATACAGCTAGAAGCAAGTCAAAAACAAGGCAAGGTAAGAGATTGACCAGAAGCAATGGCAGATGCAGCGTTCTTGAACTGGGTAAGAAGGTCTTTGTTTTCAGAGGGATCACCGTAGTTTTCGGACCAAGATGAAATAATAACGGCCATACCAATAGCAAGGAAGCAAGCAGCAGCATCGAAAGGAGCAACAGGACCGAGGGCGAGAGAATCGACAAGGAAATTGCCAAAGAGGCCAGCAATGATGGCGACTAATCCATTACCGAGGAAGATAGCCTTGGAGAAAGTGAGAGAGAGCCACTGCTGCTCGAAGCCTCTCTTGTTGTGCTCAGCGACAAGCCAGGATTCGAAGGCAGAGAAAAGGAGAGAAGTAGCGATACCACCAAGAACACGACCGACCATCAAAACTTTGTACTGGGGAGAATGTTTGGTGATACAGCTGAGAATGTAGGTAATGCAGTAGGTGATGGAAGCTCGCTTGCGACCCCTAAGGAAGTTAGAGAGAGAAAACATCAGAAGAAGATCCAATAAATAGTATAATAAAATGGAGAAGAAGAAGAAGAAGAAATGCTGACTGTTTGTCGGCAAGAGATCCAACAATGGTGCCAAACAACATGGAAGATCCAAAACCAGCAATAAAGAGCTGACCGATCTCTCCCTTGCCGAAGCCATAAGTGCTGTAGAGATAGTACACATACGGACCCTGCAACCAGTCCCCAGCTGGAGAGAGACCAAAATTAATTCATTCGAGAGAGAGAGAGAGAGAGATCAAGCAACATTCATTCATTCATTCATTCATCAATGGACAATCAATCAATCATCCATTCATTCATTCCGGTCCGATCTAGTTCCACCGACACTAAGGATAACAAGAAAATCGATTGGATCGAGAACTCACCCATCATGAGAGAGTAGACGAGGAGATAGTTGTTCTTGAAGGAGTTGAAGGCGGAGGAGGTGTTAATGCGGTCTTTGTTCGATTTGCTCAGCTCCAAGCCGGCGACGATCGCAGCCAACCCACCGAACACCACGAAGTAGAAGATCTCCATTTCCACGATCAGATCTCGAAGATGAGATTTGTGATTTGAGAATTGCCTATGTAGAGAGTGTTGAGTGAGATTTCATTTATATGCCGACATGTTTAATTAATTAGGGGTAAAAGGCCTATTTCAATCTGTATAATTTTGATCGTACCTTTTTTTTTTTTTTTTTTTTTTTGATCGTACCTTTTTTTTTTTTTTTTCTTTTTTTGTAAACCAAATAACATTATAAAAAGACTCAAACTCCACAAATGGAGGAGGGAATACAGGATAATAGGCCAGCGTTTGCTAATAAAACATCAGCTCCACAGTTTTCAGACCTTGGAACAAAGTGAACAGAAATAGACATAAACATAGAACGAAAGAAATCCGCTAATATGCCATCTACTTCGTTTGCGTGGCCACCGGTATTGGGCAGAAGAACAAGCTCCTGACAATCCGAAATACAAGCCAGCCTTGATACACCCAATGCTAAAGCCGCCGTGATAGCTGCCTTGAGAGCTAGTGCCTCCGTTACGAGAACAGAGGACACAAAGGGTCTTGAATAAGATCCATGGTGGATCTTTCCGTTGAGTGGGTCCATGAAACACCAGCCCAACCCGCAGCAGATCGAGGATTGTAACCATGCTGCATCCGAGAAGCTCAAGAACGCTTCCACCTTCTGTGATGATGGTTGGATTGGTTGAGACTTTATGACCCAGCCATCCTCTTCCGTGAGGCCTAGTCCTACACACAACCCATCAACAACACAAAGGACTCCAACGCTTCTTCTGGGGCCTGCACTAGTCAAATCCATACCAAAACCAGAAACAGTAATCTCCAAAAAATGTCTACCAAAAACCCATCTCTCAAGAGACATTACAACCATTCTAGCAAAGTTTTGGTCAAATCTGAAAACATCCTCATACTGAGGTACTTGAAACTGATGAATCCTCATACTGAGGTAATTGGGAACTAACAAGAGGCTGTTACTAGGCCTATGCCCTCTACACCAAAGGGTCACAAATACCATACCTTCCGACGTCATGTAGATGGGGAGGAGAGCCCATGAGGGCTGGGGTTGCCTGTTGAAGAGAGAGCCGATCTGAATCCTTTGGCACACGCAGTTCATGACGATTCCGGCCCACGAGCTGCCTACAACATTCGGGGCACACGGGAAGGCAACATACATGTCACTTGAGGACACGCAAGGCTGAACCAAGCCCATCCAATCCCAGGAGTTCACGGAGAGAGCGAGGTAGCATATGACGACATCAAGACTTCCAGGGGTGACAGAGGGGAGAGTCGCGGTGGGGTCAATCGAAGGAGCTTGGACTCGAAACTGGTAATCGCTCAGCCAAAGTAAAGGTGTCAACACAAAACTAGACAAATCGAGACAGAATCCGCATACTGCGGTAAAAGATCGCATCAAAGCGATAAAGGTGCTACAAGAGAGCACAAGTGTAGACTCAAAAGTATCCAAGCCCATTAAATCTGAATGAGCTAAATTAGATCGCCACAAACCCGGTGATGGAGAGAGGGAGGATGGAAAGCCATAAATGGCGGAGGAGAGATTGAGGACGAGCGAATCAAACACTGGGAGTGAAGAGGAGCTCGACGCCTGGGTACAAGAATCAACAAAAGTGAAGCAGATCTGAAAGTCCGGTGGATCCGGTGGTTCCGGTGGATTCGGCGGAGATGGAGGCGCCGGCGGTGGTGCACGAGGGGGCCTCAGAAGGAGAAAGGCGACCGAAGACAACGGTAAGCAACGAGAGTGGCTCGCATTGGAAAGAAAAAGGGAATTCATCTCAAGTGAAAGGCTCGCCGGAATAGCTACGTCACCGGAAAAGGAGCTTCACCGAAGAGATCTCACCTTAGAAGTAGCACCGATCAGAAATGAAGGCAGTCGGAAGAGCATCGCCGGTGAAGGAAACTCATCTCGACCAAGGCTTGCGGCTACCTTGGTTATTGTGCCTGGGAGAGAAGTTTTTAGGGCGAACTCTGTTTATTCTGTCCTTTGTGAATGAAGCTTCTCTGTGATTGACGATCGTACCTTTTTATGTTTCAACTTTAAGTGCCGATTCCAACTTGAATAAAATAATTTTACAAATAAATTATACGAACTACCAAAATTTTGCCAAAATCAACATTGTGTTGGTCAATTATGTTGAGTCATATGCCACATATACAGTTACCGCTGAGTCAGATGCCACATGTCAACAAAAAAAAATTAATTTTTAAAACATAATGTTAAGCGAATTATAGCAAAATTCTTTTAAAATCGTTACCCCAACCAAAATGATAATTAAATAGAGTTTTTGTAAATATACAGGGTAGAGTTTTATTTATTAAATTAAATCTATATAAAAACTCGATTCAATTATCGCTTTGGTTGAATTACGATTTTAAAATACTTTTACGATTATAAAAACAGGCTTGTAATTTTGTTTAATGCGCATCATGTAGTGTCTCTCAGTTTTCAGTAACAGAAATAATCAGAAAGTTTCAAAGAATAAAGTATCATTTAGAAAAATTGTTCTACTTCTCTGTTCTACGTTTTTGTTCGACACATGTGTATTTATCAACAGTGTGGTAGAAGAGCTATACCAAGATTGTGGTATTAGCATTCTTGTAGCAACGCAGGTACTGTTTCAGTAACATTGTGGTATTAAGCTATACCAGCAGTGTCGCACCATACCTCTGTTTCACCAACAATAACTATTGTCACGGTCATGAAACAAAACAAACCAAGCAGGGAAGCTAACATCAGTAATAATAGAGGCATACCTCAAGAACTGATATACCATTGTGCGTTGGGATCTCAGCAGAGTAAGTAATGAAGTTGCTCAAGCGTATACCGTGCTTTTTTTTTTTTCCCAACCCCTAATTTTTTATTAATGACACCATATCAAACATAGACCAAGCAAGTCTTACATAAAAACAAAATAGGAAAACAAGATAAGGCCCATCACGAGCCCAGCCATTTGCACCCGCTTCAGAAGAAGATTGGATCGTGTCTCAAGACACGTGTCAACATCAAAGACGCGTGTAGCATGAGGAACCAAAAGTTTCCCGTCATCATCCTTCACCGTTGAAGCCATCGATGAAACTAACATCGAAAGAAGATCGACAATAGATTCTTCGGTAATTCTCCAACAACTGTAAACAGAAGTAAGGATCTAATACGAAACTATTAATCTCAATCGCTTGTTCGAATCATCAAAAATTGAAGTCCGACACAAAACGAAAAAGAGAATAAGATCTTTAATTAATCCACCTCTGTTAGCTAAACCAATCGAAGCTTTAACATAAAGAAACAGCTAAAGGCAGTAGTAATAGGCTGAGGAAAGAGCTTTGAATCTTCAACCAAATTCACAAATCGCCTAATCATTTTCCATAAACCGCAAACCCAATGGATAGGCCAGAAAGAGACCTTTTTGAGTGGAGAATCGCCACCACTAATACACAAATCCGATGAGTTTTAACCGCAGCTTTTATTCAAAAACAGAGAATAAACTTTCGAAATAATGAACACAATATCCGTAGGTGGTAGGCCTGGCGAGCAAATCATAAGATTTGGTATGGAGATCATGTAACACCAGTGGTTCCTTGTTCTCACGACCATGAAGCAATAACTTATTCTTCTCCAGAATTGCTACCGGTAAAGGCACGAGCGAGAATCTCTTGAACCAAGGAAAAGTTTTGATGTGATCAATCGAACAAATTTTATTCCATGTGCCTGAAGAACACAAGGACCATATGTCTTGGGTAGGCCAGTCTTTCTCGGAAACGCACAAGCGGTTATCAAGGATGCACAAGATGACGTTATTCGGGTCAGGTACATGGGTAAAGGGAGCTTTGGAGATGACTTTGAAAGTTTCTGTGTGAAGATCGAAAGACAATACCTTGGCATCTACACAGTTGGTGAGCCAATAAAGTGACCCATCTAAATACACTGGCCTCTGGAGAGGGAGAATCTGATAAGGAGAAGCAGGGACAAGGTATCTCCAAGCGTTGGTGCTAAAATCGAAAACTTCACAAGTGGTAACATTGTCTAGGCCTAATTCAGATGAATTAAATAACCAAACAGGCTTGTAAGTGCCCTTGACAATGTCTTTACCAAATCCAGGCTTATAATATGTAGAGCAGTAAGGTTGTCGTGTCTGAAGCTTGTTGATGATGATCTGTTGAACGGAGGAAAAAGGAAAACTTTGATGCCATTGAGTGGCGGGATTCACCACGATATTGGGTGTGAAGAAACAGAAGAGGCAAACCAGACCGTCACAAGAACCATGGCAGATAATGAGGTTCGAAAAAGGGAATTTGACCTTACGGACTATGGAAGATCCCAACACAATTTCATCTTCTAAATCAGCACCATCATAAACAATTTGAGCTTCTTCAGCATCAGCATCATCATCATCATCAACAATTTGAGCATCATCAATATCATCATCATCAGCATCATCACCATCATCATCAGTTTCACTAGTTTCACTATGATAAAGAGACACGAAAAGGACATCTGGACCTCGTGATTGCCTACGACGGATCAGCTGTCTTTCCCAGAAACGTTGGGAATAGATCGTCCATCTCCACTTCTTGGACACAGACCTAAATCTCAGCAGAGATTTCACCGCAAGTCTCTCCAGTATGAGCTCTACAACATCGTGTGGAAGAGATTCCACGCTAGAGCGATGCCTTTTCAATACCACACTCCAGCCATGTCTTTTCAACATTGTATCTCGAGATAAGATCCCTAGGCCTCCTTTATAAACACACGAGCTGAGCATCCGAATCCGATTAATCGAGCTACGAATGGGAAAAAGGATAATTTCCATTAAAAGACTCTTTTCTCGAATCTTACTTGTTATTTTCTTCTGAATAATTCAATTAAAAATCGATATTACAGATCTCATAAAATCACAATAATAAAAAGAGCTAATTATAATCACAGTCATGCAATGATCGCATCAAAACCTTCCATCGATTTTTCTCTTTGAAACAATCCTTTTTCTCTACGAGGGCAGATGTCGACGGAGAGGAACAGAAAAGAGACATCTCTCATAGGAATCTCAACCCCTATTTGGGCTTATGGGTCTTACTTCTTCTCTTGGGCTTTCATTATAAATATGGACCAATTTTGTTCTACGAGAATGAAACATTGTTACATTAACTAATTATTTAACTCGGTGTACACACTACTACTACCTTTGACAATTTTGATACGGGAAAAATAAAATCAAGTAAAGAGGAAAAAACAAAACTAAACCACCACATAATGCAATTCGACCACACGAATCAGGAATGTGTAAACAAAATCAAAAATTTTGTGTTTAAAGGGTGACAACTAGTTAAAAATGTAGAGTAAGTGAAACTCAATAGTTTAGGTAACTGAAAACTCACTTGTTGAAGCTTTTTCGCAAGATAACATCTCGTCATACCTACCTAAGTGTGGATACTATCGGAGTGATGAGCCTATACAGTTTTTACAATCCCTGCATTTCACTATTTTGTTTGTAATGACACTACAAAAAAAAGATCATATTAAATCACTTAAATTGTATCACTTCACTAAATGATATTATTTTGAATCATTTATTTATAAATAATGTGTTTTAGCATCAATTATACTAAGTGATGTTATAATTAATTAGTTTGGCATCAATTATATAAAACTGATTTAAAAGCTATTATTTCGTATCACTTTTTAAAAACTGATAGTAAATATTAATTTACATCATTTAGATAATTGATGTATTTATTAATTTTTGTTAAGATCACTTTTTAAATGATACAAAATTTATATCAATAAAAACTGATGTTAAACTAAATATATCAAAAACATTATTAAAAAAATCAAAAAAACCAACGTGATTTTTTTTTTTGAAGGAAAATATATTTCAGATCTAGATAATCATCACACCTAAATTTTGGCTACAAATTTGATCGAGAAGCAACCTAGCTAGCTGTATATATATCTCTTACTTTTATATGGATTTTAGACACATACAGGTTTTTAGAAGTCACGATCGTTACACGTAAGTTTTGTAAAATATGTGATGAATCATTGTTCTAGGATTAGATCTTCTTCATCCTTGTTTATTTCTCTGTAATTAATTATGATACAATTTTAATTTTGGTTAAACTGCAGGTAGCTGCACTTAGCAAAAGAAATCTAGAAACAATAAAAAGGTTCATACATCAACAATTGGTTTCAGGTTTGTCTGTCTTAATTAGGATATATTGGTTCTCATGAGAAGGACTTTAATTACATATCTGTAGTGATGAAGACCATGATCAACATTTAGAATTGGTACATATGCCCTTCACGCACCTTTAGATAGCGATGATATTTTTAACCCTATATTAATTGTCTTCTAGTATACAAATTTATTCGAGCCGTAAAAATACTTTTCAAATAGAATTGGAAACGAGTATAAAGCTTTCTTGAAAAATAATTCATATATTCACCAGTTATTTTTAGATTCCAATTAATAACAGTAAGCGATAGAGACAATGATCATGGTAGATATATTTATTTATAAATTCTAATGTTTGTTTGTGAATTTCCATAGCTTACAAATTATACAAATCTTTTTGTTTTTTTAGGTTTTGATCGATGGATAAATCATGGATAAACAAACCACGTTTGTCTCAAGATTACATATTGGGGGTGAAAAATTTCATGGATTTTGCATTTGGTAAATTAAAGGTATACGTTCTGAAATGTCCATGTAACCGTTGTTGTCTCCTCAAACTTAAGTCAAGAGAAGATATCGACGGTGATTTGATGTGTTATGGCTTTTTAAGTTCTTACACAAATTGGGTACTACATGGAGAGGATATATGTGTCACGGGTAATACAAGAGTACCTTCTGATATTGCTTCGGTGGAATTAGATTCAACTAGGACTCTCTTGGATGATCTTTTTCCTGATATTAGTACGAACAATGATGGTGGATATGAAGCTGGATCATCTGAGAACCCGATGGACACTGATAGACCATCAACTGCAAGTGGAAGTTGTGAAAAAGGAGAAGGTTTTGATGAGTTGCTTGCTGATTATAATCAAGAGCTATATACAGGATGCACTAAGTTCACGAAGTTGTCCTTTATATTGAAGTTGTACCATATCAAATGTATGTGTGGGATTAGCGACAAGGGGATATCTATGGTACTTGATTTGCTGAAAGAAGCATTTACACATGCCAAATTGCCAGATTCATTTAGTGACATGAAAAAAGTTATTCGCAAATTAGGATTGAGTTATGAATCAATTCATGCATGTCCAAATGATTGCATGTTATTTTGGGAGGCAGATGCAAAAAGAGAAATCTGCAAAGTTTGTGAAGCTTCTCGTTGGAAAGAAAATATTTCAGTAAAGAGTACAGAATCTGGATCAGAGAACAAAAAGAGTAAAACTCCTGTAAAGGTTTTGCGTTATTTTCCTCTAAAGATTGGAGATTAAACCATGATTTGTTTAATCATCTCCTTTTAGGTTTTTGCTTACAGTCTGGTTTAGCTATAACCACACGTTTTTTTTTTCCTTGTCGTTTTTAATCTTCGTGGCTCGATCATTCTTTTTTGTTTCTGCTAATGATTCATCTCCAAAATTCTCGAAGCTAATTCGTTAGAATCTAAAATCATATGTTTTGATTTCGTGAGATTCCATGAAAGTGGCTTAACGTGAGATTCCATGAAAGTGGCTTAACGTGGCTTACATTTTTTTTTTCTTTTGTCTCGATGAATTATTTTATATTTTTTTTTATCATATGATTATTTTTGATCGTTGCCTCATATTTTTGTCATCAAACTAAGAATTCCTTTCTCTGTAGAATAGAATCATAGGAAGCATAGAAAAAAGCTGAAAATCAAGGATCATATTTCTTTCTTTGTAACAGAAATATGTATTGCTAACAATTTTTTATTCCTTGATTAGGATCATGGAGTTTATGGATTCAGAAACACAAGCACCAGATGATTTACCACATTTGGAAACAAATTACAATAATCCTCCCGCACTTGCTCCAGAATGTAAAAGCTTCAAATGGAAAATTGAAGTGATAGGTAATACTAATAATCTGCTTTGGCTTTTGATATATTTAGTCAAATTTGCACTTCTTTATAACTAATCTGCTTTAGCATATATGTTAATTTGATTTTATTTACTAATTCGATTTTGGTTTGATATATATGTGGTAATTATCAACAAGATGTCGATGGAAACATAGAAGGCAAAATGATGACATCTAAAGATGTCTGGAAAATGCAAAACCACCAAGTTATTGTGCATTTCGATGAAGATACCGGTCAGCCAATTGGTGATTCTGGAGGTTTACTTGGATCATGGTTGGGGCAATTAAGCAATGATGTCCATTTGCTACCCATCAACTACACCGATTGGAGGTTGGTTAGTCCTCACATAAAAACAAGAGCATGGAAAGTAATTCAGGTAACATCTATCTATAGATTTTTAAACCATGGGATGTTTTAAGATTATATTTAGGTCTGATGACTCGTTTCATTTTATATCATTTCAGTCCAAATTCAGATTTGATGATCCGATGATGAGAAAAGAATATGTGATGGGTGCATTAGGTAGCAGATGCAAGGATGTCAAACAACGTGTTTGGAACGATTACAAAAAAAGTAATCTGAATGAAACGTTGCAGAATCGACCCGACAAAATTCCTGAAGATCAATGGTCTCATTTGGTTCACATGAGATTCACCGAAAAGTGGAAGGTATAGTTTATTCGTTGGATATTTATAGGAAGCATGCTATATCAAATGCAATTAATTTTTTTTTAACATATGAGCTTTCAGAAAATGCAAGAGCGGAATACAAAGAACCAGAAAAATAATATCATGCCTCACTTATGTGGAAGGAAGAGTTTTTCAAGAAAAAGAGACGAAATTGTGAGTTACATAGGTATGATATATATAATCCTAGTATATTATTGATTTTGTATATTGTTTAACGCAGAAAACCAAGATTGGAAAAACGCCATGTCGAGCGGAGTTTTTCATTGAGACTCGCAAGAAACAGGATGGAAGCTTTGTATGTGATGAGGCAAAAATACGCGCGGTTAGTTTTATTAAAGTTACTATGAATTTTGGTCAATAGTTTTTGGAAGTGATCTTTAAATAAAATTTTGAGATGCGTTATTCCAGTCACTATGAAAATCTATTGGATGAAATATTTATCATTCTCTACTTTTTTTTAGGAAGCACTTACGACGTTGTTGAGTCAAAATCCGCAAGTCACAAACAATATTACAGCTAGCTTGGATGATGAATATAGTCAGGTGTTCGGTCCAGAGCGTCCAGGACGAGTACGTTGTGTAGGTCGTGGGCCCACACCTTCAAGATTAGTGAAACATTCAAGTGCACCTAGAAGACAAGAGACAGAAAATTCTGAATTGGTCGTCCAGCTGAAGGCACAAGTGAAGGCATTAGGTGATCAAGTTAATGGAATGTCTAAGTTCTTCCAACAAATACTTGGTACTTCAACTCGTGAACAGGTAATAAAATATAATAATAATTTGAAATTTAAATTACATTATTATAATTCTATATATAATACTAATGTTTTAAACTAAATATTCAGGCAAGTGCATGGGCTATAAATTTTGCAGCGGCTTTTGCGAACATACCAAATCCACCATTTGTAAACATTCCAAATCCGCCTAATCCTCAGGTAAATGATATTTACATAACAATTTCATAGATACCAGATATTTATATAATAAACTAATACATTGAATGATGTATTTTCCAGGAAAAGGATAATGGTGCCAGTGGATAAACGTTTAAGCGCTTAAGAGTTATAAATGCTAGTTATGATCAAAATTTATTTATCAATTATAAAAAATAATATTCTCATCGATTTTTATAAATGATACTATAACTACAATCATTTATGAAAATCGACATAAATATAACATCAATTTTGTTAAAATGATGTAATGATTTAAATCAATTATTATAAATGATGTATTTAGTAAATCGTTTATCATAAATGATATAATTATTAACATCAGTTATGAAAAGTGATACTAGTTTTAGTATCAATTATTTATAAGTGATGGAAATATTGACATCAGTTATAATAACTGTTACAAACACTAACATCACTTGCACAAAATGATGTAAACATTAACATCATTTTTTGTAACCGATTCAAAATAAACATCAGTTATGACAAGCGATGCAAATATTATGTATAATTGCATCAGTTTTTAATAAAATGATGTAAATTATTTGCATCAATAATATATAAATCAATTATTTAAGTGATGTAAAATTCTTTTACATCAATTATAAGTAATACAAATATTCAAAATAAATGATGTAAAATGATCTTTTTTTTGTAGTGTGAGATCTTGTTATTTTTTTAAAAAAAATTGCCTAGTAATATACATAGTGACCTCATATTGAATCAGTAGTATACAAGTCGCTCACACTTGTCCTTTTTACTCACCAAAATCCATTATTTTAGAGGCTAAACAAAATTATAATTCTCTCTTGGAGAGGAAGAAGATTAGAACCAAGTTAAAATTATCTTTCTCATGGTTTTATGTTATTTATGTCTTTTTGCATTTTAAATTTATTTCTTATAAGTTTTGTAATTTTATGCTTAGTTTTAAGAAAATATAACTTTTTCTATACTATGTATAATGTATTGTATTAATAATATTTACGGTTTTATTATGTTACTATTATAGATTATATAAACAAATATTATTAAATTTATAAAATTAAATATATTTAAAATATAATTTGATAGGTTTCTGTTAAAATGTAAGAGAAATATAAAAGATCATGAAAAAATTCAAACATTAAAAATAATAATATTTATTGATAAGATATTTAATTTATAATTCATCTAAATTAATACATAAAGGTTTCTGATACTATTTGAAAAATCTACAATATTTTAATATTATTTTATTTCTTAATAGTTTGGTAGAATCATGTGAGAAACTATCCATAGGAATGATGATCTTATCTATTTATCAGGAGCCGATGAGTTTGAATATTCCAGTCACTAAACGCATGTTTATTTCTCAGCTTTCTGTAATCTGTATGTAGACACACTTTCATATTTTCTTCACTTTTGTCTTGTATTACCCAATTCTCTTTTACCAAAAAAAAAACACACACATTTTTCTACTTTTTTTTTTTTGGTCAAGCATTGGCACTCATTGTCAATGAATTACCCAAGGGATATATAATAATAAATTGGAATAATGAAAGCAGTTCATCATAAGGTTCGTGACTATTAATTTCTACTTTTGTTTATATTCAAATAGATTAAGATGCCGTGTCACTTGGTGTATGATAAGGAGAGCAAACGTAATCAGATAGAGATCACAGCAATTCGTTATAAAATATTCATCAAATAAAAACACATGATCAAATTAAAGTGACTCACAAAAACGTATACAATCCTAAAGCAACAAGGCCCACAAGGGCAAAAGACGGGAAAAATGTGGTTAAGCTTACCTAAACCCAAAAAATAAAGAAAATTAAAAACCCAAAAAGCGTTACGTTCCAAACATTTAGACAGGGTACACGTGAATGACTCCCACTTTTTCTGAATAATAGCACAATTCAATTTTGATGAAAAAAAAAGCACAATTCAATTCAATGCCTCGATATTATGTCAAATTTGTAATCAACAACAACAAAAATGTGTAAGTAACGTCTTTAATTGATTTGATAAGATAAAAAAAATCTAAAAAATTCCTGATTAATTTCTCTATAAATTGAAGCCTTTCCTCTTTACATTTCGTTAACACCTAGGTTTTTGTTTCCAAACAAAGGCTCTTCTTTTTTTTCTTTAGTTAACTACTATGGCCCATTTCCTCGAGACACAGCAGCCCCTCGTATTCTCCGGAAAGAAACGTAACGATCGCGATGACGACGACAGAGACGCCTTGGCTGCAAAGAAATCGGCACTGGCGGTGCGTGATGTCGACCCTGCAGCGGCCCTAGCGAGCATCCGACATGAGTTTGGGGAGCACGGGGGAGTGAACATGTCCATCGAAGCCTCCGCCACCTTCACCGTCATGGAACCTGATACCATGAGGCGGATGTTCTCCGGAGAATTGGGACCGGACAACGACTTCTTCGTATACAGCCGGCACTTCAACCCCACCGTGCTCAACCTCAGCCGCCAGATGGCTGCTCTCGAAGGCACCCAAGCTGCCTACTGTACCTCAAGCGGTAATTATTAATTATATCTAAAATAAAAGAATATCCAGAACCCATGGAAACCTAGTTGTGTTTGAAACGGAATCTTTTGTTGGACTTCAAATATGTATTGGGATTGACTTCAGGTATGTCGGCGATATCGTCAGTGATGCTGCAACTGTGCAGCAGCGGAGGACACGTGGTGGCGGCAAGCACGCTCTACGGAGGAACACACGCTTTGCTCTCTCATTTCTTGCCACGGACCTGTAACATAACCACCTCCTTCGTTGACATAACGGACCATGGCGCGGTGGCAAACGCGATTGTCGAGGGTAGGACAGAGGTTCTCTACTTTGAGTCGGTGGCAAACCCGACGCTGACTGTGGCTGACATACCTGAGCTGAGCCGTATGGCACACGAGAAGGGCGTGACAGTGGTGGTGGACAACACCTTCGCACCCATGGTGCTGTCTCCGGCCAAGCTTGGAGCAGATGTGGTGGTTCACAGTATCTCCAAGTTCATCAGTGGTGGGGCTGACATCATCGCAGGTACGTAGCGTTATTTGGTTACAAGTTTCTCTTTAATTCACGTGAAGGAGCAAATAACCGTACACGTGTTTTTGTCTTTGTCGTGACCTAAAAAACAGGGGCCGTGTGTGGGAGTGAGAAGCTGGTGAAAGGGATGATGGATCTGCGTGGCGGATCTCTGATGCTGCTAGGTCCCACAATGAACGCCAAGGTGGCTTTCGAGCTCTCCGAGCGAATACCTCACTTGGGCCTACGCATGAGGGAGCACAGCCGCAGAGCCCAAGTATATGCTGAGAGAATGAGGGAGTTGGGGATGAAAGTCATATATCCAGGGCTCGAGACCCACCCGCAGCACAGGCTATTCAAAGGGATGCTGAACAGAGACTACGGATACGGAGGATTGCTGTCCATAGACATGGAGACAGAGGAGAAAGCCAACAAGCTCATGACATATCTCCAGAACGCCACTCAGTTCGGCTTCATGGCCGTCAGTTTGGGCTACTACGAGACACTCATGTCCTGCTCCGGCAGCAGCACCAGCAGCGAGCTTGACCCCTCGCAGAAGGAAGCTGCAGGCATCTCTCCTGGCCTTGTACGAATGTCTGTGGGGTATGTGGGTACATTGGAGCAGAAGTGGACACAATTCGAGAAAGCATTCCTCAGAATGTAATGTCTTCTTATATGATGGTTTTCTTTCCCCCAAAATTCATCATCTGCGATATATGTATGATGTGGCCAATGTTCAGTCTCTTATTTGTTATAATTAACACAGTGTTCTAGTCTTCGGACATCTTTTCTTGTATATATAACTAAAAAATATCTGTGTTTTTGGTTAGAAAATGGAATTTACCTTCAAAAAATCAGGAAAGGTATCCGATATTCGAGATGCCTCTACATTTGGTTACATATACACTCGAGAGGATTGGAGGCACATTGCAAACCACTTTATTCTTGGCCGCAAAACTATTTACTCTAATTTTTCTTCAAAATTCAAAATCATAATGAACCACAAAAGAAACATGTTCTGTTTTTTTTTTCTTTCTACATAGGAGTCACCGAAATATGCAAAAGTGAATGGGTATAAATGATGATTTGAATAATAGTGGTTGGTAACTTGGTATTAATATATATATATACTTAGCTTAAAATAAAGAAGGGTTAATTTATTGAATGAAGTTGAGGAGTAGTAGATCTGCGCCAAATGAGCTCAAGCTCACGAGCGAACTCCTTCTGCCTCCCAACAACAATGGTGATGTGGTCTTTGTCGGGAACGACGTGGATCCTGGCACGTGGCACTTTCCTCTTGACGCCGTAGCTGCACTCGACGGGTATCAGCTCGTCCCTACCGCCGTGGAAGACTGTGACCTCACAGTCCACGTTGTCACGGACATGGTCTAGGTAAGCCTCTACTTTGCTCCCCGACCCGAAGATGATGTTGTGTAGTGTGTGCCACGACGCGTTGTGTGTGTGACACAAGAACCCTTCTATCAAGTACGTTCGCATCCTGCGTGACGAATACATCATCCCAGTTATTCACCTTTTTTATTGCATCTACTACTATTACCGGTGAGAGTAAATTAATTATGAGCATTTAATTTATCTACACAAAAATTGCGTTTTAAGTATATACCAACATCGCATAATGTCACATCAATTTCCCCACATCTTAATCTCAGGATGAGGAACAGAGTTAAAGGTGTCTGGCTACATTTAATTGCTTGATAATTTTTTCATACCAAAAAAAAGAAGCCAAAGTAGATAAATGAGTACCTGTTTCGGGTGAGTAGCCTGGTGAGAAATTCCAACAAGTGATGGTTCTTGCAAAGCACTAGACTAACGGTGCGGCTAATGTGCTCGTACCAGCTAGCCACCGACGCTCCAAAGGCCATCGGAGGCCACACTTCCTTGGGGGCCACTTTTCTCATCACATAATGCGTCCCTTGCACTCCTTTTGGCACCGAATAATAGGGCTGCATTCCCCATTCGATCACATATATCAATTAGTTACCATTACTAACCAGGAAGCATTATTCAAATAAAAGCAATTTATATGACTCACAGGAGCCAATAGAGTGAGCGACTTGATGGCTCCTGGGTGTTTAACCGCGAGCGCAAGAGCCAAGATGCAGCCAAGGGAGTGAGCCACTAAATGGAATGTCTTGAGTCTGAACTGAGAAATCACCGATCTCTCTATCATCTCTAAATGCTCTTTTAATGTATACAATGAATCGTTCGGCTTTGGACTTTTCCCATAACCCAACAGGTCCACTGCGAGAAACCTGTAATTCGATTTGGCTGAGTCTGAGAAGTTTGGGAACAGAGTCTCCGTCCAAAACGTGGATGATGATAAGAACCCATGAATGAACACTACGTTCTCTTGTGCCTTGTTGTCTGCACATTCAATTTTTTTTATTTTGGTTATGACTACAAAAACCTCACAAAAAAATGTGTCTGCATTATCTCAAAAGTTCTTCACACTGTTTCTGAATGATGACTCCACATTACGTAAGAAACATCAACGGATCTTTGAAGGCATTTATTCTTTAGAGTAGTGTTTAATCCTAATTAAACGCGTCTCTCCATTTAAAATGACTGGTTTCTTATCTTAGTAATAAATGATTTTGATTGTACTAATGGCTAATGCAAAAGCCCCACTAGCTAGAACCCATACAACAAACATCACTTTTTTTGTTCAACCAATAAACATTACTTTAATTTTGACTAATGATGATGCTTTAATATTTGACTCTTAAGCTACCAGTCTTTTGTAAATAACCAAGAATAATCAAAATTTTTTCTTTCTCATGATGAAATACTATTGCACTCTTAGATGAGAATGCATGCTGCAGGAGACACCTAGAGTGAGAGAGGAGCCACAAGGGAACAGGACAACAAAACAGGGGACTGAGATTATATAAAATGTACCTTTGGGCTGTTGGACATTGACAAAGAGAGAATGGTTGGAAGAGGAAAGCCAAGAAGTGCAGAAAGTGCAATGGCAGTCAGACCATCTTGGTGTTCTTTGCAACTTCTCGACCACCGTGGAGTTCACAGTGAGTAATGTCTTTTTAGTTGGCGGTGATCTCTTCTTGGACTCATCACAACATTTCACAACATCTTTCTTGAAGCACTTCACCAGCTTACTGAGCCTGGTGAGGAGTGAAGGGCGTGAGTAGAGTGTGTCGGAGATCTCATCCAGATGGATCTTTGTCCTTGTGAGTGAGACTACCTTCGAGTACTCTCCTGATCTTTCCGACACTATCATCTTACCGACTCTGCTCCCTCCAGCCGCGATTGGTTTGGCCTCAGGCGGCGGACAGCAGTAGCAGGGTTTCCACTCTGACTCGAAGAAGAAATCAAGAGTCTTGTAGGTAAAGCAAAGCAAGAAATCAACAATGTCGAGGATGAAGAAGACGAAGAAGCCCACGGTGCGGTTGAGCCACCGTGAGAATCCCATGCTGTGGAGTTTGAGTCTTGTGGTAGGCATGTATGTATGTAAGTTGTATGTATGTATGGTGGTGATGTTGCAAAGACAAAGTGCGTGAGAGAGAGAAAGAAAGTACTATTAAGTTAAATGAAGAGAGAGGAGAACAGATGGAAGTTACATGAATTTATTGATCGCATTTAACATTCATTGTTGGCTAAAATGATGAAATTGGGTGGCCGTTGAATCTTCTCAACACTAGACCATGCATATCCAGCACATACCTTAATATCTTTTTTTAATTTCAAAACATCAATACTTAGCAACATGTGATGTCGATTGGTCCGGTGATGTTCCAAAATGCCACTGTAGCTACTTAGCTTACGCACAAAGTCAATCAAGTCACCATGCATGTACGGTTCCTTCCTTAGAATTATGTTATTTTTGCTCTATATATATTTGATTAAGAAAAATGTAATCCAAATATTCATTTGCATTTCCAACTTGTACAAAAATTTGCTGAAAAATGTGAAAATGTTTAATAATATGCTAATTAAGCACGCATAAATATTTATATTTGAAACAATTAAAACCGTAGATAGTCAATAATTAATGAATGTATCTATATGCTCTGTTTGGTAAGACCACTAGTGAGGGCTTTGGCCGGTTGATGACTTTTGGGGTCTAAAACTAAAAGGAGGGCAACTACATCTACATGAATATGAGATTACATACCGTGAAAGTGAAACTAATACATACATCAAATAATTGAAGTATGGCACAGCGTAGTAAATAGTAAATGTTGATAGCGAAATAAGAAGAATGGACAATTGATATGATGGCATGTGGCTCTGAATGCCCAACAGCCTAGCTGACCTGTTTTTAGGCAATTCTATAATATGTATACACATTTTGGTAAAACAAGAGTTAAAAGAGTTAGACTGTCAGTATACATATATAGAATATAGTTTATTTGTAATATTTCAAGATGACAAGGACGTGTGCGTGGCCTCAAGCAACAGCTAAAATCGCATCTCTTTACTCAATATACCATTCTCTCTAATATGTTGGGGAAAAAATATCAATGAAGTAGAAATATTCGAGTGCTTGCATGAGAAAAGAGTGATATATAGTAGTATGGTAGGGAACGTAAGATCATGTGGTATGTTTAAGAGGTTTTCAAAAGTCTTGCGTCACACAATTTCAAAGCAGCCTCATCAGAGCCTACATTTAATAACACTTAACCAAACGAGTGGCTTGATTCTGACTGGAACCCGGTTTATAGTTTAGATACGACAAGTTACTGATGGAGACAGATATATAGTCCCTCAAGTCAAGCCTTCTATATTTATTTTCTGGCATAGTATGTACTCTTCTTCTTCTTCTTCTTCACCCTGAATCTTTACAAGTTTTCATATTATAACTGCTATTTGGTATATATATTGCAAACCTTTCGCATGTATCACTATAATTTGTTTTTTTCCTCTTGAAGACTTGAACCATCTGGTGGAGCACGAGAAGATTCATTCACGAACAGCCAAGTAATTTTTTGATATCGTTCATAAGTTTTAGGGTAATGGAGTGAAATTAGCTAGAGGAATTTAGTGTAAAGCTCAAACTGCAACCACCAAATGGAGTTGTTTTGGTAGAGCAGAAAAATAAGTTGAAATGTAAGAAAGAGAATTACTTACAACTGTAAGTTACAAGTAATGACACAGTTGTGATGCAGAGGTCAGCCACGACTGACATACTTTATAAGTGCACTCCATTCCAACATGTAGCATTCGAATTGGTTTTGGACTGACAAAATTGAGTAACTACAAATAATAATAATAAAAGTATGTGAAGGAAAAAAAGTCAAAAGACTAAAAGAAGTCTTAAATGCGAAGTTGATGGAGTTTGGTAGGGCGTGTCTTTAATTTATTGTTTTTACACATATTTTGAAACTTGAAAAGTGCTCCTCTCCTCTATGATTTATGGGATTTTTACACAAAATGTCATTTTTGCCATACCATTTCTAGTTTTCGCCATTTTCTCAATATTCTTTCAAATTTGCCTTTTTTGCCATATTTAAAAGCAAAACATTTGGGAATTTTTTTCATGAAACACGTATTTCATAACAAAAACTATACCCTACAAAAAAAACTAAAACCTTATAAACCCATGTAGAATGTGTTAAATCACGTTTTAAGATATAAGAAAAGGGCAAAAAAAAAAGTTTTTAAAACAAAAGGCAAAAGTTACAAACACCTCTCAAATAAAGGTCAAATTTCGTAATTAACTCATGGTTTATCCCTACTTGCTAATTATTTAACCCATCCACGTTACCATATCAATATAATGGCAGTCAGTATATGATTAATTGGCCATCGACATGTATACATATTTCGATCGGAAAAAATGTCAAAAAAAGTTTCACCTTTGAAAGTTGGTTAAGTAAAGCTAGATGGAGATAATATCAAGTGATTTAACGACGTGTCTCAATTGGTTTAGTTAACAAAACTTCGTGATCAAATTGACAAGCCAACGGAAGTTTATGATTTTAAGTTGTTAGCCGAAAGTTGGTGCTTTTTTAACCAACTTTGAAAGATGATACTATTTTTGATAATTTTCCCATAAATTTAAAAATCAATATATGTTTTACACATAATTAATATATAACTTAAAACATAATAAAATTTAGGCAAAACACCATAAAAATTATTATTTATTATCGACTACTAAATATAAATTACTAGATAAGGCCCGCCTAAATAGGCGGGTATAATATACAAATATAAATTGTTATCGATGATTTTTGAATTTTGATTAATATAGTAATCCATTCACTTTCCCTAATATTTAATAATTTAATATTTTTGTTTTAAACAAAAATTAAATCTTACACATTCCATTTTTCTATACATTTTCACTATTTATTTCATCGTAATAAGCTGAATTTTAATTCTACACACTCTTTCGTATTGATGATATTTAAATCCTAAATAGTAACCGACACATTTTTTATATATTTTATTTAGTATTTTTTTTAAACGAAATTTCAATCTTACACATTCCATTTTGCAATATAATTTAACTATTTATAACATCTCAATAAACTTGATTTTAAGTATTCATAGTTCATCTTAATGGATAAACGGCTAATAATAATTTTGTATCAAAATCGTATATATATCATATCAAATCTATATCTTAGTTAATATTAAAAATTTAAATATAGTTAACAAAAAACAAAACATTTAATAAAAAATAGAAATCCACAAAAGTTATGGAAGATAAACATTGTTTAAAATATAGTTTTCTATATAACGTAATCTCATAAGTTAGGTTTACCTCATGGCAAACTAATTTTAAATGAGTTAAAAGTAATAAATAAATCATTAAAATTATATATATTAACATTCTCATTAAGTAATCAAAAATTCAATCATATATGCCATTTTCCCAAATATTTTTAGTTTATAATTATGACTACATGCACTAAAATTTTAAAATAAAATTAACTATAACCACACTAATTTTCTTATCAAATATTCAAAATTCGTTCGTTTTTATAAGCTCATTATTTTTTGGAAAAATTTTGTGTTTTCATTTGACGAATAAAAACACTATATTACGGTGATAAATACAATTTTATCCAATTAAATTAATGTAAATAACTTCAAAACTTCAACCGTTATTGTTTATTTGTTAATATCCATACAAAATGATTTTATAGAAAACAATTAACACATGTCAAATCTAATTGACCAATAACAAATGTGAAGAGAAATTGTTAGTTTTCCTTTTTGGCTAAGAAATGTAACAAATTTTAAAAATTAGATATATAAATTAGTATATGTAAATATTCTTTTTTTTAGTTTTCCTATTTCGTTAATGAAGAAAGTTAAATATTTTTGACACATGTCAACATCTGATCGATAGACTTGACACGTGTCAAGATCATGCGAGTTATTAACTTTGAAAAACCATACTTTATATAATAAGATAGTTATGCTTTCAAATATTTTATTTGATTTATTTATAAATATTTGGAAAAATATTCTCAATTAAAACATTATTGAGTAGTAAAGTGTGAAGGATAGGCCTCAGCGAAATGGGCCATTGTCTGTGTGGGCTATATTAGTCCACCCAAAACTATCTCCTAAAAAAACTAAGTGGAAATTATTCCTTGTTTAAGAGGCAAACAAAGTGGACACTTGTAAGTGGTAAGGTTGTGGTCACGTTTGTGTGGCCATTAATGCAGTAAAAGCAGAGTATGATGATGGTGGTAGGGAAGAAGAGCAAAGAGGGCGAGAGATATCTTCTTCTTATCCATGGCGGCTATTGCTAGTTTGCAAGCAGTTAATCTCACACTTAGGCGACGTGGCACTCGATGTGGGATTGCGGAGCCGAGCGGAGAGCCAGCTCCAATGGGGCTGAAGACTAGATACGACGATGGGTTGGTGGAGAGAGTGTTCATGGGTCTGTTCGCGAGGAAGATGGACAAGTTCGGGTCGAAGAAGAAGAAGGAAACGAAGGAGAAGGGTTTTTGGGAGTACGATTACGAGAGCTTCGTGGAGGTGTCAAAGAGAGTGATGCAGGGACGGTCCAGAGTGCAGCAGCAAGAGGCCGTGAGGGAGGTTCTTCTCTCTATGCTGCCTCCTGGTGCTCCTCAACAGTTTAGAAAATTGTTCCCACCAACGAAATGGGCTGCAGAGTTCAATGCCGCTCTTACAGTGCCTTTCTTTCACTGGTTGGTTGGTCCTTCTCAGGTCATAGAAGTGGAAGTGAATGGTGTGAAACAGAGAAGTGGAGTTCGTATAAAGAAATGCAGGTAACAAAGTGAATTCATCAACTACTAGTTGTCTTGTTCAAAATGTGACAGACTTGCTCCTACTGTTGATTGAAGGTATTTGGAGAACAGTGGGTGTGTAGGAATGTGTGTGAATATGTGCAAGATTCCAACCCAAGATTTCTTCACCAATGAGTTTGGCCTCCCACTCACCATGAACCCAAGTATATATTATATATCTCCTTTTGACCATCTTTATACATTGGGGTTTGTTTTCATAAGCCATCTCTCCATTTTGGTTGTATAGATTTTGAAGACATGAGCTGCGAGATGATATACGGGCAAGCGCCTCCGGCCTTTGAGGAGGATGTAGCCACCAAACAACCTTGTCTAGCAGACATATGTAAGTCTTACAACGCTCAGATTGCATACATGCAGGATGTATCTAACATGATGATGTTGCCTGCAGGTTCTATGTCCACTCCAAGCTCCCCAATCTGCCCTAAACTAGAGGCATGAGTGGATTGGATCAGCAGCCACTTCTTTTATGGGATGTGCAACTTCCAAGAGATATACATACTTTGTTTTTTCCAAACACATACATTACATATAAAAGACAGTTGTGAAGACGAGTTAGTGTTCTGTGTTACTATTTTCGTTGGGTTGTGTAAAGTGTACGATTAATACACTTGAGATTACTCATCTTCTTTGTGTTCTATGTTTGAACTCGCCATGCTGGTTATAACTTGGATCTCAAGTGTTACTTGCAGTTTGTATTGTAATATAAAACCAAAAACTGAGATTAGCTTAGTTATAAAGCAACCCTCTCTGATAGAAGGGGTGAGACTGGCCTTTGGCAGCCAACGAAGAGGAGGCTGGAGCCAAGGCACTCAGAAGCAATGGAGTATGTTTTGCTTTTATGACTTACTTTCAAAGATTGTTTAGTTTGTGGTTTGGTGCTTTGATACACACTGAAAGAATTTTACTTTGATATGACTTGCACATATGAAATCTGTTTCTTGTTTTGTTTCCTGCAACTCCAACTGACTAGGGAGTGAACAGAACAGAGTAAATGTTTAGATAATTGAGAAAATCCTTTCATAGTTTATAAAGAGACATATAGCTAGGAGAGGTGTAACAGATGAGGCATTAATATTGAATGTACGAACACACAAATTGAGAGGTGGTTCATTCAAAGCACAGAGAAGTTGTTGGCCTTTCAAAGATACATTGCCCAACAAACAATCGTCATGAAACTACAACAAACGTCAGTTTCATCTTTCTTTTAACTGCATTTGTTAGTTACCTAAGAGTTAGACGGCATCTGTTTCTGCTACTTTTTCTTTCCTGAGGAAGAATGATTGAAGCTGATAATCATGTGATGACTCACTCTTTCAGCTTTACAACACACTTCCATCTTCTAAAGTGATATATAATAACCCTTTCTTTCTTTCTTTCTTTTTCCTTTTTTTTTGTTTTGTTTTCCTTTATCTCAATACATAATAATAGAAAAGGCCAAACAAAAAGATGAAGGATATGAAGATGCAGAGCAGCTCTGAAACGATGATGACCAGAATCCCCACTCCAGATCCTCACAATCCCGGTGTACGAGAAGATGCAATGGACACAGTCTGCAAACCCTGGAAGCTTTATGAAAATCCATACTACTGCTCTTCTCAGTCTCAACAGCATCAACACCAACGCAAGGCATTTATTTGGGATCTAAACTTCATAAAGATCTTCATGGAATCTGAACTAGGAAAAGCTCAAGACGAGATCAAGGAATTGAAGGCAGAACTGGACTATGAGAGGAAAGCTCGAAGGCGCGCAGAGCTGATGAACAAGAGGCTGGCTAAAGATGTGGAGGAGGAGAGAATGGCTAGAGTAGCGGAGGAGATGCAAAACAAGCGGCTCTTCAAAGAGTTATCGTCTGAGAAGTCAGAGATGGTTCGGATGAAACGCGATCTTGAAGAAGAGAGACAGATGCACAGGTTGGCAGAGGTTTTGAGAGAAGAAAGAGTTCAGATGAAGCTGATGGATGCAAGGCTTTTCTTGGAGGAGAAGCTATCTGAATTAGAGGAAGCTAATAGACAAGGAGAGAGGGAGAGGAATAGGATGACGAAACCAAAGATACTGGAGAGAGCCTGTAGCTCACCGGCTAGGAGGAGCTGCGAGAATCCGCAAATAAAGAGAGGAATCAATCCGTTCCCAAGAGTGATGAGAGCAATAAGATCAAAGAGTGAGAAATGGGGTTCAAAGCTGGAGTGCCAAAAGGTTCAGCTAAAAATTCTGCTCAGACAAAAGACCACCCCAAGATGTACTCCTCTTCTCTCCTCTCCTCCTCCTTGATACTGTATGCTTGTTATTTTTCCGTCTCGCTTAATCTTAATAATTCACATCTAAGACTGAAGATGTACTAATAAGATTCTAGCTCTTTGTCTGTCCGTTAGATAACATTTTCTTCACATGGATGTGTTATACATAGCATAAATATCTATTAAAGATGGATTGGAAGAAAATGATGATCCCATGCATTATCCAAATTTGTTATGTTGTGCTCAGTATGTTGAGTCGTCTCGGACAAGATCAGACAAATCTAAATAGTCTTCTTCACCGTACCTAAAGCTTTCTTCTATCGTTGGTATAATATATTTGATGTTGAAATTCAACTGTGAATTGAAGAGAGAATTCAATATGTTTGAGTTAGAGTATGAGAAATACATGGTATAGAATATGAGAAATTAGGAGGTGCTGAGGTGCACCTACTAAATCAAACAAAATCTGGATTACATATTCTCAAATTCGTTAATTCCTTTATGATGCTACTTTGAAACTTTTTGTTTTGTTTTGTCATATTATCGGAAATTCATGCTTTTAGTTAGACAATTGGCACATATTACAACATGTCAATTAGAATAGAATTGTTTTCGAGCTTATATTCCCTTTCTTTTTTTCTCTATTCAAGCTTACTTCCTTTTTGTTTCAAAATATAGGATGTTTTAGTTTAAAGCACACATTTTTTTTTTTAACTATTACTTAATATTTAGTTTTAAAAATTTCAACCAGTGATATATATAAAAGACTCCAAATACAAATAGTCATAACATATCTTAAAATTATGAAGAATTTGTGTGCAAATACAACCAGAGATACTATTTCCTATCTTTTTTTGAAGAATTTGTTTTATAGTTAAAATTATGCTTAATTAATACTTAGAAAATGAATATATCTATAGAGAATTGAATATGGAATATACTTTGAATGTGACAATATATTTATTTTTGTTCTATATAGAAAAAGTGAGTACGTAATTTAGGAATATATAATATATTTATTTACCATTATCATCAAATGTTTTATCTAATAAGAATTTCAAATAGCAAACGGGGCAATTAGAATGCATTATTCAAAACTTTCTATATACAGTTATGTGGAGACTGGAGAGCCAAATTGAATTATCGATTAAATACATTATTTTTTAATTAGGGTCATTAGTGACTGAAGTGAAGGCAATTTTCCAAAAAGTATCGTAGTAAAGAAAAATTCAAAAATTGATGACTATAATTAAACTAAATCATTTTAATATATAAGGATTGGATTTGATTGCATCGGCATTGAAACACTCTTCATGGTCTATTAGAGTTAAACAGTGTATTCAGTAGATTAGCTTGTAATGTTGGTGCAATTACGCAATCAATTGGTGCAAGATAACAGACTTCATTACTTATAATAACATTAACCACACATTTAAATATAGGGATCTACCAGAAATAAAAATCTAGGTATGTACCACGGACAAGACATTCTCGGGCGAACCACTTGTGATGCTCGACGTGACGACGTTTTCACCCTTGGCCACGGCTCTCACACTCTCTATTAGCTCATTTGTCCTTCCATCTTCAGACAGAATCTGTAACAGCTCTTCGGTGTTTATGATCAGCTTCACTTTCCAAATTCCACCTTTGCTGATCGTACGTCTCCTCCTCGTCTTCTTCTCCTTCTGTCGGGTCCTTGTGTGGTTGTTTCTTGAGAAAACGTCCGTGTATGATCTCTTCAACACCCTGTGGTTGTAATCCAGAGACATTCTGTACGGAGTTATCGCTGGCAAGGACTCGCTGTTGGATCTCACGTGGCAGCTTCCCACAAAAGTCTTCAACTCGTCGGAGACAATATTGGGAAAGAGATAGTAGGACTGACCGGGCACGAGGAGGTGGTCGTGAGGCAGGGGTTTCCAGAGGAGATCAAGGGCCGAGAAAAGAGCATGGTCTGAGAATTCGTGGGAGACGGAGCCCGCGGTGACGGGGGAGTAGAACTCAAGAACTCCACCGTCGGATTTTATGACTTTGATCAATAAGTCTTCCTCTTCGTCGCCTAACCCTCCGAATAAACAGTTTCCCATGCTTGATTTGTGTGCTCTTCTTGCCTACTCCATGCTCTCTCTCTCTCTCTCTCTATAGTCTAATTATAAAGGTCAGTGACGGTGAGTGACTAAGAGCTTCCCCTATAATTTTTCTTATTTAAACTCTAAAAAGATACAAACTATGTGAACATCAAAGGAAAATGCGGTGGAATCTTCTTTGCTTTTCATTATTTTTAATACTGCTATATAGCCTATAGCTTTCTTTTTTAGTAACTTTTTCTTTTGGAGACATGCTATTAATTAGTGTTAGTTTATTTTGTTCTTTGGTGATGGATATATAATAAATCTAACATTAACAAAAAAAAACATATAAGAAATTAACTTCAAGTGACCATAATCATACTCAACTATATAAAGCCACTCATTTTAATATTGTTGTACAAAAAAATCATTTTAATCTATATATATTTTTTGGTGTAATTTAATCTTTATATATATCTTAATTATACTTTCGTTTCTTCATTCCTAAAAGCATGGCAGAAGCAGAGATCCATTGTCAGTGGAACATTTTGAGTTGTGATATCCCAAAAAAGAAAAAAGAAATTGGCTATAAAGAATACATCGAGAAAAAAAAAAAAAGAATACATCGAATCATATTATGTTAGACCAAGGGAGAAGAGAGAGAGAGAAAAAAGAAGAAGAGAATAAGTAAAAGAAGAGGCCTAAATGGGTCCATTCTACTCCTATTGAATCCTAAAATAACTAGTCCAAAAGAAAGAAAGAAAACTTCTGCGAAGAGATATCGGTCGGAGTCTCTTTCCAACTTTGTCTCTGACCCTATTTTGAAGTCTAAGTCCGATTTTTGGCGCCAGAAGCTAATTCTACAAAGATCCACTTACCAATTTATCAAATATATTTAAACCAATTTTATAGTATCAATTTTCTACTTATATCTTCATTATTCAGCATGAATGGCTCATTGGCTATTTAATTTAAGGACATTTAGTAAAATGTTTTAAATGCCGTAACGTATGGCCCACGCATTTTTAGTACTAAAACTATTTTTGGTAAAAAAATTTCCACAAATCCATCACGAATGTAGTCGGTAGTGGTCATGATGGATTTGTTGTTACAATGTCAATTACGAGTGATTACGATAAATTGTGATTTTCATCGCGTTGTTGTTAGTTTGGTAACACATTGCAATGAGTTTTGGTGATTAATGATCACATAAATTTTAAAAATTTGGTCGAAGAAGTAGCAACAATGAAATAAACATGAATTTACCATCGAAACATGATGTTATCGCCAAAATATGTTGGTTTTACCACAAAACAAACATGCATGATATATCTTTGGTTTAGAAAAGAAAGATCCACATGACAATGCATTACAAGAAAACATGCTAATTTGTAATTATAATCTTATGAGTTTCATTGCTATATATGAAATGGGAATCGTGATGTGACTTAGGCCTTGTGCTATCTGAAAATAAAATAGTTTTTATATTTAATTGAAAATAAAATAGTTTTTTTAGTCGCTCAGATCTGTAGCTAGCGACACACAAAAGAACAAGGCCTTACAAAGTGTATATACTTACAAAATTTCTAGACACGATCTTAAGTAAATACAATTGTGAATAACAAGTATATTTGTACATCCCAATACGTCCCCTTAATTAAGACGGACCACAATTTACCAGTCTAATCTTGATAAAAAGAGATTCAAACCAATCATGGGATAACGATTTTGTGGCATATGTGAGTTGATGTGTACACGAGACATTGAAACTAAATATGTGCAATTTGTTTTAAAAGTTTGACAAGTTATTTTTTTTGGCAAGGATACTTTTATAGTGTACAGTAAAATTTCTATTATTGAGTAAAGAGGTGAAAAACTCTTTTGATTACATACGTCTTATCATTCCTTGGCATACATATTTAACCAAGATCTCAAGTTGGATCTGAAAACTTATATACATTCCCATCCATCCGCACTGTAGATTATTATTTGAAAAGTGTGAACGTACAAAATGAGACGATATTTACTTTGTAAGTTTGGAGACTTTTCTCTAGTATCATGGAGCCATGCGGGCAAGTCCAGTTTGTAAGTTGGGGACTTTTCTCTGTTATAGAGCCTTTTGGTGACATTAAGTGTGTTTAGATGCTTCTTTTTCAATATTACTAGGGAAAATTCCGGGCTACGCCCGGGTATATATCCGATAATTAAGTTCAAAATCATGTAATGTTGCATCTAATATTTGATTTTTTTCCGCCTACTATTGGTTATTTACTGTTATCTATACCTATAATTTTTGTTTATTGTAATTTATATTTAGCAATTTAAATTCATCTTTTATTTCTTATTACTATTAGTCTATATAGAAGTATCCTAATCCATACCCTTGCTTTTTTTCAATCGAATCTTTTTGTTTTTCATGTTCTTCATGTCATTCTTTTTATAGTACCCTATATAGTGAAATTTTATCACTTAGATATTAATATAGCTTTTATTAATAAGAGCAGGACAATTGCTAAAACTCAAACTTTCGACCTATTTGGAAAACCACAATATAGATGTGACGCTTAGTGGTCGAAATCTGAGTATCATCTGATCTCTTGGTCTATTTTTGTTAGATAATATATAGCTTTTATTTGTTTTGCTGAAATTTCAGACTGGACTAAAGAACGCAAACCCAAAGAACCAAAATAATGATACACTATATATGAAAAGGATACCAGAAAATAGATACTTATTACATGTGTAAAGGAAGATATTATCCAATTTAACCTTACAAAAAAGTCATGTCAATTTTACCCGTTTAGTTCTTTAAGCAGCATGACCCAAATCCTTTTGTTGATATAACGAAGATGAAAGATTGTTGCTAGGGAAAAAAAATCAAAAGAAACGCTTGATCAGTTTTTCTCATGAAAACGTACGGATAAACAGAGAGCAACATTCGTAATCCATAACATATAGTTGCAATATTTGTGTAAGTTGGACAAAAAGATAATCACACGCTTTCTCTCATAATCACAAACCCCAATTAGAAAAATCTGTAGACGTCAATAATTTTAAATGGATTTTGGTCAGAGATAACTTAGAACATGTCACGATTGTATTCAATAATAAGATTCACTGGGAGAGGTAGTGTACTTACCTGTCATCGAAGTGGACCTGATCTCATACTTGGAGATGATGCAAAATCCTTACGGTGATGGGAGCGTTTTTCGTGGGAGAGAAAAGAATCCCAAATTTGAGGCTTAAGCAACTGGATATCGCTATTGTTCAATACATCTTTAAATCCAGCGCAAAGAAAACGAATTAGATAGAAGTCGAAAGGGTAGAATGTAGATTTGTATAATTATTTTATACAGGAAAAAATGAAAAGAGATTTCGTAGGGGAGGGGAGGGGAGGAGACGAAGAGATGATCTAATTAGATGATGTGGCAATTTGCAAAGATGTAGAATACTTAATCTAGCTGACGTGGCTGCTCGAAAAGAAATGTCAAATAAGCTGATGTGGACACTCTCAGAAGCCTCAAATTGTCCATTTTATTAGTATAAATCTGTTACAGAATGGAGCAGACAGACGAAAACACGAGCATTAAATCGATGGGACATTCCATAGCCCACAAGCAATTTAACGAAATTAAATGAGAAATGGATGGGTCAAAATTGGATCACTCGAAAAACTGAGAAAAAAAAAAATACGTAAGGAGTTGAAACGGAACGTGGACTATGTCAGCCCGAAGAACACTTTTAATGACTACATGCAGGACCATTTCCCTTTTTTTTTTTTTTGATGTTAGATCCATATTGTTTTTGAACAATATCAAGATATGCTATATTATTCTCTTCCGTTTTGCCTAAAACTCGAACTCATAACCTTCTACCTCCTCTATTGAGATTACCATATGCATGTACATAATAACATAAACTGGTTTAATACGTTGGATATCTTAACCTATTTCTTACTCACTTAACTTTTGTGTGTGTGTGTGCAAGTGCATTACTATATATAGAGTAAAATAGATGCATATATTGTTAAAAATATCACATCAAAAATGGAGACGATTTATAAAAGATAGAAGTTTGTTTCTTTCACTCATTGTTAATTAATTTTGAATTAAAAAATCATAATTTCATACATAAACCTATATATGTATTACTTAAAAAGGTAAAATTTGATACGAGATGAATAAACAAAAAAATCACCATTTCAAATGGACATGTCAAAATATCTCATATTAGAAGTAGAGATGATTTTATATTTATATATAAATGTTCACTTATTGTCAATTAGTATTGAGTTGAAAATCTTTCCACATGTATTGATTCAACTATTTTCTCTCTTATCATGCATTACATTAGCTTGGGTCGTGCCTAGGCTTTGTGGGGCTTAAAACGAAAAATAAAATGTGGCCTATCTAGTTTAGTTGAATTTTTTTTTTTTTTAAAGAACATAAAATATAACGAAAAGAGAAAAAGTGAGCTACAATACAAAGTCAAAATCTAAATCTATATAATGAAATGAATTATGCTATTATGGATCAAACTTCAAGCAAAATACATATCTAAGACAACTTAAATCTGCTGTACAAACAAAATATTTTTAATAATGTGGCCTAAAAATCAAGTTTATAAAATGTGGCTGTGGGAAAATGCCCTTTATTTTAAGGGGTAAGCACGGCGGGATTGCATCGTTGATTAGTGTATACATATGCCATCTTCTTCATTAGAGATTTTTTATAAAAATAAATGCAATTATAACAATTTGGTTGGATATGTCTTGTCATTTAGTTGCGGAAAAATCTTGACGTCTCTTCTTGTCTGAAGTCTTGTTAGAGTGTATAACTGGAAAGTCCGTATTGGAGTTTAACAAAAAAAGAAAAAGAAAAAAAGAGAAGACTTTTAGTTAGATCCTACCGTTTAACATTTATGACCTTTATATATATATATATCTGGTGAGACATTCTGCTATATATGCAGTTTCAACATTCAAAGCCAATAATAAACTCAGGAGAGATAATATGGAAACTCAGGGCAAAGTAATCACTTGCAGAGGTAATTTGTTGTGTATATAATTTAATCTTTATATATGTATGTGTAAAGCTAACTTAAAGATGATGATGAGTGAGCGTGAATGATGAATATTGAACAGCTGCTGTGGCATGGGGAGCTGGAGAACCTCTAGTGATGGAAGATGTAAAAGTGGATCCCCCTCAAAGATTGGAAGTGAGACTTCGAATCCTCTTCACTTCCATCTGTCACACTGATCTCAGCGCATGGAAAGGCGAGGTACTCACTCTTCATGTTCTTCTTGTTCCAATTATTTCTTCTTCTTCCTATCTCATCTCTCTATCTTTTGGTCAGAACGAGGCTCAGCGAGCATACCCTCGAATCCTTGGCCATGAGGCGGCAGGGTAAGTCGAATAAAATCTGTATGGATCTCATTTTTCATCCCTCAATTGATGGATGAATTACAGGATAGTGGAGAGCGTAGGGGAAGGAGTGGAAGAGATGAAGGCAGGAGATCATGTGCTCCCGATTTTCACAGGAGAGTGTGGAGATTGCAGAGTCTGCAAGCGAGACGGAGCCAATCTGTGCGAGAGATTCCGAGTGGATCCGATGAAGAAGGTGATGGTAACGGATGGCAAGACCAGATTCTTCACCAGCAAAGACAACAAACCCATCTACCATTTTCTCAACACATCCACCTTCTCTGAGTACACGGTCATAGACTCCGCTTGCGTGCTCAAGGTGGACCCTCTGTTTCCTCTGGAGAAGATAAGCCTCCTCAGCTGCGGTGTCTCCACTGGTAATTAATTAATTGCATCTCTGTATATATATGACATGCATGATATATGTGGTTTGCTTATTTAATGAAAGAGATAAGTGTTTATGGAATGAAGGAGTCGGTACGCGTGGAATGTGGCTGATATTCAACCTGCCTCCACCGTCGCTATATTTGGACTGGGCGCTGTTGGACTTGCCGTAAGTTCAGGTTCCTCTTTGTTGTATCACCATGGAATTGGTTACACATAGACTCTCACTCTTAATGCCTTGTTAATAATTGGGGAAAAGGTGGCTGAAGGTGCAAGAGCCAGGGGAGCCTCTAAAATCATTGGGATCGACGTCAACCCTGACAAGTTCCCATTAGGTATGCAGATGAACATGCATGTCAGTCTAAAAGAGGTTAAAGAGAAATGTTCCTAAACGAAGTGTGCTTGCTGTGTGAACAGGCAGAGAAGCAGGGATCAGTGAATTCATAAATCCAAAGGAGAGTGACAAGGCAGTTCACGAGAGAGTATGGGAGATAACAGAGGGAGGAGTGGAGTACAGCTTTGAGTGTGCGGGAAGCATAGAAGCACTTAGAGAAGCCTTTCTCTCTACAAACTCAGGAGTGGGAGTGACAGTGTTGCTGGGCGTTCACGCAAGCCCACAGCTTCTCCCTATCCATCCCATGGAGCTCTTCCAAGGCAGATCCATCACCGCCTCTGTTTTCGGAGGCTTCAAACCCAAAACCCAATTACCCTTTTTCATCACCCAATGCCTCCAAGGTCTTCTCAATCTCGATCTCTTCATCTCTCACCAGCTTCCATTCCACGATATCAACAAAGCCATGCAGCTGCTTCACCAAGGCAAAGCTCTTCGTTGCCTTCTCCGCCTCTGAATAGAAACATCCTCTTCATTTTCCAAGTCAATGTGATTATTGTACTGCTTTCAGGGTTTCCTTATTGGGTCTGGTCCACCCCCCATACTAAAATAAAAGTTGGAAATGTTTTCAAGGCCTCTCTTTCTCCAACTTGTCTACTGCTTGGATCTACAACTTGCTACTCACAACTACAAAACACACAAGTTATATTGATTTCTTGCATAAGTCTTTTGATATAGTGAGTCGACAAAGATACGAAACGCTGAACTCTTTTCCTTCACTGAAAATGGTGAGAGCGTTCTAAGGAGCTTAGAACGGTAGAGAAGTAGCAAAATCAGTTTAATATCTTCCTCTCGTGCTTGTTTAAATAATTTTCATTACTTTCACTCCATCAGAAACTTAGACATATAAAGATGGAGATGTTTATTAGCAGCGCAGGGCGGTGGAATTATCCTTCCGCACTCTCAGAAATTCAACACCGAAAGAATAACTCTCTGCTTCTTTTTCTCTTTCCTATTACATGATTGATAGTTTGATACATCCACCAAGACAAGACTAAAGAGACAGCCTTTCACCATTCAAATTGCAAAACAAGAGCTGCTTTCACCTCTCTCATTCCCTCATTCGCTCTCTGTCTACTTACATGTACACTCTCCTACATCCTTTTCCCCATTCTTGCAAATCTTCTGGCTACTCCGAATATCACTGCCTTTGTCAACAGCCCTTTGTCCAGTGTACATGCAAGGGCAATCGCCCCTCCCACCACTAGTATCTTTGGTATGTTTTTCCCTGTCGGCTTCTCTCCAGTAACCTCTGCTATCGAATCCCTCTCATTCATGAACTCCTCTGCACTCACTTTGGTGTTGATGTGAGCCATTATGGCACTTGGGGATAAACCTGCTCCCGCTGCTTTGGCCCTCTGATATGCACGTAGGCCTGGCTCAATTTTCTTCACTGCACCCCACATCCCCTGTCTCACCCCGAGCTTTGCAATCTCCCACGGTATTCCCATATCTTCATGGTGAAATAGTAGTACCTCACATGATGTCATCTCACCATCGCCTCTTTTTGATTCAACTACACCATGATAATATCCATTTGAGAAACTAAACAACAGTTAAAACAGAGACAACTTGGTTAGTAGTAGTACCTGCACGGATACACCAGCTTGAATAGTATAAGTCGACTCGCCTTGGCTTGTTTTGTCTAGGTACAGACGGGTATTGTACTCCCTGATGCAAATACAAGGGAACATGAAAAAAAAGTGAATTCAAAAACGAAATCCACAAGAAGAAGGAACACATGTCCTGCACGGATCTAACTAGAAAAAGCTTGATATTTGCGAAGGAATACCTTTGTAACGCAGTAAAAGACTCGGCCAGCATCCCATATTCGACGGCCTATAATATACTCCCTGTCGCTACAAAAGAAAGGGAACTGCAACAGCAGCGGGGAAGATATATATATAAGTCAAGAAGCACAAACAAGGTAGCTAAGAAAAAAGGAAACAAGTACCGACCTTGCGCACCCATTGCACAACCATAGTGCCCGTGCTCTTGCAACGCTCGAGAGTAGAAGAATACAAAAGCATATCATCCCACTTGGAACGGAACTCATCATCCGAAAAGAAGTCCCTCACCATCTCGGGAGTGGCATCCTCAAACACAGTTCTGCTACGGTACTGGGGAGGCCCATTCTGGCAATCATACATATGAAAAAATGATTCAACTTGGAACATCAAGCTTAAAACTTTTGCACAGATAAAAGAGAGAATTGAAAGTCAGTTGAAGAGGAGAGGAGGTAGGTACCTCAGGATCTCGCCTCCAAGCTTGATAAGAGAAGGTAGGAGTTGATCGGTCCATCATCTGAATCCAAGCAGGGCCGCCATCTTTGACCTCAACCAACTTCCATAGATGCCTAAAATCATCGTCCGTAACAAACCCAGATTTCTCTTTCTCAGCAGCCTGGGGAGAAGAAAGGCTACACCAAACAACAGAGTTATTTATTGGATTAGCAGAGAGAGAGAGAGAGAAAGTGGAAGTGGGTCAAATCAAATCAACCTGGGGTTAACGTGAGAAGAGGTTTTGAGGATGGAAGTGGGAAGCTTGAAGGAGGTGAAGTTGAAGAATTTAGGTGAAGAATCATCGGACAAGGTTTTTGTGTCGAGATAAGCCCACCTGGGCCTCCAAAACCAACCAACCAAAACCCCGGCAGCGACAGCAATCCAGAGTGGCGCAACAATTACTAAAAGGTCAGAGAAGCCGAGGGCGGGAAAGACCAAGGAACTCAACAATCCCATCGCCCCCTCCTCGATTGAGATTAGGCGTCAAAGCACAGCGATTGGACGAGGGTTGGGTCTGTTAGGAGAAGAAGTGATTGAAGAATAAAAGAGAAAGAGAAGAGAAGAGAGGATAAGGATAATAGGATTTGGGATTACTGTAGGCCCAATTTCGCCGTTCGATGCAATCTTCTTCTCTCCTCCTCCTCCTCTCGTTTCTATACTAGTACCCTTTCAACACTTCTCTCTCTCTCAAATGGATAAAACAGACCAAAGTGTTTTCTTTTTTACTAGCTGTCCACGCGTTCCTCTCCACGTGTTTTCTCATTTCGATTCTGTGGTCGCCGCATCCTCCATTCCTTTCTTGTTTCGTTTTTGCATCTCCTCCTATTTTTTTTTTTAGTTTTTTAGTCCATTTTTTTTATTAATTAAAAAAATCATTATACAAATGGTTTATGATCCACAAAGTAGGGATTAAAACAATCAGAATAATGATAACTAGAGTGTATGCATCTATATATGAGCTCCAGCAAAAGACATATCCGAAAGGCTATTGTTAATGTTTTCTGATACACATTTTAAATATTCTTTTGTTGAACTGCAAAGTTCACCATTGGTCAACCTAAGCCATATTCGCTCAGCTGACCATAACAGTTCCAAAGATTAGCAAGTCCAAAATATTTAACTTTGATAGATAATTCTCGGATTACTGACGTAGTTCTGCAAACAATTAAGTCAAAAATGTAAGATCATAAACTCTTTACTATTTCCAAATATAACACTAACCAAGCTACTGAGACAATTCGAAGCAGTAATGCAACAACATGATTTCTGTACTTCAACTGAATAAACTCTAAAAGTTTAATCACACGTTTACACAGTTATTTCTGAAGAATATACGTGTATCATCAGGAATATTCAACTTAACTTCAGTGCCTACGTTTGGATTATGCCGGAGACTATTTCAATATCCATCTCTTTCCCGTACTAACGCTACGGCACAAGGAAATCGAAAATTTCATCACCACCGTTCCGGCTTGGTTTTCTGGCATCTGCCGCATTTCTCTTCCGCTTTTGTCACTCTTGGTATCGATCTCTTTCTAGGATTTTTCCTTGGATGATCCCTTCGTCTATATTTTGTTTTCTAGCCATGGCTAAGTTGCCTTCAACATTTGGAACCTTGATCTGCCACCAAAGTTACCAAAATGTGATTATTTTGTGGGCTTCTTGGTGTGAACCATTTTGGCAAAAGTGTTTCGTGGGAATCTGATTTCTTCATGAACAAAAGAGTAACTGAAAGAGGAAGAGGAGCCGAATCATTACTTAATGAGATTGATTGTTTTTATATAAAGCAATCAATTAGATTGATACATAAAAGAAACGAATACAAGAGAAGCCTCAATTAGCACCTTTTATTAGTAGTAAGAGAAGAGATGATTTAGAAGAGGTGAATTAAGGGGTGAACCCAGTTCCTTCGCTAAGAGGAAGCATTGGCTTAAAAAAATTCTTTGGCTCACACACAAACTTCTACTATGCAAGAAAAAAGTTTTTGTAAAACCATTAAATATCTATTTGAGTGAATAATACCCACCAACCAACAAGATTGATGACATATCTAACATATATATATGCACTAATTCATAGCAAAAGAAAAGCAAGGACAATGATATTTCTCTCTTAGTTCTTCAAAGCTGTGATGATTGCATTGAAGTATAGGTGCAGATCCACTGAGTCCACCAGCTTCTTCAGCACGGATGTAGCCTCCAGGTTGGAAGATAGTACAACTGCAGCAGCTAGAACCACAACAGTAATGGATGTACCTTTGAGGCAGCCACTTCCACGGGAGAGTCTCCCCGAGATCACTCTGCAAGACTTGTCAGCTTCTTTGTAAAGAGAACCATTGGCTCCTCCTTCAGTGATGGCTTTTTCGTTCTAAAAGCATCACAGGTTATGTCAGAGATGAAATTACAACTGAGTGGAGGGTGAAATAAGTTATCTTAGAAGAGTAAGAGGCATTACCTTTAGCCTTAAGCTCTCCATAGTTCCACTGAGAGTGAGAGTATCACTTGGTGATGATGATAGTTTGAGAGAATGATCCTTCCATTCGTCTACAAGCTTTTTAAGAACAGCAACACTAGCTTCTTCGTTCTCCTCATAGAGATTTTCCCAGAGCCTGCAGCAATCTACATTTTCGGTCACAGACCAGATAGCGATTGCTGTAGCTTCCTTGGCTAAAACAGGATTTCCTGTAACAACGGTAACACATTAGAACTCTATTTCGAGAAGAGAGAGGGAACCAGAAAACTCAAGGATTCAAGGTTCCGTTTGTTACTAATACCTTCTCCAGCTAATTTCAAAGAAAAAGTGAATATCTGTTCAGTGACTTGTTTCATTAACTTGCTTCCTGATGCACCGGCAAGAGCCACTTCCTTCAACAAAGGATAAATTGCCTCAAACCTCTCTGTAGCCTGTGTGCGTATAGTGACCATGCTTGTGATCAGAATTGACAAACACATGAAGGTTTTGTTTTAGCAATTCCGATAAGACTGCTTACCTTTACTCTTGCGGATGAAGCAGGGAATGTAAGCCGCAGCAAGATCTCAAATGAAAGAGGTGGAATCAGTCGTGGTCCCTCTTCAACAGCTCCATCTACAAGTATAGTCCGAGCATTTTGATTCGACAAAATTCTGACAAGAAAATTGCATAAACAAGATCAGATGATTGTATATGGCAAAGGAGATCACAAGAAAAATTTCGCTCACTTCTCAACCAACTGCAGGATGAGATCCCTTGACTGAGGGTTGCTACCGACTAGTGGTAATAAGTTACGCGACCATGAATACAACCCTACAGATAAATCACCTTGGGAGGCCTGTCCACATTTTTACAGTTCTAAAATTTTCAGAATACAGATCACAGAAAACATAAATTTCGATACACTTGGTCCTAGTTGACATAAGGGGAATTAAACACAACGCGAACCTGAGCCATCATCCAAACTGTAATCGGAAGCTTGTCATGTCCTTGATACTTACGCTTCTCCCTCAGAGTCGGCAATACAATAGCCAAAGCATTAGGTCTGTTACGCAATACCATTGCTAATGCAACAAATATTGCTACCTAATTGTAAAAGAAATAGAACATAATGGAGTTAGCCAAACAATGGTACAACATTCAACACACGGACATAGGTGAAAGCGATAAAATTGATGCAAGCATTAGAATAGATGAGATTTCTGACACTGAGAAAGGTTTTCCAAAATTACCCGAGACTTGGAAGACGTCTGTTGCGCACCCTTCTCCCCACCTTTGGTATGTCCTAGTTGTGCTGCTGCCAAATAAGTGAGAATATGATTAAACGCCCACAAAACAAAGCCACAGAGTGTCATAAGAGGAAGATGGTTGATCCAATCGACTGATGTTTTGTAGACAGGGTCGGGAATTTGCGATAAAGGAACCTGTAAACAAAAAAGATAATCAGCTTCACTATTTAACCTAGAATTTGATTCGAGAATCTAAAGAAAAATGTAAAAGAAATAGCTCACATCGATCACGTCGATCAGCTTGGGCAAAGGAGACTCCTTGAACATATTCGCCCATGGAAATTGCACAGCGGAAAGTGTTCTCTCAAGGTACTCGATGAATCTCAATAGCTGAACCTCCGGCTCATACGCATACGATTTCTGAAAAAAAAAATAAACAAATATGTGGGTTATCGATTTAGATCAGAAATCCACAGATTAAACCAACGTCTCGAGCCGAATTTCATATCGCATGGGCTTACCGATATTTTGACGAGGAAAGCCGCAAGATCTGAAGGATCGATCTTTGCGGCAGCTTCTGACAAAGACACTTTCGGCTTCCTCTCCTTCTTGGGTTTCGGCTTTTTAGATCTCGCCTCACCGGCACCGCTCGATTCATCCTCCACATAAGCATCGACCATCTTCTCCGCAAGGATCCGTCGTCCATTCGGAATAATCTTGTCGGAAGCGCCGCCATTCGCCGACTGATCCGCCGGTTTTCGCTTCCGAGACACGACTTTATTCCATCCATGTTTGACGTGGGAGTTCAATTTAGAGGTCTCAAGGCCATTGTTATCCACAGATTCGATCGGATCCTTAAGCTTTTCTAAGTTAATTCTCTCGCCGGCGTGAAAAGAAGAAAACATAAGCCAAAGTAGACGACGAGATCTTACCGGGTTATATATTAGTGTTGATGTAGAGGAAGATATATCTTTGTTTGTCCCAAACTACGAAATTGCCACATTGATATTTTTTTTTGGTATATGATAAAATTGCCACATTGATAATAAAAACCGCTTTATTTTTCTTCTAAACTTTTTTTTTTTTTTTTTTTTTTAACGTTTGCTCTCTGGACGGTTGTGGATCAAAGTTTGAGAATTGTATACGACCTGTCAGGAGTGCTTGTTTTCTTGAATATAGGATTTTATCTCAACTTCCAAAATTAGTTAGAAGCTTCTAAATATTGAAGAAATATTAATGACCGTTCAAACAAGTCGCTAATTGTTAGGATTTAACTATAACCCAAAGAGAAGACATTACTAGAGAATTCAAAAGTCTTGTTTGTTTTTTTGCAGGTTGGTTTTTGTTGTTTGGTCTAGCCATGTATTGTTTGACTTGGGCCTTAGGAGTTAGGACTATGTAAACAAATTTGGTTTAAAATGAAAATAAAAATAGTGAGTAACTTTCTTAACCTCCCATTTATATATTGAAAATTTTGACAAGTGACCAATTTAGTAAACAAAATTATCTTTTGTTTTGGTTCAAATTTAAAATTATTTATCTAACAACTAATAATCAATAGAATTTTCAAATTAATAAATTGAAAAACAAAATTTTAGAAATTTGTGAAATGTTATAAATCATAACGTGTATATATATGTATAATATTATTATACTACATAAAAGAGAGATGTATTATTTGTTATGGAGAGAGAGAGAGTGGAAACAAGAAACGAGAGAGCAAAATGAAACTTTATTAACTTCTCTCTCTTATTATATCTTTCCAACGTTTACAAGTGAGGTATATATAGTAAGGTTGACAATGGATAAACATCAAATGACTTGGTGAGCAAGTAGCTTGGAGACCAAGCTAAGTGTTAGATAAGATTAGGAGATGATATCAATTGTGATGGATAAACACTTGAGTAATTATCCATTTCTAACACTCCCCCTTGATTATCCATCACCATCAACGTATTGCGTACTGCCTCGTTACAAATCTTATCATGGGAAAACCGTATAGGAGAAAAACCATGATAAGGGAAAAAGAGTACAGTGACGCAATCTCCCCCTGGAATAGACGAGTCTTGTTTTCTTCATAGCTTTCATAAATAACTCGATCATTCTCTGCGCTTCTTCTGATCTCGTCAATATATGACAAAGATTTTAGAAGAGAGATAGACCTTTACTTTGATGTCTATCTTTTGCGTGTTATTTGCTGCCTCGTTAAAAACCTTGTCATGGAAAAACCCAGTGGGATAAAAACCATGATAAGGGAAAAAGAGTGCAGCCACGCGTATTATCATATGTCTCCCCCTAGAAGTGTCATCTTCAAAAGATGCATTTTGAATGAGGTAGCAGGCAGCGCCTTTGAACTAAAACTGCTACATTGTTACTTGGCCGGATGTACTGGACATCAACTTCTTGCTTCTTCTCAGATTCTTGAGTGCATGAGAAGAATCTTGGGAAAACATGTCTTGTCATATCGATCTTGACAGAGCTTCCTTTGAACTTAGCGACACATGCAACATTGTCTTCAAACAATGTTGTTGGCTCTTCACTGGCGACTATATTGCTTGCTTCTTGTATATGTTGAAGCATCAATCTGAGCTATACAGATTCTCAACGTGCTTCATGGAGCGTAATAATTTTGGCATGGCTTGAACAAGCGACGACCAAAATTTCTTGTTGAAAACGCCACGAAGTTGTTGTTTTGCGATATATATTTAGACGGATCTGATATAGATTTTCCATCTGCAAAACCAACTAAACCAAACTCGGGGTTTCTAGAATAAAATAAGCCCAAGTCAATCGTACCTTGCAGATAATAGAAGATACGTTTTAACTCATCTCAATGTCTCGTCTTAGGAGATGAGTTAGTCCTGCAAGTAGATCAGAAGCAAATGCTAGGTATAATATATTCACTAGATATATAAATGCTCGTCAACATTTATATATGCTAGCTACAATTCACAAAATATATAAATACTCGTCAGCATTTATATATAGTGCTTCATGATCAAACTATATAAAGTCGACTTCCTTTAGAAGTGACTAATATAACATCTCTTTCTTTAGATGTTTAGTTGGAATATCTGGAGACACTTTTGTCTTTCCAAGATCTTTTATTCCAAATAACTCTTTAAGAGTTTTGATGATGTTCAAAACATCATGCGTATAAGTTCCCGGGAATATAATTATGATATCACTTTCAGGGATTAAGTCCTACAGACATCCCATAAGGCGCAATTCAAGTCATTTATAATATCAACTCAGTATCGAGTGATTTCGACAAAACCCGGCGCGACACACCGTTTTGTCTTAAGTATCATAATACTCTTTTGATGCTTGGACCATGTATCCAGGAATTACTCGTTTCTTATACGAGATTAATATAGACTTGGCTGCGTCTTTGTTTATTGGCCAATATATATCTCTTTACGCTCACAGAGCGGAGATTTATGATCCTCATTAATCACATTTGTGCACTAGATCATTTTTATTGTGGACATTGTATTGTCTTTGGTTTGGTTCCATATTTGCCGTAATGACATGGTTAATCGCGATCTTAATCATTATAAATGATTTTATTCAGGTACCTGATTTCGTTATTAACCATGACAATCGGTCTTTGTACTCCTCTTTAGGAGTCTTTTTGCTCCTCTTGAGGAGTCTCTTTGCTCCTCTTGAGGAGTCTTTATACTCCTCTTTAGAAGTTTATATGCTCCTCTTTTAAGAGTTTAATCCTCTTTTTATAATAATTTGCTCTTTTTTTCGAGGATTTTCTTTATATTTGGAACCAAAGTTGTCTATCACATTCTTTAACGTGTTATAGACAATAATATGTCATCCGCCAGAGACATATTTTTGTAGAGCATTTTTAGCTGGGACAAGAGATTTCCTATGAACTTTAAGTTCATATGTATTTATACGAGGATCAATAATTTATGAAATCTCATCCATCAGCTTTTTGCATTTGATTTGCAATTTATTATGAATAGTGATCTATTTGAACTTTGAACTCTTAAGTTCATATTTATTATGGTCATTTGTTCAAAGATCCAAACTATTCAATGATTCTCCCATAATGATGGGAAATTTTATCATCAACATGATGATTTGCAAATCTTGCAGTAGACACATCTCTCATAAGATGGCTCAGTATTTGTAGAGCAGAGACTCATCTCCTGCATCTATATATTTCATCCTTTTTTTTTTTGGATGATATTTTTATGCGGTGCAAAGGAGCATTTATAACATATATCTCACACCCATAAAATTCAAAATAAGAAATATTTGATCTCCAATCATGTATATAAAACATGGGAGAAATATTTCTTATAAATCGTTGGCCGTATATATAATTATTAATACATGCAAAACTGCATGCTCCATGTAAAAACATGGAGATTAAATCACCATGAATCGTTTTGCAATCTCTTGGATTTGCGCTATAAACGATTCGCTTAAAGCTCTTTTTGAGAGTGAACATCATGTTTTGATGTTCTACTTTATCACAAAGTGATAAATTTTAGGATATAAATTCACCAGAGTTATCTAGCTCTGGGGTGTCAAATTCACCAAAATTTATCGACTTATTATCGATGTGGGATTCTTTTAATTCTCCCCCTCGAGATGATAACTCTTCGAGTTCATTCATCTCGAACTGAATCCCACTTTAGGATCAATAACATATCCAATATGGATCATGTATTTATTCTTAGATCCTTAAAAAAATATGTGGGACTTATAATACCCCCTCTCAAGATGATGGCTTTTCAATCTATTCATCTTGGACCGAATCTTATTTTTAGATCGGTTATATTCGGGGATTAGTTTGGGGATTATTGAGGAAATTAACCAGCATATACAATGAGCTTATTAAAAAAATGGTGATTGGCCAAAAATCATATGCTTCTGGAGGCTTAGCCTACTACAGAGTTAAGGAGGAGGAGGTATATAACCTTCAACTCCGTATATAGTATAAAAAATTTAAATAAATTTAACATAAATTAAATGTTACCTCTGAAATGTGGACGGAAGCATGCAGTGCTTGAATAGACTTCTCTTTCTTTACAAAGAAATTTTAGTGATATTTAATCACTCTTTTTAAGTTCCAATTATTTGGGCCATCAATATTTACAGCAATGATCACAAATCTTGATAGAGATTTCTTAATAAAGACGCAAAGGCATATTTCATTATTAATATACCTTTTCTTTAACAAATAATCGCTGAAGCGATTATACCACATGCGTCTGGATTATTTTAATCCGTAAAGTGATTGCTGTAGTTTGACCGTACATATTTCATTAGACTTTGAGTCTAATACCTCTGGAACTTTAAATCCTCTTAGGATTTTCATGTATGTATCATAACCCAAAGATCCATATATGTATATGTAGTCACTACATCCTTAAGGTACATTTCTAAATTATAAGAGACCGTTAGGCTCCTTAAGTACCTGAATGTAATTATATTCATGACCGGAGAATATATATATTTTTTTCATAATCAACTCCAGGTCTTTAAGAGTAAAACCTTGTGTAACAAGTCGGGTTTTATATCGTGTG